GGGGGGGAGAGCGGGCCGGGCCGGGAGGGAAGGAGACCACAGCTGGGAGCTACGTCTCTACTGTCGAATGGCGCTGTCTCTGTGGGATCAGTGGCTGTAAATAAGACAAAGTCGAAAGGGTTTATCGTCGACAGTAGTGCTATCCGTCGTATGACAATCATCAATTTCAGACCAGGAATGGTTGCTGACGTCGCTGACGGTAGCAAGATTCATTCCGAAGGGTGGAATTCCTCTTTTTGGGCCGGGTCTACATGGAATTCAGCGGCAGCAGAACGGTTTCGAAGGTTGATGCCAATAGTTGGTGGGCCACACAGTATACTGTAACTTGTGACGACACGAGCCGTCGCGACCGCCGGCCTAAGTAGAAACAATGAAGCTAGTATTATGAGCCACTCCATGTCAGGCGGGCATGGCTATTGGGAAAGGTCAAATATCCAGCAATGGTTGACTTGTACAGAGCAAGCCAATGCACATTGGTTATCAGGGTCAAGGCTCACCAGGAGGCACAAAGCATATTGGAATGGCTTCCTTCATATGTCCTCTGCGTCGTACGGTGCGTGTCCCGCCACCATTATTGGCCCTATGCCCTGGTCCCGTTGTTGATGCCTGGCAAGGACACAAGTACCACATCACCGAGGCTGAAACAAGAATTGGCTGTTCACAATCTCGTCTTTGCCTTTGCTTCTTCAGGGGGGATTATCCTCACCGGTGTATAAGGCACTGCAAGATGATCAAAGACTTGATCCCAACGATCATTGCCAAACCAATCCTTGCGTTCTCCATCTGAGTTGACAGCGACAATCCACGGCGCTCCAAAAGCACCCGCACTCATGGTCAAATCGATCACCCTCTTCTTATTTTCTGGGGATCCTGCTTTCTTCATGATTTCTTGGATCTCTTCAGGGGGAAAAATCCCATCCAAAGCTTCGAGAACCCCTTCTGGTTTTGAGATATTGATACCTTTGCTCCAATATGCCGATCCCAGAGCAGGAAAGGTTTGCTCAAACTTTTCAGGCGGATAATGGTCTTTGATCCATGTTGCGACTCGAACAGCCTGATTCAATACTTAGCTCCGCTTATTGGCCTTGGGTGGAGAGACTCACGAAAAGTGACAAAATGGGAAATTCCTTTGGCCGAACAATTTTCAATCCCAACAATTTCCCCGTGATTTCCGAGTCCTGCGTTGCAAATGCTTCTTTGGCTTTAGGAGTTGGGGTAAATGGGTTGCCTACACTATCACGAGCGCCACCCAAAAAGAAAGGAATTATGTCAACCGACACGCCATACTTGTTGAGCAGAGGACGATAGCGAATAGTGTTGGTGAAGCCGAACCATGAATAAGGTGAGACTAAGACGGTACCGTGAGGATGACAGATTCCAAGGAAAAGTGGGTGCTCATACCACAATCAACGTATATGGTGAGCTTTCCACCCTCTGGCCGACCCATGGCTATAGATTGATCGAATATTGCAATGCTTTCTCCTGGGATGTTCTCGATATCAATGGTCCGATTGGTCTCAATATCAGAAACTGGTTTCCATGTCAGAAATCCCCGGATATGAACCGGTAACGTGCTTTACCACGGACCGAAGTATCGGAAAATCTCCTATTCTCGTCCAATATCCAAGCTCTTCCTGGCTTCAAACAATCGACAGGAATTACTTATCGAAAAGCTGAGGCCTGACAGAGAGATCTGTACAGACGTTGTCTTCAAAAGGACAAATCAAAATTCCTATATTAGCCGAGGTTAGAGCAATGGCTTTGACGACTAATCAGCAAACATCCCAGACTCCACATAGCACAGTTCATATCCGACTGTCTGATCACATTTCAAACAAGCCTATTGAGTCAGAGCATCGTGTTTGAGTAACCAGACAGCCGGTCAGGTGTGGTTGCCGCAGAAATGGCGACCTTACACTCCAGATGGTCGAATCCTTTATCCTCTAGGAATTGCCTTGAGACAAACCATACCGCACCCTCTCGACACTTATATTGGCTCGACAGGCACTCTACTATTGCTCTCAGACCAGCATGCCCTTCGAATCCACTTTTCCACCGATATCTGTCCCACCGATCGATCTTTGGGCGTTTTTGTTTGAAAGAACTGATCGTGATTATCCGGAAGACCATGGTGTGATCTGACCTCGTCCCCCTATTTCGTTCAGGATGCTAACAAGACTAACAGTCATTTTTGTGGACATAACAGCCCAAAAACAACATACATTCCGAGATGTTCGTCAAGCTGCGACATTATTCGGACAAGGCCTTCGACAAGAGTGGAAATGGCAAAAAGGAGATGTCATGGCGTTATTCACCCCCAATTCCGCCGAGATTGGGGCGGTCACATTCGGAACTCATTGGGCAGGAGGTGTCGTTTGTCCATTCAACAATCTTTACACCGTTGGCGAGTTGGCATCGCAGTTGAAATCCTCACAGGCGAAAGGGTTGGCCACTCATGTAACCTGCCTTGAAGTTGCTCGAGAAGCTGCCCTGCTTGTTGGATTGCCTCTGGATCGTATAATTCTTATCGGAGGACGAGACTCTAAAGGTCGATTCCAACATTTCTCGGACGTGCAGGGTGCTAGCACGGCCATTGAGAGAGCAACAATCGACCCCAAAGAGGATTTGGTTTTTCTGGTTTACTCTTCAGGGACCACGGGCTTGCCCAAAGGTGTCATGTTAACGCATCAAAACGTTATGGCAAACTTACTGCAGACTTCGGTTATGGATGCGAATTTGACAGACTGGAGGATTGATCGCACTATCGGCTTTCTCCCTATGTATCACATCTACGGTAGGCTTGACCTTATCGCCACGCAGAAGGATTATTGCTAAATATTACGATTTGGTTTTAACAGGACTTGCTCTCTTAGTTCTCGCCCCCGTCTACCGAGGAATCACGGTGCAAATAATGCAGAAATTTGAATTGGAGCAGTTCTGTCAAATCGTCCAAGAGAACAAAATCACCCTTGCATACGTGGTTCCGCCGGTTGCACTTCTTCTTGCAAAGCATTCTCTCGTCGACAAATATGATTTGAGCTCGCTACGGATCCTGCATTCCTCCGCTGCACCGTTGACAAATGATCTGGTGGAAATGGTTTACAATCGATTGAAGGTACCCATCAAGCAGGGGTATGGATTATCAGAAGCATCTCCAGGAGTTTCTACTCAGGTGAGCCTGTTTGAAATTTCTCTCCCATACGGATCTAATCGTCCATCAGAGTTGGAGTCACTGGAACAAATCCATCGGATCAGCCGGAAATCTACTCCCTTCCATCTCGATCAAGTTCATGAACAACAGGAAAGAAACCCAGATTGGTGAACAAGGAGAAATTTGGCTCAAGGGACCAAACATCTGCAAAGGATATTACAACAACCCCAAAGCAACGGCCGACTCAATCGATACTGAAGGCTGGTACCGGACCGGGGACATTGGCTACATCGACCAAGACCACAATATCTACATCACGGACCGAGTCAAGGAATTGATCAAATACAACGGGTTCCAAGTCGCGCCAGCCCAGCTAGAGGGTCTCCTTCTGGCTCATCCCGCGGTCAACGACGTCGCCGTGATCGGCGTCTACAACGAACAGAGAGCAACAGAGCTCCCCAGAGCATATATCGTTCCGACAAAGGGCTATATTGGTGACCACAAGCTCGAAGACGAAGTGAGCAATTGGCTGAACAAGAAGGTGGCACCGTACAAACGACTTCGCGGTGGAATTAGATTCGTGGATGAAATACCCAAGAGTACTGCGGGCAAGGTTCTACGGAGAGTTTTGGCTGAGGAGGCGAGAAGGGAAGAGGCTCAGCAGGCCGGAAGATCGAAGCTCTAGAATGGCCATACCACGAAATGCAGGAAAATAAACGTAGCAATAGAGTCAGCCCAGTTTGCATCATGTGCCTACAAATGTTCCACTTTCTGATAGCTATGTACAAATTAATTTCCATATGCAATCCTGACTACAGCCTCACAGCTTAGAGAACATACTCTCCTTCTGCGGCCTGGCATCCAACTCGTGGGTCCACGCACTCCTGGGCTGGCTATGCAAGAACCAATACGTCTGCGCCAGATCCGCCGGCTTCACGAGATGCGCGTCGATATCATCCAACTTCTCCCCCTCCCCTGTTCTCGCCCACTGCCGCCTCGACCACTCGCCAATCAACTTGCCATCCACGGGACTATCGACAATAATATGCGCCGCATGGATGCCTTTACTCTGATACTCCCTTGTGACAATCTGCGCGAGAGATCTTAATCCGAACTTGCCGGGCGAGAAACTACTTAGACCAGGATTCCCGCGCAACGAGCCCGTCGCGCCCGTGAAGAGAATCGTGCCTTTGCCGGCGGATAACATCTCGGGCAGCACGCATTTTGTGGACCAAAAGGCGCCGAACAGGTTGATTTTGGTGAAGCCTTCGAATTCCTCGGTGGTGGTATCGAGGATGGAGCGACCGTTGACGCGGCGTGCGCCAGCGTTGTACACCAGGACCGAAACGGGGCCTAGCTCGGTGCGAATCTGGCCGAAGCTGGAGAGCACAGATTGCTCTTCGCGTAGGTCGGTAATGTAGTAGTGAGCGGTGCCTTTGCCGTAGTCAGTGTCGATGCCACGGGCCATTTTTTGCAGTTTGTCTTTGGTGCGTGCGAGGAGGGCGACAACAAAGCCTTCGGCAGCGAAACGGCGGGCTACGGCTTCACCGATGCCAGGCCCGGCCCCGACGACGGCGATGACGGATTTCTTTTGCGGGTTGAGAGACATGATGAACGATTGCTGGTGTCTAGCGAGAATGGAAAATATCCCTTTGGCAGATTGTCTCTGCGGTCGCCAACTCTCTTATGTGACACAAGGATGATAAGGTCTGGACTTAAATCCCTTACTCAATACTGTCGCTGGAAATCACACAGGCCGATAAAGCAAGTACATTTGAGGTTCGATGGTGTTGCTTAATTTTTTTCGGTAGGTAATCTCGAACGATGGGGTTGCTTTAGACGCATCAGTAATCGTGAATCGTGATCAATGCATTGACCTCGGTATTCAGTCGGCGTTGAATCAGACTCCGTGTGCCGCCTAGACAAGCCTTTGGAGGAATGCAACCGATTCAAGTTGGACTGTGACATTGCTTTTGAATGAGGAGAAGATGCATACCACAGTGGGAGAGAGCTATATCGCTGGCTAAAAGGTAATGATTGAATTCTAATCCCTACTTTGTTGGATGTCCTAGTTATCGGTGTCAACTTACAACAAACGGCATGTGTCCTTCATGCGTATATGATTCTGAAGATTCTTCTCTCCCCTCGATACTGTGGTTCCAAAATAACCCTGAACATTGAATCTTAGTCTGGACCAATTTATAATGGCCCTTGTCAATGCTCGAGACCTCGTCGTCGTAGAGTACTAGAACTGCATATATTTTCCAACCAATCAGAGCAAGCCATTTGCGGAGTTACCAACAAATGTCCCCACTGGGTGCCCGCCGTAAATAACGGATGTGGCGGAAGGCGAAGTAACTAAGTTCTAAGTACTCCCTACGCAAGGAGGGATGTTACCAATGACTCAGTCTAATGCGACTGGATCATCTGTCAGAGGTTTTGTACGTATGTACCCCTATTCCCAGACTTGACCATTTCAAACTCTTGTTCCGATACCTTGTGTGCACTCTCGCGGGGACCTACTTCTACGATAGCCAGCCCGTCGACCATTTCTACCACTGTGACAACATCGGCAATGGCGATCCCACCCAGTCCAAGACCCTCTGGTGTCATTGCAGTGTCGACAGCCACGAATGTTGACGGTTTGAGTGGCAGAGTGGAAACAACAGACGGCAAATCGTCGTGGCTAACATCCGCGATGACTGCTACGCAACGTTTGTCCTGGCGGAATCGTGACGATTCCATCAACCATCAGAAACTTGAGTTCTGTCTTGTTCTCAAATTGCGATAGATGGTCTATTCTGGGTCGTCCGGTTGCACAAAGTCACTCTCGTTGATGACTGTTGGGGCCACGAACCTTCCGCTTTCCGAACGAGCCGCGATCTGCTCCTCTTGGACAGCAACAATGTCAACAACGAACCCAGCAAAGGCAAACGTGGCCAACTCTGTACAACACCTCTTCGGACTCAAAAGACCAGCGCTATTCCCACGTCGTGGGATGGCCCAAACCTTCCGGTTCAACCGCTCAAATGGGCTCGATCATCAAGTGGAACAGTTTTGTGATGACCTTGTCGAGCAAGGAATTGTCATTTACGACAGTACGGCACCCAGGATAACCAACTTGCTCGATTCAATTACAAGCTGAGTATCGCAGCTGCATTTAGCTCCAATAGCTGCTCTTTACCCAATGATCACAAGAACGGAATCGATTTCGCAATACATATGGGACGACGAAGTGCAAGAACAATCTGATGAGCAATCTCGTGTGGCCAAAAGCTCATTCAGCGAGGCGAGGAAGAGAAGTCCGGGAGACTTTGATTGCCTTTCGGGGAATCGCCTGTCGAGAGACTGTATGCGATGGACGGTCATTGCCGCGAATGATGCTGGTACTCCCACGACACCATAACGCACCGTGGACTGATTTGGGCGTGGAGGCGAGTGGGGTGCAAATACATCGATGTAAGTGCGGCGACCTTCCATAACCATTTCGATTTCACGTTGAATGCCTTCATAGAGTACCATTCTCTGTGTGGGTGGTTATCAGAATAGCGATGAGATAGGAGTCCCCCCAGATTTCAATGCCCCTTGACTTGTCCGGTATGCCTGTGAAAGGTATCGACATCGTTTCACCAAAGGCAATGCGATATCATTCCGATGACCGCCTGTGAGTGATGATTTCGTCCCGCATTCACATGCTCGGTTCACTTCTGCCTCCCCGCGGCACCTATATAAAGTGTGTCTATCCCACCATTCTGTCGCGTCTTCTCCCTACCTTCCCTCTCCCTCTCCATTCTGCCCTGCGCAATCCTCCATCGAGTGGTCTAAAATGGCCACACATCCCTTGATGTTGCAACAAGCCCCAAACCTCCCTCTCGATGGGCGCGACAGCTTCCTTGCCTGCTCTATGCCTCCAAACGCAGCGATTCCCCCTGAACCAAAGTCGGAGTCGCAAGACTCCAGCCTGAGCGGCAATATCAACATCGAGCGAAGTGTGACCGTGGAGGGAATCATCACGGAGCCACGAAACAGCCAGAATGATGCTGCAAATGTAAGCGACAGCGGACAAAACTACCAAGTGATAATCTCTGCTGCCTCACAATTTGCAAGAAACATGTTCTCTGCTCCTACGCTGCGGAATTCGAACGATAGCATTGCATTCGCGCAGACACGACCGCGAAATCGACAATGGATTGTCACTGCGCTGCTGCTTATCCTTGTGAATCTTGCATGCACCGTTGTCGACACGATGATGCCGGTCCAGATTCCGTCGATCGTCTTCGATTTCGATGTTCAAGGCTTCCACTGGCTTCTTGCCGCTCCAGCGATCGGTGCAGCAGCTTCAGTTTTGACAGCCGGCCAACTCTACGCCGTTTTCGCCTTCAATCAAATCTACCTCCTCTCCATGGTATTGTTCCTCACCGGCACCATCTCGCCTGGATTCGCGCCAAATATGGCTTTCCTGTTCTGCACGCGCATCATAACGGGTATTGGAATGGCAGGACAGCAATTCGGCACACTCACATATCTTGAGAACAACGGCACCTTCACAGACAAGGTGCGACGGGATTTCTTCGTCGGCGTCAGCACTACACTGGGTCTCATTCTTGGTCCCATCTACGGAGCCTCGTTTGCACACCGACACAGGGCTTGGATCTGGGGATATTACGCTGTTTTTGGAGTGCTCACTATCATGGTGGCAATCCTCGTTTATTTCCTCCCGAACAAACCAGACATAGTCGCTACCGCGCCCTGGACCTATAAAGAGACAATGGCATGGAGCACTCGGCTGGTTCGCGTCGACATTATCGGCTGTTTTCTCAGCTTTATTGGAATCCTCACCCTATTCATATCTCTCAATATTGCTGGAGTATTGATGTCTTGGTCCAATCCATATCTGTACATCCCAATCGGTCTAGGAGGGCTCATCCTTGTTCTGTTCCTGGCACAGCAGTTCGCCATGGTCTTGAATTCACCATCTACTCGACTCTTCCCTGGACAATGTCTACGACACTTCAAAACCGCGACATTATTCCTTCTGACCTTTCTCACCAGCGGAATATTCTATACAACCCTGCCCTACGCGACTCTATACCAGCTACTTACCCGTCCAAACCCATCACCTATCCTGACGGCACTCTACCTCCTCTTCAGCTTTACTGGACCACATCTGATTCCCACTGTGATTGTGCCAGTGTACATTGGCAGCGGTCTGATCACATCCTACCCGGTCTTTCTCAACTACAGCATCTGGAGCATGATCACGTCAGTCTTCATCCTGACAGGCATGACCCTTCTCTTCATAAACACGCCGTCCTTCTTCCCAGATTCCGGAGGCTTACCGACCGTCGCAAAACAATTTGCTCTAGTGTGTATCGGCTTCTGGTCCGCAGTGACCATGTCCCTGAGCCATGAGATCATGGATATCCTCCAACCTCCATCTGGCTCGAATCCGCGCCAAAAGCATCCCCATCACAACCGCTCATACATTCTCTTTGCGAAATACTTGGGCGTCGCCGTGGCCTTGACTGCTGCAGGCTCGATCTTCATCCACCTAGGTCCACCCGCGACCCTGGCCGCAATAAAAGAGATGCAAGCACAAGGCCAGGCTCCGGACATTTCCCCTACGAAAGAAAACGCACTTATCCTCCTTCTGGGCTACAGTTTCATCCGCCAAGAGACGTCTCCGGCATTACTCACAGCGATCGTCACTGCAATTGAAAACACATTTGCATGGAGTTTTATCATCCTCCTTTCCTTCGCAGCTCTCCTTTGCGTCGCGAGTGCAGGGCTCCTGTTCCACAAGGCATGGAAAAAGGAGTCGGACTTCAACATGCGTGATATCGGCGGAGTGCCCCAAGAGTGGCTTCCAAGAGGTGGTCGTTCTGGCAATACACACACTACTCTAGAGGAAGAAAGAGGACAGACTATGGAGCTAGAGGAGCGTGAGGATCAGATGGGCCGGACTACAGACCACTCGGTAGATGTAAGAGAGAGATAGGAGATGATAGTTCTCGAGAGTTGGAAAGGGCATCGAGAGTACGGTGCGGGCGAAAAGATTAGCGGACGAGCTGAGTTTAGCAATGCAGGAAAGATGAGTTCCTTGAACGAATGGAGCGAAGTGAGAAGCCAACACAACCTTTGTTTGCCGTTATCCGATGAGTAGTAGAGATTTTCTGATTCTTGTCATGGGTATCAATGATGATCGCATAACGCCTTGGTCCACCGTGCACTTCCATCCAGACACGCAGCCTTGTATCAATCAATCAACATCATCGTCATCCGGCGGTGATTCAGGAATCTCGTCGCTCTTTTCTAAATTCCCTTCGCCTTCGTCTTTTACTTCTTGTTTCAATTCTTCGCCAAAGAGCAACGTAAACAGTACCACCGCATAAATCTCGTCCGTCGACTTGTTTTTCAATGTGTACCGCAGTTCATGAGTCTTGCAGTCCACATATTTGATCACATTCAAGCTGAATCCAGGAAGCTTGAGGGAAAAGTCGTTGAAGTCCAGGTACGGGTTTCCAAAGTCTGATTGGTACACTCTGCCCGCCTCAAAGGTAAATGCTTCACGGTTCGAAGGAGTGAGGAAATGTTTCTTCCGCCCGGCGGAATCAGCGGGCATTTTTGACTCTTTCCGGGCTTCTTCCCCAGTACCTTCGGCGCCTTCTTCAACTACCGTCTCATGAAAAGAGGTGGCATTTGGTATCTTCCAAGCATTTCGATCCGGCAATTGGTCATCTTCAATGACCTTGTCTCCTATCCGGAAGATATTCCAACTGCTGAGTGCTGGGCCGAACAGATATGGTCTATCGGCATAGACGTCTCCTTCCAGCCCTGGATCTACCCACCATTTGACAAATTGGAACGCGTGATTGAATCCCGGTGGCAACCTGTCCCTTATGGGTCGATCAAAGTCATTGCCGAATATTAAATCAGCTCCCGAGATGTTCACCTTGGGTACAAAGGAGAAGGCTATTGAATATTGATCGTATCGGTGCAGGTCATGGTCGAAATAGGGCGAAGAGTGAGGAGAGTCGTCGGGATAGCCGGTGAAGCGGCGGATTCGAATGGCAAGGGAGAGGATGATATGGTCGTTTTCAAAGGTCAAGGTCTCTGGAGCATTGACGGGCACAAGCATGTGAGTTGACGGGTCATATGCCGGACCGGCGGTCACGCGCAACCGATATTGACGGTGTAGAGGTGCCTGATCGGCTTCGTCAGAAGAGGATGTTGACGGAGGCGTATCAACCATTGAGACCGGTACCGAAGAAAGGAAATAAAAGAGAAAATGAGGGCAGAAGTGTGAGTAGAGACGCAGAAATGTTATTTTTGTGCGGTGATTTGGGGCATGAAAAAGACGAGAAATACTGAGGCGCATGTGACGTCAAAGCCTTGAGTGGAACAAAGCCGCGGCCACGATGAGACTTGCCAGTGGCAATTTTCGCGTCCGCTGCAGCCATTTCTTTCCATTTTCTAACCTTCCTTTTAATCGATTCATTTTTCCTTCTGCCTTTAAGAGAGTCGTGCTCCCTCTGAAACTGGTGGCATTGACTTGGAGGAGGAATAGGCCAATATAGACATACTAGTTGAGTATATGTGCAGACACAAGCAAGAAATGAGCATGACTAACAGGCACACAGTATATGGGAGTGGGATTCTATATCTAGTGAGTGGACTGCACGAAAAATTGCGCAGGCAGAAGAGAAGGACTGGTGATGAGGAATTCATGTTTGCTGGAAGTGATCACACGGAAGACCCCAACCGTCAGTCATGGCTCCCTTTGCCGTAGTTGTTCTCCTTCCTCCCACCTCTTCAAAATGGGCGGCAATCAGCCAAAAGCCTTCCTCATGATCCGATGCTCTTATTAGTTCCCGTGATATTTTTCCTTGTCGTCCCATTTTCCCGGCAAATCACCTGCCCAAAAAAATCCAAAGGCGTGAGTGTCGGGTCGAAGTTCGCTTTTTCTGGCCCGGTCCTGGAATGGGAATCATATGCAAGGCCCTAGCATGATACATCTCCATCAGAGTACAGAGAGTCAAGCAATCTGCGTGGCAAGGAAGCGGTCCATTATTGCTGGAGCAGGCCGTGGTTGAATCTCGAAGGCATTTCACGCCGGTAGCAGTGCATTGAGGGACTCGGTCATGCCGAGGCGATTCTTTCATAATCGCTTGTTGTCTCTCGAGAGCTCAGACACCTTCTAAGAGGCTCTTTCCTTACAGCCAATATAGGCCAATGATCGAAAAAAGATGTAGTAGAAGATGAAACAGGGTGTCTTTTGGTGCTGTTGGATCGTGACGCGTGGGGAGCTTGGCGCGTCAGCCGGCCGTTAAACTGCTTTGGGGAAACTGTTTTGCTGCTGCCGTCATTTTTGTTTATATGCGGCCACTTTCCTGACCTCTGCCCATTCTCCATCGACTTTGCATTGCTGAACGAAAATTCTTCGTTGTTGTATGCCATCTCCCTTTTTCATTTCATCTAGCATCAGTGTTGCATAGGTTGTTGCATTAGCATTCTAGGATCCTCTCGCCAACCAAACCATGGCGAGCGTTGATCCGGGTGATCCCATCGTAGTTCGACGATCCAAGCGACCATGTTCTACCATCTCTCCAGCCAAGTCAGCAGAACCTACTTCGTTTCAGGCATCAACTCCATCCAAGAAGAGACCACAGAAGAGAGCTCGATTCTCCGATAGCACCCTGGTAAATGGGACGACCGGTTTAACTCCTCACGTCGGCAAGGCTTCCTTGAAAACTCCAGACCCAAGACGAGCATCCACTCCGGCTCCGACCAGATTCAAAGATCATGATGAGATCCAGTTTACTCCTTTTCGTGAATGTCTCGAACCGAGAACCATCCGAAGAATGAGACGTCATGGCTTGAGTGAAGAGATGAATCGGTTCGAGGCAGAAAAGAAAGCGGAGGCAAACGCCATCATCGAATTGAAACGACAGATCAAGTCGTTGGAAGCAGAGATTGAGCGTCTCAAGGACCAGCTCGATTCCACCGTTTGGGACAGCTTACGTATCAAACAGCTAGAAGCTGAATTGGAAGAATTGAGACAGCGTCTCCCTTCTGACAATGAGGAAACGGTACCAAGTGAAGGAGACGATGCGTTTCAGATATATGAAGATGACGGAGTTGCAAACGACTACCCACTCGCGGATGGCCACGATGCTGTGGCAATGGGACTGGAGTTGGAATCCGCCCGACAAGCCAAACATGCACTGTTCCGCTCGAGTCAGAACTCATCCAACAGTATCATCAACTTTGGGGACTCACCTGTCCGTCCGGCTGCAATGGCAAAGAGCGTTCCATCAACTCCTGATACCTTCCATCATGATCTGTCTAAACAATTCAAGGCCGCCACCAATCGGGCGGAGAACGCTGAGGTTGCTCTTCAAGCTCTTGCCATGGAAATTTGTGGTTTAGGATTTCCCGGCAATGATGATGACGCTCTGGAATGTATCTCAAACATCAAGAATCATTTCCGCGAGATGCGTCTGGAACTTGAGCGAGTGATGCCAGGAGAGACCGCTGGTTCTTTTGATCATACCAAACTGATGCCTGAAATGATTGCCAAGCTCAAAATGATATCTGAACGTGTCCGCGCCCGGGAGGCGGAATTGAAGTCGATGAGAGATCAACAACGCTGCCTCAAAGGAAATTTCGAACATGCGATTGTGGCAGCTGAGAAAGCCAATTCCAGGATCAAAGAACTGGAGGATACAGTTGATAAGAATGCTGAAGAAATGCTGGAACAGCGAATGCGAGCACAAGCTTTGGAGCGAGAATTGCGGGAACGTGAATCAAACCATCAGTCCCTCATCACTGCCATTGAGAAATATCGGGAGGAAGTCAAGCGACTAGAACAGTTGGTGCAACTAATCGAATCAGAGCAAGCATCACGAATTCAGGATGTTCGAACTGCCACAATATCAGAGTTCCGTCAACAGATTTCTGACATGGATGCAAAGATTGCCGCGGAAACCCGAGGCCGACGAGCTGCGGAGGAATCTGCCGTTGAGAGATTGCGGAAGATCAATGACTTGGAATCAGCCTTGTCTTCGGCTCGGCAACAATCGGAAGACGTCAAATCTCTCTTGAAGTCTCTCGAGAACCAACTTGCAGAATCCGCGCACAGCCATGAAGAAGAGGTTGGCGGCCTGAATTCGAGGATATCCGGACTCTCCACGGCTCTCGCCGCAACGAACGTCAAGATCGACAGCCTCGCCAAGGCCAATGCCAGACTGGAAGAGCGTTACCGAAATGAAGTCGAGCAAGGAGCTGAAACTCTGGAGCGAATTCAGAACGAAAACATTCGAAGTGCGGCGAAAGTCAACGAGATGAGAAAGAGTTACATTCGTGGTGCAAAAGTCAGATTGGCCAATTGGGAGTTAGAAAGTGACGAACTCACCTCCGACGACATTACGCCAATGACACCGGTCAGCATTGTTCGCTTCTCGGACGTCGAAGGAACGGACATTCACGTCGAAGGCGGCGTTGAGATGTCGCGGGGCAAGAGTCGTCGACGTGGATTCATTCCAGGTTTGGGCATCATGAAACGTGGTGGTCGTCGATACGACAGTGGAATTGGCATGGATTCATTGAGCGAGGCAGATGAAGATGAGACCTCTCCCGACCTCATGTCTCCGGACTTGAGCTCGGAAGCAGATATGGGCCACGACATGGATCCTAGTGTCGACAACACGGTTTGAAGCGCTCTGCATTTCCCGGCGTTGAATTGTCAAGAAGTGTTGGACATACACCACCGTTTCTTTTGTCCAGTGATGACAGACAAGATTGAACTGCGTGGGCAATGGTGTGCGAGTGTGATATCCTGATCTAGCTCGGGGAATAAACTGTTATCCGATTCACTCAAGCTCTTGAATAGAACTGAATCAACCAACGAGCCTGTACATGACCTTTCCTTTGTTCCCCAGGGTATTCACACTTCTACCTTCTTCGTTGCAACCTTGCGGTCCTTGGACATTTACACTCTTTTTGTCCCCAAAAGTTGTCGTTCAAGACTACAGCCTCTTCAAGATATCATTCAACACTTCCTCAGTGCTCGCTGACCCCCCGAGGTCAGGGCTGACAAACCGGCCCTCCTCCAGCCCCTGGTCAACTGCATTGTAGATAACATTCGCCGCATCAGGCAGATCCAAAAACTCCAACATAACACCCACACTGCGAATTGTTGCGATGGGGTTCGCGATACCTTTTCCCTCGATATCCGGCGCAGAGCCATGACACGGCTCGCCGATGACGATGCTCTCGCCTACATTTGCTGACGGTACAAGACCCAAACTGCCCACCAGTGCCGCGGCGCCGTCGCTGAGCAGATCACCGTACAAGTTCGGCGCGACAATCACGTCGTAATACTGTGGCTGCAGGAACAGCTTGTACACCATGCTGTCTACGATTTGTTCCTCGACTGCCAGCGACGAGAACTGGGGCTGTCCAAGCGCTTGGCGTGCCGTGGATCGAAAGAGACCATCTGTCTGCGACAGCACATTCGACTTGTGCGTGATAGTCACCATGCCCGTTTTCGAGGGGGCCCGAGCTGCCGATGACGCCTGGCGCATCTTATGTCTGCGCAGCGCGATGTCACCTGCGATATTGGCGATGCGCCAGCTCGCTTTGGAGGAGATGCGCTTGATAGCTTCGGCGATTTGTCCTTCGCCAGATGGGTCCGGATAGGTTTTTTCTTCCTTGACGTAGAGATCTTCGGTGTTTTCCCGAACGATGACTAGGTCGATTGGGTAGGAGGTAGGAGATTTAAAAGCTGGTGAAGCCGTGGTTTTGCATGGGCGCACGTTGGCATATAGGGAGAGTTTCTTGCGCAGAGCGACGATCGGAGAGGTGTAGCCTGCGACTTTTGTCGTGGGAGAGCTGCGGTGCGAAGAAAGCGAGGGTTAGTTTGTGACTCTGAGATGGGTATGACGACAATCGGCATGTGTAGGTATGGGACCTTAGGCACTCTGGACAGATGATATGTACCTCACAGCTCCAAAAAGGGCACCATCACATTCTTTCTGCAGTATTTCAACGGTTTTGTCTGGTAGGGCTGTCCCCTTCCGTGTAAAGCAGTCGTAACCTGCGTCAAGGTCGACGAAAGAAAATTTTAGGCCGAGAGAAGAAGGTAGGGATTCAAGGATGCGTTTGCCAGCCTAGTTGTAAAAAGGGGTCAACGGTTTGGGCCGTATTCGTGGGACAATATGTCAGGGTTTTTTTTTATGTACCGGAATTACTTCACGTCCAATGCCGTCACCGGGGATGAGGCCTGCAAGACCTTAGTCGTGTTTTGGGGAGAAAGATGAAGGGGTTAGTAACCTATCCGTAGCATTCGACTGGCCATGACTATCGCACACAGAACCCAAATGCAAGAATCTCGCACGCGACGAATATTGCAAAAAGGTTGGAGAAAATATTTCGACATGAGGCTGACGAGGCTGAGCTCCACTTCCGCGATCGGAGCACCTTCATGTTTTTGCATTATTTGCAAATCACCTCACGACGACTTCCCCTGTTCAATTGCCTCGTCCAGTTCTGCCGACTTTCGTCCCCTCAGGAACACAGTTAATCCCTAGCGAGACCGCCAAGCAGCATTTGGAATGGTAGAGCAGTCGAATTATCCTTGCTATTGCGAAGCTTGATGGTCCTCTCTGATTAATTGTCACTTCGTCGGCAACAGATCCGGCATGAACATTGATGTCTGGTGATTTTCTCCCTTGGCCAAGCGATAGAATAGCGGCCGTCTTCATTGTTCATAGACGGTGTGGACTGCATCATCTTCTCCTTCTGAACGTCGAAAGTGCTGAATATGGAGATAAAGCCGAGGAATACCATCGTCCAAATAGCTGCAGAAGGTGAAAATACTTCGGCATTAGCGTAAGAAAAATGACTTCAAATAACTCGTGTGCTGGCCACATTGCTCCAGGATTCGAGAGGAGTACAGTGCATCCTTGGTGACTTCAAGCAACTCAGATCGATGCATCCGATGGAAAAGACGGTAATTATTTTTTTGTGCAATTGGTAAAGTTCCATGATACTCGAACAAGCACTTGCTATGGGAAGGGATCAAAGTCTTACGCTACGATGGGACTAAAAGCGCTGCCAGTCGAATGTTTATACAGGAAGTATTTGGGAAGGCCATCCCGGCGTGCGTCTGCTGGTTACGGCCGGAACAGGTGATACGTGATATTAAGAGCTCAAGCTGTGAGAGCGACTGACGGTGATTATAGGTGGTACGGGTCTGCACACAAGACAGTGAAATCAAAGCACCGGTTGATCAAACCTCTTTTCCCTCCAAGAACAACGCCATGCTTTCCAACTGTGCATTGAAGGATCTGATCCGATCCAAGATTCCGCCTTGATCAGAAACATTGCTAACATCGCCCACAACGCTTCGAAGTAGGTATTCTATTCCTTCGTGGTCATCTTGATCATCTCGCTCCATTTCAATTTCGACCCTTCTCGCCGCCTCGCTGAGATTCCACTTCTCTCGCGCGTCCTCCTCAGATTCCCAATGTCGTCTGCGAACAGCGTCGCATTTGAGTGCAATTCGCTCCCTCTCTTTTCTTAGTTCGATCCATTCTGTTTGCAGAGCCGATTTTTCTCTCTTACTCTTGCGAACTTGACCCTCAAGATTAATTCGGTTCTCCACAGCCTCGGACATTTCGAAGAAATCATCATCTATATCCCGTGCAAAGGCCTCGAGAGCGTCTCGCTTGATCTTGAGAGTCTGACGTTCCGAAGGCTGGCCATTGTGAGACAAGCGTTCGATCATGGTCTCGATTGTTTCTCGACAAATTTGCGCTAGAACATCAACCGCATTTGGTTGAGAGCGATCGTAATGCAGATTGCTAGCCCCATCTGGCCTGTCGTGACCCTTGTCCTCTGAATCTTCGGTGATAGTCGGTAGTGTCGGAATGTTTGTGAGTCGATGGGTGAGTATGGGAAACGTCGGCTTCGATTCGCGGTGCTTAGGAGCCCGAGTCTTCCCATCAGACGCTGTCCGATGTCGAGATCTTTGACTGGCTTTCAGGGCATTGGCGGGCGTTTGAGGTTCAGGAGAGCTCTCCTGGATGTATGTTTCATCCTCATCCTCTGCTTCCCTAGGGGATCGCTGCCCATCGGATTCGGCATCGTCTGTCTCGTTATGCGTGGACCCAGCCCGGCTTGACCGGCCGATTCTACCTGCTGAAGGTACAACTGATAAGGATGACGGATCTTCTGATGGAGCACGAGACCCCCGATCCTGAATAGAGCTTTCTCTCAACGAAGTGTTAATCTCAGTCCGTCCAGACGACTTCCTCTTCTTAGGACCTAAGTTTACGGATTTCCGTTTCTTTCGTCTTTTCTGTTTGGAAGGACCGGGTTCGTCGAGTTCCAGCAGAGACGGCTGGATCTCCGCTGTCTTGACTCTTTCAATTTTTGAGCTTTCATTTTGTCCTGCTTCTTCTTCTGCCTCAGTCTGATCGTTGCCGCCTTCATCCCAACCTACAGGCGTGCTTAGCACTGATTTGGTGGATGATCTCGCGGTTCTGCGAGTGGCCTTCAAATCGTCCAACTTGGTAATTTGCTCTTCCGTTTGGGGATTGACATTGTCTGGTATAGTATTCTCTTCATCAAAACCCTCTGATGAGAAAAACAGTGGCGACGTCTGTCGTTCTGGTGGAATTGATTTTCCAGTCCTGGATATTCGATCACTCTCTCGAGCATCTTCATCTTCTGCGATCGTGAATACATTGCTGCTCTTCCTCTTCCGTGATGCGCGGCTTGATGCTACTGCATTGGGTATCTCTCCCAGGGACAGATTTTGCGACGCCGTTATAGATTCTGACAATCGTCTTCTTTTAGTAGATCGACCGCCTGCTTCCGATTCTGCCACCTCTGACTGGGCCGGTTCTTCGGGATTTTCTCCCAACTTGGTTGAACTCTCTCTTGTTGACCTGGGGGACGAAGGCTCCTGGCTTCGTCTGCCTGGTGTTTTTGAAGACTGGCGAGAACTGGGTTTTCGGGACTGTGGTGTACTAGTAGATGAGCGTAACGAGCGAGCTGAACTTGGAAAAGAGAGTCCAAAGTCGACATTTCCAATCATTCGAGACCTAAGACAGATGAGCGTGGACCAATCTTGTGTCCAGAGAAGATGCATACCGGGCACCCCTTTGTCGCATTTGCTGACGCTCTTCTCTACTCTCGCCAACACCGAAATTTAGACCAAAATCGGCATTGGCGACAATTCGTGACCTAGTAGTATCGTCAACGAACGTCCAAATTTTACTCCTGTCAGGATGTAAACAGACCCTGCTCCGCGTTGGCGCATGAGCGCCCGATCTTGTCGGGTTGAAGAGGCCATGCTTATATGACGAACTCATTGACGCTTAGCGGCTTCTGATGCGGTTCAAGGAGAAATGTACTCCGTATAGTGTCTTGTCGCTTTGCGAGCACCCGTTGTAAATCGCGCTCCGTGGACGCGTCGATGCGCGAAACTGCGGACAACCAACCCCTGCTCCCAAGTCGCCCAAATGGAATCTTTTCCGATTGGGCTTAGCAGTGGACACCGTAACCGTGCCGCCTTTAAACCCTCACGCCCTCCCTTTTGGAGCTCTCTACTACCGATCATGGATACCCTGGGCAGCCATATTGCGTTCAGAATGGAAGAAAGCATGTTTTCATTTCTTAGTTTACACTCCATATTTTCCTTGTATCCTCCAGTCCATCCAGCCGTTTAGCCATATCTTTGGATCGCCTCTTTCACCCTTTCAATCCCATCCCCAATGTCAAGTGAACTCAATGCTCGGATGACTTACGTTTGGCCCCTTGCGTGCAGGTGCATCCTCACCCTTGCGAATACGCTTTTCTTCATACACTCTCTGCGAACTGGATTTCGACTAGTCGGGCAGAAGAGGGTACGTATCTATCACCAAATTAGGGTGATTCTCCCGGATTAGCCTGCGCTGAGTCGGTTCCCATGCGAGTTCTGTTGCGCAGCTGGAAGAGAGCATTGCGTATGACCTGTGAAAGCGTACCATACAGCATTATCCGCGTGAACAGCAGCAATTGTAGACGCGGGCGGCCAAGTTCTTGCGGACTTCATCGGACGTTCTTCTCTCGTTGACTTTATTCTGTGTATGGACTGCTTGGGGCAATAGATGACGCTATTGGCGAGAATGTGACAGATCGAGATCTGAATTCAACTGACGGCATTAAGGTAGCGTGGAACTCGATATACGAGCATACCCCGGAACAACAGATTTACTAGTAAGTCAAATGCAATGTAGACATTGAAACCCAGTCTATGAGGTCCTCAAAATCCTTGTCAATGAGTATTCCTTCGTGGCTACCACTGGTATTCGTGTGAGAATCTGTACCTTTCGGTCTTACAACGTATAGAGTCAATGTCATCAACATGATCTCGTCTCACTGCCCCCGTAACGCCACATATATAGAGGATGTCTCAACTCAACTGGCGCCGAAGGGGTTTAGCATAGGGCGGCATCACCTTCGTCCGAATCGGGAGTCTTGGCATTAAGCTGCTTCAAAGATTCAATCTCAAGATGCTCGTACCATTTCCTTAAAGTCCGGAACCTTCTGGGAACCAATGAACAGTCATGTCCTTGCAACTTCTGCTATGGTTGGGTCGTGTAGTTAATACTGCTTGACAAACTTGGGTGAGATGGGCTGGTTCTGGGGAGGGAGGAACAGTCAAAATGATCCCGCAAAGTCCCTCGACGATGACTTAAAGCAATTTTTGAAGGACCAGCAACCCAGGCCATATGTCCCAGCGGAACTCCCGAAGCCTTCAGAGCAACAGTCGCTGAAAACCCCGGAACAGGCGATTCCAGATACGAACAAATCCTTCGAAGATAGAGACCTACCGAAAGAGTCGCTCTTTCAAGATGGGCGATACAAGCATATTTGGAAGACATATGTCCCTCAGGACGAGATTATGACGGCCACGACAACTCCGGTTGAGAGAGTGCTGTCGGCGAAGAAAGATCGAAGACAGACAATTCATAAGGCGGCATTGGAGAACTGCGCATTCGAAGAGGAGCTGCAACAGGCTTGTTTCAAGTCAGGCGATTGGGCCCAAAAGATCAGGGGAAGAATGACCATGTGCCATGAGGAGACCAAAGCTTTCAATCGGTGCTATACTCTTCAAGCCAAGTTTCTCCAGGCTCTCGGATATATGACCAGCGCAACGAGTTCCAACGAAGACGAAGAGAAAATTCAGATGCATGCCGACAAATTGTACCACCGAATGATGGACTACGAAGCTGCAGTGGAGGAGGCGAAGCGGAACAATCAACCCATTCCTCCGCTTTCTTCTCTATTCAATCCCAAGAGGCCCGCCCCGACCCTCGAGCAGATGGCACTACCAAAAGCGATGGAAGAAAAGATGAAGAAGCCTCTTCATGAGTATCCTCCCCATGAGCGCGAGTTAGTCGCAAAGGCTGCACTTCAGGAGGCAAAATTGTCGGACCTTCATGCCGAGGATCTGTTCACGTACACCGTCACCATGAACGAGGACCGAAAGAATCGACAAGCCTGGCTGACAAAGACTTTTGGTGAAGCTATCGGTAAATTTTTGATCCCCGATCCTCCCAAGGATCCATCCGTCAAGCCGTACAGTATTAAGCAGCTTGAACGAGATATATGGCGAGAGGACGAACCCGAAACACAGTCGCAGAAGCCGAATCAAGGAACATCAGGACCAAAAAAAAAAAAAAAAACAGGGATAGAAAAGGAGTCTCGTGACCATTCCTGATGTGTTCATCTCAAGCTCCTGACCTAAGGCAGCGGTATTCACTGGCTCAGGAATACAGCCCAGTGCCGCTCTCAGGAAAAAAAAAAAAAAAAATTTCATGTCACCCGGAATCAAAGCTGATGGGTTTGGGGGGGCTTTGGATTGGCTCCAACCATTCAAGGCATTGAGCCAGAAATAAGGGCTCTGCATATGTCCCCTGCTGAGCATCATCAAACTTACGATTCCTGCTCATGACGGTCTGCGGGAGATATCTACTCTCGTCGCCCACGTGCCAACTGTCAAATTCAGCAGAGATGACAGCGAAGTCCATCACTCTATGGGAATTCAAAATAAAGTGTATCTCGAAAGACCGTGTAGGAGCACATTGAATCGGTCAGGACTGGCCCGAGAACAATATAAATGGCTGTGCCAGTGAAGCCTCATTGCATAGTCTGTGTCCACTATTTTCCCAGGATGCAAGGATTTGACACTGAGGTAGATTCCCAAGGAGGAAGGGGATTATAATCTAGTCATCTGTCCAGTAGTCAGGTAGACTTGCCAAGGATAGAATCAAATCTCAAGGCATCTGGGTAGGATGCTGTACCATAATGACTACCCACTTTCACAATCAGGCGAGCTACTACAGAAAACATCTGGGCTCATAGCAAGGTCCTGCGGAACGAGGCTGTCAACATTGTGTCACCCTTTACTCTCATACTTAATCTCAGAGAGGAAGGCGCCTTAACAAAGATCCTCCACTCTTCTAATCCCCTCTGCTGATTCGACATGGTCTCAAGCCACCTTCTTTGGCTGTCATAGCTTTGCTGCGGACATGTCCTCCATCTTGAAAGTTCATTCCCCAGTTGATGATAGTTCTGGCGGAGTGGCCGACGTGAGCAGAATGAATGGGACGGTTTGATAATATCAGACCAAGCCCGAGGCTCCTCACCTGCCAGATACGTGCAAGTTCTTCGCCAGACGCTTAGGCACGCGCATATAGCATCATGCTAGCCGGACTCACGAAGGGGCCAACGGCGGCGAGACTAGCTCACTGCTGGGTGGTGAAAGTGGAGAGCAGACGCAAAGACATTGGACCCCGACTCCGGTGCAGCAGCAAAAATGACAACATAGACGCTAACCACCCCTCCATCCTCCATCTGCATCCCGCAATCCACAAATCTACCCTTGCCACTGTATCGGCATCTTGTTCGAGTTTGGTGCGTCCATAATGTCGACTTCTTGTTCGTTTTATCAAATATCATGCCTTTCTTCCTTCTCTCCTTCGCATCGCCTCCTCGTAACCTTCAGGATTCATCCCTCTCGCCAGCCCAGCAGAACCACGCATTGAGTCATGGGCATCTTTAATCGCAATACGGGAGATGGCGCTCCAATTCAGGATGGACAGCCATGTCCTCTCCCCTCCGACGCCGTGGTCTCCATTGAGCAAAATACGTCTTTCCTCCAACTGCCTCCTGAAATACTTCATCAGATCCTTTGCTACCTTCCTTGCAAGTGCTTAGTCTCCCTCTCTCGAACCTGTCGACAATTGCGCGGGCTGGCTTCAAAAGATTTGCTATGGGCCGATCTTCTGCGACCCAACATACCGCCTCAAGACTTTCCCCCCGATCCCTACCCATCCTCCTCATATCGAGATCTCTATATAACACATCACCCATATTGGTTTCTCCCTCGGCACAAGATATGGATATCAGACGAGCCTCATACTGGCCGAGTTATGATTTGCAAATTTGATCCCAGGCGAGGCTGCATAGAGGGATACCGATTATTGGCGGAAAGGAGCCCTTCTTCCGGGATATTGTGGCCTTATAAGCCCACTGTGGTCATCCATTCCTTCGAACCAAGGGTACACCTGTGGCTTGATGATCCAATACTGAAGCTGCCTCATGATATTGTTCCATTTAATTCGAGGCAAGGATGGTGGGAGGCCGAAATCCAGATGAGTGTCGGACGACCTGGGCATAATACCCCCGCGTCATTCTTCCTGAGTCGTGATATCCCGGAGCACTTGCAGGACAAAAGCATGGAACTGTGGCCACCACGTACCATCCCTGGAATGCCTCGAGTTCGTGCTGCCAGTAGAGACAAGTTCAGGGGCTCAGGTCACAAACCACAGAAGTACGACGAAATCTCACAAACTACATTCAGGTTGAGGCATTGGTCTCAATTCAGTACAGGCATGGCGCATTTTGGGATTCGCATCGGCGAAGAAGTAAGTACGTGGAGTACGCTTGATCCTGTCCTGTATACGCCCACACCAGAGAAACCATATCAGGGCATCTACGTCGGGGATTATGCGGGACACGGCTGTGAATTTCTCCTAGTCATGCAGACAGACAAGGCCCCTAGTGTACCCTCCAGGTCGACTTCGGATTCATATTTTCGAGCCATGCTAGGACTCCGGGCCGAAGGCGATTCTAGTGAAGGTGAAGGGCCAACCTCTATCAGCTGCTCTCAGGCGATGGCACATGGGAACGAAGATCTATTTCGTGGTGCTATCGAGGCCGTGAAGTTGACGGGAGACCCCAACATCCCCCGTGGCGAACACACCTTCATCGCTGACGATATTGGCCCCAACGGTCTGATCAGGATTGCCGACGAACAGCCTTTCCGTGGCGCAAGAGTTGTCAGGAGTCGTGGCCACGTCGCCGGCCGCGGATTTCAAAATGGTAAGTAGGCCTGCTTCATCAACGGACTGATTTGCTGACACGACCAAAGACGAGTTTATTCCATCTCAGCTCATCATGATCAGTCATAATAGATTGGCTCAGTATTGGGTGCCATATGGACATATTTCTTTCTATGAGAGGATTGACATCGACAAGTTAATGGATGACATATTTCGGCCGAGCGGAAGTTGATTTATGCAAGATGTGGCCCTCTCGTATTTCCCCCCCCTGGAGGAGATGAAAGATTTTCTATGGACTCGTCGGATGATGACTTGGATAGTTGATTTATACCCTAGATACCAATGTACGGAGCAATCGAAGGCATGGCCCCAGTAGTGGTAGCGGATTACGATCGGGCAGGCCCTTGGGCTCCTCGGCCTGGAGTAGAAACTTATCTTGGGATGACGTTCGACTTGTACCAAGCAAAGAACCTGGTATTCCTACTGGTGTCAATTCCAGGTATATCGCCAGGATGGTCAAGTGGGGGGCTCAAAAATGGGACATGAATCACCTGCCACTTGTATTGGCACGCTTCCTAAACCCGGTTGATTTGCCTTCAATTTGATTCCAAACATCCCAATGGCGGTGTCCCGAATATGTATGATACAATCAATGGGGTTTGCAGAGTTGAGCGTGTGGAAAAAAAACTCCCCTCAAGTTGCCATAAACAACATATATCCTCCCCGCAGCTCCTTGAGCATTCTTCTTGACTCCTCATGATGCATCACAATTCGTTCAAGCGGTGGTGTACTGACTGCGCGTTGCCCCCATCAATGTTCTCTTCATCGCCTTCGTTCAAACCAACCGCTGCTGCCCATGATTGCCACTGATTGATCCATCACCCATTCTCCCACTCCGAGATATCGATCAACCCATGTCTGGATTTCTTTGGACTCGCCGATAGAAGAGGCTTTGACGCTGGTTGGTCTGGGGTTAGTCAGTCTGAGACGATACTAGCCACAGCACCCCAATCTTGCGATATCCAGGAGGGGAACGAATCGGGGGACCTACGTGAGACCTGTGCTTCTCTTGATTCCGGCAAGGAAAGCAGAGATGAGGACGGCGTCGAAGGCGTAGTGGGTGAGACGTCCAAGCTGCTCGTTCTTCAGCCCATTGACGCTAATTAAGCTTGCATATCCACTTACCACCATGGCGAAGGCAGTTGATCCCTTTTGCTTACTCTGAGTGATGGTCAGCAAGAAAAGGCATGAGGATGTAGTCTTGCCTGGGCACATGTGATGTCCGACGGTAGAAGTGACCAGATACGACGCCGAAGGCCAAATGGAAAAACGGACTTGGTCTGACGGTGCAGATACACTTTTGGTGCACCTGTCAGACATCAATATTGCAGGGTTGGATAAAGGAAATTGGTTGTCAGACGTCAAGTGTTTTGCACTGCGGTAGCATGTCGGCCTCCTGCGAAGCATAGGGACCTTCAGCGCCTATAATTTCTGAGGAAGCATTGGCGGTGAGGGGCAAGCTACCAGAGGAACCCACCAGCAGGTCTGTCCCGCCCTCCGGTTTCGATCCAATCCCCATTCATTTCCAGCTTGCCAGATCGACGTTGCTCATTCGTTCGGTGTTCAAAGTCGAGCCAGCTTGCAAGGTACTTTGTAGCATGTCGGGCAAAATAGCCTGATAAGCGTGACGTGAGAGCTTCCCGTTCAACTCGACCAAAAAGCTAGGCGGACTCAACCATTGCTTTTTTTAATGGTGATACCTTCCACGGCGGTTCATTCTTTGTTGAACGAGTCTTCCTTCTGTCAAAGCCTCCAGGAGTGAATAGTAGGTGTTGTTCTAATTGCATAGACTCCTGCCAATATGAAACAGCTGCTGACTGCATTGAGCTATTTGCAGGCGTCCACCGCTAGATTGGTTCCTCTCCGCAACTCCTCCGGACCGCTCATTCCGGCTCTGTTTTCCATATAGACAACAGGAGAAAAAGAAAGCAGAAGAGGAAGAAGAAGACAAAATGGGTGACGCTTTGGACCATCTTGCCAACCGCACCAAGCTAGAATGGCAGTGCAACCTCGACATCGACTATCAGCCAAAGAAGCACCACCGCAGAACCAGCATCATCTGCACCATTGGTATGCCGGGCAGCTTTCTACTTGTATACAGAGAAATGGACGCTAACGGACTCTGTTCCAGGCCCGAAGACCAATTCTGTTGAGAAGATTACCATATTGAGAAAGGGTACGTGGGCTTCGAAGGCTCAAGAGGCGGAACAGATACTTAATGCTTTGTAGCTGGCCTGAATGTGGTCCGAATGAACTTTTCTCACGGCTCATATGAGGTAATCATGGCACTCAAAGGTCTGCATCTCATCACTGACCTTGACCAGTACCACCAATCTGTCATTGACAATACCAGACAGTCCACCAAAGACTATCCTGGCCGTCCTGTTGCAATTGCCCTCGATACGGTTCGTGAACTACTTCACCCTCTACGGTAGTTAACTGAACACCTGTGGAACAGAAAGGACCCGAGATCCGAACGGGAAACACTCCAGGAGACAAAGATATTCCCATCAAGGCAGGGCTTGAATTGAACATTACCACCGATGATCGATACGCTACTGCGAGCGACGACAAGAACCTGTGAGAGAAAGACGTTGGCTGCATCTTTACAGTTACGGGTTAGCTAATGTAGTGATAGGTACGTTGACTACAAGAACATCACCAAGGTGATCGATGCTGGCAAACTGATCTACGTTGATGATGGCATTCAATCTTTCGAAGTCCTCAAAGTCGTTGATGACAAGACTCTCCGAGTACGAGTGCTTAATGATGGACAAATCTCTTCCAAGAAAGGTGTGAACCTGCCCGGAACAGATGTTGACCTTCCGGCCTTGTCAAAGAAAGACATTGCGGACTTGCAATTTGGTGTCAAGAATGGAGTCGACATGATTTTTGCTTCCTTCATCCGTCGAGGAGAGGATATCAAACATATTCGAAAAGTGCTTGGCGAGGAGGGCAAGGAGATCCAAATCATTGCAAAGATTGAGAACCAGCAGGGTATGAACAATTTTGACGAGATTCTCGCGGAGACCGACGGTGTCATGGTCGCACGGGGAGATCTCGGCATTGAAATCCCAGCTGCAAAGGTTTTCATTGCCCAAAAGATGATGATTGCCAAGTGTAACATGAAGGGCAAGCCTGTTATCTGTGCAACACAGATGTTGGAGTCGATGACTAACAACCCAAGACCAACGCGAGCTGAGGTCTCTGATGTTGCAAATGCCGTCCTCGACGGGGCCGACTGTGTCATGTTGTCTGGTGAGACCGCCAAAGGCAATTATCCCAGAGAGGCCGTGACCATGATGCATGAAACCTGCTTGTTGGCGGAGGTTGCGATTCCCTATGCCAATGTCTTTGACGAATTGAGAACAAGCTGCCCTCGACCCATTGAGACCGTGGAGTCCATTGCCATTTCTGCTGTGGGCGCCAGTATGGAATTGAATGCCGGCGCCATTCTTGTTCTGACCACAAGGTAAGCCCCCCTGAAATATGAGTAATTAGATTTGGTCTAATTCCCAACAGTGGTCACTCGGCCCGACTTCTCTCCAAGTATCGTCCAGTTTGTCCCATCATCATGGTGACACGAAATGCCACTGCCTCACGCTATGCTCATCTCTACCGTGGAGTTTACCCATTCCACTTCCCTGAGCCCAAGCCAGACTTCCGTGGAGTGGACTGGCAGAAAGATGTCGACAAGCGTTTGAAATGGGGGATCGCAAGTGCCATCAAATTGGGTGTTTTGACTCAAGGAGACAGTGTTGTCTGCGTGCAAGGATGGAGAGGTGGTATGGGCCACACCAATACCATTCGTGTTGTTCCGGCAGAGGAAGATTTGGGTCTTAAAGATTGACTCACGGTTGCTGACTTTTTCGACACGCCTACAAAATCGAAGAAGTTCTTTCCAATTTCGCCCACCTCTCCCAAATCTCCTACTCGAGCCTGGCAATGATGGACAGGAGGCCCGACCGAACCGAGGAATGACTGTAGACAGGGAAGGGAATAGAATGGATGCTGTCAGTCTTTTTATGTCAAGGAAGTGTGAATACGTCTGTGATGGCAAAGCTGGTATTATTCCGGGTTTTAGTATTCGAATGACTATTCCTTCCGCAGTACCACATGGGTCCCCCAGAAAAAAAAAAAAAAAAATTTATATGGCATTGAGTCCAGATAATATATGAACGTTCAATGATAGCGGGCGCCAAAATTTTTAAAAAAAAGGCAAAAGCTTGCATGTGGCTCTCGGGTGACGCAGGATTCAGAGTGACTGGTGCCCAGATGCCACCCAGCCAGTGGGTTGTTTGACTGTTTCAGGTTCAACTTTCTGGGGGCCACAAGCTGGGATGAAATCCCCCAGTGTGTGTTTTCAACCAACTGCCATTCCTGGCCAGAAGTCTGTCTTCAATCTCCGTTTCAGATCCAGCTTTTGCTTGACTCCCCATCGCGTCCATGGGAATTTAAATCTTGACCACGAATTCTTTGTACTGCGTGTATCGGGTTTTATCCACCTGTACCTTTCCCTTGTTTCTTCTTCGAACTAACACACCTCGTCGCGGCCACATCGTTACGCTTCGCCTGTTCTCCGCCCCCGATCGATAGAGGTCGTGTTCCCGCGCCCACAATTTTTCTGTAATTCTCCTTGGAAGAAAGAAACTTTCCTCCCTTTTTATTTGATCTGGACTAGAGAGGGTTTCCAACAATCATGGCGACAGAGAGTGCCCCAACTGCGCGACCAAAGATGCCTGGCTTTACAGAATCGTTTTGGTCGGCGGACTACGCTGGAGGATTGGGAACTCTCTTCCAGAAACTCCAACAAGGCGTGATTGAAAACCAACAAGTCCTTACAATCGCCAGCATGCGGGCAGATGCGGAAGAAATGTACAGCGATCAACTGGGAGACATTGCACCAACAATCGATCGAATGACTGGTGGATTCACGAGAGACGACGGCGCAAGCACTCGCAAGGTGAGTCCGCTGTCGTGAGAGATCCGAGTGGCCGCGCTGACCTCTTCAGGCCTATGAAGGAGTTCGAAGCGAGATGGTCGAAGCTTCAAAAAATCACAAGAAGATCGCCGACAACATCCGAGAACTAGTGGTCAATCCCTTTTCTAGATGGTGCGATGCGCATGCGACAAGAATACAGAGCTCTCAAGATGAACTGCAAGGAAAGATCAAGGCTCACGACAGACAAGCAGACATAGTCAAAAAGCTGAGAAGTCATTATTTCAATAAGTGCAGGCTGGTGGAGGACCTTGAGGAGGAAAACAAATTGGCCTTTCAAGGGCCGGCGAAAGAGAGCCCCAAGCCTCAGAGCCCACCACCGCCCAAGATTGTTCTGCCGGAGGATGAGGTTGACGAATTACCCGTCGAAATTGGTGACCAGACTTACACGCCCGAACATCTCAAGGCACTCTTGACCAGTATGTTGGATACCATTCCTCTTGGAGAATACAAAGTTCCGATATTGGGAACATATCAAAATGTATCTGCTGGCACAGATATCGTGGAATACATCCAGAAACACATGAAGGCATCCAGCGTGGGATATGCCGAGAAGATTGGACAGGATTTGATCGACCGAGGGTTCTTACGCCTCATTGGTAACATGGGCAACACATTTGCCAACAGTTCAAGAATGAAGTATCAATGGAAGACTCGAGTCTTTCAAATTACAGGCTATCCTGAGAAGCGAAAGCCTCTCGGCAGATCAAGCACGACATCATCACAAGATGGGATATTAGATTCACCGTCCATCGGAAACATCACCGAAACTTTACAAACGTGGAATCCATTGAACAATCCTTACCCAAATGAGACGCCCGCTGAACGCCTAAAACGTGAAGCCAAGGAAGCAGACGAAAAGTACAAGGCTGGGGTCCGAAAACTTGATATGCTCAGATGCCACTTGGAAGAGTCGATGATGGATCACTTGAAATTCCTAGAACGGTGCGAAATGGATCGACTGAAAGCGATCAAGTCAGTGATTCTTGATTTCTCCGGGGCGATCAGCAACAGCATTCCCTCTTTCCAGAGTCAAGTTGATCATATGATGCTCTACCAGGAAACCATTCAGCCTCTGGGCGACTTGAGATATCTGCTTGAGAATTACAGAACCGGGGCCTTCGTCCCCAAAGCCACGCCATATGAGAACTATTATGGAAGCGTCGAAGACCAGACTTTTGGTGTTGATTTGGAAGCAAGAGCAAGAGCTGATCGGAAGCGAGTTCCCATCATTGTGACTTCGATATTGACATTCCTTGACAATCACTATCCAGACCTTGAAGGAGACAAAGCGAGAAGGAATATTTGGCTTGTCGATGTTCCTCTAGCCGCGACACATCACCTGAGGAATCAAATCAACAATGGAGCTCCCGTCCCACGAGAAGTTCTCGAAAAATACGAGGTACCAATTGTTGCCAGTGTCTTGAAACTGTACCTTCTCGAATTACCTGGTAAGTATTACATTCGGCTTATAGAGTCTCTCTTGCTAAGTTTCAGATTCTCTGGTTTCCTCGCAGGTCTATGAGATTATCAAGACGATATACGCAACAACCTCTGATGCAGTGCCGAATCCCATTTCTAATGATCCAATCGATGCTACACCGAGAATCAAGGTGCTGCAATCGACCCTTGGCCAGCTTCGTCTCAATAACATTGCCACACTCGATGCTATTGCGACACATTTTACTCGACTGATTGACCTCACGTCTGCAGATGAGGCATACGTCGCCGCTCTAGCGCAGTCGCTGGCTCCTTGTATTCTGCGACCGAGGACCGAGAACTCTTTGACCTTGGAAGAACGTCATGCGTATCGACTTATTCGAGACTTGTTCGACCACAAAGAAGCCATCTTTGGCGAACTCAAACGTCAATCTTCCACGCTTTCTGGTTCCAACAGCATTTCTAATCGTCAACGAGCGGTTAGCAATATTGATGAGAGCTCAAGGCGGGCTAACATGGAAGCGAGAGCAAGAGCCATTACGGAACAGAGACAACGAGACAAGAGTCCGGCGCCCACCAATCGACACAGACGTGACAAGAGCACTGATGGAAGTGTCGGACGATTCCCAGTTGTCGCAAGCCCCAGACCTGATCATGGAAGGAATGTGAGTGGAGTTGGCTTACCGTCAGCTAAGAGATCAAGTCTGGAAGTTCCCGGTAGTACCGAGAGTTCACCCATTCAAGCTAGGAACCAGTCAGCTGTGGAAAAGAACCCAGCTATGAGAGTTGAGCCCTCAAATACGGTCACGAATGGACAGGGACAAACTTCTCCCGACACAATCACCATGCCTGCCACTTTTAGTGGAGGTGGCCCAGGTCCACATATTCCTCCGCCACTCGACGACGACAGTCAAGAGTCGGACTCAGCAGTCCCTGCGGCGAGGGAACAAGAACCAAGTTCCAAGGTGGGATCTCTGAAGAGAAGTACTGCGGCGACTGATAGAAAACTGGTTGGTCGGCCCGGTAGTTTGAGGAACAGAATGACTCAAGGAGCACCGGATGATGCGAAACCGCCTCCTGCTCCTCAAGGTGTTCAATTGACTGACAAGGCAATGGATGACTTCTCATAAAAGGAAACGAAAACGAACTGGATGACACACGGAAGACAACTGCTCAGTTCAGAACCATATGGTGCGTGCAATGCCGAACCCACTTCTCAATCGAGAGTCCAGCGCAATCCAGCATCTCACCCCAATACCTGGCAAACTTGGGGATAATTAGCTCGGAGCTTACTGGTTAGTGAACCAGAAATTCGTAATCAGCGATGATCCAACCTGGGGCTGGTGGGGTGCACTGGGTTCCTCGGGTGGCAGTGGGGATCCCAGCTGGGTGGTCTGAACTACAAATAAACCGAAGTCTATGAGGACTAGAAAGGGCCGGGGAAGAAAGTCCATGTATGAGTAAGGCAAGCATGAATTGCAGCTGGAGACAGCCGTATTATCCCAAATGGCCAACTTATTCTTGATGACGACCTCCTGTTCCTCACTCTCAGCCTCGTAGTAAAGCAAATCAATTAAACTTGCCAAGAGATTCAAGCCCTTGTGATTGGTCCAGAACTTGGCGAGGCTGTGGGTATACGATGAAGCGAGGAACCTAGAGCTTCCGTCTCATGCCCTCTCCACTTCTCAACATCAAGGCATAGTACACTTGCAGCCATGCATTTACTCAGGCTGTGCGCTTTGGCGCTCGCAGCTGAATGCGCCTATGGCTACCTCGACACCACACCTTTCTTCATGTTCTCTACCTCTGAGTACGTTATCTACCACTAGGCAATCATCAATCCGATCAACATCGAGCTAACCATGGCTCTCCAGACTGCTCCTCTCCATCTCCCCTCTTCAACCCGCTCCTGTTATCGTCGCGGACGTCGTTCTCTCCCTCTCCCAATGTCCCTCCGACTTCTACATCCTCGTTTCCCAGCAGGGCGTCAGCGGCCGAGACTACGAATGCAAAAAGAATACACCTGTCCTGGCGAAGGCATTATCGGACGCACAATTCAGGCCCGGCATTCGAAGTAGCTTCACTATTGCAGATGTCTACGGTGACATCGACCCCTCCAGCTGGACTGAGGTTCTTGAGACAAAATGTGGCGTAAAAATCACCGAGATCGATGCTTCAAAGGACTCCGTTCCAACAACACTTACTCCTGCCCCTCGATTGGTCAAAGTCACACTGCCTGCTCCATCGTCGGAGTCAAGGGCCAAGGACCTCGCTGCCAACGACGCTTTCTTCGCATCGATCCTTGACGCACTTTCCCCGCATAACTACACGGTGCTTTACACGACAACACGGGCCCATGAAGGCTGGTTTGTCGCTACCGAGTTTGAAGAATCTGAATATGACATGGAGTCACCGATCCAGGAGGCTCTGCACATGGATTTGAAAAGAGATCTAGGTGTGCGTGCCGTAAACCAGACAGGCAATCAAACCATAATTGATGGTCCATTATTTGACAAGTATCAGTTCTTCACGCCCGGTACAAAGTCCCCAGCCTTCCGTTTCATCTCACTGATTGCTGACACAAGTCTCCAGGTATTTTCATGGGATTCCTTGTTGGTATCCTGCTCCTGTCGATTCTTTACGTCGGCATTTCTGCCGTCGCCTCCCTCCAAGTCACGTATGCGGCTTTCGATAAGGACACTGGTCCGCTTGCGGGCAAGAAACAGCAATAAATCAGCATAGACGTATCCGCTACCTTTTTGCTCGAGGTCCATTGCCGACCACGCAGAATTTGAGAGGCCGAATCAATATCTCTTGCCCTGATGACATGAAGAAGAGGGATGGAATGGAATCTGGTGGCTTCCAATAAGGAAGCTAAGTACAGTTTTTTCCCATCATCACGATGTTCGACTCATTTAAGATCGCGGCGGGTTATATACCAGATAGTAATGCACTCATGTCATGACTGAGGTATTTTCACTCTTGGACTGTCAATCATAGTCCGAAAATGAAAAGACTCCGGTCAGGAGTTTCAGGGAGTGATTTTCCTTTTATATTGAAAAAAAAAAAAAAAAAAAAAAAAAGGCAAAAAAGGAGGACTCAAGAGGGAAGTCATGGTGACCGAACTGGCTATTCTCTTGTATATGACATTGATATTAACGCCATGGACGACCATCTTCGTATCAAGCGTTATGCTTGGGTTGTCATGTACTATCAGATTCTAGACCACAGTTCACGCTTGTCAAATTCCGTTCACGTATATATCCATCTAGTTGCTTCTCAAACGAATGTCCCACGCTCCGAAAACCATACCAGATCACAACCCTGCAGGATATATTCCAACCTTGTACCCCAACAAAGTGCCCAGAGAATGTATTGCTTCTCTCACAGAGTATAGATGAAGTCTGGTCTCTTGTCGCCCAGCTTATCGATCTCTATCTCTGTCTTGCCGTCAACCCAGACATTCCTCTCGCCGTTTCTGCGTTTCGCGTTCTCCCTGCGAAGAAGGAGATGTTGAAGAATACTTCCACCAAGAAGGAATACCGCTTCATAAGCTAGCACGACAGCGTGACCAGGCTTGAATCGTGGTTTATCTTCAGTACGGTAGATGTTGGAAGAAACGATCCCTGAGGGTAAATTAGTATAGATTGGGGGGTAGCGCTAGAAGGATTCCTAGAATCACTTACCGTTGAGATTTCCCCATCCAATAACGAATCCCAAAGAGATACCTCGTTTGTAGACACCTTCGACATTGTTTGCCGTCCACGAAATTGTGTTCGGGATGCAAGGATAAATCCCCATAGCTCCAAGAAACGTTCCAGCATACTGAACGGCGGGTGTGCCAGATCCAAGCAGCATTGCGAAGCCGACGATACCGAATATGGCCATGACCATGTTACAATAACCTTCCAATATCAGTTGAAACCATCGACCTAAAAAGAAGGCGTGGAATTACCTCTCATTCGAGTCCTGTCGGCCACGAAACCAATGAAAATGGTGACAACTGCCGCGACCGCATATGGAGGAACACTAAGGAGCTGAGCATGAATACTCTTGTAGCCCATTTGTTGGACGATCGTTGGCAAGAACAGAGAGAATGCGTAGAGAGCACCGTCACAACCCATATAGATCATCATTCCGGTGTAGGTTTTCCAGTCCTTCAAACTGGCCCATAGATAATCCAATTTGAACTCTTCATGTTCAGCGCTTGACTGCTGGTCAAGCTTCAGGCGGCGAATGACACGGAAGCGATCGTCCTCTGATAAAAATTTCGCTTCATCGGGAAAATCGTGAACCTGAACATGTCAGCTATTTTCTGTTCGGCCAAGCTATGCTCCTAATTACCATAAAGAACGAAAGAAATGCGACGATAATGGTGACAAGACCTTCGAGAATGAAGATCCAGGCCCATCCAGGTTTGCCACCGACTCCGTCCATGTTCACAATAGCGGCTGCGAGCAGGCCACCGAAAGATCCGGCAAGCGCTGCCGCACTGAAGAAGATGGCCGCCCGGATACCAAACTCAGATCTTCGATACCAGCACGAGAGGTAGTAATTCACGCCTACGCTGTCAGAGGGCTTCGACGACTCCGGTGAGCAACATACCAGGGAACAATCCGGCTTCAGTCAAGCCTAGGAACCATCGAGCCGCCATAAGGCCGGAAAAGTCGTGAACAAGTCCCATGGTTGTCATTGTGATCCCCCATAATATCATGATGGTGGGAAGAAATATGGACGGCTTGAACCGTTTCAGTAGAACTTGTGTCAGAGGTTCGAAGATTGAGTACGAGATGAAGAAAATCGTCAAGGTATCATTGTATTCACTGTTGGTCATATTCAAATCTTCTTGAAGTCCATCGATTTTGGCATTCCCGATGTTCGTTCGATCGAGGAACGAAATCAGGTAGAGAAATGCAAGCCATGGGATAAGCTGAAGATCGAGCTTCCAGAGCAAGGCGCGATCCTGCAGATCGAATTTAGCCTTTCGAACAGCCGCTTAGATCGATGGTATCCGCTTACGATGCGCCTCCTCTCCTCCTCACTCAGACCTTCATCGGGGTCAGGAATGTCCAGGATCGGAACTGGGGCGCCACTTTCGGGGTGCTTCTCATTATCCGATGGTGACTGGCCGTCATCAGAATCAGAGAGTTTCACATCCGGTTTCTCCATGACGATAATGAGTGGTGGCAAAAGGTCTGGCCTGGTGTAAACAAGACTTCAGAGGGAAGCGCAGCTCGATTTATATCTGACAGACCGGCCAGAATACTTGATAAAAAAAAGATGACAGTAGTACAGAGGTCGTGCAGACGGGACCATGGTGGACTGATAACCCCCCGGGTGAAAGGCTCCACGTTCCTCTTCAGTTTGTTTGTGCGCCTTTGAGGGCGAGTGGATAAGTCGACATCAAGGCTGGGAAGGGCGATGGAATATCCCTGCTTATCCTTCCTGTTCGAGTTGTAATCTAGTGATGGCGGGCAAAACCTGGTGGAGGTTGGGGGTGGGATCGGTGTTTGTGCATGGTGGAATTCGCCATTGACGTCGCTCCCAAGAGAAAATATTCAGTCAAGCATTCAGTGCCTAGTAGCATGCCAAGTGTGCCAAGTAACCCGGAATGTCCTGCAAAAGCTTCCAAAGTCTCGAAAAGCCGCATGGGGCACGGCGACAACCACTTGTCCGGCCATCTACCGTGCGGGTTCCGGATGGTCCTTTGCCCTTGATTCGATTGATCGATTTTCTTGTCAGACGGGCTCGACATTTAGTGTCATGCGCTTTGCCACTTTGCGGATGAAATACAGGCGGACTGGTTCGCTGCTCATTAATCCGAAAAATGCGCTCCGAACCAAATCTCTCTCCTCTCTATTCGGTCCAGTGGAAGTTCCATTTTCTTGTGTCACATCGCGTCCCTTTTTTTTCCCTGCACACTCTGGTGAAATTCGGCGTTGAATAGAAAAAGGACCGGCATTGGCGTTATTGCGGTGATATTGCGGCGAGAACATCGAAGAGCTGGATAAGTTCCCGAAGGCTTCGAAAACCTCAGGACGTTCAACGCGTGGTCGCGACCTATCTTGTGTTTTCCGAGATCTCGTGAGCATTGTTATGGTGAGTTCTTGGATCCCGGAAACATCTCATGGGTTGGTGCAAACGGCAATGCCGAGATATGAACCACACAACACGAAAGGAATTGTTTTGATGATGGTAAGAACCTCCCAAACCTTCCCTCCTGACTTGGAAACTTGTACACGGAAGATATTCAACTAATATTTGGGGGGTATTTTCGCATTGTTGCTGGCATGAACCCTGAATCTATCGTTCTAATCGTTAAGTGGGTCGGAGAGAATTCCAGATCGTGAAATGATCAATTCACAAGTAAGATTGACACCGGCCATGGAGCTTTGTGACGTTGCATGATGGTTGAATGCATAGAAAGGGCCCGGAAACAAGAAACAGGTAGGAGTGTGATGAGTGTGAAGGGAGCCATAGAATGCTCGTCCATCCTTGCGGGGAGGCTGTTTAAAAGTGCTCAGCAATTGAATGATGGTCGCAATTGAGAATGAACGAGAATGCGTAAGTTCTTCTGGCATGGAACTGTAAGAAGAATGAATGAAATCTTCTGCATTTTCAAGGCTTGTGGATGTATCGAGCAGATGCGATACTGTCACAACTGTCGCACCTGCGCAGACGAGTCTGCGAGGAGCCAACTGCGGCTCCTCTTCTCACTTCAGCTTTCTCACCCCCATGGCACGCTCTTCTCAACACAATATCCTCAGTCTGCATACGTGAGGTTGTTCTGCGACGGTGTCGGCTCCTGAAAGTTTCTTGCCATGTCCTCGAGCAAACCATCTGAGCGTCCGCTCAATTACCGTTCCATGGAGCGACAGAACCTCAACCAATCCCAGCTGGGAAGCTTCAAATTCACTCCAGCCGGCAACATCCGGCCCATCGATGCCATTGCCAACAAGGTCATGGGTGATCAGCTTGCAGAGAGTCTCGCCAGAGCGACGAGATCTGGATTTTCACAGTACCAGACTGGCAATTCCTTGAGAGATTCTGTCACGACCGACAGTCAAGCGCCTCAAGGACCCGCGACTCCCTTGATAAGTGATGCAAACTTCTTCCATACCCACATTAAATCCGACCTTGGTGATTCGCGCCTGAGATCTGGTCCTGATGCGTTTCGCTCTACAGTGGATGGTGCGACAAGCGACAGACAAGAAGTTGGCGCTGTGCTCACACAGCACTGTCCAACACCGTCTCTCGATGTATGTGTATTGATCACGAAGAAGTTCCTCTGACTGACAGCCGCGATAAGGCACAAGAGACATTCTCCCTTCCATTTCCCATTCCCATAATGGATCCAACAGTTGCTGCCTTTGTCCCAGACGGATCTTCTGCTGCACCGCGTCCCTCAGATGGAACGGCTATCAACCAGTCATTGTATGTTGCTTTGATGAATGAACAAGACGCCCACAATGCGACCAAAGTGGCGCTGAACATTCAGATCCAACGATGTGCAGAGTTGGAAGGACAGCTCAAGAAAGTTATGCAACAAGTCTCAGGCTTGACCACGACTGTCAGCCGTTTGAGGGCCATCGTCAAGTACCACATCAACAATAAAAAGCGCTTTAAGAGAGGAGAAGAAAACGGATCTAGAGGAAGATGCAGAAGAAGCTGCGTTGAAGAATTCTGTCACAATCACGGGTGGCTTACCACGAACTCCGATCAAGGAATCTTGTATGATGCGTTAGAGCGGCAGAAGAAAAGGTATGAAACCCATGGATATCCCGAAAAGAAAGTTGTCTGTGGCACGACATCAACCGATAGCATCGAAGTCGACGACGCGGAGCTTTTCAACTGGGACTGGTTGAAGAATCTTGCTCGTGTTCGCCAGAGTCGGTTCTGCATCGAACTCGGCGCAAACACTTCTCAACTGCAGGAGAATTCAACGACAATGTACCTGAAATAGCTTCTCCCACCAAGGGCCGCCCCAGAATTGATATCTTTTATTGAGATCTCTCCCGATTCAGGCGAAGTGGCCAAACAACTCCAGGACAACAACGGCGCAGCATCTGCTCCTCTGCACGGCGACTTTACCCAACAGAAATAAGTCACAGACTTTAGTTCCAAGAATACCCCTCCAAGCTCGTCTTCTGGCCCATTCTCTCAATTTGAGGGCTCATTCACTAAACGAATTTTATTAGGCTGCTGCGAATCCCGTTCTGCAAGTGGTAAATTTCACGACCTTTGTCAGTGTTGCCTGGTGAAATTCACTAACATTTAACCTAGCCACCAGAAGTCGTTGACAAGTATGCGCCGACACCATCAGGCTCCAAAGGAGAAGTCTTGAAAGCCCAGGTTTGTTTCTCTACACCGTGTACACTGCCCATGCTAACCAGGTGGAATAGTCAAACACTCAAAAGCCCACCAGGGATTTGCCAAACATCGGTAGTCTTCGAGCCAAGGAAGAGAAAGGAGCGTCTTCAGCCGTGGCCGACAACGATGATGGAGTCGATCAGGCACGATCTCCAGGACGTGATGATGAGAAGAATCTATCCCCAACTACTGTGGCGTCTTCTAAGAGCGGATCTACCTTTCACATGGTTACCTGTCCTTGGCTTCAATTCCCAAATGACGATCTACACGGAGGACTCATCTGGAGCGCGGTTGGAGATACACCTCGGCCCTGGTTGCAGACCAGTTCTTTCCCAGCACATCCTGTCCGCTACCTTCCTGAGGGCGCAGCCACCAGCCAGAACGCATATCGTACGATCATGATCGACTGCATTCCGGTCGGAACTACCGTGAAAGACGTCCTTTCTCCAGTCCGCGGTGGCTCTACGGAGTCTATCGAGCTTTTTGCTCCAATTCGCCTCCGTGATGGTTCTTCATTCATGACCTCCCGAATCGTGTTCGTTCAGGAATCTGCAGCACATGGAATGTTTGAACGTCAAATAGTGAATGCGTTCGAGATCGATCATCTCCCAGTTCGCACCTGGATGCCTATTGATCCAACCTATCCACGCAATTCAGATCTCAATGACGCTATTTTCGGCCATGGAGCTTCGAGAATTAGCGACATCAGTGAGGAATTGCTCAGATCGATTCCAGGAAGGCTGGATCGCTTACACTTGGCTTGTGCGGTGATTGAGTACAGTCGGACCTTCGACGGTCTTGCGGCGATTGAGTTCGCCCACATCAAGGCTGCTGCCAAGGCCGTCAGGAATACCGTTTGTCTATGGAAACCTATTACCAGTGTTTCAGCGGTGGAGCCTGTGTATGATAACTCCCTTGTTCGACACCTGTTCTTATTTGGTGGAGTTTGGCATGACGCAGCAGAGTGTCGCTTTGGAAAGTCGGCTATTTATCATCACTCTCATCATCCCGGTCTAGAAACGACATACTGGCGAGGGTAAGATTTTCCACATATTTGGTAACGAAAAGGTTTCGCCTTGGTGTGTGAGCGAATATAGCGATTGTAATAGCCGACTTTCAAAAACTCCTTCGAACAATAGGGACACCAAGACTATATCACGTGATTTACGCCTGGCTTCACGGCCGCCAAGGCTTGGCACCTCGCCGCATTTAATGTCGACATCTCTTTCCATCCTTTCTGATATCCACATCTCCTTCACCCTCCACTGGCGCTCCTCCCCTTCTTCACATGAACACAGATAGAGCCTCCACTATCGACTCCGCCTTCCTCTGTCACCGACCACGGTCTGGTTTCGAAAACTCCAGGTACCATTTCTGCCTGACAGTTTCGACCCTCACATGTAACCCTAGGGCATGACGTAGTTGTCGCCTAGTTACCACCGTGCCGATCTTCATTCTTAGTCCGCTTCGGCTCAAAGGTACAAAACTGTTTCAAATGGCCCCTTCAAAGAAGAGATCCAGAAAGGGATCCTCCAAGAGCCCTAAGAGCCCTAAGAAAACACGAAGGGGAATGGCCCAGGCGGCAGCACCATCTGACTTCAACGATGAGGATTACAATATACGCTCACCGGAGCGCACTGAGCTCTTGACCAAAATTAAGGAAGTACTTAACGGCGCTCCCGTCTCCTCTTACCTTCTGGGCTTGCTGTCAACTCGCCGATATGAACCGCTTACGAATCATCGCCGAAACGGATCGGCAATTCATTATTCTCTCCGACCGTTCAACATATTTTGTACCCCTGCAACGTGAATTTTCAGGATTTCAGGTCAAATCAAGGTGGCATTTAATATAGACATACTTACTGTCAATAGGGACTCAAAAATTACGAGATTCGAATTTCAGAGAATCAGAGGCAGCCTCAGAACGCCCAAAGAATCCAAAGAGGCGTAAACTGAATTCTGGTACAAATTCATGGATGTCACGATCGGCGAAAGAGGTGAATAAGGTTAGTCTAAATTTTTCAACTTCTCAGGATACCGCTGTCTAACAATATACATAGTGCAAAAAGCGTGATGATCACCAATGCGTTTTGACGAGAAGGCCAGGTCCCCAGGCTGCCCATATATTTCCTTATTGCATGCTCAATCCACGCCCGAAAGCTGATCGAAACAATACGTCTAACGGGATCCCCGAATTTTGGGAATCTATACGAGTCTTCTGGGACGAGGACCGGATCGATAAATGGAAAAGGACAATCTTTCAAGATCCTCAAAGTCCTTATACCGGTGTTGACAGATGCTTCAATCTCATCTCTCTCTCGGCTGACACACATGATGTGTGGAATAGGGGGATGTTTGCACTTAAGCCACTACGACTATCAAGTGATCGTAAGACCCTGACTGTTCAGCTCTTTTGGCAAGTTCCGACCAAGTACGAGATTGACAGCCGGATTGACTTACTTACGGAACCCAAATCATCAAAAGGCTTGGATATTGTCGAGAGAAATTTCTTAAATCGTCTTGAGGACGATGGCTCCACTCCGCGTATTTGTTCTGGAGAGATCCTTACACTCACTACCAAGGACCCCGAGACTCTTAGAGATGCAATGGTTTCTCCAACGTCTCGTGGGAATGTCTGGATGGCCAACCCTGGACTTGGATAACGACGAAAGTGATGATGACAATGGTTGGCTTGTTCCGGACCTTACCTCCGATGAGGACAATCCCTTGGAAAGAATCCGTGAATGGGTTGCTACCAGGGAGGCTGCAAGTATCACGCCGGAAACCGCAACACCAAATCCTTCTGTTGTCCCGTGCTATTGAACGGACCCGAACGGGCAAGCTGAAGAGGGGTGGCTCATCAATCCTGGATCTCCGTTTGTCGTTTATCATTGCTTCTACAATAAGGAAGCACCTTTGAAAGTGGTGTCGTCGAAGGTATCATTCAGTCAAGGACTCGAGGATTTCGTTGTTGATTCTGAAAAGGGCCATATCCGGTACCCAGTGTATTGATATTGAAGGAAAAACCGTCGTCAGAAGCGGCGGCAGATTTCCCTGCAACTTGCGTTGAGCTGTAAGATTAAGTTTATGATTTGTTGGTAGTTGATAATCAGATGAAAATGGGTCCGCTCCGACGCCTCGACTTCCTAACCTGCTTCAGTTGAATCTTGCATTTATATCTCCTAGAAACAACCCCGAATTTCGGAGACAGAAGGTCTTCTCGATGCAGCGGAGTCCAACCAAAATCGTCTTGCTTTAAAATATCCACCCCCATTGCGCAACAACAAGGCCGCTGCCTCAATATTCCCAATCAGTGCGGCGACATGATGCACCGTAAACGAGGAACCGACATCTGCATCTATGTCGACTTTCTCCAGCAAAGACATCGGCTCCTCTTGTTGGGCCGAGAGAAGATTGAATGATTGAATCTGTCTGAGCGAGGTGCAAGCTACAAAAAGGGGGCACCGAAGGGTGCGGTGCACGTGACTAGGCTAGTCCCAATGTGGACTGCCAACAATGTCGACCCCTATCGAGTAGGGTGCTGTCAAACTGGGTGCAACTCGAGATGTATTGAATGCTCTGGGCTCTTCAAATGAGTGTGAGATGGAGTCCATATATATATCTGTCTATGAGGTGCGGGATGTATGCTGGCGCTGTTGCCTGTCAATGGTGTTGCACGCCAGGAGGTGAATGTTACAAAATGAGTAGGTTCGATAGGTTATCGTTTGTCCAACAGGTGCCCCCGGCCACATGGTCCACGGATTGGATCCGATCATGGTGATATTTTCATGGGATTCGATTCGTAAACCTCGCCGAGGGTGATCAATCGAGCTTGTTTGAGTGGTCCACAGACTGGATCCGATGGGCGACGGGGGATTTCATCGGATCCAATGCGTGGATTATGTCAAGTATGATCAATCGAGCAGGGGTGGTTCACAGACTGGATCCGATGCGTGGATCATCTCAATATCGACAAGTAGGGCGCTCCCCCGGCCACATGGTCCATTGATTGGATCCGATGATGGGGCGACAAGGCGGAGTGCCCACGTGCCCACGTGACACCGTCAAGCCACGTACTCACGTGATAACACTAAGCCATAGGCGTACGCGATTGGCCAGCAGGTCGCTCTTGACGTCGCCACACAACGCCAAGCCCTAACCAGGCGATTTCAAAATTAAAAATAATTCCGGTTTATATTTTGTTCCGCCAGAAACTGCTTCAAAATTGACACCAAATCGTGGTTGACCTATCAAGGACGTAAACCGAGTGGTAAAACACTCGGCTTGCAGCCGAACCGATAGAATTGAGGGCCCTTACTAGTGTTCGATCATAGGTAAGGTAAGAGGGTTGTCCGGCCTAGCTTTCTAGGTACCTAGATGGGTAAATGTAATGCTCCAGCCAGTGATTGTTGATGATGTCGTCTTGTTCATACCGTTGGGAGGTTACCGATTCAAACTCTTCTGCAGTTACTTGTGTGGCTGAAGCTTTCACTGGCTGCGGCGCCCCAACTATAAGTTCGTCAGAGATGGACTATAGGAGAGGGGCTGTTTATTTTCTTAATATTTTCTCATTCGCGCGTATGTGAACCATCTGCCTTATAGAGTCCATATAACCGTTCGACGACTTTGGGCGCATACTAGGGGCTCTTGAAACATACACGATTATTTAATCCCCTTAGGCTCTACGGCTACTCGCAAAAACGGTGTGCGCTCTTGTTGGATAGAGACGAGAGGTTACCATAGGCGACGACGTTACAGATGGTTGCTCTGTGCAACGATCTAGCATTCGTGTGTCTATAAAAGGAGCCTTAGTACCTCGATGAGTAGATAGAAAACAGAGCGCTCCTTCATCTCAAGTTGCACAAGAAGTTTGACAGCTCTCTTTTACGAGAGTACTCCTCTTACGGTGCCGGCCTATATCTTAACAGAGACCCTTCTCAATGCGAGCAATATACCAATAACGTAGAAAGACTTATGAAAGACTTACTTAATCTTAGAGCGGATACCACGATGGCTTTTAGCTGTAGTGGGATGGCAAAATAATTTTTGAATTTTTAAAACATTTAAAGTTCACATTCAATTTCATCATTTCCACGTACTAGCCATTGCATGCATTCCGAGGCGCTATTAATAACTATTATTTCCTATATCTCGTCCTCAGGGCTTGTGACAATATGTGCCGTATTTATTTCATTGCCACGTCCCGCCACCACTCGAAGCAGCCTGATCCAGCAGTGTGGCGCCGAAGAAGAAATATGGGTTCCCGTCAAAATCGTACGAGAAGATGTCCGTGCCATCCACATTAACTTCGGTGGTATCGTCCTGATACCCCCCCACGGCCGGGCCACCGACATCAGCATTGATGTTCGTATTTGTGTTCATATTCACTCCAGGCCAAGCGAAGCCATAAGTGCCGCCGAGGTAGTTGTAGAAGTTGGCTGAGTCTAAGGGGCTGGGCATTGATTGCAGGTCAGAGAACTGTGGGTTGTGGAAATTGAAAGTGTATTGGGAGGATTGGTAAGATGAGATTGGACGAGAAAGCTGGGGTGGCACGGATGCTACTCGTGGCTGTAGGGACAGGGAAGTCGTGGGTATGAGTGGCGAGGTGCCGGCGGTAGATTCACCCCTACTGCTGGAGATGCCGAGGACGGAACAAGGCGCAGGCGGTTGAATCTTCGAGAGACATTGTTTCAGAAGCATCTCTCCGGTTTTTGCGATCGCCATCCTCGTACCTAAAGCCTCAAGGCGCGATACAGCCTGCTCCAGCGACGTCTTAATCCGGTCGAACATGACGTTCGACTCCGGCGGCTGGTCGATGACCAGTGCTGAGAGTAAAACCGCGGCGTCAATGGTATAGAAGGAAAACCCATAGATCCTGTGTTGATTCTCGCTCACCAAGTCGAACATGGCTTGTTGGGCCTCCAGGACTCGGAGGGCGGCCTCGATTGCCTCTTGTCGACTTGCTGGGTGGTCTCTAACATGCGGTCGGTGTAGATTCATTAAGAATGAATTTGCGGTGGTGATCATCTGCTGCCGTACCTTGGGGAACTGCGGGCTCCGCGTGTCCCATGATGTATCCGGGTTCTGAGGGCGGAACGCTGGGTGAAGGTCACCCTGCAATGCAAGAATGCTTTTGTGTAAGGCCGTAACTTTGTCGTAGTCTTGAGTGTGAGATTTGCCGGCTCCTGAGGAGAGCAATTCATGGATTTTGGTGGCTATGCCGCAAAGGAATATGATGAAGGTGGTCGTGGACGGCTCTTCACTTGGCGTCGTCGGAAGGAACACGGTTTTCAAAGGGTTGTCTGGCAAGTCTCGAGCCAAAGGCAGAGCCACAGAACAGTCGTCTTTGTTAATTTGGCGTGGTCTTCCAAGAGTGAAGGCCATAAACCCATCAAGCATGAAGACTCTGGCCCAAACTTTCCGCTTGTGCTCCGCGTACCACAAGCGTGCAAGGGCAGACTCCACACTTTCTTCAGGTTCTTGTTTCACCTCGGGCTCAAGATGAAGACCTAGGAGCTGCGCCTGTCGGATAGAATGGCTTAAAAAATGCCATGCCTCGCTTCCGCGGCTGCAGTTCTTCAGCCACGTCAGGCGCATTATATCATGTTCAACAGAGGTAATAGTCGGCTGTTGCCGTCCAAGCAGTCCTATTATCTCAAGCCCAGCTTTACTGTAGCTCTCGGACAACTTGTCGATTTCGGTGAAGCTGCTTACCTGGAGAGCTAGAGCTGCCTTGGTGTTGAGCGGGAGGAGTTGGAGAGCAACTGCGAGGAATTGGAAGAGCAAGGCTGGGAAATATTGTGACTCGCGAGAAAGTTGCTTCAGATTTCGATGCAGAATGACCACCTCGCTCACTCTTGTCCACGATCTGAGCAAATCTTCAAAATAATAGCGGTCCAGAGACATGAAATACCAATCAGCGTCGGAGAAGTAGAGATCAATTAATTCTGTGAGAACAGATCCTGGCGGCAATTGAGAAGCCAATATGCAGTAGCGTTCCAAATAGTAGGTGTGTAGCATCGAACGAGGGAGAGGCGCATTTGTCGTAGACAGACCTGGACGGAGTCGGAGGTATCTCTGAAGGGAGCTGAGTGCATGATCTGCATTCCCAACCGAGGAATATCCAAATTGTTCAGACAATGTCGATGGTTCTAGGGGTGTCTCAGGAAGGCGACTAGGTTTAAGCGGTCGTCCTCCAAGACTTGTCGTCGGAGATGTTGACTCTTGGGATGACGTAGGGACATTTGAAGATGACGATCTATGAAGGTGTATTAGGTCTATGCTCTCGGCACAAGGGTGAGCGTTCTGACTCCAAACTGGCGTAAGTACAGGCTTGAGGAAGGTTCCTGGCCGTGCATGCGTTACACGGCCTCATTCGATCACACTGAGAAGCTATTAGTATAGCATGAAGCGATGGATGAGGGAGACGTCAACCTTCTGTTTGCGACGGTGGCATTCAAGACATGCTGTTACCAGACGACGTCGCTTCGTATATCGGCGTGTAGACATTGTCGTCGGATTTGTCATCGGTGGAAAGGTCTGAACGTTAATGGCCGAGTCCACGAATAGAACAGCATGTTTGAACGCTCGGCTTTAGCACATTGTACTTCCTACAAGATGACCGCACAAGGCATGCAGTTGCGACAAGGCGGATAGGGAGTGTGAATAGAAATGAAATTTCATCAGCATGGCCATTGGTACGTCAATTTTCGAGGCCTTTCACGTGACATGATGCCTTCCACGTGAGGAGTCAAAATCCTTCCCCCTGGGGGCCTACTTTTTTCCTGCCTTGCCAGTTGACAGTCGCCGCGAGTTACTGTGCCATGATCAATCGAAAGAAACAAACCCGGGGTCATAATCGTGTCGGAATACTTCAGTGCGGCATTAATGCTACCACCCTCGTCTCTTGGGTTCTATGCTCCGTACCACGGCGTAAAAGTGTTTCTATCGTTACCGGAAACTAGGGTTACGCAAATCGCTAAGTCATCAGGCAAAGGTAGGTGCTAATATGCAATGTCACCTTATCCGAAATGGAACAAAGTCTCGCCCTTTCTCGACTTCTTGCCCTTCTTTCTTCCTACGGTTCCCTCACCGCTTTCGATCGCGCCATTGTCGCTTGGGGCGCCCACGCCTCCAACAGGAGGCGCGGTAGCGACAGCAGCCTGCGCCGGTGTCGGTGTCAGTCCGCCATTTCCCCAGGGATTCACTGGGGTGGTAGTCCCCGATCCTGACGGGGAGTTGCGGCTAGAGCCTAGCCAGCGGCCAGAACCCCGGGTGTTGAAGCCTGCCATTGTGGTGTTGGGTTTTGGCGCAGTCGGGAGAGCTGGGAACATCTCTTCGGTCTGTCTTGGAGGTGGACTACTGCGGGTTGCTTGACGAAGTGTTGATGCTGTCTTTGGCGTGGGTCGGGAAACGGGTGCGTTGCTGATTGTTGTCTTGGTGACTTGAGGTGCCGTAGTATTCCCCCAGGGAGCAGGTGCCGCTATGGCCGTCCCTTGTTTGCGAGAACTGGCATTTGTCGAGGACAGTGCCGGAAATGGGTCTTGGCTCATGCCGATTGCGAGAGCATTGCCCCATGAGCCTTGTCTCGATACAGCTGATCGGGATGACTGCGCCGTACTTCTCTTCAGAGTCAAGACTCGCCGGTCACCACTTGAGCCTGCTGTCCCACTCGATACACCTGGCAATGTTCCACTTGGTCCGGGGAGGCTGGGATAATCTTCATTGATGCTGCGCCAGTCATTCCACGCTTGGAGCAGGGATTGACGTTTAGGCTCGTCCTCATACAAATCTGCCAGTTCACGGACCAATTTGCCCATTTCAGCACTGGAACAGTCCAAAAGTGAGAAGAAAGCGTCAATGAGATCGGTTGCGGAGCTGGTTCCGCTACGATAAGCGGAAACATGGGTACGAAATTGTGACAATTTGGTCTTGTCGTTCTTCAAGAGCGTAACGGCGCGGTTAGTCACGGCTTGGTGTCTTAGGGCCCGCGCCTGTTCCTGAGGTGTCATGTTTACAGTTGACTGAGTTGGGGACTCGAGACTGATGTTTTCGACGGCCGGTAATTCTTGAGTTGATGGTGCGGTGGCGGGCTGCGGATGGGGCGCAGGGACGGATTGTGTAAGTTGTCCTCCAAAAGTCCTGGTCGATACCGACTGGGAACTCTGAATTGCGAGTTGTCTTTGATATGCCAGCTCCGCACGCCCAAGAGGCTGAGCACTTGACAGAGGCAACGGTTCAGCATTCGGATCCCGGCCTCTGCCACTGCCTCTGTTCTCACGGCCACCCCGTCGCTGAGGTTGATATGGAGCTCGAATATCAAAGCCAGAAAGATTGACAAGGCGTGCATCTCTGCGGGCGTCTTTCGAGAGCCCGTTTGGATGCTCAGACAATTGATGCGCTTTGAGGTCCATTTCTGATTCGAATACATTGGTCTTGTTTGCCTGACACTCAGCGTCCATGCAGACAAAGTGGGTTTCTGCAAAATGCTTTTCCAGTTCTTGATAGTTGAGGTAATACTGCGGATTTCTGCCTCCATTCCGTCTGTCGCAAATGTGGCATTTCTCGTGTTTCTCTCGGCAATGGTTGTAAAGCTCATCGTCTCCGTAGAATCTCTGTTTGCAGAAGCCGCACTCGGGATGTCCTTTGAAGCCAGACTGGTCTATTGCTCCCGGATTGTCGTCTCCGAATCGCTCATGTCGTCGAAGTTCCCCGAAAGTAAACAGCTCGTGCTCATGCGTGAAAACCTTCTTGTTTCTCGTACATAAATCGCACATTATTTTCCCATGCTTGGTTTTGACATGGCGGTGTAGATCGGGCCATCCGAGACATGCAACCTCACAGTCCTTGTCTGGGCAGTTATATCGAAGAAGCAGACGCGTATCTTCCCAAATAACATCTTTCTCATATTTGATACCCAGATTCTCATCAATCTTGACAAAGTCTTCGTCATCGAATTCGTCGAACCGTTTCTCCGCATTGTCGGTAAAGATCACAAACGGTGCTTCTGTCTGAGGATACGTCAGTTGACTGCTCAAATTGGCCATGAAAAGAGACTTACCCGACAGTGAGCACAGGCCCGTGTCTTGTACAATGCCCTCAACCTCAAGGAGCAGATGTGGCACGTTTGGTGATTGCAGGGTGAAATCGAAACGTGCTCAATGGGACTGGCACATATGAAACACAGCTCTTTATCCTCAACTGCCGACTGCGCTTCGTCTTCTTGTGGTTGAGAGCCTTTTGAGTCGCCTTCGGATTTTGAGGCAGCTCCGGTCAGGCGAGCACCGAAGCTGCCCCCGGGTGGCCGCCCTGAGCTACTCTCTGCTGTGGATTCTGAAGGAAGAGAAATTGTAGAAGGCGCGTTCTCCTGTCCCAGTCCATGTCCATGGCCCTGGCTTCTCCCCCTCCCGCCTCTTTGACCCCGAGAACCTCTGGGTCCAGTTCCTCGACCACGATTGTCGGCGGAGTTTTGTGATGTGCTGCTATTCCGTCGGTTTGACCGATTGCCTCGATTGGTAGATCCACCGCGGGGCGAAGATGGGGTCTCGGTGAGGGACTGTGAGCTTGACATCGTGCTCTTGGGGCTTGATGTGTTAGACGGAGGAAGTTGCTGAAAGGAGTCGCGGTGGTGTTTGTAGGGGATGCTGAGAATCGTGAGCGATGACCTCACTAATTACTGCAGCGAGGGACAGACTGCCTAGTAACACTTTGGCTTTTCTATCTTCGTTAGGGATTGTCAGGAACGAGGGGCCGGTGATAAGGCATAAATATGAAATAACTAGTATTGGGGGATGTCCTCTGATTTCATAAGCCGCCTATTCGTCAGACTTTTGCAAACTTATGATGACCCCAATTCGACTGGCGCCAGCGCAGGCAAAACGGGGATTAAAATTCGTTGCATGACTCTTGCCAGGCCCAACTAATTGCTGCCCGTTACGCTACCCGGACTCCATGCATAGCATCCAGAAAAGCAGAGATATATCAGGATTGTGTTAGTCAGCAAGGCTGACCCTCCTGACTCTGTTTGATCATTTGATGGTAGCAAACCCCGCTCCTCTGCTAGATCTATCTTGATAATATTCTATGTTCGGTGCCATGCCACCGACCATCTGAAGTGCAGCGCAGTCTTGTTGACACATTTATGCGAGCGACTCGAGCCCATTAAACATCTTTTTGCACCAATTTTCCTCCTTCGCAAATGAACGCCATTCTCGATAAGAGTGATCCATGCCGCTAAAATATCTTGATTGACGACTGCCAGAGAAGGAAACAAGATGAACATAGTTCAATCTCAGAATAGAGAGATTTCATTCATCAGGGTTGTACATTTGTTGCGCCATTAACTTGGTCATGGTAAACATGTGAACTTTGTCTTGCCGGAACACCTCACGCATCCGTGCATCACAAATGATGAACCGCTTATCGTTCGGGTCTTGAAGACCATTAGTTTTGATATACGCCCATATTCTCTTGGTGGTTTCGGGTCGTGATAGCTGTGGCGGCGGTTCAGTACGAGCATCAACAATTCAAGCATTCAAACTCACCTGCGTTTCACCGTCAAAAAGGTTGGACAGCGCTGGCGATAAATTGAGAGGTTTCTGCCTAGCGTGAGTCCAAGTTCGATACCAAGATAGTTAACGTACATGAAATCCGGTCTCTCGTTTGGGTTTCTGGGCCTTGCGCTCATCCTCGTCAATATCGGAATCATCCGAAGCGACCACCTTTTCCTTCTTTGGTTTCTTCTTCCTTTTGACAGGGGCTGCCTTTCTGGCCACGCCGCCACGGGTAGGCCGAGCAAGCTTGTCTTCCTCAGCTTGTAGACGAGCAGCAAATGCTGCGTCAGCATCGATACTAGCTTTGCGCTTCTTCTTCGGCGGAGGTGTGTCTATGACATCGGAGACAGTTTCACTTCGTGCCTCTCGTTTTGCAGGCGAGCTTGACGCGGATGCCGCGGGAGAATCGTGGACACCATTTGTCTTTGGGGTTGGTTCGGCCGGCTCGACGGATGGGACCACCGTAACATCACCGTTCTTTCGGGCGTTGATGATGTCGAACCTCTCACCAATCAGCTCCTTGATAGCGCTCTAATTCTTGATCAATTCTTTGCTCCTTCTCACATTCTGGGGTAGACCAACCTTTTGCGGAGTGATATCATATTCGATCTGATCTTGAATTCCTTGTAGAATGCTCTTCCTAGTGATAGTGGTGAGATCGGCGCCTTCGAGAATGGCATCTATGATGTTGACGTATTTTGTGCGGACATTTGGAGGCACTTGCTTCCGGTTAGTAAGATCAGGTGCGCCGCTTTGGGAATACTCACACGACATTTTGACAAGGCCAAAAAGATATGTTGACTATGCAAGGGTTGATAGGGGAGTTTTCCACAGTAGATTAACGAGGCCACGGGCGATAGTCAGGTCAAGGTCAGGTCATAAGCCATCCGATCAAAGCACCAAGATCATTGACAATCACCTGCTTTGACGAAGAAAACGGGGCAGGCGACTTGGTTGGTTCAGAGAATTGATGAGGCTCTATGCACCCTAGCCCATGAGTCGCATGAGCCCCCGAAGTGAGTCAGGAAGGTGACTTAGAGCCAATGCAAGTGAGGTGGTTGTGAGGAATAGGAAGCCTCCAGTGATATGCGCTCGCATCGCGGTTCAAGAGCAAGTCAGTCCATTCATTGCCTGCCAGTGGCCGACGGACTAGTGGGAAATGGGGCGGGCTGGGGAGGTCGATGGAGTATGGAAAGTTTTCCGAACTTGGTCGCAAGTTGGGGAATATTGTGCCGAGTCATGTGCCTCGGTCCTCATGACTCAGCCAAGCCCTTTTGTCACGTGATCTCGAAATCTCGGCCTTTCCACAAACTCGAATCGCGAATCTGCCGGCAAAAACGTCTTGATATATTCACTACTTCCAGATCGACGACAACGCGGGCTGCGAGCACACAGAGACAGACTCCCAGGATACTCGCCCTCTATCGATACCGCAGCCATGGCACCCGGATTCGATCAATTGTCGGACCACGACTTCGAGGATGAAATAGACAATATCGACTTTAGCGACCTCAAAGAACGGTATGATGTGCGAATGGAGGAGGGCCTTGACACCTTTGTGGTACGTCTGCCGTGAATATGAAGGACCGGGGAGATACTAAAGGTGCCAGGTCATTGATGGCCTTCCGATCGTCAACAATGAGCAGAAATCAAAACTCATCAAATTCTTGCTCAGGAGGCTGAATTCCGCAGGCAGGATAAAAGATGGGGAGGAATCGGTCTTCATGCCCATGAATGACCAGGGCATGTCCGAAGGGTAAGTCAGGTGCCTGCAACTCGGAATCATACCGTTCTGACTCTCCGCAGCTTCGCATTTGTTGAATATCAAACTCCCGAACAAGCAGTGGCGGCAACAAAGCAACTCCATGGAACCGCCCTCGATAAGAAGCACACACTTGCCGTCAACAAACTCACAGACATTGAGAAATATGGTAGAGAAGGGAGGATAGACGAACAATACGTCCCACCTGAGGTTGAACCGTTTACGGATAGAGAGCATCTAAGGTCCTGGCTCTTCGACCCAGCCGCCCGAGATCAATTCGTCATGTTCCGCGGTGACAATGTCGGCGTGTTCTGGAACAATAAGAAAGAACCTCCTGAACCTATCGTGGATCGCAAACACTGGACACAATTATTCGTAGCGTGGTCACCGCAAGGAACGTATCTGGCATCAACCCATCAGCAAGGTGTGCAGCTGTGGGGAGGACGATCATTCAAGCGAATCAAGCAATTCCCTCATCCTTTCGTTAGTCTGATCGAATTCTCTCCCGCAGAAAACTATCTGTTAACATGGTCGAATACGCCCATCACCGTGGAAGAAGGAAAGGGGCCTCTCACCATTGATGAAGAAGGCAAGCACATCATCATCTGGGACATCACCACCGGCAAAGTTCTGCGGTCATTCGTTGCCTATGACCTCACACCTCCGCCAGGCGCTGATGCCAGCGCAATTCCACCCAAGGCCAAGGTTCAATGGCCTGCCTTCAAGTGGTCCGCCGACGAGAAGTACGTGGCACGGATGAAACCGCATGAAAGCATATCAATCTATGAGCTTCCTAGAATGAACCTCCTCGACAAGACATCGGTCAAAATTGAAGGGATTATGGACTTCGAATGGGCTCCAGCCATGATACAACGAGAAGGTGTCAAGACATACGAATCACTGCTCTGCTTTTGGACCCCAGAGATTGGTTCAAACCCTGCTAAAGTGGCTCTGATGTCGGTCCCGAGCAAGGAAATTGTGCGAACACGCAATCTCTTCAATGTCACGGATGCCAAACTTCATTGGCAATCTGAAGCGAAATTCATCTGCGTCAAAGTCGACCGTCATTCGAAATCCAAGAAATCCCTTGCCACCAATCTCGAAATCTTCCGCATTAAAGAAAAAGGTGTCCCCGTCGAAGTTGTTGACAGCCTTAAAGATACCGTCATCAACTTCGCCTGGGAACCGAAGGGTGACCGCTTTGTTCTCATCACCGCCGGCGAAGCAGTCGCCGGTTCCAATGTCCTGCCCAAAACAGCTGTGTCATTCTTCGCCCCTGAAAAGATCAAAGGCGCAGGCACCGGCGCGTTCAAGCACGTCCGCACGTTCGACAAGAAGAACAGCAATGGGATCTACTGGTCACCTAAGGGCCGCTTCGTGGTGGTCGCGACTGTCAGTGTCCAGCAACATTCGGACATTGATTTCTACGACCTCGACTACGAAGGTGACAAGCCTGACAATGAAGCCAATCTGTCCGCAAACCTCATGCTTATGAATTCTGAGGACCACTACGGCATGACAGACGTAGAGTGGGATCCCACGGGAAGATACGTCGTTACCAGCGCAAGCGTGTGGACCCATCAAGTAAGACATTTCCTCGTCAATCTGTTCTTAAGTGTCCAGTCTCCTCACTAACTTCATTTCAGATGGAAAACGGCTACCGCCTATGGACATTCTATGGCCAACTCCTTAGTGAGGCCCCTACGGAGAAATTCAAGCAACTCCTCTGGCGGCCTCGGCCTCCTACCATGTTGTCTAAGGAAGAACAGCGTATGGTGAGGCGTAATCTACGCGAGTACAGCAAGGAGTTCGATGAGCTAGACAAGGAGATGGAAGCGGGTGCGAATCAGGCCGTCATCGACGCCCGACGTCGGCTGTACATGGAATGGTACAGCTGGGTTGCGCAGGAGAAGGAGCTGCTCAAGCAGGAGCGCGAGGAGCTGGGTCTGCCGGATCCAGAGAGCGAGTTGCAGCTCATGCGCACGCGGAGTCTGGAAGTGGACGGCGAAAGGGTTGTCGAAGAAGTCGTGGAGGAAGTTATCGAAGAGACGGAGGAGATTGTGCAGTAAGGGTCCTGTCTTGCAGCGGAGAAAGCGTGGGGCTCCTCCTGCAATTATTTTTTGGGGTGGGGGGGGACTTGGATGGCCCAGCAAGGGGAAGATGAGAATCAAAAGTGCATATATGTGTGAGACTGTGGTACCATGACTTTATATGAGCATGGATATGGTTCCAGGGTATCGATTATCGAATAGATCGCATAGGCAAGCAGGCGGACGAATTGCACGACAGTCAAATATTGAAAACCATGGAATGAGTACTCCATCGTCAACATTGTCAACACTCTCCTCCAACCGGAGTGCAAGAATGCTCTATAAGAACTCCAAACACCCACGCAATGCAAAACCAGACCCAACTTTGTCATTCCTAAAGAGTCATAAGGATACCCCCGAGAATATGTCCAATCCATTCGTCACACTCCGACCATTGCCTCTTGCCAATGCAATCTGAATCACAGTTCGCTGTTCTCTCTCATTCCTTCCTCCACATCCCTCAGCTGATCCAGGTTAATCCTGCATTCCTCCATTTTCTTAGACCAGTAGAATAAATCCTGGCTTGCCGCTGCATGTTTTTTGCTGTTCATCGGGGCCTCAATAGCATCATACTTCTCCCAGGCCTGGTTGTGTTTCCGCTTGGCCTCCTCGAACTGCTCGGTGAGAAGCTTCTTGACATTCGCAAGTGCAAGCCACGGGGAAATTTTGGGACGCATAGTGGGCTCGTCCAGCATAGCATCTTTCATGAGCTGAGTGATTTGAGCAGTAATATCGGTCTTCTCGCGGGTATGAGTTGCGTGCGTGACATTTTTGGGTTTCTTTGCCGTTAGACGCTGGCAGACGGCACAATTATCAACGTGCTCAGGGTCATGGCAATGCAGAACATTTTGAGTCTCGTGACACACCTGGACCTTAGTCGGCTTTGGAGGTTGGTTGACGGTGATGTCAGGGAGTATGTAGGCTGAAGTCATGTTCTCATCTAGAGACAAGCGACGGCGGCGTCGTGAAGTGTTGGAAGCAGCCGTGGTGTCTTCGATGATGCTGTTCTCAATATCATTGACCGTTGGTCGTTTGTACGATTGCGACTTGTTTTGATTAGCGGAGCCAGACTTGGTCGTGGTTCGTTTTTCAGAAGGAAAGGCTGCTCGATTGGTAGGAATTGGTGACAAAACTCGGGCATCATCCGAGTTCGTTGTCTTTGCTCCGTGTCTCGTTTCAGCTGGCGGGTCATTTGTAGAAATTCGTCCAGCCGGAGACCTCTTTGGGGATTCCATTGATCTGCTGAGGTCAAAGAGCTCTTCCTCCACATGTGTCGACCGTCTATTCTTTTTCGCCGGAGTAGAAGGTTTCTTGGAGACAGCTCGAAGCAACTTAAGCTCCAGTAAAGCCTCATCACGTTCGCGGGTCAGAGAGTTGATGGTTTGCATGGCTTCGTTGAGATCACGTTGAAGGGTGCGTAAGGATACGACAATTTGTTTCTCATCGGCAGGAATTGTGTAGTGAATTTGGACATTGGGCAAAGAGCCATGGTCTGCAACGATCTGAGACGTGTTTGGAAGGTTGGCGGGCAGCATGAAGGATTGACTGGAGTTCTGGGGCTTTGAGGAGACAGCTCTGCTAAAGCGTGTCGATTTCTTCTGTGCACGTTCGAGAGGAGGCGAAGTTGAACCAGGAGTATACATGACCTATGTTCCGTAGTGAGTAGAGCCCTCCACCTGGTGTGCGGGAAAGTTGTACTTGATAATCGCCAACAAATGCTTCGGCGGAGTGAATGCTGCTGTAGTTGGTAGCAATTGTACCATGGTCGAATCTTGAGGGAGCCATAGTAGTTACGCCAATTGGGCAATTGTATGATATCGAGCAATCGATGGGACGTTGTTGCAGATGGACTTGAGATGATCGAGATGCTTTGTTTACTTGCTGATACCAAAAGAGGACTAGATCATGCGCCACAGGGCTTTAGCCACTGAGTCCATCCCACCAAGGTCCCCGGCGGGTTGGCCAGCTCATCTTTTATCATGAACTTGGCTGTGCCCGCTGTCTGCGCTTCTACGCCAGCGCTTTTGTCGAGGGAATTTCTCTTGTGCTCATTTGTTGCAACTCATCAATTTCCATTCCAAGCGCCCAGTCTTGCTGCTGGCGCCAGAACCTTTGATTCCTCGAAGTGCGTTTCATGTCACTGTAATGGTTCAGGTCCCGAATCATCGATGAGGCTACGATAGTACTAGAACATAAAGTAACATGGTAGTGCCATGAAAGACTAAGAGACCGACAGAACACAAATTTTCCACCATTGATACAGACGATGTTCCGAACGGAGATTCGGTGGTCGCTGTTCACGTCAGATCACCGGTGGAGATGATCCAGGGAATACTCCGGAAGATCCCAGCCACACTGAATCCTCTGTCTGCAACACGCTAACTCGGCCCTCGAAGACGAAGGGAGTGCATTCGAGGTGAAAAAAGGATATGCGGTCACCTTATTACCTCGGGTGTGCTCCGTAGTCTTAATATATTTCTTCGCCGCTGGATCTCAATAACTTTCTACGCGGCTTCTGCTAGAGACCGAACACGAACGACGATGTGCTGGCCCACTGGTGGTGTTTCAGCGCTTGGCCCAGCCTTTGCCCTCAACTGCTGGGGCTGACGTGCGCCTCGCAAGATCCACCTCCAACTGCTCCAGGCCGCCCATTGCCACAGCACTCCCATTGGTACATCGTAAAAGCCGTACAGTCCCATCTGACTATAACGCTCATGTTACTACCATTCTATTTCACCTCCACGACGTTCTAATACCTCATTGATTCATCCGTGTCGCATCCCTCTCGATATACCCGTGAACATTCGCCTTGACAGGTCGTACGAATGCACCATCCTCCAGAGTTAACCTGCTCTTCCTAACAAACAAATCTTTTCAACATCGTTTTCCAATGTCCCGGTAGCAAAAGTCAATCGCATTCACCCGAGACCATCCCAAAATTTTGAAAATATCGTGAAACGCCATGGCGGCCACTCCGGCCTTCGTTAATCGTGGAAAACGAACCTTACCCGTACAACGGTTGCGACCACGGCAGCAGTCAGGAAGCGAAGGAAGCGGCGGCGGTGGGGGAGGCGGTTTCAGTGCTGTGACAATTGGGGTGAGTCTGATTGGGTCTATCTAAGAGCTTGATTCTCATTGAAGCCAGATCGTTGCCGGAATAGTCTTCTTCCTCACCGCTTGTGTCGTATTTTATATGTGCCTGCGACGATGGAAAGTCCAGGGCAAGAGTCCACGATATATCCCAACGAAGTTCTTGAAACGAAAATGGGAGAGCTGGAGACCTACTGGGAAATACACGGCCGTTCGAAATCGAGATCTATCATCGACAAACACCGCCTACAACGGAAATGAAATAGGAGGGTCTGGAACTGGAGCAGGGGTCGACCGAAGTACCAGTGTCCGAAGCGTTATAACCTTACCAGCATATTCGCGTACACCGAAGGATACAGAACAAGTAATCGGTCGGGAAGGTGAGAGAGAAGGCATGGATACCGTGGTCGAGTTTCCGGAAACCGCGGAAGAAGAGGAATCCCGCCGTGAAGAGCAGATGGAATCCCTCTACCAAATTCGGGTGGCTCGGCGTCGTGAAATAGCAGAGCGAGAAGAGCGACGACGGGAAAGAAGAGAGGCTCGGGAGAGAGGAGATACTGCCCGTTTGGAGCAGCTGAGGCGAGAGTCCCGGCAGCGGGCCAGCGAAAGTGCCACTTCTCTCAACGGAGGCGTCAGTGTTTCTGCGGCCACGCTCATTGCTGAACATCAATCACGTGGACGAGAAAGAAGGGTATCAAGTGTTGCTTACGGTTCGCTGGGCGAAGTACGACACGATGGCACCAGGATCCGGGCCAATAGTAATGAGTCTGAGCGAGGCGGACTTTTGAGCGGAGCAGCGCCCATGGGCGAAGCTGAAGGTCGGCCTCGACTTCTTTCAGACGCTACGTCGATTTCAAATCTCTCGCGACCTCATACACGAGATCACTCGATCAGCGGAATAAGTGTCTCGACCAATGGATCAGACATGGAACTCCAGGAAACTCCCGGTTCTACTCTTCCAGGAGACCGAAACCGGCCTCGAAGCTCTCAAAGTGACGGTCCCCAAAGTGGCACTTCCAACTCCTCTCCCACCGCTAACAGGTTCACCCCCGACGACAGCACCGGCTCCGAAGATATTGGTGAATCTCGAATTCCGCACACCGAAGTTGACGACGAGAGTCGTCCCCCAGACTACGAGTTCCTAGAATGGGGAGATGCTCCTGCGTATGAGGATGCTGTGGCCCGGCGTGCAGCGAGTAACGCCAGTGCCCGGTCTGCCGGCGTTCCAAGCAGAGTCCCCAGTAATGCACCACGGTTGCCGCAGCTCAATTTGCCGAGCATCAGTGTCTCTGATGCCACGGAACCCAACACCCCAGCGACGCCGTCGGCAAATGCTCGCCACAATTCAGGAGGTGAGGAGCCCCCGACTTCTTGAGAAAAGGGAAACGGATGGACATTCCATTATCAGACCATAATGTTTCCGCATGATCTACTAGGAGGGAAGAGCTGCAGGCAGTGTGAAATTTGGATATTGCTGAAAATACGACGGTGCATCCACGAATGAATAATGTATGCCTTTGGAAAATGGATACAGAAATCTGACTTGGCCTGATATGTACGATGGAAGCATCTGGGACAGCATGGCGTTGGGGCTCGACTTTGTTTTGGAACATGGACATCTGAGAAGATTTGTCACGTATTGGTAAATCTGTGTCCAGCGCTTGGACTCGGCTGAGGATGGCTTATATGAAATGCTCGGTCTCACAAAATAGAAAATCTTCGCTTGCTTGTCCCAGGTGTTCCCCTCGCAGCGTACGTCGAGCGCCGTTGATATTCATCATGGCCTTCAACGAATCCAGATCCAAAAGCATTTACATTACAAACAAGTTCACAGCATAGGATGATATTTTTAATTGAAGCACTAGCGTGCGTGCATTTGTCCGGCCATGATATATATCTCCGCATGACTTCATCTGCCTTGAAAGCATTGACATTCTCATCGAGGTCGAATCAAGTAAAGTGTGCGTGCATGCTCTTTAAGGCCATCAAGAATAGCTATCGCATTGTGATGGAACCAAACTTCGTGAGGTTTTCTTGTTTCGGTGTCAATCATCAGATCTTGGAACTTTTTCTACACCTCCATCCTTCACCATCCTCTCGAATATCCACTCTTTATCGGACAATGCCTTCGAAACGAGTCTTGAACCATTTGATCGTATCGTCTTTGCTGACCTGGTGGCTCCGGCCAATCTTGGTCTTGCAACGTCTCCGTCTGGCAACCCTTGCACCCGGTCGTGACATACAGCAGTAGAAATCCATTCCGTAAATACCAATAGCCGGATCGTACTTGATACCTAAATCGATGTGTTCGGAGATACCAAAACCGAAATTGCCAGTTTCGCTGAAGTTCTTGCGGCGAAGTTCGTATTCCTTGACCTTGAGGCCACGCTCGAGGATTTCTTCGGCCTTGGGTCCTCGCACAGTAACGTGCACAGCAATTTTCTCGTTACGGCGGATACCAAAAGATCGGACAGTGTAACGGGCTTTGCCTGTTCAAGTTTGTCAGCCACAACACGCCTCAATCTATCTCATATATTAGAGGACGCACTGTAAACGGGAGTTTGACCGGACAATTGTTCCAGCACCTTTGCGGCACGAGTGAGACGATCGCCAGACTCGCCAACGGAGATGTTCAGGACGAGCTTGTCGATGCGCAGCTCGCGCATGGGGTTTGAGCTCTTGTCGTTGCCTTCCGCCATCTTGAAATCTGAGATTCAGATGGTGGGTTTAACGATTGCGACAGAGTTTTGGTTGTTGAAAAATGGTTGCCGGTCGAGAGTCAAGGCAGGCTTTGTGGAATTGGAGTTGAAATTCGGCAAAGTGTGTAAAGAGCAGCATTGGCGCCAAGAATTACGATGCGCTAAACTTCATTTGGCATATTGTGGTGCTGCTTCTGCAGCCTCTTTTCGAAGTCTCGCGACCTGCGATTTGTACTCACAGCATCAATAATACCAAGAATTCCTCTTCCCAAAGAAGAATATCCCAGTTCGGGCCTGCATCACCTCCATTTGAGGAAGTGCTGCAGCCATCGTCTGGCGGGGCCTAGTCGAGCTGCGGCTCTGAACTGCAGGCAAACAATTTTTTTAATTTTGAATCCAAAATTCGCGGTCGATTTGTGCAGAACAATCCAAGTCGTTTCCGTGCGCAAAGAGAGGGAAGATGGCGAACAAGCAAGGGAAAATGGTATTTATCAGTGAAATCTCTCTGTCTGGTCGTTCGAAAGCTAATGGGTCTCTAGCAAAATTTGGTATACTACTCCAACGCACCCGCCCAGAAGCAACCACTAATTGACGAACAGATCAACTATCGCATGCGTGTGACCATGAATGATGGCCGGCAGATGACGGGTCAAATGCTTGCGTTCGACAAAGTCAGTTCCTATCTTCGTCCCCTCTTCTCTCCCCATCCTACTCTCATGGTCGAGGCCGCTAACCTCTCACCGCATTCTAGCACATGAATCTTGTCCTCGCCGACACTGAAGAATTCCGCAAAGTCAAACGCAAGCAGGCCAAACCCTCCGCACCTGCCGCGCCCGGATCAGCAGCAGCAACAACCGTCGAGTCCGAAGAAAAACGTACCTTGGGCCTGGTGATTCTCAGAGGAACAAACATTGTGAGCTGCAGTGTTGAGGGACCTCCTCCGTCGGACCCCTCTTCTCGTCTCGGCCAGTCTGCGCCCGGTGGTGCTCCTGCTGCTCTGCAAGCTGGAAGCGGAGTTTCTAGACCGGCAGGTCGAGGACTCCCTGTCGGCCTGGGTGGACCAGCAGCTGGCGTCGGAGTCGGCGGTCCACCACCAACAGGAGGGTTTGGCTTCCCCCCTGGTGGATTTCCTGGAGGAGCGCCGCCCCCGGGTTTTGGAGGAAGGGGAGGCCCTGGAGTTCCGCCCCCGAGCGGCGGTCCACCACCAGGCTTTGGCGGACCTCCACCGGGTTTCGGTGGTCCTCCAGGTGGTCCTCCCGCCGGATTTCAGCCACCTCCCGGGTTCCAAGGTGGTCCACCTGGACAAGGGAGAGGATTTCCGCCGCCAGGATTTGGAGGAAGGTAGAGATGGCACTATGACTAGAATATTAATTGCGGATGATCAAAGAAAAGGGAACGACCACAAAGTCCAAATTGACGGGCTCTATCCCGGATATCTGTCACCAAAGTGGCTGGATATCATATGTCGACTTGAAGATCGGCCACGCACATACATCTCATGGGAACCACAAGAAGAAGATGCTCCAAAACCCATTCGGGCCTAGCAAATTAACCGACTGCCATGAATTGAGGTTTGGGCCTAGCCCCAGAATGATTCAGAGCATCTCGAAAGCTCCGCAAGGGAGGAGGAAAAGTACCGCTATTAGACGTCAAGAGTGCTCAGAGCAAAATCCTCGCGGTAGTGACAGCAGTTGATACTTGATGCATTGAGTGTGGAAAAGAAAAAAGAAAAATTTCGAATGAAGGGTAGCAAAAAGGTACTCCTAGCTGCACTGGAAACGAGAAACAAAGAAAACTTAGTACCTCGAAGAAACCGCTGCTCATGTCTCCGACTGTCTTAAAATCCCAGTCGTCATGTGTCCAATGCCCTTTCAAATTCCCGCAATATCACGGATATATCTATCTCAAGGTCTTTCGTATACCAGAGATTGGTGCCAGAATCATTTGACAAGGTCGATTTCCAGTCTCGGATATGTCGCAAGGAAGGTCGCAATCTTCCACCGTAGATGAACAATTCTGGCCTTGGCAAGTTTGTACCAAATGTTTTCTTTACAGGTGAGAACTCCCAGATTGCTTCGCACTGCTCAAACGTGAAGGAAAGTATCGTCACAGATCAGCATTGTGTCAAGCCCGCCGCGAAAATGCCTCCACCAAGCAAGCGGCGACGAACAGAACCTAGAGTGATCGAGGAAATCACATTCGACCCAGCGGCCCGTCATGAATATCTCACGGGCTTTCACAAGCGCAAACTACAACGAGCAAAGCATGCGCAAGAGGTTGCTGAGAGGAAGGCGAGGACTGAAAGAATTGAAGAGCGAAAGAAGGTAGGCACAGAGTTGTTCAGTCGGTTCGAGGGTTTGAGCTGACCATGTTTGTAGTTGAGAGAAGAACGAAAGGCCGAGCTCGAACGACACGTGGAAGAGGTCAATGCAATGCTGAGACCGTTCTCGGGCGTGAACGATTCCGAAGAAGAAGGGGAGAATAGGACAGAGTCAGAGGAAGAGTGGAGCGGCATCAGAGAGCGAGAATCAGAGCCAAGCCCAGTCGATCACGAAGCAGAATATATCGACGAAGACAAATACACAACCGTAACGGTCGAGACAATGGACATAACTAGGGAGGGAATATTCAAGGCAGATCAACACAAGGATGGTCAGAATCAGCATCAGACTGAAGAGACCGAGAGTCATCCGGAAGATCCTCCATCTGAGAAGAAAAAACACAAGTGGACTAAGGAGAAACCAAAGAGTGGCACTGAAAGGCGCAGAAAGAAGCGGAGAAATTTCAGGTACGAGAGCAGGGCAGAGAGGAAAATCACACGTACAAAAGAGAGATCCAAAAATCGGAAACAAGCTCGAGAACGTCGGGCAGCAGGATAAATACCTCCGTCGTTCATCAAGACTGTCAGCGCTCGCCCTTTATCGAATGCCGATGGTATCGTAGATATGTCGTAGTCTATGCATCGCCTCGCCTGCCACTCGCGAGATCGACTCACGCTTGCTTGCACACCTCCAGACCTCTGCCCCTCATTCAATTAGATATTGCCCATGCTCTGTTCCAATTCTTGCAGTTCCTTTTGAAGATCCGCGTGTTTCTTGGCCATTTCCTCGTACTTGTTCTCCCACTCATCTCGTGCTTGCTCCAAGGCTTGGACCTTGCGTTCGAAATGGCCAGCCTTGACGTCTGTCTGTCGAAGTCTGGGAGAGACGGTTAGCTGCGGTCACTGCGCATAAGAAGTGTCTTTTACTTTTCATTGGTTTCTCTCAGCGTCTTGTCCGCGGCCTCAGCCTCCTCCTCGAGTAGCTGGAGTCTTCGAGTGAGAGCTTCATTCTGTTGACCATGTTGTGAGGCTTCTCCGGCAGCAGCCTTGGCTTCCTTAATGCCCGTTTCAAGCTTCTCGACTTCGGCCTCGAGGAGTTGGTTGCGATGTGTCAGGGACGTGATCTCCTGCTCTTTCTGGAGATTCTCTTGTTCCAAGGCCTTGACTTTGGCTTTCAGCTCTTCTGCCTTTGCCGCGTTCTCATCCGCTTCAATGCGGAGAGAGTTCATTTTCTGTTTGAAATTAGCGAATGCCGACGCCATGATGAGTCGAATCGCGATTGTGGAATCGATGGTGAAGGATGACCGGGACAATGTGGGATCTGAGGGAGAAGGGTAGGACACGGTCTCGGTCATGGGAGGTGAGGTAGAATTGTGATACTAGAGGTAGTGTCGAATGCGTGGTGCCTGGCAATGTGCACGCTCAAGGGAACACTACAATGAAAGGCAAGTGCAGCTGATGGTGAAGTGAATATGCGTACCTCCTTGATACGATCCATGGTGAATTCCCCTGAGATTCAAGTTGCAAGTGAACTGGATGTAGATAAAATGATCAAGATACAGCAACTGAAGCAGGAATGGCAGATGGTATTGGCGTAATATGGAAAGAATGTCTACGAGGACGAACCCAACTAGCGGTCACTTGAGTGCGTGCTCTGGAGTCAGCGGCGGGATGTAGTGGAGGGAGGCAGCTCAGCGGACTGGGATATCTCAGGCCAATGGCATTTTTGCTTTTCAGGGTGAGGTTCCAGGCTTCATTTTAGGCCCAGTTTCAAAGCCAGACCAACCTTTGCCACACTGTCTTCCCAGCCTGACGTACCGCAAGCTTAACCTAGGCGCTCTTTGCTCCACATATCCCAGGGGCGTGAGGGGTATCATGGCGGACTATATATATCGCACTTTGGAGCTCTCCCTGACCAAGTTAATAAATACGACAATGAACTGGGGCTGATACGAGTCATGATGAGAGCTCTCTGTATATGTTCCAACGAGGGCGGCGATGAGTCGTATAGTTGGCGCTGTTATCACAGTAATCCCTTGTGCCTTGTATCACGCGTAACCCCTCATTATTATTGGCACCAGCCCCAAGCCGGGCGCGTCGCGAGGGACAACCAGCATCAACATTGAACTTCTCCCAGCTCGTTCCTGCGAACCCCCATCACTCTCTAAACTGTTGCAAGTGGGAATTGCCTCAACACGCATTAATTCAAAGCCGTCGACGCCATAGTTAAAGCAATGTTAGCTGCTCGAGATCAGGAAAATCTCATCCACGCCCAACACACCACGGCTGCTGCGAAGCCACTCAGCCAAAACCTCCGCACCCTACACTCAAAAACACCGGGAAACTTCAAGACCCCCTTTCGACCAGCTAGGCACGACGAGAACCGGCCGCTCGATTTCAAGGGCCAGAAGACTGTCGGCAAGGATGGACCCAGCAAACTGGGTAAGAATACATTTGTAACGCCGCAAGGTAAGGAATCAGGAACCATTGATACCTGAATCTTAGCTGACAATCTATCAGCATCACGCAACAGGGCACCTCTCGGAGCAAAGACGACGAATGCGAAGGCTTATGCGCTTCAAACCCCAGCTCCAGCACCTCTTACCACAAAACCGGGACGGACTGGCCAGAAACCTTCCACAGCTCATCGCTCAGGTCGATCCAAGATCACAATAGCTACTTCTGAACCAGTTGACACGGATGTCTTAAAGAAACGCGAAGAAGAGGATGAACCCGATTTCGGATACGCACCCCCTCCGCCCGTTGAGCTGCCAGATCCTCCCTTTGAATTCTCCCACAACTCTCTACTACCTCCATTGACAGAAGAAGAGCTTACTCGAGGATATGGCGAGTTATACTCGAATTCTCCGCAAGACGAAAATGGTATGTCCCTGCGTCTGAAGGAGGAAGAAGAGGAATATCTTCAGTATCAGAAAGAGCAGGATCAGAAGATTCTGGACAGCTTAAATAACCTTCCTCTACCCACGACCGAAGAGCTTAACCAACAAGTTGACGCTATGATCGCCGCAGGACCAATGAAGAATAGACCACACGTATCGCTAGTTGATACCATGAAAGCCAGGTCTGCTGCTGTCGCGCTTGCTGAACCCCAATCACGGCCACCATCCGCTGCTACCCGGCCAACTCGAGCCTTTGAGCAAAAGAAGAAAGGAATTCTTCCAACCATGAGCTCAAAGCCTTCGACAGGGCCGCCGGCACCATCAACCCGTCCCCTTCCTGCTGCCGTGTCCAAGAACACCATCGGATTCCCGAAAGCAAAAAAGCCCCCTTCTATCATCCCCAAAGTCGGCCATGATGAGAGAACCGGAGGCACTTCTGCTACGAAACCAGCCAAGATTGATCAGGCTTCAATACATCCCAAGGATTTCCGGGACTTGTATGGGTCACCACCAGTCGAAAGCGACATGTGGTTCAGACTCAAACAACATGAACTACTGGAAGAGGATATCTCGAAGGGTGATGAAAACGATGTCGCTGATGAGCTGTTCGAGGCAGACTTTTTCCCTTTCGAAAACTCGAAATTGGACGATGACGACTTCCAATTGCCTATGCCGGAGTGAGCGGCGAACTTGCGAGACTTTTAAATTAGATCTATTGAGGAATTTGTCGCCGACTTGGTGGCTTGTTTGTTATCATTTCCTTATGATAGTTGACGACTCATGATACCGATACCCACTCTGGATAAGACAATGGTGTTTGGTAGGACATCTATTCAGATGACACTGTATGGGAGTTTTTCGTAACTCTTCAGATCCAAGCGAACCTTGATATAGGGCTTCTAGGGTCAACGGCTGACCTGCATCTCGAGCTTTACAGGCCAGAATGCATTTTCAGAAACGGAAGAACATAGTCTATACAGGTTGTAGAATGAAACATTACTTTTCGGATTTTGATGCTTCGGGCATCGCTCTCTGTTCCTTTTTGGTCTTGTCTCCGAGAGAGGATTCCAGCAGTCACGATTTGATTTTGTCCCTGTTGCATTTTCCATGTCATTTCACGAACCGCCAATACTATGATCAAGGCTTTTTTGTTTTTGTTTTCCTTTTCTTTTCTTTTTTCCCCCCCACAGGTCCTTCATGGCATCTGATCCACAGCTCCATTTACAATCCCGTTTGAAGCGCTCTTGATAAATTCGCTCGGCGGCTCCGTGACCTTGAAATTCCACCGGAACTGGTCCTTCACCTGACCTTGCTGGATGCCCTTCAACGTCGTCAACAGTTGCGCACACACCGGGCCAGGATCCAGCTTCTGGTTCACAGGGTATTCGAACTTATCATTGCGGGACTTCATGGTAATGCTCTTGATAGGCACAAGCGACGCCGCGGTCCCCGCGGCCATGACTTCCTTGAATTCGGATAGTTCCCTGTAATCAATGCGGCGTCGCTCGACGCCGTACTCGAAAATGTCCTTTGCGATCTGGCACGCCGACTCCGAGGTCACGGATTTGATCACGTTCTTGCTGTCCGGGACGACAATTGTAGTTTTGTCCCCGTCGACGCGGACACCGAGGAAGCCTGAGGTAGAAAACTCGTCGATCTCACTGCGTGTCTTACTGTCGAGGTGCAGCGTGATGCCGTAGCCAGCGTTGCGCGCCTTCTCGCTGTGTCGGAGTACCGGGGCATAGTTGCCGCCCACTTTCGCACTGCCTGTCCCTTCGGGCGCGGCGCGGTCGAAGTCCTCTAGAATCAGGGCGTCGACAGCATGGACGCCATGGTAGACACCCGTGGGCATCACAAACACCACGAATGTGTATTCGTCCGGAGGGCTGAGGCCGAGTTGGGCACTGGATCCGAATAGCAGTGGCCGGATATACATGGCTGCGCCGGTCTCGTGGGGCGGGACGAACTCAGCATTCATCGCGACAGCTAAGTTGACACACTCAATGAAATGCTCTTCGGGAACCGGAGGGATGCTGACGAACTCGGCAGAACGCTGCATGCGCTTTGCGTTCTGGTCCGGGCGGAAGATGGTGATGTTGCCATCACGCTGGCGGAAGGCTTTCATGCCCTCGTAGCATTGCACGCCGTAGTTCAACCCAGGGGCCATGCCATGGATGGACAGATGAGGGGAGGTGACGAAGCGTGGCTTACTCCATGACGGGTTGGAAGAAGAATGGCGGAATGTCGATTCAATGTGTCCGTTGACTTCGCGGACTTTGAAGCCGACGTTGCTCCAGTCTGGAGGAGAGTTCAGAGAGAGCAGGATGTCATGAGAGTATGTTTCGACTTACCGATGGTGCTGACTGGTGGAGGAGGGAAGGGCGCCATGCTTTTTCACGGTCAATTTCGAGTGGTCTGGATGCGGGTATTCAACTGGAAACGGGTTGAATCTCAATCTGTCACTTTGGAGGGTGAAGTTGCTATGAGAAGTTTTCGTAAAGAGTCATAAAACCCGAGTCAAGTTAGCACGCGAGGTTCCTTGTAGAAGTTCGTATTGGACTTTTCTTTTCTTTTCTTTTTTTTTTTTTTTCTCTCTTTTTCTCTGGAGGATTCCGAGGTCCAGGTAGTGAGCCACTACCATAAGCAGATCGTCACACTGGCGATGGCAGAGTGGTTTTGTCGTTCTGGAGGAAGGCTGCTTGACTGGAGGATGCAATATTATCTTGTCGATGTTTGATTCGGTGGGCGGAAGTACATTTGTGGGCTTTGCTGGGGAGAGCGAGATCGGAGGGAGAATCAGACTCCGACAGGAACGGGGACCGAGGTGAGAAGAAGAATATTGATTCCCATTGGATCCGCTTACCGCAGAGCGCCTGTCGCTTAACCAGTTCTACGGCGTGTACCGCTTAAGAGTTCACTTTCAGGATATGTCGGCCGCCGCTTGACACTTGTTGCGAATTCGCATCTCATCTCTAACAGAAACCTAGATATAGTAGCTGAGGCGCTCCCAAACGGAATATCCTAGTTCGAAACATATGTGCGGACGGGGTATTCTATTGCCACAGAGGTCTTGTGGCCCCTAGTTCAGTTTCTCGCCGTTGTGTCTCCTTTCGTTCATACCATGCCCTTTTCCCTCATGGCAAGTCGAGAGCCTTGTCGCTGGTATTCCGGTGCATAAATGAATGCAGCCTAGCGTAAGGGAGAGTTCTTGGCATAAATCCGCACTTTGCACCAAGCACCGCTCTTTCTGTTCTCACGCAGTGGTCGTTGGCCGCCTACTTTTCGTTTCTCGCGTTGTCCTTCACACTTTATGTGGTTTTCATATGCTTAATATCTCTCTATTGCCGTCCAATTCCTAGTCCCACGTGTGACAGCGTACTCTGTGCCCTCTTCCGCTTCTACGAGGCGCATGCCTGATACACCCATCATGCCTCGAGCTCCGCCCCCTTTTATGATAATCCTCTCTGCTATTGCCCTGTTTGTCTGGTATGTTGTGTGGACCAGAGATCATGAACGGCCTATGACGGCGCTGTCCCATGCCGACCGATTCCGATCCAAGTTTGAGGCCGATACTCCGATCGCGACGACCGAGATCGTACACGGAGAACATGTTATGGGTAAGCTCGGAAATGAAACCCTCAAGGCAGAGCTAGGTCGAGCAGCATGGAAGGTTCTTCATACCACTATGGCGAGGTTCCCGGATAAGCCGACCCAGGACGAAAGCGATGCGTTGAAGAACTACCTGTACCTATTTGCCCGTCTCTATCCCTGTGGCGAGTGTGCCGAGCATTTTCAGACGATCCTCAAGAAGTATCCGCCTCAGACATCGTCCCGATCAAGTGCAGCCGCCTGGGCATGCTTCGTGCATAATCTGGTCAATGAAAGGAAAGGAAAACCGATTTTCGATTGTTCCAATATTGGTGACTTCTATGACTGTGGCTGCGGCGATGATGAAAAGGAGGCCATCTCATCCGCAGGAGCAAAAAGCAGCAGCGTCGCACAGGACAATCCCCCCCGGCATGAACCCGTGGAGATTGAAGTGGAAGGGGAAACAAGAGGCGGCTGAAAAGGGAAATAAATCTTGTCGTACATTTGGCACAGCTATGGACATACATTGCACCAGTATCCCCGTCTATACCTCACTAGAACGGAAGAGACCCCCTCTTCATGCGCCACAGTAGTCTGGCGCCCCACGTTGGCTATCATCGACCCGGGGATTCGCGGTGGTTGTTTCTGATTGTGCCATTTTTCCAATGACGTCGTCCCTCGATTCGAGCCGTTTCGTATACTCCAAATTGAAGTCTCTCTCGTGCAACACGGACTTGGCGTCTTGGTCAGTTGACGAATCGGCCTCCTGCAAAGGTTTTGATCATCATCCTTCGAGCGGGTTGGTATGAGCGGTGGTGTCAGGTGACAATCTGGCATTGGTGGTTCCGGAGGTGAAGGCTCTGATGCCTTTTCGTTGCTGAATGGATTTCGAGTTCGGAACTCCATGTCGACCAAAAACAACTGCTGGGAACATAAGGGATCTACTCATCTCCGACGCCCATGAATACCGAAGCCATCCTGCGGCTGGCACACTTCTTGCGAGGGTATCTCGGAATTACATTTGTAGTCTTTGACCTGACATCGTGGTACGCTGGGTGAATCGCGGATTGGTGTTGCGAAAACATGGTTGCAGGATGGGAACAGAGGAACAAGTCTTGCCCTGTCGTACACATTGCATCTTCTTAACAAGTCACCAGTGCTGACTTTTTCAACTTTCAGCTGCACACTTGGTCATACAGTAAATCGTTGCCCAACCCAAACCACTGAACCGTTCATGTCTTCAATCGCTTAAAGACGCTCGAAAATGACTGTTTGACACTGAGGACTTTCCCTGAATCCCATCTCTGAGTTCCAAGTTGGACTTCATGACAAGGGGAGTCACCGTGTTTCAAATTTTAGCAGCGAACAATGGATAATGCTACCTTTGTCCATTGTCCACCGATCAGGTCATTCCACATTCAAATTGCCAATAATGATGGGGGAGTACGCACGATCGATGCGAAAGGCACAGCACCAGCTATACGACCTATATCGCCTTGGGTTGAAGAAACGCACAAGGAACATGTTTGAAGGGTATAGAGCTCTCATAAAAACCAGTATCAACCCTAAGTTCATCGTCATATTCATCAACACTTTCCGAGGGAGGAGTCCAGAGTGTGAGATAAATAACCCCGCCATTATTACCGGCACCAGCCCGGCCAGCCTGGTTGAATGTGCAGAACTGGCGTGGAGAGAAATATGGTCGACTCAAAACGTACCGGAGGCCACCAATATGAACACCTCGTGAAAACCTCGTGCTTTCCCAAGGAAAACCTTGAATCATGCCGGCTGGGACTTGGGGACCAGAAATGGCAGACTTTCGAACATGTTTCTTTGTGCTCGGTTAGATATTTTGAGAATAAATTGGCACCAGACCTTAGCCTCTGCCGGCCGCTAAAAAATAGCTCACCCATACTATTTCAGCTATCTAGATACAAGCGTTGTGGAGTGGGAGACTCTGGACTCGGCGTTGTCGAACGGTGCTGCAATGTTTCTCATACTGGCTTTACTTTTCACGTGTTTTGCTCGTAGTCTTTTGTCAATCGTAGCTTGTTAGCGTCCTAACTATCCCAGTCTTTTGGTCTCTGGTTGCCAACGTTTCCCGACTCAAAATGTGGGAAGTTCAACGAAATTCCATCGAGAAGAACGCCGGGAAACAAGATTTCCAGAATGTATATTCGTGTTCTACCGAAAAGATTCAAAACCTTCCACTGTGTTCTCAATTGTACCTCAACCTTCTTTCGAGAACGGCCTCTCGGGAATTGGCCAAGCAAGTGGCGCACTCGAGGCAAGCGTGGGAGTACTCTTGCCAGTCATATAGGGACTTTCGCCGACGAACGAGCTCGGGAAGCCTGGGCTGAATTCCTGCTGGTTCTCGAGGAACTGGACCTGCTCGTCGGACAGCTTGATGCTGAGTGCCTTGATGTTGTCTTGGAGGTGCTCTATCTTACGACCGCCGACGATGGGGAACACATTGGTGGTCTTTCGCATGACATACGCGAGCGCGATCACGGTAGGGGATTCGAGACCATGCTCGTTGGCAACCTTTTCGAGCGCGGCGCTCATCTTCTCTTGTGCGGCTGACTGCTGGCCGGTGCCGACCATCTTCCGCAGGCCCTCTCCTTGCTTCTTGCGTGCCTCCAGCTGCTTCTTCGTCTGGAACTTGCCTCCGCCCAGCACGTCCCAGGGCGCGAGCGCCATGCCGAAGTGTCGCGCCATCGGGATGATTTCGCGCTCAAAGTCGCGCTGCATCACGTTCCACTGGCCCTGGTACACCGAGAACGGGGTCTTGCCGTGCTCGCGTGCATATGTGTTGGCCGCGCTGACAATCCATGCTGGTGTATCGGAGATACCCAGATAGAGTACTTTTCCTTGAGTCACCATGATGTGCAAGCTGTCCATCATTTCTTCGATCGAAGTCGTGTGGTCCTATCTAGGTAGTTAGAGAAGTGGCTGGGTAAATGCGAGTATTCATGGGATCCGTTGGCCGCCACTTACCCACCAGTGGACATACAAGATGTCGATAAAGTCGGTTTGGAGCTTTCTCAACGAGTCCCGCACTGAGAGGTGAAGACTTCGTTTGTGATTGCCTGAGTAGTTGACGGTCTTGCCCTTGCCGAGTTCCCAACTGCGGTAGGGGGTGGTGTACCTAGAAGAGAGCGCCTGTAAGTGAACATGAAGACAACAGATATGAACGTCTGAGAGTAGGGAGCATAGGAGCCATGAATGGACATACTTGGTGGCAATGACCATCAGGTCCCTGTTCTTCCTCGCTGCCATCCACTCACCGATCCAGGTTTCAGATTGCTCGTTTTGATAGTTGTTCTATTCACAACAGAGAAGCCGGGGGATCAGTTACAGAAGCTTCTACTAGGAGTGAGGGATAGCAGCCTTACAGCAGTATCGATGAAGTTGCCTCCGGCCTCGACAAAAGCGTCAAGGAGTTTGAACGAGTTCTCTTTGCTCATGCTGCCCATGATCTAGCAATAATCACATATCAGCAGCTGAAAGAGGGCACTCAGAGAAGACCCGTCATTGAAGAATAGAACGTCTCTCCGTCCAAACAATCCTCGAGGAAGGGGATAAACATACATCGGCCCAAGCATCACCGACGGACATGGCGCCCAAGCACAGAGGGGATACCCTGACGCCGGCTGTCTTGGATAGAACCCTATACCGACCCAACTCGGTGGGTGGCTCCGGGGCCGGCCCAAATATGCTATTCATGCTGTCGGGATTTTCAGCCATCTGCTGCTTCGAAGGTAATCCGGTAGTGATGATGAAGTTGTTCGTGTAAAAATTGAATAAACTGGATCTGAGAGCTTGAAGACGACTAAGACGGCGACCGTGCAAGAGAGAACGTAGCCTCACAACGGGCAGCACACGATGCCCTTCAAACTTCAGAAGTCCAAGATCTCCGTAATAAGATGGCCATCTAGCACGGAGTTAACTCTTTTATGCGTCGTTGCCGCAACCAAGGTTTAGTGTGTCAGGAGGGCAAAGCAGTACCCACACTCTACGCAAATCCACTTTCCATGCATGCTGGGGCCATATTCTTAAAAGTCTGACTCCGCCTCTTCCTGGACAGCGTTGCCCGTTCTCGGATAACGTTTCACACGGCCGCATCCTAACCAAAATGATACTTGGATCAGAAGGAGTAAGAAGAGGACCATCCTACTTCGGCCGACGATGATGGTTGTAGGACGTGAATGATTGGAGAATATTCAAGCTAATCGGCAGCCGTATGCATCCGTGGAATTCTCAGAGTCAAGGGGCAGCATTATCGAGGCGACATGCTGGATGCTGACAAAATTGAGTGGAGTGGGAAATGGAATTCATCACTGTTCCTAACGTGGCGTCACAAGCTTAAGCGGCACACGGCGGAATACGGACCAAATTCAACAGGTATCTGCATAAAGTAACAACCTCCAGACTAGTACATGCTGTAACAACGATATGCAAAGTATAAAATACTTGGGATTTTGCCGTCTCCGTTCATTCAGGTAATGTTCTCTACTCAGAATTCCGAGTGAAGGGGGAGAACGAGGAAATAAAGGCACTCTTATTGAATAGACAGAACTTTTTTTTTTTTTTTCCCATTGCTAATTTCTGTGGCCTGGCAAGCCTGATCTAATGCAGCCAGCGAAGACCTTTCCTTTGGGGTCTCGTAAAAAGCTCGTAGAAGCCGTGCTGAAACACCGGGAGATGCAGATGTGCAATTATCTTCCTTTCTTTTCTCTCTTTGCAAATCAGATCCATTCCCGACCCGCCGGCCTCCCAAAGCTCAGTTGGTTTTTCATGTCGAAAAGTCTATTTGATCATCATGTCCCATGGTTCGAAAGAGAGGGAACCCGCAAATAACTTTTTGGTGTGGTGAAAAAAGAATCTCGTCAAAGGCCGCAATGTGCCTCCGGCCTCGGGGCCCCTGGCCTCTTTGGAGTCTCATCATCCATTCCGAGTTTGTGTGTGCCTCGTCACTCTCTTTCGCTGCAAACTGACGCCGTGTTGTCTGGTGTTCATTGCACACATCGTCCGTCCTCTGTCCACATGAGGAAGCTCGACATGCTGGGGTATCTGGAAATCGATCGGAAAAGCCAACGCTATCTATCATGTATCATGCTGTGCCCGATATAATAAACTGTCTCGAAAAATGCCCCTTGTGTCGTCGAAGAAGCAAGCTCGTGCCGAATCGCCTGCTCGATGATTTGCAACACCCGGTCACCTTTTGAGAGTGCAAATGTCGAAGAAAAGGGTGTGGGGAAGGAAAGCCAAACATTTTTTTTTAAAAAAACCATGCTGAGGAGGGTTGGAAATATCGTCGGAACAGGAACAACGTTGTCCCACTGGTTTACCACCATGATGATGGGCCACTGGCACCTCCGGGGTTACCATATCCTCCGCCATATCCACCACCATAGGCCCCACCGCCTCCGTACGGTGCCCCACCGTAGCCTGATGTTGTTAGCGATTGATTCGGGGAAATGCATTTTCGCTGAGACTTACCACCACCATAGCCACCAGATCCACTGCCGTAGCCACCCCCATATGAAGGAGGACCACCGCCCATACCGCCGCCCATGCGACGCATATCACGAGTGGCGGAAGCACCACGTCCGGCACCGCCGCGGCCTCGTCCTCCTCGACCACCGCCAAACCCAGAACTCTCGCGAGCGATGTTTTCCAAAAAGCTGGGGACTTCCTGGTGAGCCTCTTTGAGCAGTTCAATCAGGTCACGAACGATGCCACGGTTACCACGATTGAAGAAAGCAGTCGACAAACCAGTGTTTCCAGCACGACCGGTACGACCAATACGGTGGACGTAGTCGTCAATGTCGGTGGGGAGATCGTAGTTGACGACGTGGGTGACGTTGGGAATATCGAGACCACGCGCAGCCACGGCGGTGGCCACCATGATCGGGCATCTACCATTTCGGAAGAATTCCAGTGCTCGCTCACGCTCTCGTTGCGTGCGATCACCGTGGATGGCTGTTGCAGGGAAGCCTTGATTGATCAAGAAGTCGGACAAGGTGTCGGCCATACGTTTTGTCTCGACGAAGATGAGAGTCAGACCGCCGGAATGAGTGTGCAGGATGTCAAGCAAGACGGAGCGCTTGTCGTGATCCTCGACATATTCCACTTTTTGGGTGATATTCTCAGAGGTCGAACCGACTCTGCCGACGGACAAGAATACATAGTCCTTGAGGAAATCCCGAGCCAACATTTGGATGTCACGCGGGAATGTTGCCGAGAACATGAGAGTTTGACGGTTCTGGACTGGAGGCATATCTTCACCTTCGACAATGCGACGGATCTGAGGCTCGAAACCCATGTCAAGCATGCGGTCGGCCTCATCGAGGACCAAGTACTTGATGTTAGCAAGAGAGATACGGCCTCGTTCGATGAGATCCACCAGACGTCCTGGAGTGGCAACAAGCAAGTCACATCCACGTTCAATTGATCGTAGTTGTGTCCCAATGTCAGCTCCTCCGTAGACAACGCAGGGTCTCACCCAAGAGCGGTATGAGAATTTTCGGGCTTCATCGTAGATCTGAGAGACCAGCTCACGGGTGGGGGCCAGAATCAAGGAGGTGGGGAAAGCCTTGCGCTGGCGGAAGCCGCCTCCGGTGGCGGGGGCGGCGGAAGGGCCATGTTGGAAGGCTTGGGAGAGGATTGGGAACAAGAAACCACCGGTCTTGCCAGAACCAGTCTGCGCACAAGCCATGAGGTCTCGGCCACCCATGACGATGGGAATCGAGTATTTCTGTACAGGTGTGGGCGTGGCGTAGCGTGCGAGCTTGATATTGCCAAGGAGGTGGTCATCGAGAGGAGGGTTGGTAAAAGCGTTGACCGGTTCAGGGACATCATGGCCGCTCGCCTCGACGGGAATGTCATCGTAATTGGCGAAGTTGATGCCGGTATGAGCTTTGGTAGGGTCGTTTGGCGAGCCAAACAATTCACGCTCGAGCTTGGGATTCTGAGGGCCAGGAATATGTTGTCCGTCTCTCCATTGTCCATCTCCTGAACCACGAGCTGCGTTGCCGCCATATCCCCCACCATATGTACCAGCACCGGGGCCACCGTACGCGTTCGGATTGAAGGATCGAGGGCCTGTGTGGCCACCCCAGCCGTTGCTTTGAGGGCCAGGACCACCGGGGCCGGGTTTGAAATCGGGAGCACTTGCCCAGCTTCCATTGCTGTTCCTATAAAAAAGGTCAGTGTGAGTGGTGTCTTCATCATCGTAGAGGTGTAATCAACTCACGTGTTGTTTGCCCATGCACTACCGTTCAAGCCTTGATTTCCCGCAGGTGGTGCAGGACCGGGACCAGTACCGTCCATTCCCATCATCGGAGGACCACGAGCAGCCTGGCCACGAAGGTGAGGAGGGATATAGGCACGAGCACCAGACATCGGGCGACCAGGGGCATGCTTGGAGTCGTTGAGGGAAAGACCGTTCATGTTTAAGGAATCAGCCATTTTGAATAATTTCGGGAATTCGAATTTGCTGGACACAGACGAAGTCAGTAAAAAAATGTAGATGAGCAGGATATGGGCAATCGAAAGTGAAATACTTTCATCTCAGAAATCTGTGTCCAAATAATGCGGACCAGTTGGAGGTAGGAGCCCGAGTTGATAAGAGTCTGGAAGCGAGGGGAATAACCGCGACTGAACTCACAATTAAAAAAGTCCTCGAGACTGAGATGGTGAATCTGTTGAAAAGGAAAGCTGGTTCTGATAGGCGCTAGACTGGTAAAAGTGAGGCTGTTGAGGCGTCTAATGGAGGGAGGTGTGAAATTTCGTGATGTTTGCGAAGAGCTTTCGTGTCCGCAGATAGAAGAGAGACACAGAACGCCTCTCCAAGTCTATCCGAAAGTAAAACGAAAGGCAAAACGAGAAGGACAGTAGTGTTGTCAGTATGTTGCTGATATTGGTCGTGAAATAGAGGTGGTGTTGGAAGAAGGGGAAAAAATTTAAAAAGCGCAGGCTTTTCTTGAGCGCAGTCCAGGTCGCCACTGTTGGGCGCAGGCACTTCGGCACTGTTCACACTGGCGTTAGCCTAAGTGCCAGAAACAAATTGCCAAGGCCGCTATTCCCTTTCGGCGACAAAGGGGGCAGAGCAGAATTTCCGGTGGCGATAGGGACAGATACAGTCCTAGTGGCGGTGCAGGCACTGATACGCGGTTTTATTTGATATGCAAGGCTTTCACTTCAAAAACATTCACGGCTCCTCACGTTCGTCTATGCTATGCCGTGCTTTTCTCGTCCAATTTTTCGTAGGCTCTTTGGCGTCTTCTCATCAACGCGAGCAGGGCCAGGAAGAACAACACCTTCTGCACGTTAAGCTTGCGTGATCAGTTCCTCCACTGGGGAAAACGTATCCGCTGGCGCCGGCATTTCTTCTGGCGACGTCCCCGGCTCCGTCTCTGACAGCTTCGTCTCAGGCTCATCCTCGTCCGCATAATAAGGATGTGCATCGGAATAGAGAGGTTCTGCCAGCATTTTTCAGCAAGGTATTCGGTACATGATAATCCGAGAGCAGTACCCGCCCTCAAATCTAAAGCTCGGCGTGAATACCTTCAGCTGGCACCTCCAGCTCTCCGCTTTTCACGATTTTGACAGGTTTGGCTGGACGGTCTCCTGCGCCTTTGGGAACGTTTTCGATCTGTTCAACGACATCATAACCTTCGAGCACCTCCCCAAAGACGACGTGACGGCCGTCCAGCCAGCTGAATGCTGTTAGCTAGAAGGATAACCGGGCGTCAGATTCCGCCATACCTGGTGACGACTGTGGTAATGAAGAATTGAGATCCATTGGTGTTTTTCCCGGCATTGGCCATACTCAGCAGGCCCTTTTTGCTATGCTTCAACTTGAAGTTCTCATCTTCAAACTTGTCTCCGTAGATGGACTTGCCACCGGTGCCGTCTCCTTTGGTAAAATCACCCCCCTGGATCATGAAGCTCTTGATGACACGGTGGAAAGTAGATCCTTCGTAACCAAATCCCTTCTCGCCAGTTGCCAATGCGCGGAAGTTCTCAGCGGTCTGGAAAGGGACACCAAACAGTCAGAGCAGGAACGGGAAAGGAAGGAGACAATATACCTTCGGGACAGTCTTTCCATACAGACCCAGGACGATTCGGCCCATAGGCTCGTCACCGTGTTGGATATCAAAGTAAACCTTGTGGGTGATCTTGGGTCCTTTGGCAGCTTCTGCAGTCTGACCCATGAACAAAAACGTGGCGGTCAGGATGACTATGAGCGAGATGACGACTCGCTGGACGTTAGCCATCTCGAAGAACATTGGAGTGAAAGGATAGGTGTTGAAGAGTGGGCTGAGGGTCAGGGTCGAAACTGCGGATGGGTTAGGGGCCCCATTACGGTGAAACACTATCGCGGTTGAGCGGGCCTACTCGGATACTCCACAAGGCTGAGCCAATTTTGTGCCAAGCGATTCGACTTCGAGTGTGTTTTGTGCCATAGTCTCGTGCATTGTGACGGATTCTAACGATTCGGACATCACCACGGAAACTAGGACGGTGGAGGAGAAGGCACAATGGTGAGCCATACATCGAGCAAGAAGTTAACATTCTTTCTAGACGACTAACATCCTGCAGGTCTTCATTCTAGGGGTCAACTTCCCCGAACATCGTTTCGTCTGGGTAAATGCGCAACTCTTTATCTCCCAATTGCCTGTCCAACCATTCTGACATCTCTTTGGCATAGCGATCCCTTGAGACGTTCTTCGGCATCGGTCCTCACACCCGGGCGCGGATCATGGCCCGCTTCCATCTGCACGACACGATCAAAGTGGGCGAGCTGACGCAAAACCAAGTCCTCGACCTTACAGCTCACCTGGACTCAATGAAACTCGAGAATCACTTGCGCCGCCAGATTCAACAAGATATTCAACGATTAAGGGATACAGGTACTTATAGGGGAAGACGGCACGCCATGAACTTGCCGGTGCGGGGCCAGAATACAAGGAGCCAAATCAAGAACGCGAGAAGGTTCAATCGGGTCGACAGATTTTAATTGCGCACGGGGGAGGCTGTCTAAGAACGCAGCCCAGATTCTAGAGACATTGTGATGTGACGCACGAGGATTCAGAAGTCGTGTACGGGAATTCAGCTTTGCATGGCAAATGGCGTTGGGACCCTTGTGTGAAGCACTCAACTTTTCCGTCAAGGGTGCTTAAAAATACAAACTATCCTGATCAGACCTCAGGATGAACAAAAATGGATCAAGATTTGTCCTCTACACCCCTTCACTGTCCAAAGTTCACGCAGAGAAAGTGGAGCCAAACGCTCAAATTCCTTTCCCCCCAACTCACCATTTCAGAGATTTGTCGTTACCGTCATGCTGTTGCTATGAATAAGCAATGTCGGTGGCAACCCGCCAACCAAAACCTCCAAATCGCTAATGTAACCGAGGCTATCAGACTCGCTCCGAAAGGTTCCTTCCACCGGGGCTGGCAGAGTCGTGAATATGACTGCCGTATCGTCACTATATTGTGATATCAAGTCATTCAGTATAAGGTGCTGTGCCCGACTTGGGAGGTCATTGAATGAAAGAGGAATCGAGGCTGCATTTGGATAACCCGAGGCCGGCTTGGGTGGACTACTGTCATCTCGGGTTCGCTGATAAATTGACCGTCCAGGGCCAGTAGCATTTTCGTCCACATTTTGCCGTCGTGGATGTGGCTCATCCGCGAAGATGATGGAAGGCCCGATTCCTTCCTCGCTAGTCACTTTGGTAAGCGGCGCGGGAGAAGACGACAACTTCGGGGATGGTGCGCGAGACCGTGGTGGACTGGCAACTTGCAAGCTGTTCCCGGGCGAAGCGGACGGAGCGTCACTGTCGAAAACGGCCACGCTTCCCTCCGGTATCTCGTCTTCATTTGGAGTGTCGAGAATGTCTTCGTCGGACTGAACGAATGGTTCGGGCTGGGTAGACAGATTTCCTCTGTTGAAAGGTAGTTCCTTTTCGGTCCTACGATTCGACCTCTTGGAACTCGCACGGCTACTGCTCTTTTTGGACGGTGACATTGGACCGGCGGGGGATGACTCATGGAATTCCCCTTCGTCTTCGGACAAACTGGCTTGAGACTCATTTTGATCAAGATCGCAGTTTTCCTCGTCTTCGGTTTCAGACCCTTCCGAGTCACTGGGATGAGAGGCGTGGCGACTGACCATGTCATCGTCCAAGCGTGATGTTCTCATGGAAAGACTGACGCCGAGACTGGAGAGGTTCCCAAATGATGGCCTCTTTTTCGGATCGGTCAGAATTCTCCGCAAACCTTCGAAACGGACCAGGGAGGCTTCTCGTTTGCCCTGGAACGTCGAACTGGGCCAAGCGACATCATCCGCCACGGACCGGGCATCAAAGGCACTGACGTCTCCCGATCGAGACTGCCCTCGAATCTTTTGCAGCTCTCGCCACCACACTTCATCTTCCAGGACTTTGTCCACTCGATCTCGTGTTTCGACATCCACGTCTTCCCCATTGACGACAAGGTTGTAGGATTTGACAACGCCACAAGCCAGCCAAAAAACGAGCACCTGTGCCTGGATTCGAAGATTTTCCAGGAGAGAAGTGACACGATTCCTCTCGTCTTCTACATCGGACTCGTATTCAACGAAGACTGCAACTCGAAGCTTGTACGACCTCTTCCAAGAAGGAACTGTGTTGAGGATACAGCCAAGCTGTAGGATGAGAGTATAGGTGTCAAAATTGGTCGTGAGAACATTTCGAGGTTGGCCATCGGCTTCTGAGGCCAGCTCAGCTGACATTTGTATCGGCCAGAGATCGATGTACTTCTTGGCAACCCCTTCTACAGATTTGGGTAACTCAAGATCCCCAAATCCTGCGGCGACGGCAACATTGGTTTGAAGCTTGAGAATCATGTCTTCCAGTACCATGACATAGCTTTGGATGTCCGTTCGCTTTTCAATGTGGCAGGTATCGGTGGGCAACTCTCCCCTTACCTGGCTCCTGGTCCTTCGACGCCTTCTGATGGATCCCGGTCTTCTCTCGGGCGGAGGACTAGGAACGTCCACCAAAGGCTGTTCGGATCGAAATTGTTGTATGTTGTAAAACCCCAAAATGACAATGTTGGGACGCATGCTACCTAGTCCGGCAGAGAGAAAAATGTTTCTTGCGCCCCATTCAATGGAGGGGGAAATGGCGACGTTGACAAACGCTTTGATCTTGGAGAGGTCGATGAACTTGTTCCAAGCAGCTTGCTGGCGGCGAGCTTCGGGTACAGAAGCGCCGAAATTTTGAGTGACAATGACATGACCAATGATGAAAAGAGCCCCTTTCTTGAGTGAGTTGCAAAATTGGATCAGCTTGTAGCCTCTTCTCGGGTCGTTTACAAAAAGAAGGATCTGGGGACGCCAAAACTTGACATGCTCGCCCTTGAGACGCAACAAGTACTTCCGAACTTGGTGATAGATGAGAACCTCCGAAATGGAACCCCACGGTTTGGGGGGAGTTGTATAGTGAATCATAACAATCAAAACCAGAAGGATGCAGACGGAGCCTGAAGCCGAAAGCCCATCCACAAAGAACATGCTAACGACACTGAGGAGTGCTCCCAAGATGGCCGTCCACCAGTTGAAGTAGTGGAACGAGGGCCGAAAATTCGGAGCCGATCCTACTTTCAGGAGGAAAGTGGCGACGTTGAGTGCAAAGAATGTCCTGCCGGTTTGTGAGAGATGATCTCCATCGGTGGGAAGGAACTTACATAAGATATGTCATCGTGATGAGAGACGCAATGCGATTGATATCGAGGAGAAGAACACCCTGTGCCACCGCAAAGGTACACAAGATGGCCGAAATCGGCTCGTCATTCTTCTCGGTTCCCTGGCCGAATATCCACAGGCCCGGAATGACATTATCTCGGGCAATCGCCTGGAGTTGTTTGGCCGGTCCAATAATTCCCATCAAGACAGAGAAGAATGTCGTCGCAATTTCTCCCGCCAGGATCAAAACACCAGATATGTTGGTGTCCTGAACGACATTGACGTTCCTGTAAAACGACTCCCGGGTAATACTTGCAGCCATGGAGACGATGACGAGTGTATAAGAGATGAATGTCAGCGCCAGGCCACCCAAGGTCCCTCGAGGAATCGAGACACTTGGATTCTTTAAGTCACCGGACATGCTCGCACCGGCGAGAATTCCTCCCGTGGCTGGAAATAAAATGCCAAAGAGGTCCTGATAGTTTTCTTTGGTGCGTAGCTGGCTCCCTGCCGCCCCACGGGTGAAATGAGGGAGCAAGTTTGCTTTGAACGTCTCGAGACTGAGACCAGTAAACTGGGTAAATTGTTTCCTGGTCTCAAAAGGTTTCATAACGACGGCGGAAAATGGAATACTGAATGTAGCCAGAAGAAGAATGAGAAGCAGGCCGTTGCTCGCGCGAGCGAAAATAGCACTTCCAGCGAGACAGATGGTGACACAAATCAGGACCACGACTGTACTCCACAAGTACTGCCACCACTGTCCCTCGGGAAGGGTATTGGCCCAATTCCCAGATACGGATCCGAAGTTGTAATTTAAACAATCGATCAAACCGACAGCATTCATGCCTGTGTTGAAGACGAAACCGAGATAGGAGACCAGGCCAATGGCTCCACCAAATTCTGGACCTAAAGATCTCGAAATCAAGTAGTACGCTCCTCCACCTCGAACGGTGCCATTGGAAGCAACCGCTGAAATAGACAGAGTGGTGACGAGATTGATCAAATAGGCGGCGGCCAGCATGGCTAGCATTCCCAGGACCCCACTCTGGCCAAGTACAAAACCAAAACGAATAAACATGAGGATGCTCAAGACATTGAGGCTGGTGGGCACGAACACTCCCGAAAACGTGCCCAGCTTTTCTGTTCCTCCAATGGGCCGGGGAAATGCTCCCACCTTCGGCATGCTAGGCTTCTCAGCCTTGTTGGTAGCATCGTGAGCCTGGGCAGTCCAAGGGTCGCCGGCCTTCGAAGATTGGGTACCTGCCGCGTCGGATGGTTGAGTGCCATCCTGAGTATTGCGGGGTCCATCAAAAGTCCCATATACACCGGAAGAAGCCGCTGCCTCTGACTGTACCAGGGGGACGTTTGATGCCGTGGAGTAGGCGGTCGGCGGTCTCGGAGTAGTGTGAATTGAACCATCTTGAGCGGACAAAGGCCGTTCTTGGCCAGCTGGGGAAGCCGGAAAGGAGGACCTCCTCAATAGTTGAGCAGCATCATCGGTGGCTGTACGTGTCAAGAACGTAGGACGGCTCCGGGGGAGAGTACCTCTTCCCAGGTTTGGCCAGCCCCTCCGTCCAGCTCCAGCCATGATATCCCGACAAGATGAGTGGGAGGTCAAGGTCCATCATCAAGCAGGCATCGATAAGATTGGCTAGAACGTTACAACCACTTCATGCCGATGAGATTGGAAGATTTCGTGGCTCTAAGGGGGTTATCTCTGATACCATCACCGAATTACCAGGGAGAATAGAGTTCTAGGTGGGGGGAGGTTTTGCTCGGTGAGTATTCCGCCGCGGGCGAACCAGGTGCAACGGGTATTGAAGAACGTGGACTATTTCGACGATGATGGATGTGATACTGTGTGGTAACGGTGCAACTGTGGAGAGAGAGAATCTATTACGAGAGTAGTGATCCCATGATAGCATTGCAAAGCTGAACTGACGCGGAAGCTTTTCCTCTGCCCGGGTCTTGGCTTGAAGGGTGCGCTTTTGGCTTCTGAGCCGGCGAACAAAAATCTTTTGCTCAGTTTTTGATTGGCTCAGCGCATTTAATTTCTGCGGCGTTTTCCGTCCATCTTGCCACAGAGCCAACCGCATCCATCCTCTTACGTCCGTCTTTGATCCAAACACATCCGGGATTTTTTTAATTCATGACCCGGCCTGTTGATAATTCATGCTCTCATCTCATCACATGCGCCATTCTTTATCTGGCACATTCACACGCCGACATCATTCATTTCATTCATACTGACTTGTCAGCTCCTTCCCTTCGTCGCTCTAATAGGCATATGTCTTCGGCCGCCCGTCCTCCTTTCCTCCAAAGTCGAGCACCTCCATGTCGTCGCCTGCCTCCCGTTCGCCGGACATATGTTCCAGAAGTCCGGGCACTTCTCCAGCAGCAGTCTCTCAGTTTCCTTCATCCCCGTCCAGACATGCTTCAATAGCACGATTGTCGTCTCCAGTACCCTCGTATCGTCTCAACACTCCTCCGGTCCAGCAAGTTCCTATCTCTCAACAGAACACCGCCGACCCAACCGGCTCTACCCTTCCTAAAATTGATAATGCTGCTTCTTTGCCGAAGCCAGGTCCATCTGCCTTGTCTACGGCTCTTGCCGGTAGTTCAAGCAGAACTCCTCCCCGAACTCAAACACCTCCGGTCCCTTCGGTCGACAACGCTCTGAGACAGCCCTTGTTGAATGCATCTGCCGGATTGGGAAGCCATGACAGAAGCAATTATGGTTCCTTTGATACACGGGAAATGGCCGGGAGTCCAGCACCCACAGAAGATCCAGAAGTGGTAAAGAGACATCTCGTTCAACCCGATCAAGGCTCAGGCCGGTATGGGAGGTCGCTCCGCTTGGATCTGAACGAACCAGGCGATGGTTTGGGACCAGATGAATTCTCCAGTCTTCGTTTACAAGGGGGCGACATGACGCGTGCTGTATACCGATGGGCTGAAGAACAGGAAGGAAACCAACCCGGTCGGACACAGCGAAGTAAGAGTTTCAGCGTTGCACGCCCCGAACCCGAAAGCGAGGTCCTGGACATCCAGAATATTCGAGTACCTGGTGGGTTCCGTCGCAATTTCCTACGTAGAGCTGCCGAGAGTCCTGATCCTTCCGGACGACCACGGGACGTTGATGGAGCTGTCGTCAAAGGTCAAGACAGTCATGTTTCCGTCGCCAAACCCAGGCCACAGCTATTTACGAACAATTTTCTTGAGTTTCTAACCCTGTACGGTCACTTCGCTGGTGAAGACTTGGAAGAGGACGACGAAGTCTTGGAACCAGATGAGTATTTCTCTTCCGATGCTTGGGACGAGGGAAGTGACCGGGAACCGGGAGAGGACAGCGTCCTTCTCACCCCCGGGTCGCCGGGACTGCGCAGAAGGAAGCATAAGGAGAGGGCACCGAGTGGCAACAATAGCAGCTTCAATGCAGCTCTCCTACTCCTCAAATCTTTCGTCGGCACTGGAGTCCTCTTCCTGCCTCGAGCCTTTCTGAACGGAGGCATGCTATTCTCTTCCCTCGTCCTCCTGGGTGTTGCCGTGCTTAGTTTTCACTGCTTCATCCTCCTCGTCAACACCCGCAACAAGATCGAAGCATCATTCGGTGAAATCGGTGGCATTTTGTATGGGAAATGGATGCGAGCTTTGATTCTATTCTCCATTGTCCTGAGCCAGATTGGCTTTGTATCCGCTTACATTGTTTTCACATCCGAGAACTTGCAAGCCTTCGTCCTGGCCGTCTCCAAGTGCAAGAGTTTCATCGACATCAAATTCATGGTCCTGATGCAACTGATCATCTTCCTTCCGCTGAGTTTGATCCGAGACATCAGCAAACTCGGTTTTACGGCTCTCGTTGCTGATGCTTTCATCATGCTGGGACTCCTTTATCTGTACTACTTTGACATCGCTACGATTGTGGACAATGGTGGTATATCCGATATTACTCTGTTTAACCCATCGACCTGGACGCTCTTTATCGGCACGGCGATCTTCACATTCGAGGGCGTGGGTCTGATCATTCCCATCCAAGAGTCCATGAAAATGCCCCGGAGGTTCCCGGGCGTCCTTGCCATCGTCATGGTCACCATTACGGTTTTGTTCACCTCCATTGGAGCACTCTCGTACGCAGCATACGGATCCAAGACCAAAACCGTGGTCATTCTCAATCTCCCCCAAAACAGCAAATTGGTCAATGCGGTACAGTTTCTATATTCTCTCGCCATCCTGCTGAGCACACCGCTCCAACTCTTCCCTGCCATCCGTATTATGGAGAACGAACTGTTTAGCCGCTCTGGAAAATACAACCCGTACATTAAGTGGCAAAAGAACGTCTTCCGTTTCTTCTTGGTCGTCCTTTGTGCGCTTATTGCGTGGGGCGGCGCGGGGGATCTGGACAAGTTTGTCTCGCTGGTGGGAAGTTTTGCATGTGTCCCTCTTGTATATGTGTACCCGCCCATGCTGCATCTAAAGGCGGTAGCAACAGGTCCATGGGAAAGGGGTGTGGACTATGCGGTTTGTGTTCTTGGATGTGTTGGCTGCGTCTATACGACCGTATTGACCGTGCAACAGTGGGCCGGTGATAATTCGGGCAAGGCTCCTGGATACTGTGATTCATGAATGGGGAATGAAAGGGGAAATGAGAGGTCATTTAACAAGGTGATTGTCCTAGTGGAACGGGACCACTGTATATCATCGACTGTGGATACCGAATTGAGAGTCGGAACTTATTCGAGGCACTTTAGTGTCGAAGCTTCTCCTGTGCCAAACGGTGTGCTGTTAAGGCTTAACAGCGAATGAATATACCAATGAACTGGAACTGAGAAGTGATTGATGCATCTCGAGGACCGTGGCCTCGAGACGAGACAAGGTCAAATGGAGGCCCGCACATGCATCAGCTCGAACTCCGTCCAAGCCAGTTTTATGTACAAGTGTACATTGCGGAGTATTCTCCCCTGGAAACCATACATATTCGGTGACCTCAGATCGATTGTTTTCGCTCGAATGAGAAGCCAGAGCATGCATCTCGGTTCATTTCAGCTCATACCACGACTGGACAAGATCAAGACAGGCCTCCCCGTTCCGCGTATTTCCTTCCCCTCATTTCCCGATCCTTTATACACGACCAATCCGATCCCATCAATCATAATCTGCAATGTCTCTTCCTCCCGAAGCATTTCCAGGTATATGCAGATTATACACCAGCCCACATTGCGGCCAGCTCTTTCGCTCGCTCGCTGTACCGGGCCCTATACTGAACCAGGGTGTCGAGAGAGATCTTACTCCCGCCGCACACAATAATCACCACTTTCTTGTCCTTGTCAACCCCGCGCATCAGCTGCTTGAGGCGCCCGTCGTATGCCAGCGCCACGCTCACCCCACAGGCTGGCTCAACGATTATCCGCTCATCGTCTGCAAGCCGCCAGCAGCCCATCGCAGCCTCTGCATCTTCCAGCGCCAGGCTCGTCACATTCTTGTGTGCCAATAGGTCAAATGCCTTTTGGCACACCCGAACCGCTCCGAGGGACGTCGCGATAGACGTGATTCTAGGGATGGTGAGGATCTCGCCTGCCTGAGCGGACTGATAGAGGGAGTCGGCGCCTTTAGTCTCGACGGCCAAAATTTGCACTTCACTCCCCCAGCCGACGCGTTCCATACCATTCGCGATTCCAACCAATAGACCGCCACCACCGACAGAGCACACGATGGCGTCGGGTCGTTCTCCCTCCGGCATTTGGCGATGGATCTCCTCGACCATGGTGGCGACCCCTTCCCAGATAGCCCCATTGTCGAAAGGGGGAATATACACAGGAATCTCGCCCCTGGCTTCTGCTTGAGGCATCACCACTTCCTTGAGGTAGGTGTCTGCGTCCAAAAGTCCGGCCCCGTGGGCAATGACTTCGCTCGCACCGTTGAGTTTCAGTTTCTCCATGATTGATGGCTCTGTACTTTCCGGCACCACCACGGAGGAAGTATATCCCAGGGAACTCGTCGCTGATACGGCGGCCAGGCCAGCATTGCCGCCGGAGGAAGCGAAAAAGTGTAACGGCCGCGTGCTGCCAATGGCCTTGTGGTAGGCTTCCTCGGTCAAGACAAGGTTACCAATGCCTCGAGATTTGAAAGAGGCAGATGGCTGGAGATTCTCCAATTTCAAAAAGATCCGGCTGTAGACGTGTGTCAGTGTTCGTAGACTATCAGACGGAGTAGCAAGTGTCTTGTACCAGCCAGCAGCCCGAGAAAGCGTGGGCGATTCGTGCAAGGGAGTCTCGATCCATGGCTTTTGGATGTTCACCTCGCACAATGAACCCATTCCGACCCTCTAGGAGTCAAATGTTCGTGTGCTTGGTACCCGAGCGTTTCTTGAAGATACATGGAATACTCGACACATAAATACAACTTTGCTGCAGCACATGTCGAATCGTTTTCGTAAAAATTGATGACGCTAATGCAGGTACAAGAATCTGGGGGTTGGAGACTCGCGTTCTTCTCCGAGCGGACTTCAGGGCGATTATTTGGATGATACCCCGGATTCTGATATTCCAGCAGATACTTAGCTGGGGGATTCCACGTCACCAATCGGATTCATCTAGGATGTTGCGGCGATGTGGAACACAAAAAAGAAAAAGGGAGTATTGATGCCCTTGGGCTTATCGATTCCATGCCTATCGGGTGGAGTCAGGGATTGGAGAGGACCGCCGTGTAGTCGAGGATCGTGCTGATAACAGCTTCTCGCGTCATATGATCTGCATCCCATTATCGTGCTGCATGTCGTGGCGTCCAGAATCGTCTTCAATTGGCTGACAATAGCATTGGGAAGATGACCTCCGTAGACGCCTTGGTATCGGCCTCGAATGTCGGAGGGCCATAGATGAAATCAGCCCCGACGCGAGTGTGTTCAAAGGTTCTTCTTGATTCGTGAACCTCCATCATATCAAGGGCAACTTTCATCCTCTCGGGCATGAACGGCTGAAGAAGGATGGCGATAATCCGGATTGACTCGGCACTCATGAAAAGACTGTAACGGGCGAGGCGCAGTTCTTCTGGATCTTCGGTTTGAAACCGTTTCCACAGGGCAGCATTATGAAAGAACTTATTCGTCTGTGGCATCGTAAGCATGCAATCTTTGAGAGCGGTAAAACATTATACTAGTCTTACATTTCTGATTAGCTCCGTAATGAGATGGATAGTCGTACGTGGATCCGGCTCTCTCATAGATGCATCGGTCCTGATTCTCACCAAGGCTAACTGTTCGTAGAGATCTCTGAGACTTTGGTGAAGAGTCTGGATGTTCTGGCCATGAATAGTCAACGCGTCGCGGGAAAGGAGACTCGACAACCCCTGGTTCTCGGCAACGAACCTGACGGCGTCATGAACATTAAAATGCTTAGATTTGAAAACACGGTGTAAAAGATTACCAAACCCGTCTCTCAAGATGTGTTTGTAAGTTTCGGCCACCTGAGAGTTTTCGTACATGGCATCGTCAACAATGCCACCGTGATAGGCCATGTAAAATCTGATGCTATCCACTCCATACCGATCCATTGCCATAAAGGGATTCACGCCATTGCCCGCCGACTTGGACATCTTTTCATTGTTCATGGTCCAGTGGGCATGTGTGAGGAATCGCCGAGGCAGAGGTTGATCCAAAGCCATGAGAAACGCGGGCCAGTAGATGGTGTGGAAACGGATGATGTCTTTGCCGATGACTTGGCAATTGGGAGGCCAAATGTTGGTTGGGTCATTCCGATCGGTGAAAGGATAACCTGTCATGGTCAAGTAGTTGATCAAAGCATCAAGCCAAACATAAATGGTTTGGCTCGAGTCGCCGGGGACGCGAACGCCCCATGAAAGCCGTGTCGAGGGTCTCGAAACGGAAAGATCGTTGAGGCCGCTTTCGATTTCCTTCATGATAAAAGCCATCCGCTGCTTTGGGACGATCGCGCCTGGATTTTCTGAATAGTGCTTCAACAACGGTTGTTGAAAGGCAGATAGTTTGAAATGATAGTTGGTTTCTGATGTCCACTCCACCTCTTTCCCAGTTTCGATCGAAGCAATTTTGGTCTCTCCAGTCGAAGGGTCGAGCACCTTCTGCACTTGGGACTCGGGGTAGAACGTCTCGTCGCTGATCGAATACCATCCTTCGTGCTTCGCCTCGTAGATGTATCCGGCATGGTTCAGCTCGTTCCAAAAGTGCTCAACGGCAATTCGGTGGTCGTCATCGGTGGTCCGGATGAAACGGTCATAGTTGATGTTGGCCGCTTGACACAGTGACTTGAATTGCTGGGCATGCTGATCGCAGAAGAGCTTCGCATTGGTGTTCGCTGTTTGAGCGGCCTTCTGGATCTTCATGCCATGCTCGTCGGTGCCGGTCAGAAGGGTTGCCCTTTCATCGCCACGGAGTTTTGCCCATCGCTTGAGAATATCAGAGAGTACGAGAGTGTAAAGGTGGCCGACGTGTGGTGCTACAAGCTCGGAGGTCAGTAGGGGAGCAATTTGGCAGAGCGACAACACCTGCCAGAGTTAACATAGAATATGGGAGATGTCACATAGTATGGTTTCTCTGGGACGGGCTTTGCTGCAGGCTGTTCAGTTTCAATGGCCGTTGCAAGGCCACGTCGCGGCAGACATCTGCGGCACTGAGCGAGTCGGGGAGAACTGTATCGTGCAGAAGCTCGACATCGAAGGAAGAAGCTCCGAGCTCGCTGTTCGAGGGCAATCATATCAATCGACCTTCTGTCCGCAATGGGTAGCGAGAGAAAAGGTGGAGGATGGAATAGAAAAGATGTAATTTCATGAACGAGCTGCCACTTCAATTTCGACTCCGCACAATTTTCGCAGTCTCCAACTTGGGTCCATCTCGTCAACCTTCGAGTTCCACCCGTCTTGCATCTCCCCAACTTATACACACAGACACTCTACAGTGACGTCGATGGGCCTCGTGGAATATATAACCTCGTAGTTACCAGCCTACCGCTAGCGTACAAAATACAAGCCGGATTCTAAACCGTGGGAACAACCGCCGTTCATATGTACACCCAGTCAAACACTTTCGTGAATCTGTGAACAGGCAAATAATCATGATTCCGTCTGGGGCTTCATATTCGTCTGGACTCGCTCCAACAGCTCTGCTCGGGTCATTTTCGAACTCGGTTCCAAATTTCGCTGGTAGCATTCGTCAATTTGATTCGGAATTCCTGGGACTAGACCCTGTGATCCGACGCCAGACTTACCAGCTTTAACCACCGTCTCAATTCTGTCTCTGTCCAATATTTGGGATCTACCAACCACAGTCAGAGTTGCTTTTGGTGGAAAGATGCAAGCATCAACATACCACCAGTAGGGTCCTTCTCGGCCGGAAATATGTCTCCGTCCCACAGATTCCATAGTGAAGCAATGGTGACGAGGCCAGCGAAGCCTATGAAAAGATGGAAATGGTCTGTCGTCAACACTGGGCGCGGAGCAGTTGATTTGACTTTTATGCTCCAAAGAGAGGTGGAGGAAGGGTAATGTTGAACGCAGCGAGGATGAACTAACCAAAGAACAAATGCTACCAGTTCTGTCAGCAAGTATTCAAATGTGTCACCAACGTGAAGTAATATGCGGATTGAAGACGGGGAATGGCCTGAGGAACTAGTCTCCCTGTTTTAACACTGCGATCGGAGGTGCCACGTACGCGTGATTGTAACGCGCGGTCCAAAGGCGTCGGCATATTGTCAGAGCCTTACGTGCCCCGGTCTAGAACACTGAAATTCGTTGGTTTGATAATATAAGAAACGAGGACGGAATCACGAGATAGGGAGGAGTATTTGCAATAACGAAGAAGACTTGTCTCACAGGAGAGCGATCGTGATGTGTTGTGAGGAGAGGACGAGGAGGTGCCTTTACGGACATGTAACTGTATAGCCTCTGATTGGTCAACTGGTGAAAGGGACACATCACGCGTTTCGCGGTAAAATTCCATATCTTATATCTCAAATATCTTTCTATTTACCATTCAAGACGGTCATCGCAGACCAGCTTCACATCAAACCTCTCATTGCCATCCCAAACCTTAGCGCCCGAGTTGCATCCTGCCACGATTCTCCGTAGATCCGAAATCATTCCACCAGGCCCACTTCCATACACCGTGGTGGATCCCCGGATGGTAGAGTCGACAAAGCTGTGAACGAGGGCACCCAGGTCAGGATGTCGCGACTTGGGGCTTGCTTCCACGGAAGTGGGGTGGCAAATCAAGAAAGATCCCGGACGTGAGCCAGATGTGTTCTTGGGCATGGAGGAGGAAGAGGAGGAGGAAGACATGGCGAAATTGTGGAATTCAGACTTCGCTGGGGTCTCGTCTTGCTTGGTGGCCGTAGCATCGTTCTCTCTTGTCACAAAGATGCGGATCTTGAGATTGTGCGAAGCCCCTGCACGACGCAGCGTTTCGAGCTCAGTTTTGATCCAGGCGAGATCCATGTCCCTCCGAATAGCCCAGATGAACTCCAGTTTTCGATCGGCAACCGGGGCCTGGTTGATGAGACCAAGAAGAACGGGAAGAACAAAGGTCACCCCTGATCCGCCGGCAACGCACTGGACATTGGTGGTCGGTTGCAAATGGCTCACAATTGAGACTCCATATGGTCCAGACAAGATCACCGGAGTTGTCACCGGGCTGACAGGAGTGATTTTCTTCTCATCTGGGATAGTGATGCTCTTCATAGTAGCCAAGTCTGCGAGTGTCCTCGTGGCGCCCTTTTTGGCCCGTATAATGTATGAATGCACCTGCCCGTCCGGCCGATTCCCTGGGAGGCTACTCGGCGTGAATGGATGAGACTGGCAAATGCTGACTTCTGGTAGGCAAAGATAGAAATGCTGTCCAACATCCCAGGGCCCATGAGGATGAACAAAATCCAAACGAACCACATCGCCGTGATCGGCGTCGGTAAAGTGAGTTATCGTCGCACTCACACTTCGGAAGCCCACGCCTCCACTCGGGAGGTAGTTGTAATGGAGCAGTGCAGTCCTGGCGAGACGTGCACCGCGGTCGATAAACCATATCACAAGCGAGGGAATGAGGTAGCAGTTGAGTTTCGACCAATGACCCCAACAGGCGCCAATGTACAGCATCGCAACAACATAATGCACCTTTCGGAAGAATTCGTACCCGGTTATGCGAATGGCCCATGGAGTACTGAGAACAAAGATAATGGTCAAAAAAAACATTGCAATCACCCCCCAGATCATATATATAGATGAGATCCATTCAAGTCCGACTTCGGGTTGAGGTTGATAGAGTCTCATCTCAATGATGCACCATCCCATCGTGTGTAAAGCTGATTGCAAAAAGATGATGTATCCAAGCCAGCGATGCAGAAAGTTGAAATGCTGGTAAGGCACTCCAGTTAGAAGTGATAGAAGAGATTCTCGGCTTGACAACATGACTGATAGCGGAGTCAGAGCGTAGGCTAAGACACCAACACGGTCTGACCATGGACCAAGGCTGGTGCGAGTGTTGTAGACTTCGGGCATGTCCTTCACCGGCGTTATCCATTTGTCGTAGACAATACCCACGAATGTCCAGACCAGGAGATAGCTAGTCAGAGTCAGGAGGATTAGAACCTGAAGCCGTGTCGTTCGGCCGAAGACAGGTCTCAGAAAATCTGGGAGAAGATATTGGCGTTTATATGATGCGATCGAGCTTTTAACGCGATGGAGTCCACCTGTCCTGTCCGATCTCTCTCCCTCACAGACGGAGCTAGACAGCCTTTGGTCTTGCCTGACTGATGGGTACAGATGTCTCCCGATTCCCCAAATGAAGAGGACACCACCCACGGTGGCCCATAAAATGCCGCAGTACAGCATCCCTAAGTCGTGTGAATGGTAGACGACGTCCAAATAGGCACAAGAGCCTGGATCGTTGGTGCAAGGGACCGCTCGATCCGCATAGCCCCAATGTGGTTGGAGATATGCAGCCTCGCTCATATTCTGGATATGACGAGCAGGGAGGATGTGGTCGATGGAAGTCATGGTGGCCAGTGAATATTGTGATGTGCTGCGTCTACGAAGTGGCCGGCACAGAATCTCTCAATCGGTGTTATATGGTGGTCTGATGAACGTTTAAAGGAATTGAAACCAGTGGATTTCGCCGTTGGTCTTTTCCTTGTCGGCCAGGGACGAGGCCCTACATAGGACCAAGAGAAGTCTGATGCTCTCTGGACCCATATCTGGTTTAGATTTGGCAAGGATGACGAGGTGAATAGCAAAGTAGCTGGTAAAACGGGCCTGTCATAAAGTTGCCAAGGCTGATGAGCAGATTTCGTTACTGCTGGTGAGCAGATTTCCATCTGCAACCGTTCTCTCGCTTCAAGTCTTGTAGTCGACTGTGGATCGGGGAAAGTCTTGTCGTCCAGTCGTTACGCTGACCTGAATGGATATGCTCCTCGTTTCCTAGACTCGAATGGCTTCGATTTTTTTCTTACTAGCCTGGGCCTGGCAATATCAACCCGTGGCGGCCCACACCACGCAAATCCGCGCTCGAGGTGTCATTTTGCCTATGCCACTGAGGTAGACTTTTGGGCTGATGTTGAATTCCTCACTATTATAAGGTGGTGATCGTCCTTGCACACTCCGCATCTCTTGCCGGCCAGAAACATCCTTCTCGATTGGGGAATCAAGATCGGCCCTTTCAACTCGAACAAGGCTTAGCAAACATCTTTCCACCATGACTAGTTCAATGTCCATGATCATGTCGGGCATGGCAAGTACGACTATGTCAGCAGCCTCAGCTACTGCTCCCGCAGCAGCGGCTACATCCTCGGGGATGAGCATGGATATGGGTATGGGAAGTGGTTCATCTTGCAAGATTTCTGTGAGTGAATGCGTGCTTGCCGTGATCGTGGGTGGTGTTGCTGATAGAGTCACATAGATGCTATGGAATTGGAATACAATTGACAGCTGTACGACTCCGTTGTTGATTGTTGTGTCAGCATCACTCATCCACAATCCAGGTTTTCTCGCCTCGAGCTGGCACGTCAAAAATGAAGGAATGTTTGCCGCTTCCTGTATTGGCGTCGCATTCCTAGTCGTCGGTCTCGAGTTTATGCGTCGAGTCGGGAAGGAATATGATACCGCCATCCTTCGCCAATTCCAACGACACATTGCCGCCCAAGCTGCCGAACTGAAAATCCAAAGGAGTTCTGACTCATGCCGGACTGAACCTCAGTTTGTGACTTTTCGCACCACGCCTCTCCAGCAGCTCATCCGGTCCGTCATCCATGCCGTCACATTTGGGGTGGCGTACATCGTTATGTTGCTGGCAATGTATTTCAACGGATATATCATCATTTCTATCATCATTGGTGCCCTCATCGGCAAGTTTCTTTGCGATTGGATGGTTCAGAAAGTACCGATCGGTGCCATGGTGGACAATTCCAAGGGCCATGGGGTTGCCGAGCCGACCGTATGTTGCGGTTAACCACGACAATGTACCTTGGGCATCACTGGTCGCGAGTAACCACGTGATGCCCAGTCTCCAGCCATAGCTCCGGTATCAAACCCACAGCCAGAACCGTTATGAATTGGGTATCTCATTCGATCTATCCATCTCGTCATGGGCGTCGTGATATATAATGCATCCCCAATATATGTATATACACAAACATGAATCCAGGAGTCGTGCGGCCCTTGGGGGAGAGATGCCGTTTCCTTTTTCCCTCTTCGCATCAGTCCGATCCGACAACGCCATCGCTTTTGATGCAAAATTCAACAATCAATTTGTGCAGATCCGCCAACTTGTATGGCTTGGTCATGAAGCCTTCCATGCCTGTTTTGGTCGCCCGATCGATCGCTTCATCCGTAACGTCCGCACTGACCGCTAAGATGATCGGTGCAACTGTGTACTCGGGATTGGATCCATCAGAGTTTTGAAACATGTCCAAGATATGCTCGGTCGCTTCGTAGCCATCCATTTCGGGCATCCAAAGGTCCATCAAGATCACGTCCACCTTTTTCCCGGGACGCTTCTCGTGTGTCCCAGTCCCTTTCCTCCCGGTTGCTTGGATTTCCTGCATAATCCTCACGGCTTCCTTGCCGTCAAAAGCCTCGTGCACATCCTTATATCCCAGCTTCCCCAACATGTTGACTAGAAGCTTTCGGTTGATCTTGTTGTCCTCCGCCACCAAGAATGTAAGAGGGTGCTTCTCAGCCAAGTTTCTATCATAAGAGTCCTTCTTCGATGGGATGGTAGAGGACGAGGAGACCATGCCGGATTCACCGGGGCCGGGATGCTCTTTAGGGTGTCTACGTGTTGCTGAGTGCTTTGAACTATTCGCTTTCCTGGGAGATACATCTTGGGCATCGTCAGGCATCACCGTTTGAGGGGGGGATGAATCTGACGGGGATATCGCCTTGGGCGGACGGGAGACACTTTTCGAAGCTTCCGGCGTTCGACTTCTGGGGGTACTAGCACGGCTCATTGCATCGGAGGGTTCCATGGGAACTTTGATTTCAAACTCTGACCCTCTGTCTGGGCCCGATACTTCAGATCTCACGAGGGTGATGTCTCCGCCCAACCGGCGGGCCAATCCTTTGGCAACCAAAAGTCCCAGGCCGAGACCCTCTTTCGACCGGGTCAAAGAATCGTCTTCTCGAGAGAATGGTTTGAACAGTTCGGGCTGAAAATCTTCGGGGATGCCGTCGCCGGTGTCTCTCACATTCACGACCAGATACCGCTGGCTTTTAGACAGACGAGCGCTGAGAGTGATCGATCCATCCTCTGTAAATTTGACGGCATTCAGGAACACGGCTGATATCAACTTTGCCAAATCACGTTCATCTGCAAAGAGCGTCTGCGGAACATCCTGAGCCACGAACCATTCAATTGTCTTTTGTGAAGTGTGGCCATTCGAAGACCGTGACCTTACAACGACCCTTTCACCCAGGTCTATGGGCTCTCCTATAGCGGAATCGGGCCTGCCCCCTACTCTTAAAGCCTCATGGATCACCATGGGTATGAGTTCTCGAATTTGGCAATGTTTCAGTCCAGGCGTAGGAAGTGCATCACTCTCCACTGACAGCTTTGTCGATGGGGTAGTCAGATCGCTAGATGTAAACCCATCTTGCACGGGAGTGAATACGGGTGGGATTCGGTCGTCAGACATCGTGGCTCGAGGGGTTGAGGAAGGAAGCGGAACAAAGGCCTCTGAGCGGCTCTTGGGAGAAACATCAGCACGAGTTGAAGGTCCAAGGTGCCTAACCTTGGTGGCATTGCCGAAGTGCCACGACGTTGGACTGCTCCGCCGTCGCTTGTACGAGTTGACGTGAATGTCGCTCCCTTCGATGAGTCTGGACGGTTTGTAGTCAAAGTATCCGGTGGTCATCGTCGCCGTGGCAGGAGATTCGTGCTCGTTCAGGGGGGTGTCTGGGATCTGCATATTCATGTCATAAGCATGAACGACATTGTCGGCCGCTTCGACCGCTCGCTTGGAACTGTCCTGCACGATCTCAATGTTCTCTCTCAAGCTCTGGAAAACACGGCGGAGTGATGAGTTTGAATGGCCTTCGATCTGTTCCTGCACCGTGGCATGCATGACATCCAGCATCCCGACCACACCTTGCATTGGTGTTCTCAGTTCGTGAGAGAGGTTTTTGGCATAGGGTTTCAAGGATTGGGCTGTCGTCGTGATAGCTTCTCGTGGAATGACTTGGTTGGGTCGGACCGCCATATTCGACCGAGGTTTAGCAAACCCCTGGCCTTTTAGGAGTCGCTCAACGACTATGTCTTCTAACGAATGTAGCAGGAGTTCGGTATAACTCCAGGAAGTTTCTCGTCGATCCAAGCCTTCCTGCGTCCACATCATACCGAAATGGGCAAAGCACTTGCCGTCGGCAAACAAGGGAACGCCTATGTAGCCTTCCGCGGGGAAGGGCAGTGCGTTGGGGTTATGGGTGATGAAAGAGCTCATTTGGTCTGGAATTAAGAAGACCTTGTCGTGCTTCATGAAGCCACAAGGGGCACCCCATGCAAGATACTTGTAGTCGCGGTGCATAGCTTTCTGCTGGTCGCCGTCGTTGTAATAGAAAGCCACTCCCAGGAGACAGGAACCCGCCTCGCCGAGTGGAGGCTTTTCCACCGCCGAATTGTAGTCGTCGGCCAATGCTCTTTTCGCGACGAAGCCATATTGCGCATGACAGATTTCAGTCATGCCCTCCATAAGACTGGCCCAAAATTCCTCCGTGTCCATGTCCTTCAATTCCCGCTTTAACCTGACCAACTTCTCCACGGCATTGTTTTCGGCAGAGGGGAAATGTCTGGCGAGGCTTTCGACGAAACCGTCTTCCCCATATTGCGTAGGGACGCCGGGCTCGACACTTGGGAGACACAAGGACTGTCGCTCGATGATTGGTACTGACGGTCGGTGGTTGGCAGGTTTGGCCATCACTGGCATGTCCACGTTATTTGCCGGCCTCCAACTCCGCGCTGTGGAATGATGTTGAGAAGGGTGGGGAAAAAGAGACATGCGTGACTATTGCGAGGGCATATTGAAGGGCTTCTTCGGTCGACGGATGTGCTTGACCATGACCAACTTCATGCCTTGGTGACAAATCGAGTTGAATTTTGAGGTGCGTCAGTCAATGTTGGCCCAAAGGGCGACGTTGTCGGAGGAGAATCTCGAGGGATTCTCAGAAAACGTTGAGATCGGACGGAATATCGAGGACGGTATAAGGAGCGAAGTCAGACGAGGGCTGGAGAAAAGGATGGATGGGAGAGTCGAGAGAGGGTGAATCGGCGGCGGACGGGGGCGTAACGTAGGAGGTCAAAGAGTGTAGAGTAACCAAAAAGTCGACGTATAACTAAGTGTGCACTCCCTGTTTGGTAAGTTACTTGTAGGAACAAGGCAGGTCGAAGAGTCGCAGGCCGGGGAGTGCATGGGACCCTGCAGAAGAGAAAAAAAGCATTTGAGGGAAACCCTGTGGCGGCGTTACTAGTACGGTACGACCCTAATTAATACGGTGTGAGTGGTGTGCCAAGCAGCAAATGACAGGTCTGGACGAAAGCGTAAATGGAAATACGGAATCCTTAACGAGCAAGCTGACCGAGATTACACGCCTTACGCACCATGCTCTGGGCAGTGGGCACCGACAATGCAAAACACTCGGAGGGCGAAAGGGCCACCCCAGTCTCCGAAAGTCAAACTGCCACGAGTGCTAACTACGTACCAACCCTATATGCTGTCCAGTAGAATACGAGCCCCAGCCGCTAATAGAGCAATCTCTCTGTAAGGATCCTAAATTTTAAGGAAACAGCACAGGCTATTGTCATTCCGGGCCAAGGCTCTACGACCGCTCTGTATCGATACTATCGTACATGAGCATCATCCTGTATGCCTACGCCAGTGAGCGCCATGGCTGTTGCATGACGCCAATGGCAGAGAAGTGGATGAAGTCGTCAGCGGAGCAACGTCGATGACGCTTCGTGATGCTGTTGGGTCGATCCAAGAAACGAAGGATCGCGAAGAGGGGCAGTTGGACGGGGAGCGGAGTGGAGACAATCCAGACCCCAAGAGACCGCAATGGTCTCTGCATCAAAGAAAACAAGGCAAGGCTCCCTCCTGCTGTAGAACTCGACGTGGATGACGATCATTCGTATTCCCAGTTCCAATGCGTAAAATTGGGCTGGTGTCTTGATGTACAGAAGACAAGATTCGGTCAGGGACTAGCAAGCGAACTACTTGGTCGTTCGCACCCATTCGTGAATTCGGCAGATCTCATGCCCATCAAAAGTTCTAGGCTGCTCATGGCCCGAGCCTATTCATCCCCGGGCTCTCCTGCAACGCCATTGACATCATGGCTACATGTTCACCGGCTAAGTCGGCAGCGATCAAAGTCTTTCAATTTCTACCGCTTCGTCCCTGGCTTCAACCTTCCTCTGTTGGTGACTGTGGATCACCACCTTCCAGGGTTCTCTCTAAAATGGTCGACCTCCTTTTTCTGCGCTCGTATGACAACAAAAGGCTCCAGGCTCAAACTCATCCTCGGGTTGATGATTAGAAGAGCATTTCCCGGGAAGGGTTAGGCGGCCCAACACTCTCATCGGGTAGATAGTAGATTTGTGCCTTTTTGGGTCTATACAAACCTGTGCATTGATTCGCAGAGTTGGTGCAGCTCCATGAACAATTGAATAAATCTTTATGACCTCTGTCAGACTGACCACATCTTGTCATACTCACGCGAGGATTCTTTTGGAGGACGTTGCCGGTAAATCTTTCGATGAGAAAAGTTGGCATTGGCATTGACATCGACATTGACACTGATCTGCTGCTTTGACTTTGGTCACTGCTGCGAAGCTGTCCACCCTCCTAATTCAGTTCTTTGTCACCTGACCTCGTTCAATCCGAGTCAAGGAAAGTCGAGCTCCAACCAACAGCGCTTCGAACAGCTCCTCGGATATGGTTCAGAGCAAACCAAGCCGACTTCGTTGTGAGTGGTCTCTCCCCGCTATTTTTTTGCGGGGTTCGGCTTCGACTTGGCGGGTAGAAAGAAATGTCTTCAAACTGAGCGAACATGATATTTCGAGGTGTAGATAAAAGGTCGGTCCGAGTTGGTATCAGATTCTGCATCTCCGGATTCCTTTACTCGCTTATACATACTTTCTTTTGATGAATATGCCGATTGTTTATTTCCATGTATGAACTGAGGATTGGCTGCCGCGATGAATTATTGAGGATCTAATACTGAAAGTGCACTCGTCTTGGACTGAGGTCCTAAAACATTCACAGATATCGGAGAATTGATCAAAAGCATTGCAAGAATGAGGATTTACAAATCGAATGACCCAGACATTCACATCCCCACCGACCTCAATCTGACAGAGCTGCTTCACACCAGCGCGCGCTCCCCACCCTTTTCGTCTGATCATCTCATTGCCCTTGACAATCTCCAAACTCGCTCTTTGGCCCTTGGCCAGCTTCGCTCAACAGCTGGTAGATTGGCAGCGGGATTGGCTCACAGCTTCAGACCACCCGACCAGGCCCGATGGGCTCTCATCTTACCGAATAGTGTGACCTACGTCGAAGCAGTTCACGCGGTCCTTTGGTCCGGCGGCGTGTGGTGCCCTATCAATCACCAACTCAAAGCGGGAGAGATAGCGCATGCTTTGAGAGTTTCGAGACCGGACTTTGTCATTGCGTATTCGGAGGTGGTGGGAAAGGTAGATGAGAGCGTCAAGATTGCGAGGCAGAAAAGCCCTGACTGGAGGCACCCCAAAGTTTTGACGGCAATAGGGTCGCCCGCCAAAGGATACCCAGACCTTTATGCGGATTTCTTGGCCACCGAATCGTTACCTATTCCACATTATGCAGATACTCGGAAGCGTCTGGCATCGATCCATCTCTCTTCGGGAACGACGGGGAACCCGAAAGGTGTCGGCATTTCCCATTTCAATTATGTGGCAAACGTGTACCAGATGTTCGCGCACGACCCGGATCAGTGGTCGCCGAAAGAGAAAGTGGTTGCATTCACGCCGTTTGTGCATATTGCCAACACGACTTTACCTCTTTTCCTGGGCCCCTGGACAGGGACGGCTCATGTTATCATGGCGTCATTTGAGATCGAGGCATATGCCAAATTGATCCAGCAAACAAAGGCAACCTCCGCTCAGATCTCTCCCGCGACAGCCGTTGCGATTGCGACCACGGATCTGGTTGAGAGATATAACTTTTCGAGCATTACACGTTTCATTTGCATACCGATTCCCTTGAAAGAGGACATGTACCGCACGTTCTTGAGCCAGGGTCGATGGAAGACCGTGACCCTGTACGGGATGACCGAGGCGGCTCCATATGTGGCCTGGAAAGCGATGGGGGACTCCATGCCCGCGTCTAAAAGCGGAACGATCCTGCCAAATATTCTGGCGTCTCTGAGACTTGAACATGGCGAAGATGCTCCGGAAGGCGGACCGGGAGAGCTGTGGCTCAAAGGGCCGAACTTGGTTGCGGGATATGTGGACAATCCCACGGCCAATCAGGTAGCCTTTGATGGGGAAGGGTGGTATAACACGGGTGACGTGTGTACCATATCCCCCGAAGGACATTTGCAGGTTGTCGGAAGAACAAAAGAGCTGATCAAGTACAATGGCTTTCAAGTCAGTCCGACAGAACTGGAGGCATACATCTTCTCACATCCCGACATTGAAGATTCTGCTGTTGGAGGAGTCTATGACCGAACCAAGATGACTGAACTGCCCACGGCGTATGTGGTGTTCAAGAGCCATTTGACGGACAGAGACCAAAAGATCCAGGCATTGAAGGACCTTCAAACACGGGTCGATCGTCAAGTTAGCGGTTACAAGAAGTTGCGGGGGGGAGTATGGGAGGTGACCATGGTACCACGGAATGCCACTTTGAAGGTCTTGAGGAAGCAGCTTGGAACGTACAAGACGGGACTCTGTTCATTGGACAATGAGAAAGAGTCGGCGAAATTGTAGTTCAAAGAATATCGAGAGTGATACCTTTGCGAATACCAAGTAATAACGATCACGGCCAACTCAACGACGTAGGGAATAGTCCCAAAAATTGGCGTGCAACTCCGTGTCGGCGGACCGGCCTCGCTCCACTAATATCAATCAGAATAGTACAGATAACCAATCTGGTGGTATTTTGGGCGACTCTCTTATCAGTCAATTACTAAACTCAATGGCGGGTTTTCAATTTCTGTACTTGTCCTTATCCTGTCAGCGACAATCACCGATAACTGTCTCAACGGAGCAATTCGATGGCACGCTGGGTGGCCGGAACCGGTCTCTTCTCCTTGACTCTTTTTTTGCTGAGAAAATCATTCTTGTCTCCATCTTCGTCTTCTTATCGACTCAGTCTTGTTTCAATAGCACCTTCCACCATTGTGCATTTTCCTCGATAGACATGGATGAATCCCTCAAATCTCAAGCGCTGTCGATCTCCATGCACTGCAACCATGCTTGAGTCCGTGACTAGGGTATTGGGTTCCCGGTGGCGTCATTCTACACGACAATCATTCGACTGATACACGCTCGCGTGCCTCGACTTGTACTTTGACTGGCACGGATTTTGGATAGAGACCGCTTTGTTCCTGCATTCGGTAGTGGTGTGTGGAGGGGATCCCTGGGTGGCACCGTGTATGCCGCAACACTGAGCTCTGCCATTAGCTCCCTGCAATATGGCCTCATCGCGGTCTTTCTTTTATTTCCTTCATTCGTTCCCTCTCACCGTCTCGCCGGCTTCAGTGTACTTGGTGATTATGTTGTGGTTGCTGCAGTTCGCCTATGCTGCGATATTACCGCCCTTGCTCAACCAAGCGGCAGCCAGCCCTCTCCCTCAGACTCAGCAACAATATGCGCCAGACTCTTTGGGTGCCGTGGCCAGCGAGAGCAGTATTTGCAGTGAAATCGGCCTAGATCTTCTCCGGCAAGGTGGAAATGCCGCAGACGCCGTGAGTGTCTTCTCCGTGTGACTCGTAACCAAAGGTTGATGTTTTCTTTAGCTTGTCGGCACCGTCTTCTGCGTTGGAGTTATTGGGATGTATCACAGTGGCATCGGCGGGGGGGGTTTCATGATTGTTCGTGACCCGGAAGGAAGTTATGAATTCATAGATTTTCGAGAGACGGCTCCTGCTGCCGCCTTTCAAGACATGTACAACAACAACACCGACGCAAGCATATTTGGAGGGTTGGCTAGGTACGTGTGACTTCTGCAAAGAGGAATCTTCCGGGCTCACACACGCTAGCGGCGTACCAGGAGAGGTTCGAGGTCTGGCGCATCTCCACGAGAACTACGGCCGGTTACCCTGGAAGCAGGTCATGCGAGGAGCAATCAAGATTGCAAGATATGGATGGCCGGTGACTGAAGATCTCGTGCGCTATATGAAGTCGGCAAACGCATCCGCTGCCGTACCGAACTTCCTGGTTGATGATCCGAATTGGGCTCTCGATTTCGCGCCGAATGGAACGTTGGTTGGTTTGGGTGACACCATCACTCGCAAAAGGTACGCGAACACCCTCGAAACCATTGCGGAAGAGGGGCCAGATGCTTTCTACAACGGACCCATAGCAGAGGCCACCATTGCGGCCTTGCAGGCGCAAAATGGAACGATGACGGTCGAGGATCTACAAAACTACACGGCCGTCATTCGGCCGCCAGCGAACATTACATATCGTGGCCACCGATTGTTCAGCTGCAGCGCTCCGAGCTCGGGAGTGGTCGCACTCTCTGTGTTGAAGACGCTGGAAGGATATCCGGACTTCTTTGCGAATGGAAAGGCCAACCTCAGCACCCATCGGCTGGACGAGGCAATCAGGTTTGGATACGGAGAGAGGACGAATCTAGGAGATCCTCTCTTTGTAGCCAATCTGTCTGACTACCAGGATGACATGTTATCTGCCAGGTCGGCCGCGGAGATTCGGGGCAAGATTTCTGACTTGACGACTTTGAATGTGTCGGCGTATGATCCTTCCGGGATTGAATCCTTGGAGACTCCGGGGACCTCCCATGTGGTGACGGCGGATGCTTCCGGAATGGCAATTTCGTTAACAACAACCGTGAACCTCTTATTTGGATCGAACCTGATGGTGCCCGAAACCGGGGTGATCATGAACAACGAGATGAATGACTTTTCCATCCCTGGATCATCAAACGCTTTTGGGTATGTCCCGAGTCCGAGCAATTATATCCGACCAGGAAAGCGTCCTTTATCTTCGATCTCGCCCACAATCGTCGAACTTCCCAGCGGGACATTGTACTATGTGATTGGTGCAGCAGGGGGGTCACGAATCATCACATCGACTATCCAGAACATCGTCCATGTCCTTGATCAGAATATGACAGCACCTGAGGCCCTGGCACAGCCTCGTCTGCATGATCAGTTGATTCCGAATCAAGTATCGTTCGAGTACGCGTATGACAATGAGACAGTGGCATTTATGAAATCTCGGGGTCACAATGTGACATGGGTGGCATCCGGGCAAAGTGCGGCCCAGGGAATTCGCCGGCTCTTCAATGGAACATTCGAAAGTGCTGGCGAGCCGAGGCAGGCGAACTCGGGTGGTTTTGCGATATAGTTGAGATATTTGAATAACGGCATGTTCGTAGTAGAGACCGGGAAAATGAAAGTTAATCTCTGACCGCTACATTAATCCGCAAATATCACCCATCTTGCTCCTGGCACCATCGTCTTGGCCCTGCCTTCCTCAATAACAACAACACAAGTCTCATATATTGAGCGTCAATTCGCAAAAATGGCCGATTCGCCTGGTGGTACCGATGACGCAAGAGATAGGGCAGCCCTTCTCTCCCCCCAGTGAGACCGCAATATCTCTTCGGCCAACCGTGCACATGGCAACTGCATTTACTGTAGATGCTGAAATGGCTTCCGTCTGCTCAGCAAACAAGTGCTTCGTGAGAAACCATCGGCGCACGTCGCAATGGGGACTTGCTTGCTGACGATGAAGCAATCTGAGACCCGCGTGATGATACTACCGATTGGTTTTCCACAATGTTTGAGCATTATAATACCTCAACGAGAATCTGGACACCGTCGATATCGGATCATTCGCTTGGCACGGCCATGCGGCAATGGATGAAAATGATGTTTTCTGGCCTAGAGGACATAAATCTAAGGCCCACAGCATTGCATTCACTTGAGACGATCCCGAATCCAAGAGATACTGAGCTACACATCCGTCATACAATCTGGAAGGCATTCAAATCCGGTGTACGGGACAACGAGGAGCCAGAACTTGAGATGCATCATTGTCACTTCTGCCCTTTGACCTCAGATGTCCGACTAAACCACAAGTCGGGGGTCTAAATCGTCATCGAAACTACAACTGATCATGCTCAGATCGAATCAACTCCCTCGGCCATTCAAAGACTTTCTCATCTCCAACGTGTGCTGGGTCGTGGGGAGCTATATTCACCTGCCGGGCAAAGTGGGACCGTCTTACAATGGCCAGTAACGAGGAGGGGATATCTCATCTGAACGATAATATTCCAGCTCTTTGGTGGTACCAAGACCCTGGTGGGGGAAAACATCTCATATTCTCCATTGATCATACTCTCTTCGGCCCGCGTCGCATTGTGTGTGTTCGATGGCTCGGTCTGTCCACGATCATTGGCCGAGTCCAAACTAACGTACATTGTGCCCCTAATAATCCGATCGTCCAGGGAGGACCTCTCGAGGAAGAAGTGTAGGTTATGGCCGAAGCTGGTTCAGATGACGAGGAAGATGAAGCTAGAGATAATGCTGATGAGGACGACGCTCGAGGCTACTGCCACTACGCCTATTCGTGTCGTCGATTAGTTCTCGCAAGATATTCAGAGCGGGACCTGGGCAGAGTCAGACCGCGCAATCAAGCCGTGCGGCTCTTCATGCCCGTGCTGAATGAGTGCAGACGAGTGTAAGCTGATGAGTGCACGAGAAATAAGCTTTGTCGACGCATCTTGGGGGAATGGCCGTGTGGTTGACCTGGGAAAACATCATCCATTTGGTACCATTGGCATGATTGGCTTCAGCTGGACGGCAGTGGACAAAGAGCGATTAGACAGGACATGTTGACCTCCAACAGTAGATTGGCAAATTAACTTCGAGGACGCCAATGATCACTCTCGTCGCTATGAAGAACCGGTGGCGATGGGGCTATGTACCCAAGGAAGGCTTACTCTTTCCAGTCGAACAGTACGTCGACGCTAATCCATATCTTGCTGTTTGTACATCAATGCCACGAGAAGCGGGTCATAAAATCATTCAATGATAGGTCGAGCCATCAGCGCTTTTGCCAAAGGTCGCAATTGGCCCCTCAAATACCGGTCAAGTGGCAAAGGGTATCTGTGTCCTGAGAACTAGGTAGACATTAAGACCATGACTGTTCGCGAAGGCCTTCCTCGCCAGACGATCTACCAATTTGTCTCAGGTAAACAATCCATCACAATATCTCCGAACGGCGTTCAGATCGTACATCAAATCAGTTGGGGAACTCAAGAAGATTGCCGCTGCGGAAGGCCAGTGAGTCATCGCTGGATGCTAGGGATGGGAATTCGTGGACAGATGAAGATATCGGATCTATTGAAGTCTATCCGCAGCTGCTGAAGCATGAACGACTTCAAGGGGAGTAGTTTAATAGCTTCGAGGTCCAGATTGCGATCTTCCTAAACTCGTTCATCCTCCTGATATTGAGGAAGCTCTGAGAAACCCCCGATTCGAGCTTTGAATATTCAAATCCCATCTGTCTCACAACAAGGCCGTCTGAATTTACTTTGCATTAGAGGGTCTCCAGGCTGCACTCAGCCTTCCAGAGATTGTGGCGTGGGCCGTCCATGGAAATTCCGCCGATCGGGTGTCCGCTCAAGTTCGGAAGCTTGTTGGTGAGGTTGACCTACGGCAACGGCGTCAGGGGTCCAAAGCTTCGAATAGTTTCCAGCGACCAACCAGGTCGTTTTCTACGGGTAACCTCTACTCGGTAAAAGTGGAGCCATGGGATTGGGGAAATGCACTTCTCCGCACAAGTTTTATGTCCAGTGCATAAGGGATCATGTCGCCTTTTGATGTTGTCAAAGTCGTATTTTGAGGCTTGTGTCGGATATACATCAGTTCTTGATTCAGAAATCAATCCAGTTCGGATTAATGCTCTCCTTTCTGAAAACAGATGGCCCCGTATCAGTTCATAGAACACGCGGGATTAGGGACGTTGCCCAACCTTGTTTCCGGAGATAAGAAGAGATGTGAAGCCAGGCTGCAGATGATCTCTCGGACCCCCAGATCCGACGCAAGCAAAACCACAGCGAGAGGGTTGGAGCAAAAGGATCAGTACCAATGGCCCCACAAAAAGATTGTAGTCCATAAACCGAGCGGCAAAGGAGGGCAATTTGTTGCTAACGAGCTACCCTCCAAGCAAGTCTGCCGAAATCGCAGCAACTCCCCTTTCGATTTTTGGGAAGTTTAAATGAAAGCCGGTTCTCTCTTTCTTGCCAACTTTTCGCCTTTTTCTTGCTGTTTCATTCGAACCCAAGCATCGGATCTTTCACCAATCATCAATTCCATTTGGAGTGATCCGCTCGCTGCCTTACTTTACGCGAGCTAGCGTCGCGGAAGTACATTTGCCCGTTGAGCCAGGAAGATTTAACAGCCTTGTGAATTTGGCAGTTTTGCTTCATTCCATAATTCATCCGTATCGACTAAAAAGAAGCCTTGTCAGGCATTATGGCAGCTCCCGGGTTGTCAGATCCACCTGGCTTCGACGACAAAGGCCTGGAACACACGGATACTCCAACCTCCATATCCACATCCGAAAAAGAAGAGCAGAATCCTGACAGACGAGACCCGGATGTGGAACGAGGCATTCCGATCGTCGACACAACGCAAGACGCCGACGAGAAGGCTTCTCCTGTCACCGCCGCCGCCCACGACCCCGACATTGTCGATTGGGACGGGCCAGACGACCCCAAGAAAGCCCTCAACTGGACGAATAAGAAGAAATGGTCCAACGTTGCCATCATCTCCTGTGTCACCTTTCTGACTCCTTTGGCTTCCTCCATGGTCGCCCCGGCCACGCCTTTGATTATGGATGAATTCAACTCCTCCAACGACACCATTGCCAGTTTCATCGTCTCCATCTATGTGCTGGGCTACGCCCTTGGCCCTCTGTTCCTGGCGCCGATATCTGAGGTCTATGGCCGCCTTCCCGTGTATCATGTCTGCAACTTCATGTTCGTGATTTGGACCATGGCTTGTGCCCTTGCTCCTGGAATCGGTCCATTGCTCGCCTTTCGATTGATCGCCGGTATTGCAGGAAGTTGCCCTCTGACCATTGGAGGAGGGTCCATAGCCGATCTCTTTGTTCAGGAAAAACGAGGCGGAGCAATGGCTTTGTTTGCATTGGGACCACTGATCGGCCCGGTAGCAGGTCCAGTGGCAGGGGGATATTTGGGCCAGGGCGCAGGCTGGCGCTGGGTCTTCTGGGTGATCACCATTGCTGTAAGTTACATGAACACGGTGACGCGTCCGACTCTTTGCTAACCGGGGGGGATTCAGGGAGGCGTGGCCTTGGGATTCTCCGTGTTGTTCATGAGAGAAACATACGAGCCAGTTCTGCTGGAACGACGCGCAAAACGACTTCGAGAACAGACTGGCAATCCGGCATTGCGGTCCAAACTCGATCAAGAAATTCCCATGCGCGAGTACTTCTGGCGTGCCATTATCCGACCAACCAAGATGCTCCTTTTCTCCCCTATTGTCCTCTTGTTGTCCATCTACATGGCCGTCATTTATGGTTACCTCTACCTCTTGTTCACCACACTCACGATCGTCTTTGAGGGGCAATACCATTTCAGCCAAGGTTCTGTTGGTCTCAGCTTCTTGGGTATCGGGGTCGGTTCCATGATTGGCCTCGTTCTTTTTGGGACTCTCTCGGACCGTCTGGTCAAGAAAATGTCGGCGAAAGGCGAAATGAAGCCCGAATACAGACTCCCTCCCCTCATACCGGGCAGTTTGATCATCCCGATTGGGCTCTTCTGGTATGGTTGGTCTGCCGACCAGGGAATCCATTGGATTATGCCCATCATCGGTACGTTGTTTGTTGGCTTAGGTCTTTTGGCCACGTTCATGCCGATCCAAACCTACCTAGTCGATGCGTATCATATACACGCTGCTTCGGCCATTGCAGCAAATACCGTGCTGCGGAGTTTGATGGGCGCCTTTCTACCCCTCGCAGGGCCGGATATGTACGCAGCGCTGGGTCTCGGGTGGGGCAATTCTTTGCTTGCTTTCATCGCATTGGCCCTGTCACCTCTGAGCTGGATCTTTTACAAATATGGAGAACGGATCCGGAAAAGTCCCCGGTTTCAAGTGAAGCTGTAACCAATGCTGTACAAGGCATTTGCATGTGGATTTGCACGAGCATAGAAACTGGCGTTGTTGGACATCTAGATCAGGCGTGGTTCTGGCTTCTCTTCGCTCTATTTCAGTTGGACTACGCCCTTTCGAGATAGGAAGAGTTCTATTGGTCAGCATAATCTCCATTCAAGCCTTTCTTGGAATCTACAATGAATTTGTTCCTTCAACATTGGCTCGTGAATCGGTCACGCTCCCAACCCGCCAAGGGTTGGACCGAACCCGGGCGAGATATGGTACCATACAAAGCAGCCAATAGAGCAAGGTGGATTGTATAAGTGGATGCTTGGCACCGGTAATCGTCAATGACCTGAGTGGAACGGAGGGCCCTAACTGATATAAGATCCCCTCTCCGAAGCCGCTTCACTTCGCTTCATCTTTTCAACGCCTCGACACTGGTGATTTAAAAACGATATTTCCATATCTGCGTCCTCATCGTAATCATCCCCCTCTGAAACAGATCCGATTCTTGGGACTTTCAACATCAATTCGGAAAACAAGCACGAGAAGCATGTCTCACAACGGCTGCCCAAAGTGTGGTGCATCGATTATGTCGGGGGGCAAGACTTGTGGATCTTGTGGCGCGGTAAGTTTGTTCTTCTGTCTTTGAATGTCAATGTCACCTCGGCCAGGCCCCTGGTGTTTGCTTTTGCTCGGGGAGAGCGAGTCCGGGCGGTAAGGAGATATTATCCATGGTGAGATGGCGAATTAGGGAGTAGTGAGGCCCGACTGTGGTATAGCAAGGCAGCTTGATCCGAATCGACAAGGTATACTGACGAGTGGTTTCGGTTCTGCAGACATGCCCACGATAAATTCGGAGACTGACGGGTGAAAATGCGGTCGTGCCAGTGCATCTGTGGAAACTCCCCACGGAGGATTGTGACAGAAGGAATGAAACATGATGAGCTACGACGAGATCAGGTCCCACCAATTGATTTCGTCATTGTCATTCTTTTGCAATTGATGCTACCGAATAAATGTTGCCAAACGACTTCGCCAGACCGCCATTTGTGTTCCATGTGCATATGACTTCCGAACCGATCAAAATGCAAAGCATGCCGTTTATCTCTATCCAGGAATGACCTTTTCCAAGAATCCCAAAATATCCCGCAACTCGGCCGCATTTGTCGAGTGACCCATGCCCTGGTATAAGTGCTCCTCGATGTTTTCCTTGTCCACCCATGTGGCCAATTCTTCTTTCCCCTGCATGTACAGTTTCGCAGGAATCAACATATCCATCGTCCCATGGGCGTAGAACCATTTCTTTCTGTCCGTTTCCACGTCATCGGCCCCGTCGGTTGAATCGCCTAGCACTCTTTCCTTTCTCAATTCCTCAATCCGGTTCCTCAGAGGCAAGTATCCACTCAGACATATTACTCCTCCGACCTCGTTTCTCAACCGCCCTGCCAGCCCCCAGACCAGGCTCACCGCACAGCCTTGACTGAATCCACCCACGAGAATCCTCTTCGCTGGGGTTCCACTCTTGATTTCTTGTTCTACCAGCTGGTCCACCAAATCTACACTTTTCATGATTCCCACCTCGTCGTCGAGTGCATCTTCATCTTGTTCGTGACCGGGTCCTGGTGGCTTCATCGCGTTTGGCAATGTTTTGGGAACATACCATGCTCGAGTCATTGCGCCATGATTGTGTTCTGCGTTAGGGAGTATCCATTTCAAGTATGGCATTTTGTTGTTGAATTGGAATTGTTGCGCAAAGCCGAGCGGAAGTCCCTCAGCATCATCACCGTAGCCGTGTAGAAAGATCAAGGTGGCAGCACGCTCAGGGGAGGAAGGGGGAACAGTAGGAGGGACAACGTAGGGGGGTTTGGCAGACATGACTCTCTCTCATACTCCGCGGCGGGTTGGGAACAGGGTGACTCGAGTTGAGAGAGGAGTGAGAACGGTCGGCCGGGAGAAGAGCATGAGTTAAAATAAAAACAGAACCCGGAGGAGAAGAGGCGTGGGATTTCAGCACGCAGCCCCCAATGAGGCATTGAAGTCGAATGAGATCACATCGCGAAGATATCCAACCCAGGATTCCACAGCACGCGAGCAGGCAAGTTGAATGTCTTGCCTTTGTCGGACGAAACGTGAAGGCGAATTTTTGGGTGGGGGAAAGAAGGAGTGGGCTGAGGGGCGGTTGGTGGGCGCATCCCGAGATCTCGGACGACCTGATCCCGCTGTGGTGGGTGCAGGATGTTAGGCGATGGTGATTGTTTTTGGCTTTGTCTACCCCAATATTACGTACACAGAGATCTGTTGCTACCCTGCTAGTTAGCCCCCAGGCCACCTGGCAATTTCATTCCCATTTCCATTCTACCTCGCACCGGTTTATCTCACGACGCAGTTTCGGCGAGAACCGTCGACATTTTTGGCAGTATTTACATCTTCAGGGTGCTCTGATCACTCGGCTCACATGATTTCTCCGACTTCTAAATTTGCTTGAGATCAATCTACCAACCCTCTCGAGCATGAAGAGCCTCAAAAGAGGGTTGACAGCTGACCCAAACGCCACCAATATATCCAGCAAAGTCTTCATCAGATCCACCAAGAGTGGGCGAGTACAGAAAGTGGTGAGAGAGCAATACCTGAGGAAAGATATCCCCTGCTCCTCACAATTATGCCCTTCTTGCGCGGGTACGGCTGCTGCCAATGCCGTCGGAGTTGGTGAGTGATGTCTCGTATAGGAATGCCCCGTTAATTTCGTCTCAGTCCCTAAATTTGTCCTCTCGAAACGGCCCGCTGGAACGACGGCCTTTCCGAATGGCCATTACCTTATGCCAGACACCAACGTATTGCTCAGTGGAATGGATCTGTTCGAAGAGACGAGACACTTTCACGATGTGATCATATTGCAAACAGTCCTTGAGGAACTGAAGAATCGGAGTCTTCCTCTCTACAATCGACTGATGGCATTGACCAGAAGCGAGGAGAAGCGTTTTTACCTTTTCTTCAACGAATTTCGATCCGAGGCAGCGGTTAGACGAGCGGATGGTGAGACAATCAATGATCGAAACGACCATGCTGTAAGAAAGGCGGCTGTTTGGTACACCAACCATTTGGCACAAGCAACAGAAAGGGCCCCTGTGATAGTGGTTCTCACCAATGACCAAGGCAACAGGAGAAAAGCAGAGAAAGAAGGCATAGTTGCGCTGTTCTTACGGGAATATGTCGAAGGGTTGGACGATGCGGACCGCTTACTCGATATGGTCAATCAAGGCGTAGAAGGCCACGAAGCTCATGCCTCTCAAGGAGAACTCCTCTACCCGGAGTACTACTCCATGTCCAGGATCATGACGGGCATCAGAGCTGGTATGTTACATCAAGGCGTTTTCAATGCGTCCCCGTACAACTATTTGGAGGGCACGGTCAAAGTCCCCGCCTTCGACAGACCTTTATTGATCTTGGGAAGAGAAAACAGCAATCGATCCATATCTGGAGATGTCGTGGTGGTTGAGATCCTTCCAAAGGACCAATGGAAGGCTCCGTCATCTCAAATCCTTGATGAAGAAGCCGTCAACAGGAATGAAAATGCAGACGATGAGGAACAAGGGGAAAGCGTGGTCACGGAGACCGAACGACGAGCGCTCCAGGAAGATGTTCGACGAGCGCACATCGCTGGCAAGGAAAACAGAGCGCAACCGACATGCCGAGTGGTGGGTATCATGAAGCGTAACTGGAGGCAATTGGTGGGCACGGTTGATTCTACCGTTGGCGCCACGTCCGGAAATCGACCGACCACGGTCTTCCTGATGCCGATGGATAAGAGAATTCCCAAGATCCGAATTCGTACTCGTCAACTCAACGATATGATCGGCAAGCGAATCGTCGCAACGATCGATTCATGGGACCGAGATACGAGACACCCTGTCGGGCACTACATTCGGTCACTTGGTGAACTGGAAACGAAAGAGGCCGAGACCGAAGCCTTGCTGCTGGAGTATGACGTCCAGTATCGACCATTTCCAAAAGCGGTGCTTGATTGCCTACCCCATGAAGGTCATGGCTGGAAGGTCCCCGCTGATGCCTCTGATCCTGGCTGGAAAGGCAGACGAGACCTCCGAGATCTTCTCGTTTGCTCGATCGATCCGCCTGGGTGTCAAGACATCGATGATGCTCTCCACGCCAGAAAGCTTCCTAACGGCAATTTTGAAGTAGGTGTACACATTGCGGACGTCTCGCACTTTGTCAAGCCCAACAATCCCATGGATGCTGAAGCCACTGCCCGAGGCACGACTGTTTATCTGGTCGACAAGAGAATTGACATGTTGCCGATGCTTCTTGGAACTGATCTTTGTTCTCTCAAACCCCACGTCGAGAGATATGCATTCTCTACTCTTTGGGAGATAACTCCCGATGCAGATGTCGTGTCTTCTTCTTTCAGCAAATCTGTAATCTTATCCAGAGAAGGGTTTTCATATGAACAAGCTCAGAATAGGATCGATGATCCAAACGCGACCGATGAATTGACACAGAGTATGAGAACTTTATTGTCCCTATCACAGAAACTCCGACGGAAACGAATGGATGCCGGAGCGTTGAATCTTTCAAGTCCCGAAGTCAGAATTGAAGCAGACAGCGAGTCTCCAGACTCTCTTGCTGATGTCAAGGCCAAGGCGCATTTGGCCACCAACTCGTTGGTCGAAGAATTTATGCTTCTTGCCAATATCACCGTGGCGAAAAAAATCCAGTCTGTTTTCCCTCAGACGGCGCTGCTACGACGCCATGCATCACCGCCGGCTTCCAATTTCACTGATCTCGGCGAGCAACTGAAGCGCATGCGTGGGTTTGAGCTAGACGTGTCTAGTTCCAAAGCCCTCGCAGACTCATTAGATCGCTGCATTGATCCGAGCCACCCATTCTTCAACACCTTGATTCGGATCATGGCAACACGATGTATGACTTCAGCCGAGTACTTCTGCAGCGGATCTCACGCGGAACCAGAGTACCGACATTATGGTCTTGCCAGTGAGATCTACACACATTTCACCAGCCCGATCCGACGATACGCTGACCTCCTTGTCCATCGCCAACTGGCCTATGCGATCGGCTATGACGGCCAAGGAAGCGAAATGGTTGACGACGGTCTTCGCAATAAGGGAAAATTGGACAGGGTCTGCCAGAATCTCAATTTCAGACACAGAAATGCTCAACTAGCAGGGAGAGCGAGCATCGAGTACTATGTCGGGCAAGCACTAAAGACAAGAGCGAAGAACACCGCAGATGCGGCCATTGATGCCGACGCATACGTGATGCGAGTGTTCGAGAATGGGATCGTGGTCTTTGTTCCTCAATTTGGTATTGAAGGACTGGTTCGTCTTGAAGACTTTCAATTGAAGACGGATGAGGTCTTGAGGCGGGAGAGTGACTTTGATGCGGATGCATACCGGCTGACCGTCTTTGAGAAGGGTCATGAACGAGAGGCTGTGACCGTTGAATTGTTCCAACAGCTTAAGGTTCGAGTTAGTTCGGAAGAGAAGGACGGTGCCAGAGAGAAGGGCAAGAGAAGGGTTCGAGTGGTAGTTTTATCTTGAAAGGCATAAGTAAATATGATAGAGACCCTGTCAATCCTGACCAGGAAGACAATGAAGAGAAAAGTGTCGGACCGTTCGTGTTGAAGAGCCATAATGGGAGTTGACTTTATCGTTGGTTCCGCCGCCAAGAGAAAATAAAATATTTCTGATGGGAAGGATTAATTAATTTGCGAGTCTTCGAGTGATTCTTTTACGGCAACAAACTTGACAGGCGGTCGGCATGATACAACCATGACTGGACCTCCGAACAAACGGCGAAAAAGAGAAGACTACAAAAAGAATCAGGAGAGTCTCAAGACTGCAGGAAATGGACTTCAAAGTGGCAACATCAAACTGCCCCAAAAGAAGTTCTACCGACAACGGGCTCATGCGAATCCTTTTTCCGATCATGCTCTGACATAGTGAGTCCTCCTCATGTGTCATGAACGGCTGTACTCTTCTAGACTTTCCGCCAACCGTGCTCACTATTTGTAGTCCTACCAGCCCAGCCAACATGGACTGGACCCCTCACTATCCTGCATTTGTGCAATGCAAGGCTGAGGATGGAAAGCGAGGAACTTTGACCCAAGATGTTGAGGTTGCAGATATCGGCTGTGGTTTTGGTGGCCTTCTTGTTGCCTTGTCACCCATGTATCCCGAGACCTTGATGCTCGGTATTCGCCATTCAATTCGTTTGGTGTTTCTGTTGCTGACCACGAGGTAGGTATGGAGTTACGACTTCAAGTTCTGGATTATGTTACCAATCGAGTCGCCGCTCTCCGCGCTCAGAACGAATCCAAATCGTCTTCCGTGGACGGCAAGCCAACACTCTATCAAAACATCTCGGCCATACGGACGAATACCATGAAGTTTCTTCCCAATTATTTCCGTCGTGCCCAGCTGTCAAAGATATTTTTGTGCTTCCCTGATCCCCATTTCAAGCAGAGGAAACACAAAGCACGTATCGTGTCTGCTCAGCTCAACGCCGAATATGCTTTCGTCACAAAGCCAAAGGGGATGGTCTATACCATTACAGATGTCGAGGAGCTGCATCAGTGGATGGTCAAACACTTTGAAGGGGAGGAAGCAGGCGACGTCAAAGAGTTATGGGAGAGAGCAACCGAAGAGGAGCTTGAAGCGGATCCGTGTGTGAAGATCATGAGTGAGGAAACAGAGGAATCCAAGAAAGTTACAAGAAATGGAGGAAAGAAGTTCATTGCTGTCTTTCGGAGAAGGGAGGACCCTGAGTGGCCTGACTGACCATCAGCATAAGTAGCGGGAGTTTTCCATACAATAAGATTCTTCCTCCTGGCCCAAAGACATCACGGATATATTCAAGGGGAGGGAGAGTAACCGAACTACCGGACTTGTTGGACTTCGGGGTTCGCCTTCTTTCCAGATTTCCTTCGAAAAAATTATCATGACTGAGTCTTTCCAGATTGCCTACGACAGGAGTCATTTCTACAGTCTGGCCTTGTTTCAAGACGTCGATATCTCTTAGTGGACCAGTATATTTCTTCCGACTATCAACAAACCATTGGATGACTGAGACCGATCACATGCTTTTCAGTTGGGAACGTGAGGAGGACAAGCCGTGAACATGGCGAGGGCTATACCGACCTGTTTCTTGATAATGTCTATCCTCAATTTGAAAAAAAGCCAGCTTACCAAATTGCAAGTCCAGCCAAGGCAATCTGGCAGAATGAAGGAACGGGATGTGGGTAACTTAGGTGGGATTAGCACGTGTGATTCCTAGGGCGACCACCGATGCCGACGCGATGGCGTTGAAGGCGCGCTGCTGGAGCCCAAGGACATGCCACCGAACATTATGATGGGAATCAACGTCAACCAGAGGGTATTCAAGAGGAAGCTTTAAGTCGGCCATGGACTTGAGCAAAGAACCGAGAGGCTGGAAGTCCACGATCTCGAGCGAAGGCGTACACTGTTCGGCTGCCTGTGGTCATGATGTTCACTGCCGCAAAACTGGGCAGGAAACAGTCAGCCATATTCCTGCAAATTCTGGGCCTCTCAGTTGAAGGTCGCATAATGAAAGCGATTCAACCCACCAACAGGCAAACCGGGGGGAACATGGGCAAACAGATTGATCCCAACTTGTTTCCAGTCGCATGAGAGAATTTTGTTGCATTGGACCGGTGGACGAGCTGATCACGGTTTGCACGTTACTGGACACAAGCAAGAGGACGCTCAGGGAGATGAAGACTGTTACCACCCGATCACGACGCATCCGATTATGTAATTTTTGGTCCAACAACCATTGGATGTCCGACTCCCTCGATGCAATGGGACAGTTATCCTCACTAAACTCGTATTAGCAATGTGGTCTCGCAAATGAGAGGAGTGAGAAAGAGGCTAGAAAGCCAGATCGGGGTAATTCTAAGTGAAGCTATACATATAACCCATCTTGACGGCTTCCCCGTCGTAAGATTAACGGTATGCATAATTTCGCAAAGAATCCTTGATCTGAAGAGGAAACTCGGCCTGTATTGGAGGGAGTATGAGGCCAGGCCCAGCAACAGCAAGACCTGTCCCGATGGACCCAACACAAGTCTTGAGAGGACTTATGATGGCGTCAAACCCGGTGAAACTTTCCATAAGTTTGAATTAAAAAGTATGAATCTCGGAGGAGACAATTCACCAGGGTGTGGGAAAACAAACTAACCCGAGATCACCTTGCAAAAAGGCCCAATAAACCAGGCAAGGCATTCCGGCTAGCTGGTTTCATTACTGATTGTTCAATACACAAAGTCACCGGATCGGTAGCCGAGCAAAGTGCAACCATATCAGGGTGGATTTGGTGACCAAGGGAAGTAGCCTTGTCATAAGTGCATTGACCAGGAATGTAGAGACGTTGTAACCGATATAAATCGGGAATTGGTGTCATCAATGTGACGGTGATGCAAGAGAAATAATCTGAGAACGAGCTGGCCACCAAGGCAACCCAATCAGCACTATTGATCCGCCCAGGCCTGATGGCTATCAGGATCATTTGAACCACGGCCATGGCCCAGCAAGGAACATCTGCCATCTGGTTAATACAGTTCTTTCTCATTCGCATCTCGTACCGGCGTTTCTGCTTCGCTTGAAAAATGACCACGTCGCACCAAGATTCATTCAATGCGGGTGTATTTTCTTCCCACGCTTCAAGAAGTCATGGCCATGGAGAAGCCAGAAAACGTTCCAAAGGAAGCCGCATGGATATGGGGCTCAGAGGACGAGGTAAGAGATCGAAGTCTTTGACCGGGTTGAACAGCGAGGCCGCCGCGCAGATCTCCTATTCTACCCGAGTACATGCTGGCTTGTTGGGGAATCATGATAGGTGAGCTGCTCGATCTAGAGGAGTTGTCGAAGAAGTGCAGGGAGCTACGAAAACATTCGTTCCTATTCGTCAGTGCACCGGTGAATTTACCTGGCGGCATTGCTACTTTGGCGAATGCGTTGTGCATTTTATAAGAGCCCTCGGTCAACTCGAGGTGCCATGTCGGCTGGTTCGGGTCTGGAAATTGCTAACCCCTAGAAAAATCCAATTTTGGGAAGGGGGAAACCACGATCTAATCTATCCAGGTCATCACCTTCACCGTTGATGTGTACCGCGCCCGTTTCAATCGCTCAAGCGATCTTCAAACCTCTCCGGAGATCCTCGCCGGTTTCAAAAGAATACAGCGAGACGGTAGGGCCGAAAGACTCGACATGGTGTATGTCCGTTGAAGGGCCAATGTTTTCCTAAGCTATCGCCCGGGGTCACTTTTGAGCATGCGGTGGAAGGGTTCGAGAATTGTCTTGTGCACCAGGATCCGTTCGGCTGCCCATACAGATCTGACCAGCATGAAGGAAAGTCCCTAACGCAGATTCCCGCTCTGCATGTGGCCTATTGGCGTCCCCGTAGACTATTGTGGAGGCCTTCCCGCCCAATTCCATCACAGTTGGTTTCGGATATCGACCTGCGAGCGAAGCAATGATCGATCCGACAGCCGTGCTACCGGGTAAAGATGATTGTCTCAATAGTAGGCAACTTGGTAAGATGACAAGTGACCTTCGCGGCGTCAGCTGGCCGATGATATTATGTGTTTAAGCAACACGGCGGAAACCTTGTGCCGTGCAGGACCGAGGCCAGGGCCCAATGAGTGACGGGTGCCGCTTCCGGGCCTTTTAGAATGACGGTGTTTCCCCTACGGCGAGGTCAATTGAGCAATGCATCTCTCACACGTCTTTGATCAAAGACATACATGGCAGGCGGTTGCAAAATTGCTCGGATACCAAGCACGTTGGGAGCATTCTAGGGGGCAATTCCTAGTATTACACCGAAGGGCTCTTTCACCACTATCGCCGTCTTGCCCTCTTCTACAATGAGGACAGTCGAAGCCAGAGCAGTATCGACCAAACCCACGATGCTTTTTCATTCCTCGTACGCCAATTTGAGTTCAAAATCGAAAACTGCTTTAGGTTCTCCCAGTCTCAGAGTAGCTGTAATGGTATAGTTCCTGCCGACGTTCCTTGAGCAGTTCTGCGGCATGAAGAAAGATAGATGTCTCGGCGTTCGGAGGGCTTGGTTCTACGCCAATGCTGAAAAGCCCTCGCTGCCGAAGCGATGGTATTGTCCACGTCCGCAGTGTCCGCAGAGGAGCAACGATATAGAACTCGGTCGTTAATGGGAGAGACAACATCGAGGTTTGTAGACATCGTTGTCTCACGACCGTGGAACCACAGCGGAGTAGTAGATTCTACGTTGATGCGACTTGAGGGTGACAGCAGACTGAGATCCTGATGCATCTCTAGCCATTCTTTCCATGCTAGAATCTCGGTTCCTCCAGGATGGCAATATTGACGCCGATGGCAGCGACCTACGCCTTATTAAATGGCTTGCTTTGAGCAAAGCCTTCACTTGAAATACGTGAAGACTTAGGATACCGGAAAACCAATGTCTTGGGCCCCATCTCAAGAGCTTCTGGCTTACGATGACCGGATTGCCCTCGTGGCGCATCAGGAGCTTGGAGGTGGTCCGCGACTGCCCTCACAGGCCACAGACCGGAGCTCCGCCTAACCGGGGCTCCGACTCCCCTGTGTCCTCCCCACTACTATGTGATACTAGTAAGTACTAACTAGTGTATCCGTACCACCTCCCAACCACCAGAATCTGTTGTCGCTCAACTCAGTACACAGGAGTGATTTGTTTCGCTTCCTTGCCTTCTTTTCAGGGCATCATGTCGGACCGGAATAACAAGCCTTTCGAACTTACAAGCAACACTCCTCGATCGAGCAAGACGACGATCAATATCGCTGGCTTCCATGTATACCTGTACGGAGTCGACAGCCTGACGCCCGAGCAAGCTCACGACACAATTGTCCTGTTTCATATCCATGGCCGCACCAGAACGTACACAGACGCAGAAGCGATCGCGCACGAGCTGCTGTTCAGATTCCGAAAGCGAGGTGGAACTCGAAAAGGCCTGGTCGTTGCAACTTTTGACAATCGAAACCATGGAATGAGAGCGGCATGTCTTCACAAATCACTTCGTGTCTCATTTCTGGCAACTGATAAAGTGTTTTCTAGATCGATAACATGGCGGTGTAAAAATAATCAGTCGTACCGACTCGGAGTGTGCAGCTAACGAAGCTTTTCAGGCAAGACTGGAAAGGGGGAAATCCCAGACATGCGTATGACCGCCGTTGGTCGCCCCCATGCATCAGTTGACTAAAGAGGAGACAGGCAAGACATGCTATCCACGATAGGTACGGCGACTCCGTACCTGAGCTAAATAGCTGTGGGATCTAAGTCAACTGCGCACTTCAGACGGCATTGTCCTTGACATTCAGATTGTTCAGAAGCACCTTGCGACTTATGTCGACGGTGCGTTCCTCCCGACAGAGTTCATCGCCACCGGCCTGTCACTGGGAGGCCATGCCACCTGGAACATCCTTGCAGAAGAACCCCGCATTACGAAAGCCATTATCATCGTCGGATCACCGAACTTGACTGACCTACTCCTCGAGCGACTGAGAGGATATACCTCCACCGCTGATGTTCCAGACGGCACGAGAGAATGGCCACGGTCGATTGCGAAGCTCTACCAGGACAGAGACGAGGCAATTTTGAAGATCTCGGGGAAATCAATCTTAATCTTGAATGGTCTCACTGATACCTTGGTTCCGAGCAGGTTCACCCGTCCTTGGGTAGAAAAGTACGCCGCCAGCAATCAGGTTGAATTCATCGAGCAGAAAGAAAACGGCCACTGGCTGTCGTACGAAATGATGGACAGGATCGTCGATTGGCTACTGCCGGTTCTAAGCTAGATGGATGTGTCACACGTGGAGGAGGAAGGACATGGAAATTCCATTGCGTCGGTTGGGAAGCAGTCCCCATTAGCCTCGCATCATTAGAACACTTTTAGATTTTTATCGGCTATATATAGTACATTGTCATTGGTCGTAAGAGAACCACCAAAGCCTTGCTTGCTGGAAGTCATCATTCATAGAAGAACCAGTGACGCCCATAGCAGTGTCCGGCCATAGCGGGAGTTGAGATTCGGCTAGGACTATGTTACGTTTAGCACCGGTTGGGTCATGATGGGTGGGGGAAAATGGAAAAGGATTATACCCACATCTTTCGATATCCAACATGGACTCATTGATCTCTAGCATTGAGTCTTGGAACAGGCTATTTCCCAGATCAATAGGAGGGCTTGTCGGCAACGCAGCTGATGACCGGCTACGCTCGGCAGGTTGCTCTACGGCATTGGACCAATACGGTGGTTGCCCCTGTTCGACGCCGTCACTTGACTGTGAGCCCACATATGCCGGCGGAGCTTCACGGATCGACGACAGGCTGTACTGCGCCATCTCAGCCACCCCTTTTGGATCGTCATCATCTGTGTCCTTGGCGATGATGGACTTCATCTCTCTTCTCAGCACTTCTTGAGCGAGATTCTCCAGGATACCGAGACTTTGGCTAGAGACAACGAATTTTCGTCGCAATCGACGTGGCATCTTGATGACCCTGCTCAACCCTCGCTTCGACTCCCATGCCCACCTGCTCAATGGATCACTGCTGGCAAATGCGCTCAGGACTGCCCCAGCCGTAAAGAGGTGAATCCCAACGTAAGATATCGCACGGGCTTGTTGATTTTCGCGAAAGGCGTGATGTTTGCCGATTTTCGATATTCTCATGGTCGCCTTCCAGCAAGGAGTCACCGACCGACGGAAAATTTCAAGTGAGATACTATCCTTGACCGCCAAGATTGGTCGGTGAAGCAAGATCAGTGCGTTGTCGTATGCCGGTTGGAGCAGCAGTGCTTGAATTCCGTATATGGCATTCTTGATCTTCTCCCTGCGTTCCCGCACTTTGCTCGAACTCTTATCTATGTCGTCGGAAGCCGGAATGATGATTTCGTCGTCGTCCTCGTCAAGAGGTTCTTTGCAACCTGGATAGGTCAGGTCTTCAGACAGGCGCAGAGCTTTTGGGAGATCGTTGTGCCACCTGCTCAGTTGAAGCTCCAAACTTTGGACGGCTTCGATCAGTCCTTTTGATTTTCCTCTCGAGTCAAGTGAGGGTTGCGCTGGTCTCTGGCTTTTATATTTCGACATAAAAGCGTCAAACCCACCGTGCGGCTGCCGATATAGGGTGGATGTGATTTGACCAAGAATGATGTAAAATTGCAACTTGTATGTTTGATACGTGAGTAGTGTGGTCGGTGTATTGCTGCCGTCCGGGATTCCCGTTGTCGACATGTCGCGTAAATCATCCTCGATCATCAGGAATGAAGAAGATCCCGAAGGCGGATATATATTAACTTCGCTGGGGATGCCAGCAACGCAGTCTTCGTCACTAATTAAAGGCGGGAGGCCGTAGCACATTGCGAGGAATCGGTCAGACGTGTGTACCGCCCAGAAGAGGCGCCATCGGAGCTTGACGTCTTTCGTCACGTTCCATGCGCTGGTAGTATCGCGAAGTCCAATGTAGCTCTGAGTTCTCCTTGTGTAATAACACAGCGTGTGCTGCCCGTACGGTGCACCCTGAATTTGACCAAGTGAGATTGGTATCGCCATGGAAGAGGTATAAACTGCCAAGCAACAGGAGCGTTTGGACCGTGGCGAGAGTTCCACATGCGAGGATGTCGGTGGCATTGCTCCGAACCACTGAGAAGAGCTGAGAGGTCGATTTCACTATATTCCAATCGTGGGGGACAAATGATGTTGGCTCATACCGGTTTGACTCACGACAAAAGTCCACATAAGTGTGCCTGCAACGACGCATGCGCGCTGCATGCATTGATGTATAGCGACCACCGAGAGCGACCACCGTCAGGGCCAGCGCCGCAAACGTAAAGTCGTCGTCAGTGTTGTCAATGAGCGTACGGCCTTGTGCGTAGACGTCAAGCATGGTTCTGTAGTGATGCAGAAAGTGACCTTCGTGCAGAATAGCCATGAACCAATGGACAATATTGAAATAGACACTAACCAAATAATCAGTAACTGGTCGAGGTGGGAGATGCGCGAGCAGAGATACTGCCAAAGGTCTCGAATACGACCAAGGAAGGACCGCGCGATATCGAGGATCGATGAAAGCGCGAGTGGAGGGCGTAGCCATAGACTCGGTGCCACTCGTCGCATTGGGTAGCAGCGGCAGGCATTCATTTCCATTCTCTCTTGTCTCATGATCGACGGCCGAGCCCATCAAGTGGCCAGGAGTAAGAGTAAACAGCTGCGTGTTCATATTATCCCCTAAGAGGTTCACCGTCGCCATGGTCTCGTCGGGTATAGGAGCCTCTGACTCGTTTGAAGGTGTCCTGCGAGCGGGTACCCTTCTGGCCCACGACTGATTTGAGTGCTGAGAGTTCGCCGGACTTTGGTCGGACGCCGTTTAGATGGGCGCGCAGACGTCGCTCGGACCGTAGGCCCGCCGCTGGAGATGTCAAGTTGTTCGTAAGCAGGCCTGCTGATGCATTCTGCGCCAGCCTTCACGCAGAGTGAGCATGGTCGGAATGCGTCACACTGTGTTTCGGTGAGCTTCACCACAACGCTCGTCTGAAAGATTAACTCATACTTTGGATTTTTGCTTTCGACAACGTATACATGCACGCACGAACTGACGCGTTTGTTGGAGATATCATGGCAGCGACAAGCTTTCGTGGTCCTCCTTCTCATCGTCGTCGCCCTCACCAGTTCTTTCCGGGATGATAGGAACGAGCGTACTCAGCATCTAGATGACTGGTGATTGATCCGAGAAGTTCGATGGTGGAACTCGTTTAACTAGCCATCTAGGTAGCTTATGAGGCCAATGCATGCGAATGGTCTTGTAACCGTAGCGCTAGATGGAAAGATCCAGCCGCAACGATAAGGGTCAAATGAAGCATCACGGACGAGGTTCGAGGCGGGCCAGACCTGCTATGGACAGAATTGGTGGCCGGTTAAACTCGTACGCCAATCGTGGGCGACGCGGTGCGTTTCGAGTTGGAGAGTCCGGAGTTCCGGCGGCAATGGTTTGGCGGTTCCAAGTCCCTGGAGTACCTACCTAACTAGGGTCGTTGAGGTACCCTTGTGTAAGCCCTCCTTGCGGCGTCGATGGCCCTGCCTGTGGCCACCGGCAGTCCGAATCCACATTCGCTATGGTCCCCGATGCCAGCTACAGCAACATTCGAGGCTGCGAAGGTGCCAGAACGTATATTAATTCTGTGACAATGTCCGATTCTCCCTGTCGTAGGTGTACAATCTTCATCCCTCGGGGCCTGTCTCGGACTGTTCGATCAGAATGCCGCACATGGCCTCCCCAGAGGCTGACGAACAGGCCTTCATTCCACGAATTATACACGCAACAGCCCATGCTCGGCCTTTGAAGCCTTTGGAAAATGGTGCTGAAGTCTCTGATCCACCCAGAATCACACAGAGAGATTCTCATGAAGTCGATTATGCCGTCCCATGAAGGTGATCGTGGTTGGGGCGGGAATCTCTGGTATTCTCGCCGCGCCCTCCGACGAATTCTCAACCTAGATCTTGTCGTATATGACAAAAATCCCGAGGTCGGTGGGACTTGGTATGAGAACCGATACCCCGGTGTCGCCTGCGGTATTACGTCTTGGCCCTTCCCAGAGGTGATATCGTGCTGATGATTGCTGTACAGATATTCCTGCTCATGTCTATCAAGCTTCGTTCGAACCCAATTCCAACTGGTCACAGTTCTATGCCTCTGAAGCAGAGATTCTTGAATACTGGAAGGGTATCGTTGCCAAGTACGACCTTCGCCGGTACATGAAACTTGGCCATAAAGTAGTAGAGGCCCGATTCAATGAGGCCGAGTCTAAGTGGTATGTCAAGGCGGAGGATTGCCGGACTGGAGAAGTCGTCCAGAACATTTGCGATGTTCTCTATGCGTGAATTGGTGCCTTGAACGATTGGAAATGGCCCGACATTCCTGGCCTGGAGACATTTAAGGGGAAGCTCCTCTGGTCTGGTGGTTGATATTCTCGTCAACAATGCCGGGATCGCTCACCGAGAGCCTATCCTCACATAGCCGGAGGACAAGTGGTACGACATCATCCAAGTCAACCTCTCGGCCGCGTTCGTGCTGGCACAAGCATTTGCCAGCGACATTGTTAAACGTAGAGCCCAGGGGAAGATAATCAATACGTCTTCCGTGGGAGGCTTCCTGGCTAGCAAGAACACCGTGGCGTACACGGCGGCTAGGCACGGAATCAATGCCCTGACCAAGTCGTTCTCGACCGAATTTGCCGCACTCGGGATCAATGTCAACGCAGTCGCGCCAGGCTACACCATTACTGAGATGACAAGGAAGAACCTGGAGAATAACGGCGAGGCTTTCTTGAAGCGTATACCCATTGGATGATTTGCAGAGACTTCGGATCTTGAGGGTGCGGTTCTCTTCTTCGCCTCGCCCGCGTCGGATTACGTGTCTGGACAGATTCTTGCCGTTGATGGAGGAAGAATCGTCTCGGATTTTGAAACCGACTTGATCACTGCTGACAGGAAGAGGACAGGATCTTCTTTATAGCTTGGAGTGCCAATGTGTTCGATGGGGGGGTTCGCGACATGATCCGTGCCATTGTGCGTCAACAGTGTTCTCGATTTCAGTTCAGCGCGTGACGGATCCTGTCGGGGCAGTCGGTGGTGATGTACGAGTAATAGGTACGGGGTTAAGTTTCTACCCTGATACGGAGTAGCTTAGCCCTTGCCGCTCAGGTTTCTCACGTGACTCTGGCCAAGCCGAATTATCCCTTTCGGGTACACTTTCATACCAATTTCAGTTAGTCATTGATGCTAACATATAGCAGCGGCAGAACCTTGACTGGACCTTGGCTCTTGCGCCCTTCACCCCGCCACGACCCATGTTCTGTGTAACTCATGCTCCCCCTACCCAGCAGAACCCATCGGTTTCGCTGCTGCAGAGGAATCCGCTTGAGAATATCCTCCAATGTCCTCCACAGACCGTTCCCGCGTCTCGCGCAGTGGCGCCATCACTAAAACAACCCCTCTCAAACCCGATCCTCGTCTGAACAACTTCCTGCGAACCAATGCGACGAATATCCTCGGGGGACTTGGGGGGGAGAAGAAGGCTAGAAGTGTAAACAGAGCGGTACAGCAGGGCCGATTGAAAGAGGCGAGGCCAACACACCCAGGCACTCAGAAGGGAGACAAATCCCGTAGTCGACCAGCTCCGTCAAAGTCTGCAGTCTCAAACCGGGCCATGACGACTCCAAAGGGTAAAACCCCAGATTTGACACGGGAGAAGGTCGAGGAGAAGCGTTTGCGTCGGTATCGAAGCCAACCTCCGTCCTCTTTCCTGGTGAAACTCGATCGTGCTCGGACCCAGCGCATGATCGTGCTTGGTCGCAGACGTTGTACAGAGAATGGTGTGCCGATCGAGGAAATCGATATTGTTGGCTCGACGGGAAATATTTATCAGGTGACTATTGGTCACGAACCTTCCTGCACCTGTCCGGACTCCATCAAAGGCCATGAATGCAAACATAAAGTTTATGCACTTCACCATGTTCTCAAGGCCCCCGAGCATCTTCAATATCAGACGGCCCTCCTGACATCCGAGCTTGAGGAGATATTTGCACATGCTCCCCCCATTCCTACGGACGCTGGAGGAAATGGAAAAGGAAATCGTAAATCAACCGACGGGGAATGTCCAATTTGCTACATGGATCTGGACGAAATGCACAATCGGCTCGTCTGGTGCAAGTCGCAGTGCGGACATAACATCCACAAGTCGTGTTTTGACCAGTGGGCCGCCAGTCAAGGAGATAAAAAGGTCTGTTGTGTTTACTGTCGGACACCTTGGGAGGCCGAGATTGGAGATGTCGATGCAATCAAGGCGGCTGGTGAGTTTAGTTCGGATGGATATGTCAATGTGGCAAACCAATTCGGCATGTCTAGAGCGAGAGACTATTCAAGTTACTATCTCCCTTGGGCCCGAAGGCAACTTGGATTGGGCTGGTGACAATGGCAACTTTACGCTGCCTATTGGACGATGGAACTTAAGCGGGGATGGCTCTGGACGGGTCGCTCATACCTTTGATCACGCTGTGTGCTGTTCTATACAATCACCCAGTATGATTCAATGCGGAAAGAACACCAAGGTAAATTTCTGTAGTTGTAAAAAGACTCGTCTGGTACGAATGAAAAATGTCATATTTCAGAAGTCCAATTCAATAACCGTGCACGTTAAAAGAAAAAAGGCCAGCTGAGATGGCCCAGTCGCGACACACGCTCTTTTCCCGTTCCCTTTTCCGTTCCATTCCCACCGCGCAGCTAAATGTACAGTGTAGAGTATCTATACATGACGAGGAACCGCTAACACCATACTTTTGCGCCGAACCGAGAAAATACCGGCTTCGTTAATTCTGGACAAAAGCTATGCCCTGCGATTGCCACAAAGTAAGTCAGCTGACCTGAACATCGAACTGGTTCCTTGTTTCAAATAGCCATGGACCTAGGAAATCATGCCACTTAGGGTAGTACACTTTCCCAAGTAAATTGCCGATTCCCGCCGTAACCAATTACCCCGTACTTCAAGATTTAGAAAAAAAAAAAAAAAAAAGAGAACGCAACCAAAGCAGAGCGTGGCCGTTGGGGAATCATGATCTCGTGGAGTTTCTGAAACGCCGATACTGTACAACAAATAAAACATTATATCATAACGGGGCTTCTCAAGGCGGACTTGGCCTGAGGTGAGCTGGAGGCCACTATTAGCTCGGGACTGGAACCGACTTCTCTTTTTGAAGCAGATGGGTCCAGTTCAGGAAGTCGAATTTGTCCTTGTCTTTTCCGGATTGTCCTGCTTCTGGGTTGGGACTCCTGCTCTGTTCTCGTGGCTCCAAAATCAGGGATCGTCGATAATGAATTTGGAAACTCTTCTCGCCTGCTGAACGGACTCGGATCAATTGGTCCTGCATCCATGTTTGCAGTTCAGAGATCTCCGAGAACCTGTACGGGATTTGGAATCTTTGCAGCTCTGAGATGATTTTGGCTGTCTTCATATGCTTGTCCAAGTTGATGACGGAGATTTCCCCTTGGTCCGTTGCCAACGGCCGGGTGGCAGGATTTGCGGAATCAACCATTGTCAAGTCGGTCAAGTAGACGCCAATGAAGGGGAGACAAGGCGGTAGCTGTGATTGGACGCGTTGGCGGAGGACCGAGTAATTTCTGGACACGTCCACCACCTTACACAGTTCGTCGAATATTGTTTTCGTCTTCTGGGGTACAGCTTCCCAAGTCCTTCTCATGCGTTTGATATTGGTTGAATCTAGAGCGCAGACGATCGCCATAACTGTGTCATAATTGTTCAATTCCAAACATTTGTTTGCAATCTTGACCCATTGTTTGATGATGGCCGCCCTCTTTTTCGGTTCTTCGAGCTGGAGGACAGAGTCTGAGACCAGATTCGAGACATCGGTTGATAAGGTAGACATGGCCCGGACATTGACGGCCAAGGAGCTGGTACGTTTGGTCCATTCCGTGGCAAGAAGCTCTTCAGGGAGAATGGAGCAGAAAATCTTGGAAGTCTTCAACGTTATCTGGCGAGCAAGCTCAAGAGGATCGAAATCCAGGATGCTGACACCAGCTCCACCCATCTTCCAACCTCTCAACGCTGTGAGCTGACTCTTGGATATGACGGCTGGTGGCAGAGGAGCGTTTGGATCAATGTACGCCGCCGAGGACGTATTCGTCTTTCCTATGGCAGACAGGACTCTTGGAACAATCGGACCATGGGTCGACGACACTTTGTCCGCTAACTCGAGAATCCTCCTTCCTGCCATGGGTATTGCCCCCATCAATGATTCTCTGGCGAAGCCTACAATCACAGGCAACGCCGTATCATCACAATCGTGCCTCCAATGAGATTCCATCCAGCCCTTGAGCACATTGTAAACCCTGAGCCTGACGGGATTGGCGATGCTTTGATTTCCCCCGACGTACTCGAATCGATATGCCAAAGCTTTAGCAAATTCCTCCGGCTTAGCAAACAATCGGAATGTCAGATAGATGGTGGCGATGAAGGAAACATCCGGCGCCGAGTCGTGCTCGGTCAATCTTTCAATCAAGGCGTTCAAAGTGCCTCCAACCACCAAGCCTTCTCGGTTGAAAACAAGCTCCTGGGCGAACGTTTGGACTAGGATGGCAGCCTCCGCATCTTCCTCACCACCTAGAGGAGTGAATTCATCAAGGCCTGATGGGGCTGAGGTAGACTCCCCGAAAGCATCATTGTCGTCTCCATGAATCGAGGTCACTCGAGTTGACGCCGACGAAACGTTACTTGGACCAGAACGCCTATGGCCTCGCTCGAAGCTGCTCTCACTGCTTGTGCTATTGAACTTTGGCGACACAGGTATGACTTCTTGATGTAGAGGTGATGACGAGGGTAATGGGGAGGATCGGATAATATCCACCATGACATCGTCCTTTGGTGTTGGGGGTACGCTGCCGAAGCCAGTGGATGGGGACATGGCTGTGTTAACAGAAAGCGGGGGAGTGAGCACGCCTTGTGGGATAGAAATGCGAGGCCGCTCCTTGACTTTGTCGGGCATTTCTTTGATGGGTGGTGTCATTCCGGTGGATTGAAGAACAACAGATGAGCGAAGATCGTGAGAGGTGGGTTCTGGTGTGTTCGATCCGTCCGAGTTTCCTCCCCAAAGCTGTGAAAGACTTTCAATTTCAAAGTCGCCAATCTCTTCCAGCGTTGCTTTGGTTCTGGCCACACATCGACCTGCAGCGCTTACACACGCGGTGGCAGCTTGCACAAGATTATGAGCCTCCTCTGGGAGGTAAACCAAGTCCTCTTCGATTGAATGGATGGGCTTGAAGACTTGACGAGCAGCATGAACCAATTCAGTGATGGCGTAATACATGGAGTCTTTAGCCTGGACTAGAGGTCGAGAGGTGCTGTCATCTCGATCGATGACAGTTTCAACGATGGCGAAGAGCTGCCGACATGCCCTGACGGCGTTTTGAGTAGTAAGCAGCAGCTCGGAGGAAGACCTGGATTGCATATGGGATCCAAGGAACGACGCCAAAACCGTGAGAAAATCGTCGTAGGACCGGTGCAGAAATTCTGAGATGAGGTTGGTGTTCTTTTGCTTTGGTCCCCGGCTGTAAGACATTCGATGTGTGATTGACGAGTGTCGACGCACTGAAGTCGACTTCCTGGGTGAATGTAAACTAGATCGTTTGGATAGCATCGAGCCACCACAAGGGTTTGCACCCACCGACGTTGAGCCCTTATGGCGAATGATTGAGTGTGTTCCGCTGGAGCCCTGTGATGGCAATTCCACAGCAGCCTCAGAAGGGGACTCGTGTGGTTCCGTAGGGCTGGGAGTGACAGGAGCCATCTTCTCGCTCCAAACGTCAAAGAATAACACAGCTCGAGTAACAATTCGGAAGGCTTTCAATAGCATATCGTCCAGCCTTATGTCCAGGTCCTTGTGAGAGGACTGTACCACAATGACCTGTTGCAGTTGTTTGGCCGTGCGAACGAGTAAAGCAAGGTCTGACAAAAGGCTTTTGCGCGTTCTTCGAATGCCCTCGTGCTCTTTGACCAGGGAGGAATCCCGCGTTAGACATTCGGACCGTTCTAACAGAGCACGAACCCCGGCCACCAGGCCTCTCATATAGTCCTGGCTGCGGAAAAGATTTAGATTGGAATCGCTCCCACACCTCACAATGTCCCAGAATTCGGTCAAGGCCCTGAGAAGTGGTCGCATGGCGGCATAGTCATAAGCTTCGCAGTAGTTGGTGGGCAACCAGCCTCGTGCTCCGGTTTCCAAGAGAGTTCCGTCGGCCCAGCCATTGACATGAACAGAATGTACCAAAATGATATCCCCAGCATTGAGAGGAAGTGTGACAGTGGTAGATGAGTGAGGAGAAGGTTGAAATGGATAGAGGGCTCGGAGGTAGTTGTAGAATCTTGCGTGCGTAGAAGCTAATTCGTCCATTGGCTCTGAATCCAGTGTCGCCGTTGGACTGGGGTGAGCTGCAACAACCTCAGCTTCGTCGACCGACGGACCATGGTCATCGTCGCCGCTGTTCTTTCGAATTCGTAGAGGCGCAATAAATATGCTCGAAGGGTGGATTTCGCGCATCTTGCCGTAGAAACTCGACGTTCATCTCGCTCAATATCGGAGCACCTGTGCTTCCAGCATAGGCTTCCGCTTTCAATGTTTTAACTGTACTCGAGTTCCGTGGAGGATATGGAGGTCGTGGCTGGCGAAGAAGAGAGGAGAGGGAAGGTGCGTTGAGCCCAGCCCGCAAGCTGCTATGGAGGATTGAGTTTCCTGTTGCGCGGTGGTAGGGTCAACCAAAGACGCAGGTACAGCCCAGTTTCCACGAGGGGGCGAGAGTTGTGTAGGGGGTCGCTTCACAATATCTTGTCGCACAATCAAGGGGGAGGAATAGTAGGAACCCGAAGAGTCGCAAGGGCTAGGAGGTTGATGCTCGGGTCACAACCAAACAGGATGAAGTGTGACAGATCGTTAAGGGGAGTTAGCGCACAAGGGCTGGTATTATTGGTATGGAGGGAGGAATAGGTTCGAGGAGACTGCTAGAGGATTGAGACAGAGGGAGAGTGGGAGTGAGACAGCGCCAAATGCGTAGGAGAATTTCAAGGGCCAAGGTTCAAAGTCTCAAAAGTCCAGAGTCTTTCTGCAGCATGTGTATTTTCCATAACAGTAGCCTAAAATTCGAGCCCAAGCCACCGGAAATCAACTTGCTGCCCCGTTCTCCGTACTTTGGCTCTGTCCATCGATAGCACACAGTATAATTATTTACTCGGGAAAGGCCAGGTTAGGAGTAAGTTACCTGTTGGCTGGTTAGGCGGCTCGGGAAGTGGAGGAGTGGATGTCCGCTCGAGGGCCAAGTTGGCGCTTTTGCAGGCATGGCCCTACAACTTTTGGCCAATTCTGCTGTATACATTGCCGCTACTATCGTTGGTACTCAGTATTGCATCTGACACAAGCAGCAATGCTGCAGTTTTACTTTTCCTGCTGTTTATGGATAGCTGGGTTTCGGTTACAGTACCATCTCTGGTGTAAAATTGGCCCCTTCGCAATCTTGCCTCTATGCTTCGAGGGACACTTTGGGAGCTGCCTGAACAACCTACCTCGACATCAAGCAATTTGACTGCAATTGCTGATGAGGCATTGCTTAGCCAGGGGCAAATCCATCCTCTGCCAGTAGTGCATTATTACCTATTGGGACCAATCCGACCATCATCTAGCCCCATCACCCCACCAGCCCATTAGACAGGGGGTGCCGGGTTTGCGGGACAAATTTCCCTTGAAAATGCCCGTGTCCTTATCACCGCCGAGGCACATAAAAGTCACTAGGGATTCGTGAAAAATTGTCATTGACCCTTGAAGAGGACTTGAGTCCATAGTCAAGAGCACTATCACAGAAATCCTGTGTCCCGGGGAAGTCGAAAACGAACTAGAAGGTCCAATTCAGCCGTCGGGTTCAACCGTTAGGTTCCACCTTTGGGTTCCGCCGTTGGGAATTTTTCTTTTTTTTTACTCATCGTCTATAGGACATGAACGCAGATATGTTTTGTGTCTTCATTATTTCCGCATGCACATGTGCCTTTTTCAACATGCCCATCGCCATGATCTGATCTGCGGGTCCGGTGTCATTTTCGAAACATTCAAGGTTCACGCCGATCCAGCCCTGCCTGCCGTCGCTGCTCCTTTTTTTACTTGACCAACCAGTACCCAGTGTCCTCCGACTTGCCGTGAGTTCTAAGCACGTGTCTCGCGCCTTACGCCTCTTGATGCAATCTCCAAAGAGCCAGCCAATGGCAGTTGGGTTTAATTTCCACGTCGGGATATTATGGCAGGCTTGGACCAATCGACTAACGCTTCATTACGCAAGAAGCTCACTCTGGCCTGCATTTTCCTTTTTGGATGTCCCAGGACTCATCCAGGCCGCATACTTCGGACACACGCCACATATTCAAAACAAGAACGATTTCGGTCCTTTTGATTCATGGTAAAATAAGTTGTGTTCGCTTGGTTGATACAGGTCAATGGGACTATCCTGAGGAGTTGACGGGCAAGCCAGGCGTGGAGATGACACTCTAGTTTCTCTTATCCATCTGCATCTGTGCACCGCGAAATATTCCACTTTTCCCTGCTTGAAGCTGTTATTGGAAAGATGCCCCAAAATCCGAATATGAGACGTTTGGCACGGACCTGAATTTATTGTGCAAAACACCAGACCGTCGGTGGCAAAACAGGGGTTGGTGCTAAAGACCCCTCCTAACCTACCTGCTAAACCCAATGGAATTGGGCCCGACGTGTCCATTCGCCCTCAATAAAGGCAGCTTGTCATCGCGTCCGGTGCTGCAACCATGTTTACATGGCGCAGCGGTGGAAGTCCACGGAAGCCCCCCTCACCACATGACCCCTTCCCAAGTTCGCTCAATTACTAACGGCATTTTCTTACCACTAATTCTCAAACACTCTGCAACGCAATTCTAAAGCAGGATATGACAAATTGAGTCGAACGTGCCTTGGCGAAACCGAGGTTGACGCGGGCTCTCTGCCATACGTCGCGTGACCCGTGATTTCTATCCACGTCCCCGCCTTGAAGCGAGGGTCAGAGTATGCTGGGCGCGATAAATAAGAGTAGCCTCTTCGGATTTGAATTCTCATCATTAAATTCAGTCCTATTCCTAGAGTCCCTATTGCTCGTACGCTAGTAGAGGAAAACAAATAACCGAAAAGTACGTTCGTGATAGCTTCATCGGGCAACACATCGGACGCATCAAAGCTTCAGGTCGTTCACTGGATACCGAAATGTCTTCTAGACGAGGTGAGCAATTCGCTCTCCAACAGCAGCTCTTTGAACCTCATTCTCCCTCAAGTTGTCGCGAACGATCGCAAATGGTTCAACGGTACAACCCTTCTCAAGCCTGACGCCTGGATAGATCACAGCACCCTCGCCAATGATCACTTCCGACGCGATGATTACCGGCTGAGCGATCCATGCTGCCTCACTGCCACGGCGATACACCAAATCTTTACCCACGTCCGTAGTCAGAATGGTCACATTCGGCCCAATCCACGCTCGAGCTCCAATCTCAACTTTGCCGGCATCGTCAATCTTCGTGTTCGATCCAACGTAGACACAGTCCATCATCTTGATGTTGTAACCATAGGTGCAGCGGAATGGGGCTTCGATGACGACTCCTGGGCTGAGGACTCCATGTATAGTTAAGGGTGAGAGGAATTTGTGGGTGGTGTCTCTCCACGGTTCAAACACTTTCAGCAAAACGTTCCAAATCTCCTCTGGGCCGAGTCCCGAGTCGAACTTGCTCGCTTCATTGAATCGCGCAAGCGCTTTCGCACAACGCTGACGCTCATTTTGCAAGGTCGCATCGAAGTGGTTGTAGTAGGTGCCTCTCAGCATCTTGGAGCGTTCCACGTCCTCCTTGTTGAAGGTCTTGGCACCGGATTTGGGTTGATCAAAGCTAGCCGACGTCATCCGAACATGACTTGGAGGCGTATGATGCTCTGGTGCAGGGGGTCCCGGGGGAGCGTATGTATGTCGATAGTCGGGCTGTTGCGGTGGACCCCAGTGGCTTGGATGTTGTGTAGCTGGGCCCGAAGTGTGCGAGATATTTGGCGGCCCGGTTTGTGGTGGTGGCGGCGGCGGCGGTGCATGTTGAAGAGGATGGTGTGGCGGCGCCGGAGGTTGGGTTTGGTGTGACGGAGTCATAGAAGAGTGCTGAGTATGGGGTGTGCCTTGAGCTGGTGGTCGCGACATATCTCTGGGGTGTGCACTTGACGTGTCTGAGCGACCAAGTTCCGCAAGAGGAGGAAGATGGTCTGATGTATAAGAGGTCTGACTTGGTTGTGCTGCCCACTGTTGTTGTGAAGGTGGAGGTGGCTGTTGTCCCGGGTAGGGCGATGGTCGACCGAGTGGTTCATTCTGAGGACTCGTCGCATAATGTTGTTGGCGTGGGTTGTCGTGGTCATCCATTTGCATTGGTTGCATTTGACCGCCTTGTCCAGGTGGACGATTCATGTCAGGGGAATCATTTTTGGGCACCTGATAAGCCGATGGTTCAGACACGTCACCCGGGCCGTCCTTTGACTGGAGAGGTACAGGGACCTTGACCGGCGCAGGCTTGGCCGGCCAGATGCGTCTGCCCATATTGTAGCCCTTACACTGAAATCCTCCTCGAATGCAATTGCGACCTGATGAACTGGTTAGTGGGATGGACTCGATATCTTGCTGTTGTTGTGTGCAGGGTTCAAGAGTCTCGATTGCTTTCCACTTACAGATCGGGTGCTGCTCGTCACACTTCTTCTTTCTCTGGCGGCATGTCATGCAACCTGTTTTGGTGCGGTTGGCAAAGTTGCGTTTTCGTTTTTGAGCAGGCGTCCCAATGGTCGCGCCGTCTGGGCCATACTGATCAGGATTGACGTCTCCATTGGTACTGGGTTGGAGGTCCCAAGGTTTCGGCTGGGTTTCCTGTGCGTGCGTCTCGCGCTGCAACACTTCAGCCAACTGGGCCTCAGACGTGTTTGGCCGGACTCCGTTTAAAGCCGGAGTTGGCTGCGAAGGTCTTTCCGTTTGCCACGTGTGTCCATTCTGATCGACACTGGTACTGTTTGGATAATATGCTGTACCATTAGGGTCCGTATTCCCCAAGACGTGTAGTGCTCGATTGGCCATATGCTGTGGTTCTGGTTGCCTGGAGGGACTGTATTCATGTTGTCGCTGTTGTGCATATTGCACGACTCCATTCGATTCAGATCGTTTGCGTTTCTGGGCGTTGGCATCTTGGCCATTTGGAAGAGGGTACATGCCATTTGGAGCATGCGAGGGTACTTCGCCTCTGGGAAGGCGATCTTGTGGGGACGAGAGTTGACTCGAGTCGCTCTCTGTGAATCTGGTTAGCACGTATGAACGCGGCCACAAGGAATCGGTCACAGACCATTGCTAGACGCATGATTGACCGCAACAAACCCTCGAGAGCCAGCCTCGGGGCTTGAAGTCAGTTCATTTTCTGACGCTTGGTGATTGACGGATTTGGTCGTCACCATTGTGTCTGCAAGGCTCGACTGGACTATTTGGCACGTCGGAGCTTGGGAAGAGAGCGGAAGGTATAAGTGTTTGCAGGCAGTCCCTTTCGGGCCCGCGACTCCTGAATGGGAGGAGAGGGGGAGAAAAAAAAAAAAAGGATCACATAGGCATAAGAGGCTGAGACGAGGGCGGGCGCTTCGACTGGCTACCCCTTCTTCCGGAACAGGGCCAGATGACGTCTTCGAAGCACGAAATTGGACAGGAGAGGTCTGGGATCTCTGAAGTCGGCGAGAGGACGACACGCGCGGCGGCGAGATACAACAGTGGGCGCTTATGTCCCGTCACAAGAGGATGAGAAGTAAGCGCCCTGGAGGAGCGCGGGCGGAGACTAGGAGGATAACAGGTTTGCAGGGTAAAAGAGAATGCTAGAGTCTGATTTAGCGGACCGGCTTGTCATAAGAATTTATGTGCAATGCGAGGGATGGGTTGACCAACATCAAGTACTTCAAGTCGTCGGAGGTTATTTCTTCAATGCATGGAAGTAAGCGGCAGCCGCGAGAAGCGCAAGGCGGAGTTTGCTTTGGCGATGGGCGGAATCCGCCGCAGCTGGAACTTTGAATGGGATTGGTGCAGGGTCGCAGGTAGAACTAAGGCTGTGTCTTGGGTTTGAATTCGCAACGAGTGCAGAAAGAAGGTTGGAAAAGTTTTCGAAGGAGGGTCAGTTACAATTCGAAAAGTCTTTTAATATCGGGGGCATCCAAGCTCAGGTGCTCGCTATTGGAAGTGGGACAAGAAGGAAGAAAGAGGGAGAGAGAGGTGAGGGATATGCAGACATGCATTCCAGTCCACATCTGCAGCTCAGACAGCCTGACAGCCAGACAGACGGGCAGACGCACACAAGACACAGACACCCCGCAGGGCGGTGGCATGGGACAGGGACGAGCCAAGCAAACGAACGACGAATCCAGGGGACCGCCGGGCGCTTGAGAGGCGCTTGAGAAGGGCCTTGCCGCATGCCGCATCGTTCCTCCATCCCGACTCTGCACGCTGACTGGTCACCGCTGAGCACTGGCCTTGGGGGTTTTTCTTGCCATCTTTGCGTCTGGCAACTTCCAAGTTTCCAGGGGGTTCCGGGGGCCCCTCCGGAACCCATGTTCTAGCGTCCAGGATCCAGGAGAACCAGCAAGGCGGCATTTGCATTGGGAATATGCATCGCTCGCGGCTCACTGAATACACCGCTGAAAGCTGTTGCAGCGGCGCCGCCAACCAGAACCCCCGACGATGCTCATTGCCCAAGTTTCCCCGAGGTGAGGGCGATTTTGAATCAGGTCAGCATGATGAGATCAGCGCCTTCACCCGGGGGGCGACAATGCCGTACTTGCACTGGTTACGGCTTTACGAGTACTATTTACTACGTGGTGGCCTCCACATGCAGTCTGTCACCCTCTCTCCCCTTCGAGTCTGCTGCAGATTCCTTCTCCTCTCGGCTCGTCCGTGGCTCGCGCCTCAAACCGCCTGTCCGAAACATCCCCCCTCCCCGAAGCTGCGCGTTCCAAAACAGAGGCAAGGGCTTTCCTGGGATTCAGGGCCAAAACAGGTATCGTACAGGGGCATCCGGTTCATGTGATGGAGGACTGTCGGCAGAGACGATTGGCCGTGTTCTTCATATCTGAGGTCGACCTACGGCAGCCGGCAAGCCGCTCGTCAAAAATGCCGCCTGGACCCATCCATCATCCTTGCACCGTCACCCTCAACGCGGCCTCTTCTCGGCCTTGATTGGCCTCTCGACCTTGTGACAACGTAAACCGCGCGCATATCACGCTCGGTCCCGACTACACACGGACCATCTCATTTCCAGAGTCACGTGAGAGGGCGGTAGATGAGACAAAATCCGCCGCGCTTGCGTTTGTCGAGCCGACCCATAGGCCCCGCTGTCAGCATTATCGGGCGTGGACCATCGTTCTAATCCATCTGCAGTGGGGGATCCAAAAAAGGAGTTCGCTGAAACCGTACACATTCAATCGGTCTTATTTGCTACATCATATTGTCTAGCCATCGGTGACCCGCGTCTCTCCGTATCCAATACCCTGGCCTTTTACGCAGAACCAGGCCAACTTTTCCAGGCAACGTCAAATCCAGGCTCGGCACTGTGGAGTCCGGGAACCGTACCAAGGTCATCAACCGAACCTATCCCGACCAACACTGTAAGAGTAGGCCTCCCATGCGCACACTGAAATGGGAATGTGCATTGCGAGAGTCGTTGTACAAGCTGACCGCACTGGTCAGCGTCTAAGTTGTCGTTAAACATGATTGAGGTGCGACAGGACCGTGACTTTAGTATTTCCAGTGCTCCGGCCGGACAATGCGCCATGCTCGTCATCCAGGAGCCGTTCTGTCGTGCCGAGTCTTGGTCTGAGGGTCTCGGAGATACTCCAGGTCGGTTGGCATGATCTGACCATGCCTCGCTGCGCATCAAGTCAACCAAGAGCTTTGGTTCAACGCGGCAACGCTCTGCGAGAAGAGTCGGCAATGTCGTCACACTGACAGAAGGATTTTGATCCTGACTGCACGTAGATGGTGAATCTCGACACTTTCTGTTTATGGTATAGGTGAAGCACCACCTTCGAAAGTATGCCTTCCTCTCTTCGAAAAGCTTGGCCTCGACTTGATCCACCTCAAAAACTAGCGGCTTTGAGAGCTGCACAGAATGTGATTTGCAAAACTCTTGACACAATCTCTCAAACTTAATTCGCTCGTCGGCTGCATGTTGGTCGATAAGAATAAGAAGGTGGCTTTGTTCGTATTCTTTTGTGCAATCGATTGGAGAAGGTACCGTCGCCAGGATGAATTTTTGATCGACCTGACCCAGGACGGTTGCACAAGCAAGCGACTTTTTGGACACATTTTGTTTTTGCCCACTGGAAATGCTAGAATCCCCAATCCGCCACCGCTGTACGGTCGCCATGACCGTTTCGGTCGAGATGAGAGACGGGATCGGAGACTCAGGTTGTCGAGGAAGCAGGTTGTCATATTCCCGTAAGTTCACTGGATGCTGAGCAATCGAGCCTTCAAAATCTCTCAATGATGAGATTTTCAACGGCTGCAGGTCAGATTGTCGGACTTTTTCTCTTCTAGGAGTAAGAGAGAGATTTCTCTCATCATTTGATATTATTGCTCCCGTACGTGGACGGACGAGGATTTCCTGGTCTTTGAGTGGATTTGTCCAAAGGAGAGCATTCGTGTCAGCATTCTCGTTACACTGCCTGTCCTGGTCCTCGTTCTGTGCCGCCCTTTCGCAAGGGTGCGAGCGGTCCACCCCCTCAGTCTCATCTTCGTCCACTCCGAGGCTGCTCGCCAAGAGATGTGTGCGTCCAGCTGTCTCTGCTTGTCCTTCTGGTTGAAGTTCATCGTTTGGCGGGTTCAATCTCGTCTCATTGGTTGTATCCTTATCGTGATGATGGCGCCCGCTCTGGAATCGATTCCCACTATTGAAGAATCGCGCTTCACTAACGATTTGAGACCGTTCGGAAGCCGGCTGCCGAGAAGGCTCCCACGAACTGAACTGGTCTGTTGAGAGGTTCTCAACTCGGCCTTTCTTTCCGCGAATGTGTTTTGGTACGCGCTGGAATCCATAACTATCCAAAAAATGCGAAACCAAGGACTCCAAAGCCGTTTTTAGATGATCGATCATATGATGAAGCTCGGCTGAAGGTGTGTCCTGTTCCACAATTCCTGGCGGTTGGACCGACTTGGGGTCAATACGAATATAAAACATAGGCCACCTGTCAACCCCCTTTCCACTCCTAACAAATTCTCGGCTTAGCCCGCGGTCTTCCTTTGTATTCGTCATCGAGCGTGTGGAACCAGGGGTTTCAACCAGGCAGCCGAAGTTCGAGTACTCGAACACATGATTGACAGTCTCAAACAAATAGTTCTTCCCTCGCTCGCGTAATAGGGGAATGTGACCAATGGATATGAATTGAATGGCTCTACATGGAGAAGGTTGTAGTGAGAAGGCAGCATGAATGGAGTATTCGCCCGTGTAAACCGACGCTAATCTCCAGGTTGCCGTGTCAAGAGCGCTGATGAACTTGGCCTGAAACAGGGTTGCCACCACTGATTCGACGCAGACTTGCCCATTGGCCGGTCCAGGGGGGTGGCAATGGACATACTGCCTTCGGCCAGATTTCAGAGAGAATCGGACGTCGGTAGCCGTCGATCGCGCGAGGACGTATGCCACAAGGGTTCTTTTCACTTGGTCAAAATCTTTCTCGACCTGAGAGGGAGAAGAGTAGCGGATAGACAGGAATTTCGCTCGCACAGGGATATCTCCAAAGAGATTCTGTACGACAACGCTGGTGCCTTTTTGTCCGAGTCCCACATCCTCTTTCCTGACCCGCAATTGCCGGCTGATGACCTCTCCACGATGTAGGATTGATCGACTTGCATGAGATTCGGATTCGTGTTGAGAAGATATTGATAGGACTGACAAGAATGATAAATTGGACAAAAAGCGACCGTAGCGACCGTAGACAGGGTGTGACGAGTTGAATTTCGAGGTGCCTGACTGTTCCATCAGTTGTTGTGCCGTGAGTTGTCTGGGGTCTTCATACAATGGAGTTGTGCAAGATGACCATTCTCGGCAAATTCACCTTCTCTTATACCAATCCCATCATCACAAACCAAAATGGAGCCCTTGGTGAAATCCACTTCGATATTGATGGATGTTGCCTCTGCATCCAGCGCATTTTGAAAGAGGCCCTCAATGACATGTTGTGGAGAGGCTATTTCATAAGAAGATGAGACCTTCGAGCGCACATCCGCTGGGAGAAGGATAATAGGGACAGAGGTCGCAGCCATGCTGTCGAGCGAGACGGCATGAGGACTACTAGATCGACTGAAAAGGTGGACCTCACGGAGGTTGCCACTTCGATGATTTTGCGGGAAGAAGGTCTTTGGGCCACATGGTATTCAATGCAGTTGACACGCTTGCACGACGCAGCTCTTCAATGGTGAAAGTCGAAATACTCCATGTTCATCACGGAGGCTAGTCATGGGCATGTCACAGTCCGGGTTTGTTCAACTCGACCCTTTGGGGTTGATGTCCGCTTCCGTATGCCAAGCCCATCGGATGGTTTGGTCACACTGCCCTTTTGGTCTCCCAGTCTTGATGTCGAATCTATTTCAATCCCAGATATTGTGACAAAGACTACCATGCTGGATATTTGAGTCCTCGCGATGTACCTAAAGGACGTCCAAAGTGGTGTTGTCTGCTGATCATTGACCCCCACCCTTGACAAGCGCGAAAGGCATGACCGTCTCGAAATGGGTGACCCTGGTTCGCCAGTGTCTGCAGCAGCGAATATCAGTGGGAGAATTTGGCGAATTCTTGCACAGCTACGGTGATGGCATCGACGGCAAGCGGCTCTTTAATGCCTTGATTGAATGCCGGCGATCATTTTGTGCACCCGGAGACCCCCTGATTTCGTTATATGTCGACTATGTGGGCACTGCTGGAATGGTCAAGGTTTCCGATGCCCTCCTTGTCCTCATCAGCAAATGGAATGAAATGAAAACACCGCCAACACAACCCGTTCTAGGCTGCTACAATCAGACACTACAAGATATTACCATGATCATTGTGTCCGCCAGGTACAAGACCAATGCATCGGAAGTGTGCACATCCCTCTTGCTCTCGTCGAGATGGCTTTCTTCACTGGCCCGCCATCTCTCACAACAACTGGGCGATTCAGCAAATCCAGAGCACAGCCCTGTCATCGAGGCTCTTGCCTTTCTTGTGGTGTCACTCGCTGCGACTGATGGTGGACTTGAGGCCCTGTCACCAGCTAATATCTCCAAAGGTGACCCCAAGAAAGGATCTGGCCGCGAATTGCGGACGTCATTAAGACAGGCAATGGAGCACTGCCTGCCGCTGTATCCGGTTCTCTCAACTCAACTCATGGAACGAGTCAACGCCGTACTGAAGCATATCAATCTTCTTGATGATGGTTCGTCACAGCCAGCCAACTCATCGACACAATCTTCTGAGATTCAGGCTCTTCAATTTCAAGTTTCTATTCCTGATTCTCAGATTGTGGCGTCGAAACCAGGCACACTGATTTATCTTGAGAATATGGTACGTTGACCTCCCCATGTACGCTAAACACGGAGCTCATTGAATAGCTGTCGACAGGTTCAACAATTGATGACGGCATTGTGGTCAACTTTTTGTCTTCAAGGCATCAGGTAGCGTGTCCGATCCCCAGAAGCATTTCCAAATTGTTGATTGCCCCCAGAATGATTACCAAGCCATGTTCATTGATCTCTTTACGTCGTCCTTTCGCATTCTGAAGACTCAAAATACCGCTCCGAAAATGCAGTTGCTTCATCAACAATGTCAAACCTTCGCGCAAAACAAGCTTCCAGTACTTCTTTCCATGATATCCGCTTCCTCCTTCAACAGCTTCAATACGGAACAAGCGATTACCGATGCGTGGCATCAAGTTATGCCGTCAAATCAGGGTCTTCTTATGACAGGCTTTCGTTTCTTACACATCTGCTCACTACACCATTTACTAACGCCGCACGGCGCAACCCGGCTCATTGGCAGCGAAGATTTAGTCGCAAACATGAGCAAAGGCCTGTTCGCAAAAGACGACCTAGTTCTGCAAGTTAGCTCAAATCATACCAGGGGACCAAAGCTTGTGGAAGAGCTTATTCGCAGCGATGGAAGTGCCGGATCCATCAGCCAAGCTTTAGTTGAGGCAAGTTCACGTGTGAATTGCGAAATCTGCCCCTGACGCCTTCTCAGATCATGCACAATTACTGTCAAAGTAAAGAAACTCAATATCTCAAAGACCTTGCAAATTCGATCTTACGACGGCCTGCGACAATCAATTTCATCAGCTTATTTATTCGCCCGTCTTATTGGTTGGGGCCACTTTGTACCTTGTTGGATGATTGGCGTTGGGACGAGATACACGGTGAGTCATTGCGTTGCAAGGAAAAAGTCTCGACTGACTTGAAGAAGGTGAAGCTCAACCAGTATACGACGACTTCGGAGCCGTTTTTCTCCTCATTCTAGTGAGCAAGGCTCGATTGGGATTGACAAAATCTGATATTGGAATCCGGAAGAAGGATGGCTTTCTTGCTGAATATCTCGAACGCGACAATTCCGAGGAAAGTTTGGAAAATCTTTCTGAAGAGAGGAAAACACATCTGGGGAACTGGATCAACGCCCTTTACCTCGCCGAAGGTTTAAGCGATGAATTATTCACCAATTGCAGCCCACACGACTTCTACCCGCTGATACCAACTCTTCTTCGACAGTCCATAGCAGCCAACCAGCAGGGCAAGCTGACACAAGATTCTTTGAAAGCGGGATTAGATTGTAAGCAGGACATTATCTCCGTGTTGACGTGGACTAAACTTATTCCAGACTTAATGGAACCATTTTTGCTGCCATCGTTAATTTCCGCCTTGAACTGGGTTGGAAAATTGATCCTGGAAGACCCAGTGTCAGCGAAGGTAGTCCTGGAAGTGTTGGTCAAGCCACCGGGCGGAACTGACTCCCAAGACATACACCAAACTATTCTTGCAATGTGCGCACCTCAACTTCGCAAACGAATCGAGTGCATTCAACATCAAGACGACAAATTCGAATCAATCATCAAAACCCTAAATCAATGCCCCGAATTCTCTCTTTCCGTGGAAGCAGAAGCACATATCCGAGATAAGGGTCTTTTCAGTGGACTGCAAAACAGTATCGTCACAATGATCACATCTGCTAGTGCTCTGGAAATTGATGAACAGCTGATCGTCCAAAATGTTTCATCCATGGTACATCACGCCATTGAGCTACGAGGAGCCGATGCAACTTTGCGAGCTCTCATTGGCGTTCTACTACAATTGAGTGATAGTCATGACTTTCTCTTTGCTCTGGACACGGTTTCGACTATTGTTTGCGTGGCTGGACACCGAGTTCGTGATGTCTTGCGCTCTCAATACAACAATCTCAGTCCATTGTTGAAGAAGGGTGAAACATTGCTTGCCGAGGCGATAGTTCGTCTTCACCGGCAGGTGGAAGCCTACACAAATGTTCTCACTGTTCAAGACATGGGATTGGATGCCTTTTCGTTTGCCCAACAACTTACAAATATTGATACGGCCAACCCCAATCTTGACGACAATACAGCTGTATCTGGAGGTCTGGACATGCAGACAGAACAAGTTCAAGCAGATGGTATTGATCAAGTTCTGGACGAAGTTGCGGCAATGGGTAATTTGGACTCCAATGATGCTGATATGAGTTTTGATGCTTTCTATGGCTTACACAGCACAGATATGGATCTGAATGACTTGGATTTGGATATGTTCTGAGGTGCATTTGACATTCCCGATTTGGGGAAAATCAAGATTCAAAGTTCGATTAGTGTCACAGTCAAGCGTCTAGGCTAGTTCTTGGGAGATGAGTCTCATTTGCGCTTAAAAGCGAACTGCTTCGATCTCGTCATGATTGAAAATAGTTCGACAGCAGCGAAGACAACAACACCATATCGGTATTGAAGAACCGGCAAAAGACATCAGTTTGGTCCCTGGTATAGAAATGGGAGACAATGTGAGCCTATTATCCATTGTTTGCTTTCCATCGACTGCGAGATTCCGGGAATCTTAAGATTACCGATGTTGGCGCGATCATGAAGTGAGAAGAGTACGGCTGACACAACAGGACGGCTACAAAGTCTAGGTTCAATCCAGATCGTCTCACTGTTTACCAAACCCAACTCGATCGACTCCTCCCCATTAGGCCAATCACGAAAGCAGGAGATGTTCTGGGGCATTCTAGCCCGGGTGGTCATATTGCCATATTCCGAAATCGCAATCCCATCGCGAGGCCGAAACCTCAGGCACGAGCCATCCTGCCAAGGCCGAGTTTGTCCACCAATGTGAAATATAATTATTGGGCATGCTGACATGACCCTGGAAAAGGATTTGAATTGCTCATGAGGAAGTGACCGATGCTCAATCTCCAAATGCTGAAGCCACGGATTTTGTTCTTCAATCCTGTTCAGCATGCACATGAAGCATACAAAGCGCTGGCCTCCGTGGCTCAGACAGAGGTGGTAGCTAGCAAGTCACGACAAGAATTCTTCGAGGACGTTAAGCGCCGATATGCAGACATTGCAGTCATCTATCGAACATCTTCAAGTGGAGCTGTAAGTCGACATGCAATTATATTAGAGGAACTGGCGTCTGACTGTGATTTCAGGTCGCTGGCCGTTTCGACGAGGAATTTATTCGAAAGCTACCCTCAACCTTGGGGGTGATTTGCCACACAGGAGCTGGTTTGTGCACCAACTTTCCTGAAGCTGCACGTTGGAACTCATGGCCATAGGGTACGATCAAATCGACATCGACGCTTGCACACAACGGGGCATTCGAGTCACATACGCGCCTGACCCTGTCACAAATGCCACAGCTGATTTGACCTTGTTCCTCATTCTCGGAGCCGTTCGACAGCTGAATCCATCCTTGGTCTCATTACGTCAAGGGCGTTTCAAGACAGGCCTTGGGTTCGGCCATGATCTTGCTGGAAAGACGCTGGGAATCCTGGGTATGGGCCGAATTGGACGGGCGGTTAAAAAAAGGGCAGAACCCTTTGGCATGAAAATCATTTACCATAATCGAAGTCGTTCATACCATCCCGAGTCAATGGATGCGGAGTGTGTCTCTTTCGACGAACTCTTATCCGCAAGTCATATCATATCGATCCATGTACCCCTTCGAGAAGACACGCGTCATATGGTGGGCGCTGAGCAATTACAAAGGATGAAAAATGGCGTGGTGATTGTCAACACCTCTCGTGGTGCCGTGATAGATGAGGCCGCTTTAGCAGCTGCCCTTGACGCAGGAAAGGTGGCTGCGGTGGGCTTGGATGTTTATGAGCATGAGCCAACTGTCCACCCTTCGCTCTTGAGGAATGATCGGGCGCTCCTTGTTCCACACTTAGGAACCCACACAATTGAGACCTTGGCCGCGATGGAAGGGCTTGCAATGGAAAATGCCAGGAGAGCTGTGACGAAACAACCACTTTTGACAATTGTCCCTGAGCAGAAAGAATTCGAGGATTATCTACAAAGCTTGGAGAATGGCAAGGCTACGAATACTGGGTGACAAACATCCGACAGCGTGATACAAATGTGTTTTGCACCAACTCCATCCTGCCTCCAGAAATTTGAACATCGAGATTTTCCGAGTAGAAAAGCTGTGAAGGTCCAATCTGGTTGGAAGTTAGATTGGCAAACAGACTACGGCGAAGCTGCGATATCAATCCTCTACCCAGAATCAGATTTTTTTGCGCTACTGAATGTCTGTCCAGGAAAGGCCGTCCAGGTCCAGAAACTCGGGAGGGAAATTCACATTTGTTTGGAGGAGGTCTGTGTACACACGCAGAGAATCAAACACCAAGAATGCGCCCATCCTCGAGCGATGCGAGGACTCCTTGGCTCTGCTGACACGGACACACTCGGCCCTATTTTCCGGAGATGTAACCGTGGCCAGAAATTGGAAGAAATTTGGGCTTTTGGACGAACTGAGAGCCTGTTGAGCTCTTTCGATATGATGATTGATCAGATCGTCTTGCATCGCATAGGGGCCGATTTTGATGCGATACAGGAGGAGGACACTATAGCAAACTGACCGACAGGTATAAAATGGCACCAGAGATAGGTTTTTCTCACATGCGACTTGAATGAGTCGGATGGCGTCTTCTTTGGCTCGATGGACAATTTGAACGGCATCAGCGGAGACGGGAACATCATCATGCATTGCGAATGACCATAGCTGGAGCCTCGAACTCAAGAAAAACATCTCGACGACGTCGCTAGGCTTTGGAAAGCGTGTTCTCCGGAGCTCATCAAATTGCTTTGCAAAAATATTGATGAGACTTATTCGAGTTGCCGGTCCGACCAATCCAGTCACATTAGAGCCACGAGCTCCAATCGCATGCGCAGACTCGACGGTCAAGTGTGAGATACGGCAGAGATGAGACAGCTCTGCTGCATCATCGAATGAAGACAGGAGTGCATAATCTGCTAAAATCGTTGCGGGGACACCACGCCTGCTGGCTTGAATTTGGTTCACAACAAAACATGCCTGCCATGTCGTTTTTCTGATTTCCTCGTCTTCCTTTCCTATGCTCCTTTCACTGATAGAATCGAAATCCATACTCGGGCGGTGAAGGCCGATGCTGAGAGCAATTTGGGTCGCAATCGCACCGTGAATAAAAGATGGATCGTTCCTTTGGGAAGTGAAAGGAAATGGCCACATGCATAGAATGAGGAGAGCCTGGACCGTCTCGACGTTTCCCGCCGTCGGGATTAGGACATCAGCAACAAGTCGCCGTACCGTACTTTCAAATTGTGAACGTGCTGTGTCGGTTGATGCCACCGCACAAATGACCCAAAACAAGGTCGGGCTCCTCTCGTAGATTGATTCGATGGACCGATTGAGGGCGAATGGAAGGTATGGATGACATCGTGTGAAGTAGATGCGGAACAACTCATTTACATGAGTCGCGGTGAGGTGGATATCACCGATGCTTTTGTCTGCAATACAGAGACCCTGCAGGGCGGACTCGGACGAAAGAGTAATGCCACCCGATCCGTTTGCGTTGAGCCAGGAAGGCGGAGTCACTGATGGACATATTATCGCGGACGACGAAGAGACGGCATTGGCACCATTTGCCGCTGAAAGAACGTTTGTCAATTCCCTCAGTTCGGCGACCTGAGATTGCAGCTCTGCCAACTGCTTCCTTTTTGGCGTTCGTCGGAAGTTGCCATCAAAAGTGCAAAGGAGATGAAGATTGCGACAACGCGTACAGCCTTCAGGGCCTGCCACGTCAGCATCGCAGCCAACTTTCCACTGGCGGCACCGAGTACATGCTTTAGCCCTCATTGTTTCCTGGAGAGATTGCGAGGCTAGATGAAAGATTGCGAAACCAGCAGAATCGCTTCCAAGACAAGGTGAATTGGAGCTGGTTATAGTCCCATTTCCGATCGCAATTCCATGCGTCAGATTTCGGATAACAGGGACCTTGGAGAGAACTGCTTCTGCTTGGCATTGCAAAAACCGCAATCCTTTCTTGGTGGCTGTTTCAATGGCGGGTTGTCGTAATGGTGCCGTTGATGCGAAACTAATTCCTGCGCCATCAACGGAAAAAAGATGTCCTTGTGAGATCTGCTTCTGTCACGAATTGCTAACTCGCGAAACTGATTTACAATATCCCAACGAATAGGCCAAAGTCTCATTTTGGCGGATCTTTAGCAACTTGCATTCCACCACACCATACTCGTTGGACCTGCCGGATGTTACTGATATTCTCCAATGGGTTTGCTGCAACCAAAATGAGATCAGCTCTTTTACCCACTTCAATTGAACCACGATCTTCGAGACCGAAGATGGAGGATGGCAAAGCTGTGGCAGACCTTACGGCCTCTAGAGGCGACAATCCCGCTTCCACGAGAAGTTCAAGCTCCTGGAATATACTCTCACCACAGGGGACTTTTCCAGGACCACTTCCGTGTTTATTCGCATCAGTGCCAGCCAGAATTGGTACTTGTGCGCACTTCAAATCTATCACAGACATGCGAGCATTGTTGTAATCATTTGGCGGTCCTGGGTTCTTGTTTGCCGTTGCTAACATCTTGATCAACGTCGGTACGGATATGCAACCTTTGGACTTCATTTGAGTCACCAAGTGGCTGCTTAGTGGGTTTTCCATCGGGACATGTGTTAAAATATCCACTCCTGCCGCAAGTGCCATGGAGAAAGACTCACACGAGGTTGCGTGTGCGATGATCATTCGGCCTTGTTCATGTGTTGCTAATACCAGGGCATTTAGAATCTCTTGATCTGGTCCAGGGTTGTCCACCATCACCTTGAGGTAGTCTGCGCCTTCACCAACACGGTCACTGACAAAATGTTGAGCTTCATCAACACGGGTGACGAGAAGATGGGCAGGGAACCCTGGGATCTTGCTATGCCGACTGCCTGGTGATGTTGCTGGCATTCCCGAGCTTCGAACATCACAAATACCTCGACCCCCACGAAGTCGTTCGAAAACGTCGAGTGTCCTTGTACCCATGTCAAGAGCAGTGGTGACGCCGTGCTGTGCCAAACTTGAAAGATCTTCGTGGGAATGGACATGAACATGGCAGTCAATCAAGCCAGGCAATAAATACCCGTCTTGTCCATCGATGACCACGTCAGCATCTGAAGACTCCCCCACTAGGACACCTTTGTCGAAAGCTACCGTCCCGCCATCCTGCATTTGTTCGCCGTCAAACACATGGACATTTTTGATTACAACTTTCAAAATCTGAGCTGCAGTCATTTTTGATGAACCGACCGGGGGATGGAAAACCAAAGGCTCTCTAGAAAACCTGGTAGAAGGCTAGGGAGAAAGGGAGGGCTTTTAGAAATTTTGTAGTAATATATGCCGTCTCATGAGAACTAGTCACTTTGCAGATAAACTCGCATTTAGGATAAATCCGATCTCCACCAGCTTGAGGAGAATTACCCACGCCTGGAGTAATCGGATATGGCCTCAGAGGCCATTCTAGATTAACAAATTTCTGGTGACCCTAATTCAGGGAGAATGTCCTGGCGTCATCATTCCGATACCGACATTGCGATTTTCGGAAATATAGTTTTCAAACTTCTTGCGCGACTTGAATCGAAGGAGGGGCTCTGGCTCTCCCAATGAGTGCAGGAAGAGCCCATCTATACATCTATCTACGCGGTGTACGTGAGCAAGTGTTGCAGAATGAGTCGGTTTGTTGCGAACGACAGGCCACCAATTGTTCAACAGTGGGTGCATTCGATGCGGCGATTCAAAATGGTTCTAATCAAACCATTCAAGATCACTACCCCAATAAGAAGTGTTGTTATGGATATAACAAGAAAAGACACTTTCAGGCCATTGAAATGGGAGCAGAAGCAATTATCTGTGATGATGAATCAACTGACAGTGGGCCTCAAAAGCTCGTACTGGATTCATCAACTGCGTCCAGAGAGTCCTATGAAAAAGGTATCAAGACCACTGTTGATGCCGCATATCATCAAATTCAAAGTCCTAATCAGATCAGCAGGAGCAATGGTTCTGATGAGCATGTCAACGATTTCGTCCAGATCAATAGCCTGGAAAAAGGCTACAAGTTTAAGATCATCAAGATCTATGGCGGGATCAATAAGGATCTCGTGCACAAGGCCTTTTGATACTGGAAAGATTAGGCCTTGTGGAGCTGTGGCCGATCTCATGCACCAAGATGTTGATGATAGCTCTCGCATCGTGGCTCAAATAGGGGTTGAGCGTGTCCTTCTGGCCATGAAAGAGCATCCGGACTTCGATATCATCAAGCCTTTTCTATCACCAACGGACCTGAAAACCTTGGGAACGCCTTCAATATGGATAAGGCTCCTAGAATGCGGCGCATTTTGCTCTTGACCTAAATCAAAGAAAGTGTTTGCAACAATCTACGAGGACTGTTTAATGTTCATCCATTGGATCCGAAGTCAAACCGCACACCACAGTCCCTTTTTGCTCATAGTTTATACGACAATTCTCGTGCCGATCTTCATCCAAGACCTGGAGGAACATTGGACCTGTCTGAATCATGGCACCAGGCACGCGGTGATGGGTCTAGCACTGTCGGTGGTACCAATTTTCACGTTGCCAATCCCTACACAATCAAACTAGAAGGAGCTAAAGTGGCCGGTTGTTGCAGGATTTGGATAGGACGCTTTCGGGATCCTATTTTGATCAAACAAACCGACTCTTTCTTGGGAAATGGCGTCAACCCTAAACCGGAAGATCTATTCCATGGTGAGAAATATGATCTCAATTTCTGGGTGCATGGGAAAGACGGTACGATGGGTCATTATGAAATTGATCAATCTCTGCCTAGGGAAGTTTTATGGGCGAGGTGAAAGCAAGTAACCAAAAGCTTGGTAGTAATGTTGCGTCCATGGGATGGGCCGCAGGCATTCACCATCCATATCCTGATCAGAAGGGAACAGGAGGAAATTTCGCTATGCGGTTGATGTCCCTCGAGATTGGCCTTGCTCTGGTATGTTAGTTCCCTGTTTATCATCTAATGGATGTTGAAGACCCGGCTTCGAACTTTTCATTTTTTTGCGATCGATATTGGACTGCTAGACTCTACAGCGGCGAGACAGCCAGACTTTGGGTTTGACCCACCGGGAACTGGGTATCATCTGGACAAGGAAAAACAATCCATAAGTACGTCAGAGCAAGAAGAAAGGTCTCAAACGGCTGCTTGAAAATGGCGACGAACGCGGTGATAGGAAGACCTCCTTGCCCGAGCTTTCAGATATTCTTCGACCCAAGAATGCAGGTCTCTACGAGATTACTTTCGACATTATCTTCTACAGCATGGACTGCCAAGATCATACGTAGAAATCAGGGCAACTCAGCAAACAGAACATCTCTCTCTAAACTGTGCGGTTTGTCAGAGGACAAGACTATCGTTTTGCCGATTCTTCGAGCAAGCAGTGGCATACACATGCACCATTCGAAGAGACGGCATCGCGAGCGGTTTTGCCGATAGGGGTCTTCACACCAGCCAGCAATATATTCCGTTGATACGAATTCGAGCGTGAAAAGATTTGATATCATGAGATTTGTGCTACTACTGAAACGGCTTCAATGGACCAGGATTTCAAAATGGTGTGCGCACAAACACTTATATAAAGAGCGACTTGTAGATGGATGACTCGTGTTTCATCACTTGGCAGCAGATTCTTCCACCATAAATTATACTCTGCTTGAGGTAAGAGGCTCGGATACTCCCGTGTTTTCCTTCTCGTCTTCAGCAATATCGGCCGCCGCTGTATCCTGAATTCCTGTCACCTTTGCCATGATTTGGGCAGCAAAAAGATCACCGCTGACATTGGTCGCCGTTCGGAAACGGTCGATGAACCAGTCAATGGCAACGACCACCGCGTACATGCCGGTTATGGGAACATTCACTGCTCCCGCAATCATCACCGTGAGCACGAGCGAAGAGCTCGGAATGGGCGTTGTTGCAATGGATGACAAAGTCGAGAGGAGAACGATAATGACATAGTCTCCTGGTGACAGGCTGATTCCTTGAGTGGTGGCAAGGAAAACGACAACGACAGGGAAGTAGATAGCAGTTCTAGAGTGTGTAAGTCGAGTGTTTTTATTATCTCCGAGACCGGCCAACTCACCCGTCCATGTTAATCAAAGCACCAAGAGGAGCAGTAAATTTCGTAACGGTCTGAGGAACTCCGCGCGCCATCAGCGTCCGAATTGTCACCGGGAGAGTTGCGGCCGATGAAGCTGTACCCCAAGCCGTAATCCAAGCGGGTGAACACTTGACCCAATAGGTGTAGGGATTCGTTCTCATGAATGCGAAGAAGATGATAGGAAGCATAATAAATAGATGGATAAACATCCCAGCAATCGATGCTCCAATTAAAACACCCAGATTTCTGCCAATGTCTTCGATATCGAGGGTCATCAGATTTGACAGGATTAGGAAGAAGACGCCGATCGGGGCTAGTTTGATGAGGAAAATGATTATGGTACCGACAATTTTGTCGACTTCTCTGATGGCTCGGAGGAGAGACGAGTCTGGACCTTTGATCAGACAGCCCACAACAAGAGCTGAGATCAATACGGCAAGGAGGCTGTCTTCGGCGAGGGCTTCGAAAACATTTGAGGGAATAAATGACTCAAAAACCTGGACGACAATGTCATGAGGTTGAACATCTTCCCTTTCCTCAATCATCTCTTGATCATCTTCGTCCACGACCAAGCTGTCACCACTGGCTTCGACCATGAGGCGTCTCCACACCAAGTCGACGAGTATCATGCTGTGAACGATAGCCAGGCAAGTCGTGAGGACATAGTAAACAACGGTCCAACGGGCGAGCTTGGCTCCGTCTTTCGCCATGGTTTTCAAATTCTGAACGGCTAGAATAATCGCCGTTATGATCAAGGGCAGGACTGCGATTGTTAGAGAATTGCTATCCGGGGCCAGGATATTACCTGTGGCTCTCAATGCCCGCAACCAAAGAGATCCAGGAACCTCAAGGATAATAGGAGCCGCGTCAGGAATGTCTTGGACGTTGGCTGTGACTGCCATTCCTATGCCGATGGCGATGGCTGCAGCGATCACGATCTGAAGGGCTGATCCAGGCTCCTTGAGCGACTGATAGAGTGCCTGGCTCCATGTTCGCTTCGGGGTTTCCACTGCAGCTTCTATACGACTTTGTTCAAAGTTGGTCGGTATCAGTCGAGGTTCACTGCTTTCCTGTAAATTCTTCTCCATGGCGATCGCGATGCCCACTGTGGGAAGTGAATGAGACGGGGGAAAGGATGGGAGAAGAGTGGTTAGGGGACGGCGCCTGGGCGAGCAGGGAGATGGCCATATTTATCAACCTGATCATTGACAAACCTTTTTGTATTCTCATAAGATCTGTCATGCTCCCTTATCGACTCGATGCGATGGTCTTACGACCGAAAGGAAATGATTGACAGGGTGTCGAGCCTTGGTTGCATAATGGCCAAGAAGAGGAGACAAGCAGGAGAGCCTTTTGTTGGGAGGGCCCCAAATATGCTCCAGATGCTGGTGGCACCCCAGGCCCACATTTCAAGCCGAGGAGGCCAATGAATTGTGTAAAGCGACCACAACAACTCTGGAATTCGCCGAGCCTTGCCGCGCCTTTGACGCTCCAGTCCGGATGCCATGAGACGTTGCAGCCAAGATGGATCCAGCTGTACAAAGGCCTGCTGTCGCACCATCAAAAGTCTTGTACAGATAACAGCACCACCAAAAGATGAGGATTAATGGATTGATATCCATAGTCTTATCTTTTCTTGGAACTTTGTTGGATATCACGGTAGCGCGGCATCTTGCCAACACTTATCTTTGTTGCATTGCAAAAGATTCAGGTTTTTGGGATTGTTGACGTTGCACTGCTAGGAAAAGCTATTGGCTTTAATATTGTTCACATCCTTGGGACCAATAGGAATTCAACTCACCGCTGTACCTGCTGTGGGATCACGACGGGGTCGCAATTGTGTACAGCTATTGCCAAGCTAGGTATTACCTGCCCACTCCTCATAGTACCCTTAAATTTTTGACTGATGGCTATCCAACTCCATAAGAATCGGATCTCCAAGTACAAGCGACAATCGAATGAAAGCGCGATGGGCTATTTAGGTAATTGAGTGTCGCGTGAACCCCACTAGCGTGGCGTCTTTTCTGTCCCGCACCCCATTACTCGTTAGCTATTCCACGCTGTTACAATGTCAATGTCATTCCTTTCAAAGTCATGTCGTTTGTTGAATATTAAACCCCTTCGTTTGCGTCCATCCAAGAATATATCCCTAATATGTCGTGGTAAGAAATGGTCAACGCGTCAGGCAATGAGGCTACGGATCGGTCCAACAGGAAAGCCTATCAGCCAAGACGAGCCGTTTCAATACACAAATGGTCTCGGGAGAAACAACAACGCGACTGTCGTTATCTCAAATTTGATTTGGAAGCTCTCTGTGAAATTGCAACTTCAACCGGCCCTTCCATCTCTCCCGTTCGAGAAGTCGAGAAGTTAGAAGGCGGATTTAGTAAAGCATTACGCGTTCAAAAAGAGGATGGAATGGAGCTTGTCGCGAAGATTCCGTGCCCCATTGCAGGGCCTGCAAGATACACAACTGCCTCAGAGGTTGCCGTTCTGGAGTATGGTACGGACGCCCCAAACTCCTCGAAGCACGCATGAGGTTTGACCAGTCTCAGTGAGAGGATATACTAACATCCCAGTACCACATGTCTACGCCTGGAGCTCCGATACTTCGAACCCCGTTGGGGCGGAGTATATCATCATGGAAAAGGCCATCGGCGTCCAGCTCTTCAAAGTGTGGGATAAGCTTAAAGATATCTCCAAACTTGCTATCATCAAGAAGTTGACCGAATGGGAGAGCCAGTTGATGGCAATAAACTTCCCGGCATATGGTTGCCTATACCATCGCCATTCTATTCCAGACAATGATAGGAAGATGGACCTTCCAACCAGCATCGATCCATCCGGGTCCTACTGCATTGGTCAATCTTGCAATCCCACTTGGTCGTCTGTGGGCCAGAACCTGATGCCTGGACCTTGTTTCCTCTCAACGTCAAATTTGGAGGGCTGAACCATCTATAGGGCCTTCTCTTACCGAGTTTGGGACCGCATTCGCAAAACGCGAGATCCGTCGCATCTCACGGGAATCGAAAAGCGTTGACTCGCATAGTGGCACAGCTCCTGAACAAATCGCTTTGCTGGAGATCGCAGTCAAGCTCATGCAGATTTTAAGTTCCCATTCCGATCTTGTCCGACATGCTAAACCCACCTTCTGTCACACCGACCTGCACATGGGCAATATTTTTATTTCAGAGCATGACCCTTCAAAAATCTCGGCCATTATCGACTGGCAGTTCACACAAATAGCACCCATGTTCCTACAGGCACGTTGGCCGGCTTTTTTGAACCCTCCCGAAAAGAACCCAGCTGGGCTTGTGAGGCCGAAGTTACCTGATAACTATGGAGATTTGGATGGGGAGGAAAAGGAGTTGGCGGAGTATGAGTTCAAACAGGTAACGGCAGCCAAAGCATACGAATTGAGATGCTATCTTGACAATCCAGATGCTTACAATGCGATGAATATACCTCGCGTGTACCGGGAACTTTTCATCCGTTGTGGAGAAACATGGGAAGAGGGACCTGTGCCGTTACGTACTTGTCTCATCGAGATTTTCAACTGCTGGCAAGATCTAGGTCTCCCGGGTGAATGCCCTTACCCGTTTCACAAAGAGGACATTCAAACACATGAAAAAGAATTTGAAGAGTACGAAGAATGGCATCACGCGCGAGAATTTGCCAAGGAATATCTCAACACCGATGCACATGGCTGGATCTCGCCTGAAATGGACTTCACCAAGAAGCAGGAACAAAACAAGGCTCTGTTCAACTTGTTCGCAGAGAGAATGGCTGGCCAGAAGTAGCCAGGGGGGGGGGGGGGGTTACGTAGAATATGGCCATTTGCCGAAGGAATCTAAAGAAGGGATCGTTTCTGTATTGTCTTGTGAACAAAATTTCCCCAAGGTAAATGAATGTTTGTACCTCCTAATGACATTCAACATTAAGGAGGTCCTAGTGATGCTCAATGTATACCTATTATTTAAGGTTATCTTTAGCAGCCTGTTCCATTTCCCTCCCAGAGACATATTGCCGCCTCCTTTTGACCAGTTGCTGGGGTACTCTCATCAATAGTACAGACGGCCAAGTTTGCGTGTGAGCCATGCTTGCTCCTGAATTTCTTCAGGGAGTCGTTCTTAGCTTGAGAGTTGACCTGCAGGTAGACCTTTTCCTTGCCACCTTGTGACTCGCCGGCATCAAGGCGAAGCTCATATCCAAAATCGTTTGCGCTTGCCTGAGGTGGCGCGATGCAATTTCCCCATGTATGTTTGAGAATAGTTTCTCATAGTTGCTTTCTTGAAAGATGAACTCACCAAACGCTTTGAGGACTTCAGACATCCAGTCGATCTCTACTGGGCCGGCCTTGCAGATATCTTGCGCAACTGGAAGTGGCTATATTGTGCAAGACACAGTCAGCGATATCCGATCTCAATTTGGAACGGAAACTGCAGAAAAACGCTAAACAAACTGGACCTTGGCAATGGAAACGTGATTTCGTACACCTTATTTCCTCTTCTGTACATAAGTAAACGGCGTTGTTGAGAGAGTTGAGAGAGATCCTCAGGGAGATTCGGAAGTATAAAAGTTCGATCACGAGAGAAGGGCTAGGTGAAATCTCTTCTCAGGAGGTAGCATCAACGCGAGTAGTCCCATATTGAGAAAGAAAGTCTGACTGAGCTCATTGGCTTGGCCATTGTATTGCGCTCGAATACCAGTAGAAAGCTCTCCTAGGACCCAATTGGCCGAAGGACGGGACCGTTCCAGATATTGCCTTGGGAGGGGGCATCCTCCCTGCATTCCAAAGCTTTCTGCCTCTTCTCACGCTGGTTGCCTTTTGATCCCGCTCTTGACGTAGAATGGATGAGCCAAAGCTTGAAACAGGAGCCTGAAGAATGGATTGATGTTGAAAAGGACGTTTTATCTGCCAAATCGAAGAGAAAGACAGCACGAGGGATGAGTTACAAAGGTTCCACACGACATCGCAGATCCTATCTCAGGCATAAGGCCACTCTTCGACCTTCTAAGTCATCGCATCGCTTTGTAAGGAGCCTTAAATTAAGTGGTGGTCCCATCATAGTCCACGATATCATCATACGGTTGCTTTTCTTTGGGACTACCTCTTCTCTCTGCTCCTTCGCCCAGTCTCTATCATTTCGGTAGGCGGCGGCAACCTTGCCGGAAGTTTCCATATTACCAGTTATGCCCCAAGTGTTAAGAATGCATATAGTATTCAGGCCCCCCTTCAGGGATGACGGGCTGTTAAGGTTGGCGGTAGGCAAAAGCGCTATTGTCGTCAAAAGTTTGGTTCTTCCAACCCCTATGAGCGCAGGCTGCGCATCCTTCTCGCCCCTTCTGTACTAACGTAGCACGCTTTTCGTCCTGCCACTGTTTGACATCCATCTGGTCCCTTGGCTGTTGGTTTGGGGGGGGGGGGGGGGGGGGGGGAAATTCGTGAATGGTATCTCTCTTGAAAGCATTTTGCATTCCGGACATCTCTTTCGATGATTGGAATCACTGAGGCTTGTTATTTGCTTCTTGTTGATAGCGTGCGCATCTCTCTATACAAATTTCTCATGTTCCTGTCATAGGGCTTCTGGTTCAAAAGTTGAAGAATACCTTCATATCGGCTAGGAGCGGTTTTTCTATCAGAATGGAAGTTTGGCCAAGCATTCCTATGAGCGAACTCGATAATGTGCTATTCGAACTTTCATGATCTTGGAGACTTCCATCCCTACTGTAACTTCAAATGCATGGTCTAAGAGATGCCCTAAGGCCTGGCACGAGGCGATTTGCTGGTCAGGGATAAATGGATGCCAAAGAAAAAAGGTTGATTGGCTTAGTTTTTCCACAAGCTGAAGACCAGAAGGGTTTTCATTTCGCCGCAAGATTTCCAATTGAATTTCTAATTTCTGCCAAACGGACCTCCAAGCTTGTTGTTGGGATCATACTTCTTCTTGATCTCGACCAATTTGTCCCCATTCACGCCAAAAACCTATCTCCAGTCATTTCATTGTTTGTATAGTCCGACGACAAGGTAGACTCACCTGTTTTGGATCCACGAAGGATTCCATGAAATTTGGGAAATAATCGGCTCCAGTATGGCCTGGCCGGATCTGATATGGCCCCTCTGCCATTGCTTTATAGGCTAAGGCATCGCTCTCGGCTGATCCTGGTGGTGTACCAGTTCCTATCTGGAGGTTGTGTTGATGCAATGTATGCGGCCAAGCAGAGACTTTGCTAGGGAATCCCAGTGACTGATATGCAGCCTAAAGGTTGTGAGTACGGGTGCCATTTAGCTTTTCAAGTGGATGGGGAAACTGACCTTTTGCATGACTTCCATCAGGACATAAGTACCCCTTACCAATCTCGGATCCTTTTTCAAAAGGTCCAAATACCATTCCCAGGCACGCAAGATCAATTCCTGGTCAACTGATGGAACAGTAACTCCAGCAGCCCAGGTATTTGTCATTCCCATGGTAGACTTTAGAGCGTCTGTCCAACACGTTAGCAAAGGGAGGTCTCTTTGGGGAATTTTCTTTTTAATTGTGGCAGGGTCGATCATCCTTGCCAACGCTCACCGAATTGTTCATTGACCCCTCGATGGTTCAAGCATTTGGTCATATCAACCGCTCCCTTGATGTCTAATGCCCATTTAAACCCTTTATCGCTTCTTCCATGTTCTTCTCCATGAGCATCATATGCAAAGATTGCAAGCCCTGGTTTGGCCTCTTTGCCAGCGTATGTCCCCTGGGTCATGTCCAGGCAATATAAATGCAAAGCCATTTTTGGATCTCTGCATCTGGAAGCAAATGCTGCAACTTCTCGAGCCACATCACGCAGAGCCTCTGGTGGATACACAACCTGCCCGGTGAAGATTGCAGAAGGGTATTTGTAGACTCGCATCTTGTAGGCAGTCACGACGGCAAATCCACCTCCTCCTCCTCTCAGAGCCCATAACAGATCTGGCTCCTCACCGGCCCAGGTGACACTGCCATCCATCTTGACCACTTGTGCGTCAAGCATGTTCTGAGGGTCAGAAGAAAGTCCATATTCTGAACTGAGCCAGCTTTGTCCGCCGCTTAGAATTGAACCACCAACCCCAACGTATGTGCATCTTGCGCTGACCGCTGCATACCCGGGGGCCAGTTCTTCTACTTTGCGATCAATTTCTCCCCAATTGTGACCAGCTCCGAAGGTGATGCTCTCATCGTCTGGGTTGAATGAAAATGATTTGAATTCAGACATGGAAACCAAAACATCCTTTGCAGAGGCGTTTCCCACCCCTGTGCATCGGATCCCAATGTCTAGGCTCGACTCATTCAGACGTGCGATGATTTTGCCCAACGTCTGCAATGTCTTTGGTCGAACTACCACTCGAGGCTTTTTGTTGCATTGGGCAGCCCATGTAACTGACTGCTCGATGTATTCTGGCGATGCAGGTGTGATAATCTCCTCAGAAGATAAAAGACTTTTGATTTCTTCAATCTGAGTATTTATTTCTGCCATTTTGGTTAGAACCTGAACGCGGTCTAGACGTATTAATTCTGACTTGTATTGAAAAAACAGATGGCTGATGGTTGATGCTGGGCGATTTATATAATCCTGTGGTAGAGCTGGCCTTCCGTCAATAGGCTGCTGATCATTTCCACGCTCCGTGATTAAGGCCATCAGGTCTTTTCTTGCCTGATTTTTGAGTCTGAATGTCGTTCTCTTGGTCCAATTGAAATTGAATCCATGCACTCACCGACGTCGTAGAAGATCTTGGAAAAAGTTTCACATTAGTCATGGGCTGACTGGACACCTAGGAAATAGAAAGATGTGAACAAAATCGTCGGGTTACTGGGGGCTAATGAGACTCGAACCATTTTAGATCTCGGAAGCTGCGGAGATCCGAGGCCCTGCCGCTCGAGGTGACACCTGGCGTTCGCTGACACACATCGGGCGCCTGAAAAGAAATTCTTTTTGCCAATTCTCCATGGAATAACAAAGAGACAAGTGACATAAATTTTCGATTTCAGATGGGATAGAGAAACTCGTCCAAACATCATCATGGGTCCACTCGTAGAGATTGACGCCTTGGAAATTCTCGTCATTGTCGACAATGAGGTTGATCCCATCTCCTCGTATCAACATCCGGATCTTGCCGTCTTTGGTCAGCTTGCAGATGTGGCCTTACGAGCTCCATTGGCAGAAACAAGCAGAGGCCATGCCAAATTCGAGATGCGCCTTGATAATGTTTGTTGCGGTGCCCATGGATTATCGCTCATGATTGTGAGAAACGTCCTAGTTCCCTCGTATGGCTTCTCCCGTTGACGGCGTTGCAGACGGCCATCAAAGGGGACCAACGCCACACAGTTCTTTTCGATACAGCGCCAGAAGAACATATCTGGGAACTAAATGCTAAACGGTTGAGGGCAAATATCGGCTCAATTGAGTGGGTGCAATTGTCGCACTGGCATCGAGATCATTCCGGTGGAATATTGAAAGCCATTACCATGATCAATGAGGCAAAATCTATTTCTGGCGGCCTGCCTGTTGACCTTCATCCGAACCGACCAACTTATCGAGGTTTTCAGGGTCCAACTGGTGTGATCGTCTCGTTGGAAAGAGACCCAACATTTGAGGAGATTGAGGCGGCGGGAGCTGCTGTACTCCAGAATGATCAAGCTCATACAATTCTGGACGATATGTTCTTGGTATCGGGCGAAATTCCACGTGTCACCCCTTACGAGACGGGTTTTCGACGTGGTATGAAGTTCAATGAGAGGACGGGTGCCTGGGAATCGGATGAGTTAATCCTGGATGAACGATTCCTCATGTGCAATATAAAAGGTAATGTGATTCAAACGATCGACGGGCTCTTCCTAATAACTTCAAGGCAAAGGCGTCGTCGTTTTTACAGGCTGTAGTCATGCAGGAGTTGTCAATGTTGCGAAGCATGCTTTACAATTGGGAGGCGGATCGGCTCCTTTACATGCTGTGGTCGGCGGATATCATTTGGTTGGCCCGAATGAAGCTTTCATCAAAGAAACCATTGCAGATCTCAAAGATCTCAATCCTCGAATCTTGATACCTGGGCATTGTTCAGGTTGGCGGGCTAAAAACGAAATTGAAAGGGTGATGCCTGGGAAGCTTGCTCCGTCCACCGTTGGAACCAAATTCGTATTATAAGTCGAACACTTTTCATTGTCACACCTTTTTGTGGGTGGGTTCACCTCCTGTTGACCTATGAGATAGCGGCCTGCTAGGCTGCAGCATAGGCGGGGCACTGCTCCAATAGATATAGAGATGAGCTCTATCCTACATTCATTCAAATTGAAGTTGCACAGAGTTTGACACCTCCACGGATCGCTTAGATGACGCTCGTAATGTGACAGTGGACCTCTGGAAAATCCATGCTCCTCCAACTCCCTTCCGTTCCTCTCTTCAACTCATTGTCTGAACACAGGCGGTAAGCGCTGCCGTGCAGAACGCCTTAACAGCCTCCGGACCCTGCGTAGCTAGGATGTCATATGGCACGGCAAAAAACTTGACATCCGGCAGGATTTCGGTCGCGGCCACTAGGAGTTTCGCGCTTTCGTACGGCTTCCAGCTAGAAGCGATTGCCTTCGCAGTGATATTGAATCAGCCGAGAGATCCTTGTGATCACGGGCAGAATGAGATTCCTAGAGTAGTACGTACGAGAAAATCGGGTTTGACATCTCGAAGCACCGACTGAAGGTTTTCGGGGCCTATCGTATCGATTAACAAGTGAGTGACACGGTCAATGTGTCTGAACGGGTGCTTTCGAAACCGGCTCTGGCATACCTTCTGCATGTCCAGCATGAATGATGGTAACTCTATCGCGCATGTTTTCGATGACTTGGCCCATAATGTTTTGGGCGAGACTTCGGTTTCGATTGACGGTGACCAGTTTGAAAGGATCAAGAGGCCTGGAGGGATTCGCTGCGTTGTCAGACATCGACGTTCAATCAAATCATTTGAATGTGTCAAGAACAGACGGGGGGGGTAGATAGATACAGATGGTGACAACCGTCGCAGGATGTTTGATCTGGATAGAGATTGGCAACCCACGAACAGGTTGGGACATCCATCCCTTATTTAACCTGGCTTAGTGAGGTAGATTAGTGTTCTCATTCCCCATTATCTCAGGCCCGATACGTGTATTGTCGAATTTACCGAAGGTTTTTCACCAGCCCGTTGAGGGATGGCGAATACATTCGGAACGACAAGCCTCGCGAAATGGTGTCCGGCTACGTAAGTTGACGACTTCTCGCTCCAGGCTCGGACTTACGCCGCGTGGGAGTGGGACGTCCGATGACCGAGTAAGGCGATCGAGGGGCGCCACCCGTACCCCTTAATCCAGACATTTTCCGAGCTCCGTGCTCCTGACTTCTACTTACTAGAACTGACGATGCTTCAAAGCGACTCCATCGTCCAGGTCTTATATTCCCACCAGTTCCCAAGTGCATACTAAACACTCCCCTTGGCAGCAGTCTCAGCAATGGCGTCCATTACACGACTCCCCTCCTTCGACTCTCTGACCATAGACCTCGAGGGCCCGCGAGGCAATGCCTGGGGTCTGTTCGGCGACGGCAATGAGTTAGGTATGCTAAACCTTCTGACACCTGCGGTTGTTGCCCAAGCCGGGAAAGAGATTCGGGATGGCGTTCGTATATCGTTAGATTGGGATTTGAACCAACCGGAAATTCCCAATTTCAATCGACAACCGTTCAGGAGTGAGATGATTCACAAACACCCGCGGAGTGTGAACGATGATATTTTGACCTTTAATACTCAGTGTAGTTCGCAGTGGGATGGATTTAGACATTTTGGTGGGCCCTCTTTCTACGGTTACTTTGGTCTATGAGATAGGGGGGCTAAATTTCGCTCTTTGTTCTTATTCAGGAAATCAAAAGTTGAAACTTTATTTCAATGGGAATACGCAAGAGGACCTGCAGCGTTCGACCGTGCTGGGAATTGATGGTATGTACTGCCCTTCTCCTTTCTCCTTCCGGGTTTGCCCTCACACGCGCAGCAAGTGCCAGAGCAGAATTTCACGGATCTCAGGGAATTCATCTCGAAAAGTCTTTTCCAATACTAAAGAATTCAATATCTCTTTCAGCGTGGTCAAAGGCAGGCGGTATTGCCGGCAGGGGCGTTCTGTTGGATTGGGCGTCCTGGGCCGAACGCAAGAAGATACCCTACAGCAACTTCGAATCCAGCCATATCCCCCTCTCTGGTCTCCAAACCATCGCCGCAGAAACGGACATTTCTTTCGGCCCTGGGGATATCCTCTTTGTTCGTAGCGGGTATACCCAGTCTTACAATGGCCTATCCTCATCCGAACGCCTAGCAATCTCGCAACGTTCCAGCCCGGATTTTCTAGGCGTGCAGGCGGGGGAGGAAACCTTGCGGTGGCTGTAGAAAAATCAATTTGCGGCGATCGCGGGAGATGCGCCCGCTATCGAGAGGAGTCCGCCGCTGGGTGCGCATGCAGACTTGGATTATACACTTCATGAATGGTGTCTTGCCGGATGGGGGATGCCGATTGGTGAGCTCTTTGACCTGGAGGAACTGAGCAGGTATTGTGCAAAATCCGGGAGATGGAGCTTTTTCTTCACTAGTACACCATTGAAGGCGAGTCACACTTGTTGCTGGCGTAAATATGCTGCTGACCTGTTGTTGATAGGTTCCCGGAGGGGTTGCTTCACCTCCGAATGCGAGTTTAGCCCGCACAGGCTATATGAATTGAGTTGAGTCGGGGACAGGACAAGTTTTCGCAACAGCCAAGCTGTTCAAGACACGCTGTCGATCAATGCCATGGAACCTGGCCAACTTGACTGCTCGAAAGAATGCCAGTGAACCGAGCATCGAATAAAAAATATCCCAGATGAGCGACTTACGGTATCACAGATTGACTGTCACCTAGACTCACAGAATCCGTTAACATCTCACACAGCAGATGGAGCATTTGTCTGTCCGACAAGGTGTTATCATTATCCACCTTTCAACGGAAAGATTCTGAACAGCAGCAAAACAAGCTCGTTCAATTACCCAAACAGCAAAGCCCCTGGCAACAGAATGTCGCACAGTTCAAACTGGCCATGAATGCTCTTGTGTTGCCTTTGCACGCGCATCAAATGATCCCTCTAGGTCTGTCCTAATTGCCATTTCTAGGTCGATCAAGTGGCTGACAAAGAAGGATTCTTGTTTTCTTCGTTCATCATAAGGCTACCTACCGATATGTCGTGCTGGACGATGCATTCCCAAAGATATGAGAACTCGGCTAGAGTGCCTCATGGTGGAATCGTAATGATCTAAATAGCAGCGAGGCAGTCAATATAACATCGACTAATCGCGCTTTGAGGAGGCATCATAGCAACATTTTTCTCGAAGGCGAATCGAACGGTGCCAGCTTGCTGGCTTGGCATGTTCGTCTCAATGCTAAAGGGTCGTCTCGTAACACATAGATACATGTATGCCCGACGAGAGTATATCGCTTCCCGACATACTCAAGACGAGCGGCATTTTAAGTCCGGCCAATATGGCGATCTTATGTCCTAATGCGGTGCCTTCCGTCCCTTTCACTACCATCTCATTCGTTTCCAGAAATGTATTGTACCATAGTTTGAACGCGGCTGGTGCCTTCTCCGGCTCAAGCGGGCGCTCTCTATGGCCACGCTTTCTTCGTACGGAAAAGAGGGATTGGTCAACAAAAATCGCGAAGATATCATCGATTACGACACATGATCGGGAGCATTCTGGTGTACCAACGACGCTCGCCCGCAGAAGACCTGCCATGCTGCCTGGGACTCCTCTGGTACTCCCTCGTAGAGTGACGAGTCACTTTCAAAAGAAATGAAGAACCGCATGTCTTCAATCATAGGTACGTGTGCCATCACCTAGTCAACCTCGCCCACAAACTTGCATTTAATTTTGAGTAGCCTCTCCTTAGAATCAGTGTGGTAAAATGCTTTTGTTTCTCCCGCATTAAAGTCCACCAATTCTCAGCAATGCTAACGGTGTCGGCGACCATAAACAGCGTGTCACTTCCTCGTGGAATTCCCGCGACGGGCCATGGAACATACACAGCACCTCGAGGCAGCAACCACACGATGTTGTGATGTGTCCTATCTCCTTGGATGCTGGTTCAACGAACGACTAGACGGACCGAAACACAAGTGGAAAGCGAAATAGTGATAGCCTGAGCGACTGACTTTGTCGAGGTCACGGGGCGACTGCAAATGAACACCTGAGGAATATGATCGTCCCAGAAAAGGGTAGGAGCCAGGACGGATCAGTTATTTTACCGCTGAAAGATTAGTAATACTCAGGAAGCGCTCTTGATAGCCTGCCTGATGGCTCAAAAGGGGCTACAGCCTTGCAATGTCGTACAGAACAATTGGCGTGTGTTACGGATCTGTGAGGAGCCAGGGGCTGTACGAATTGAATCTAATCCGGTACCATGTTGCATGAGGAAGCAGCCTTCAAGCTCCAACGGGATAATGTCATAGCAATATGCGGCCGCAACATTGGCCCAGCCGGGGAAACCAGTAGCCGTCAATGACTCATCGCGTGGATGCAAGAAGGCTGCAGATGGCATTGCCACCTATCTCGACCGGCTCGATTTTGCTTCAGGTTGGGAGTAGACAGGGTTGTTGGCCAAAGGACGTACAGGCTTGCGAGGCTGCAAGTTGCTTGTCGATGCCATGGGCCACTTCTAATAGATGCCCCATAGTGAAGCCATAGTTGGCGTTTCCAGTCAACACCCAAGGGAGCCGCCGTCCATTCAATGTCGGACTGAATGAAAGGACGACTGGTGCCTGTTGCTAAGTGTTGCATCTTGCTCCGCTACTCTCTGGTCAAGAATTGTCTGATCTCCGCATGAGGGAACGCACGCTACAGTTTCCGATGTGAGTCGATTGCAAGGGCATTGCACTGAAGTATTCCGTGTGTCATCTAATAGTGTACACGGCAATATACGGCTGCCTTTCAGCATAATGGGCGCCTAGAAGCAGTGTCTCTCCCCTAATTCTCCGGTTACTACCATTAAGTGTACGGAGTTCCAGCTTCGTTTGACATCGTCTGGCAGCGCATTCACCATTGGGTTCTCCCTTCAATGTTCACCACTTTTCCTTGTTCAACTTGAGGCGTAAGCTCCACTCTTTACCGGATCACAGCCCGGTCTGATCGTGGCCAATGTGAGTGACGATTGTTCAGTCTCCTTCTGCGCCCTCACTTCGAAGGGACGACAAATACAATCTCCGTTCTTGAAAGTACCATTTGTGGGGCTCTGGTGGGTATAATAATGGAATATTAGGTGCATATCTGTAGGCAGGAAATATCAGGCTTCGTCAGGAAACATTGAAAAGATATCCGTTGATTGACAAGCAACTACGTACACTGACTTAGCTACTACCATCGCTAAATCATAGGTTCGAGAGCGCCCAAGCCACTGATCTTGACTTCACCAATCTCCCTGACGAGACTTTTCCGGGCCTTGAGGGCCGAAGCTGGGACCCAGTTGCCATGGATTTGAGCCTTGACATGGAACGGTAGCTGAACGATTGCCACCGACTTTTCAAATTCTCGGGTATCAATGATGGCAACGTCGCACCGGCCAGCGGCGCGTCGCTCGACCAGCGTCATGACCCAGCCATCACCCTCGGGAGCATCCACAGACCTAGGAATAAAGATCAGTTCTTGACACAACGAATTATCTCCCGCATAGAAATATCGCGTCTTGCCAGTCTTGTTGTTGTGCATGGCAAGACCGTTGAGACCATGGAAGATGTTCTTCCTACCGTCCATATTCTCCGGGATGAAAACATTGAGAAAGAGCCACTCGTATTGCTTGGTCATGAAACGTTCGTCGATTCTCGGAAATTCCGACGGTAGGTCGAGCACGACGAGAGGATCCGGTATACTTGACCCGTTTGGCATGGAGAGATCCAACTCCCAACGAACAAAATCCGCCTTAGTCTCTGGCGAAGGCATGCGCCCGTCGTCAGGAGGGAAAATGGGAAAGCATTGTCGTGCACGCGAGAGCTCTCGATGTAGATTTTGCCGCTTTCCTCCTTCCAACCACCGGCGGTATGGATCGGCATACAATTCTTCCAAGCGTAGACCCGATACTCGCCCTTCTTCCATCCAAAGTTAATGGCCGAATCTTCCCGTCGGGGAACGACGATAAAGGTGGCAGCTAGATCGTAGCTCCAAGCCCAGTGCTGTTTTCTGGCCTCCATCCTCGCTATGTTCGCCTCGAATGGCCACAGAACAAGAACGACAAAATTTTTCGGTCACAGCGCAATCATGAATGAATGCGCACCACGGGGACCGCGACCAGAATTCTGCCGTCTTTTTTCCTTGCTTGTGCAATGCATAGGTCACCACGTCACGCGTGGCAAGGCCTTTGGCCTCGTAACCGAAGCACACCAGCTCCTGTGTGAATGGGTCAACTTTGGGGTGCGCGGTGAACGTTTTGGAATTTATTTGGCCTTTGAACGGATCGTAGCCAAGGGTCTCGAGAGTGTCTGGATCCACCACATAAGGGAGAGCCACTTCTTTCAGGGTCAACAACTTCTCCGCCCAGTACACCAAGTTGGTGTTAGCTGTGGAGTCGACAGCCGCCCTGACGCAAGGATGATGAGTAAAAGGATTGCAGTAGAGCCCGAATAAAGCCTTGTTGGCCTTTCGCTCGAGCTTATAGCGTTCTGTCTCGACATAACGCGTCTTCATATCCACCCTCCCATTGTAAAATCTGAAGGCCGAGATATTTCCATCACCATCAATGGGCACGCTACCTGGGTCGGGGGGAACATATGGGTCACACATCACGCGATAGAAGGTGCCGTCTATCTCTTTGGGGATGGTCCCCAATACGATCAAGTCACCAATTTCTCCCTCAAGGCGACATGGGAGAGTTGACCCTGCGAGATCGTGGACAACCGGCCATTTCGAGGTGAGACCGTAGAGACCATCATTGTGACCGGAACTTGTCGCAGTGGCCGCTTTGGAAAGAGGAGGGACGTCAGATGTGCGTAGAGTATCTCCACTGGCATCGACAGCTGAAGCGCCAGCCATTTCGGCCGAACATGCCGAGTATGACAGCCGGTGACCTTGGATGCAGGACCATTACAACTGCCTCCTGGGACTGATGACGACAAAGTGGACCCTCTGGGTCCGAGTAACACGTTTTCCCTCGGCTTTGATTGGAACTTTGCCCCGATTCCACTAGTCCCAGAGCCTTACCGACTTTTCTAGCGTAAGAAAAAAAGGGTAAAATCTACTGTAATTTCAGTCATATCTAGTGTAGCGGGGTGCTACGTGCATAGGTTATGTAAGGAGAAAACGGACATGGGTGGGTAGAAAGTCGGGAGTGCACAGGGTCTTTCTTAGTTAGTTTCATCGGAGGACACAGGAACATAGAGGAGTCAAGCAACTAGAGCTTTCCGTGTGGTTTCTCATCGATCCTGACACCGACATCCTCCCCCATGATAGGCACTCAAGTGCTAAACCGTTCATCACCTTTACACTAGAAATCGACCAGGGCTATCGACCCATTTGCCTGCCCACCCAATCTTGCGTGAGAGAGCATCTCCTCCAATCTTGCTAGATCTCCACTGTTGCAAATGCGGAGCGATGCTTCACCTGGGGCTGGATTGTCCGGGGTTTGCCGGGATGGACCTCTGGAGCTGTATTATGGGGTGACCTTCTAAATCTTGGGCTCTCAGGAATTCGGAGGACGACAAGAGGAACGAAGATCAGGCCGATTTTGGGGGTTACTATGTCTGCTACCTTGGATACACCAAGTCCTCCGCGCTCCTGCTCTAGGCTCCATCCAGGCACTAGAGCATGCCTTGAGCGAAGAGCTGCCATCGAACCAATATCAACGGCAAGCGTTGGGATATCCCGGCATAAGAGGATTCCGATCATAGTCTAGATACGCCGAGACTGGTAGGGGTTGTACATGTTGGTGACGTTGTTTATCAAATCAAAGATCGTGTCTGCTAGGATGCAATCCTTCTTGTGAGAGCCAAGGAGGTCATCGTTGCTCCATCCTCCTAAGGCTACCATTCGCTTCAAGCTTATGGCTTTGTCGCGGATACGACAAAGGCAAATAACTTCCCAGTATTAGTAAAAGAAACCGCGAGTGGCGAGTTGCTGTGCAGGTATATCTGTTGGATAAATACCTAGACGACTTTCAATAATATGAGTTCGACGTGCTTCGTGTCCACTGGGACGTCGTCAGAACGTGATGGTGAGCTCCTTCGGCTTGCTGATGGTGATTTAACTGGTAATATTGACAGGGCAAAAAGGATTCGTTGATGCTACTGCTGCCATTTTCTCTCCAGCTTTATTAAAAGGAGATATTATTGTCACGTGGGCGGCTACAAGGAGATAACGGCCGATCTCGTGACGACTTATGTTGGGGGAGATGGCCAAGAGCCGATCAGCCTCCGTGTCCAGTGCCAAGAAATAGCAGTCTCGCCATAAGCTCGAGCGGCATAAATATGATCATCCCTCAGTGCAGGAACCAAACACCCAGACGAGTCTTCTATGTGAAAAATGACCGCAGAAAAACCATCATATATCATCGCTGGAGCTGGCGTGTTCGGAGTATCCACTGCCTATCATCTAATCAAGAAGTACCCTGACGCATCGGTGACTTTGATTGACCGGGATGCATTTGATGCAGATTACCGTGTGGCCGCCTCGTGGGATTGGAATAAGGTGGTACGCGCCGACTACGACGATATAGTATACTGCCGGCTCGCACTAGAAGCGCAAGACATCTTCAAGTCCGATCCGCTTTGGAAGCCGTATTTCCACGAGACCGGGATCTTCTGGATGTGTCGCAGCAACTACGCGCAGGATGTCATCGACAACTATAAGAAACTCGGCCGAAATGCTGATCTTTCTGCCGTGTCCGTCAGCGAGGCCCGTAAGTTGTACAATGGGCTTTTCGAAGACGCTGATTATACCGATGTCAGAGAAGTACTCATCAATAAGACCAGTGGTTGGGCTGCCGCTGGAGATGCTTTGCGGGCCATCACCAGCAAAGCCTTAGAACTAGGTGTCAAGTATGTGACTGCTGAAGTTGCAACACTGCAACTCGACAACCGAGGTTGTTGTTATGGAGTCAAGACAGCGACTGGGGAGATTTTGACTGCTTCACATATTATTCTTTGCACTGGTGCATTTACGCCGAAACTGTTGGAGCTGAGTGCTGCAAGTAGTGGCCTGGCTGATCTTCGAGCTGGACCCAGAATTGTGGCGGGTGGCATTACAACGGGAATGACGAAACTAGATGACAAGTCATATGAGAGGTTTACTGGTATGCCTGTGGGTGTTCAAGGGTATACTGCGCAGATAGGTGATTGCCACCCAGATCTATTACATTGCGCTGGTAGCTAACCGTCAAGACAGGTCCTTTTATTGGTAGTCTTCCACCAACTCAGGACAGAGAGCTTAAGTGGTGGGGACAAACGATATTCAAAAATACTCGGGAAATGTTGCCTGGCCGCCACATTTCAGCGCCGCCTCCGGAACCCGACTACGCTCAGTGGAAGGTTTCCGGAAGACTTCAGGAAGATATTCACCATGCGAACAATGTGTTTTACGGGAAGAAAGGTGCACACTGGAAGATGGAGAAATATCGTATCTGCTGGTAAGCCACTGCACCCCAATAACAATATACGGAACGACTAACCTTTAAGAAGGGATGCCTTTACGACGAGCTCGGACTTTATTATTTCGCCACACTCAGCCTCGAAGGGGTTGTACCTCGCAACCTGCGGTTCCTTCCACGGCTATAAGTTCTTCCCGGTGCTAGGTAAGTATGTTCGACAAATGCTGGAGGGCTCCCTCTCTCCCGATCTCGCAAAAAAATGGGCTTGGGATCGGGAGCGGCCAGATCCATCGCTTAACCCGGATTGGCCGAGGGCGGAAATGAGAGATCTCTTAGATCCAATCAAAATTTTGAAGTTGTAGGTAAAAATGTCTTTTAGAAGCCCTTTCGACATAATGGGAGGAGGCTCTAACGCGAGAAAACCTCGAAGGGGCTTTTCCGCTCGGTTTGAAGTTCTCCACTATCGCCACCATTAAGCTTCATCGAGTGGTGGTTGAATTACATTCTTACTTCTATAGCAGATGGTGGTCTAGAAGTGAGCACAAATACTAAAAGCCGCTAGGAGAGACCCACCACCATATGTAAGGAATTCATAGCCATTTAGAAGGGCTGGAACTTAGCGATCTCCTACATCGAATTCAGGGTGCGGCTTTGACGAGTTATCTGCATCATACAATTTTCAATCGGACTCTTGAGAAGTTCAGCCTAAAATACCGCCCTTCACGTTGTCAAAGGGAAAGCTGGCTAGAATTGAGCCTTGTTGAACTGGACCGTTTGCTGATTCCATAAAAATTGAAAGTCAACAAGCGGCCTCTCATCCACGAAAATACTTGCGAGGTGGGTCGCAAATGTAGATGTCCAGGCGAGGAGCTTGACGTCGTCTGGTGTGTTACGGTGCTACTACCTCCGAACTCCATTGTGACATATTTCATCTTCATCGCGGGCCAGGTAAGGCATGGTCCGCTTTACGAACACCGACCGTGCAAGCCTCGATATCAACGGTGTGGTCTTGCAACACTCGGTTGGCTATAGGTATTGCATTTTCAAGGAGTAAAGTTTTGAACTAGGTCTGGGGAGCTTTACTAATGGAAGAGTATAGCGTGGGTAGAACGACTTTGGTCGGACACGGTTATTGATAGAAAGACGTAAACGTCTTATGGACCTAGTTTTCGTTGGACGTTTCCTACATGTTCTGTAGAAGTCGACGCCTAGTCTACATGGACAGATTTGGCGGAATTCGGAGTCGCTGAACCGCCTTCTGACGAGCCTGGCCTAGAAAAGATCGGAAATCTTGGCGAAGCTCTGGGTGGATAAAATTACCTGTTTTGGCCTAGCCCCGTGCGACAAGGGAGTTCAAGGCTGGAAGGGGGGAGCCACGTATGGAACCTAAACTCATTTCGGAACTAGAGCCGCTACCAATACGAGAAAATGCAATGATATCCCCCCGTTGCCGAGGCGGACTCCGGTTCTTGTATCCCGCATGAGTAAGGCGATCTGTTTCCTCCAACGGTCCGAAGCCTCCAAAGGGGCTCGGTGTTGGGTGCCGCCCGCCGGTTGCCTGGTCTAAACTTCGGATTCCTTAATGCGAAAAACAAGCATTGTTCTGGTTTGAATAGATACCAAAGACAGGTGCGATCAGAGTATTGCTTCCTTCTGCAATAGCGCGTTATTTTTTAGGTGGAACAGAAGCTTTTCTCGTCTAACGCTGGTTTACTGGCGAGAAACCTGGAAGAAAATGGACAAGGACTTCTCGAAGCCTTGGGTGACCACCCCTTTGATCGAGAGCCGGACTCTTGCAGAGGCAGCAAAATGGTATGTCTCTCGTTGCACCTGCTATTCGCTTTGTCGGATTTCCCGTTTCTTTTGAACCATGCCCTTGAACCCAGGATGGTAACGATTCTAAATCGTAGAAGCAGAGTTTTCCTGAAGCTTGACAATCTACAACCCGCTGGATCATTCAAATCTCGTGGTATCGGAAACTACATTCTACGGCGAGTTGCTGAACTTCGGGGATGTTCCAAAATACACTTTTATGCAGCATCAGGAGGGAATGCAGGCATTGCCTGCGTCCATGCAGCCAAATTAATAGGCTACCCCGCGACGGTGGTGATTCCCACTACTGCGAAGCCTGCAATGGTCTCAAAGTTGTGGGCCATGGGGGCGACGGAAGTTATCCAACATGGCGCCAATATTGCAGAAGCCCAGGAATATATCCAGAAGGTACTGTTGCCACAGGACCCTAATGGATGTTTCGTACCCCCCTTTGACCATCCGGATATCTGGGACGGCAATGCGACAACTATGGAGGAAATCGCAGAGCAGCTTGGTGGAAAACCCGATGTTGTAGTCTGCAGTGTTGGAGGTGGAGGCTTGTTGAATGGAATTATGCAGGTGATTGATAAAAAGAACTGGAGTGACGAGGTACAAGTCCTGGCGATGGAGACGGAGGGTGCGGACTCGTTGAATCGATCTCTCCATGCGGGGCAGATCATAACGCTTCCACGAATCACATCTCAGGCCACGAGCCTGGGGGTCGTTAGGGTCTCTCGGAAGGCTTTCGACTACGCTAAGCGCCCGAACGTTACGAGCATTGTCCTCTCGGATGCGGAAGCCGCACGAGGGTGTTGTCTATTGGCGGAACACGAAAGGATGATGGTCGAGCTCACCGTCGGTGTCAACGTACCAGTCTGCTATGGAGGCCTTTTGCAGAGGGTCTTAGGACCCAGAAAAGCTCTCGATAGATCGAGTAAAGTGGTGATAGTCGTTTGCGGCGGAAACGACATCGATATTGAGATGCTCATGGACTGGCGCCGTGAGATGCTGGGCAATGAGAACATGCAGGAAAACACAATAACTGCAGCACGAAAGTCGGGACCACTCAGGGTGGCAGTGAATTAAAAGATGATATAACAGGCCGGCATTGAGAAAAGCAGCGTCTTTACTGAGGGCTTTGTATTGGTGTTTGTTTGAGTCTGGATATGTAATTTGCAAGGGAACTATAAATATTGCTCTTGGTCATGCTTTAGAAATAAGAGTGGGTCAGGAGATAAGATACTTGGAGAACTCTATTTTACTACAGTAGATGCGCTGCTCGTTGAGGAAATATTGGGTAATGGGTGAGCATGAATGCGAGTGGCAGATCAAGTCGTATATACGGGGTTTAAGCGGCGTGGTCTCATTAGTACCTGTACAGGTTTGTTAGCAGATTTTACTTCTCTTTTCTCACTAACCTATGGTTTGCGACCAGGCAAAACTTTACCCGAAATTCGTGGCATATTACTCTCGGTTCATGATCGGTGTTTTCGGCCATCTCACACCCTTTGTCCGGACAAGTTTTAATTTTGCACCATCAAATCCAACTTGCAAGAGCATTGCTACTGAATATGTTGCACCAGTGAAAACAATTGATTGTTCAAATCTCTTTGAAGGACATTGCAGTAAGTCAGACCGGGAAGATGACGTTAGGGCTCATATGTCGCTGCTAACGTGGTAGATCTCTAGTTATGCTACATTGCTACATCATGGAACAGTCGACACCAGCCTCTTCGACACCGATCACATGGGCGCGCCACGGGCATTTTGTGCCATAAAAGGTTTCCGGATCCCAAGCCATAAGTTGCCATTAGTTGCCATTTCAAGGACCATTGTGTTACCAGCTTTTCATTGTCTCCAATACTACATCTGAAAGTCGTCAATATGGCCTCGGTTTCCACGTCAACTTATGCTCTGTCTCAGACTCATAAGGACGTCAGTCGCACGAATTCGTTTGATCTGGAACAGGGAACCCTTAACACGAAATTGCAGATCCTCGAGAAGTCTTTGCCGAGATCATGCTACTTACTTCGAGACACTCCCGTATCGAGTTAATCACGACACCGGTATCATCGACTACGATAGGCTCGAGGAGAATGCCGTTCTATACCGCCCCAAGTGTATTGTTGCCGGAACTTCTGCATATTGTCGCTTAATCAACTATGCGCATATGCGCCAGATCGCAGACAGAGTCGGAGCATATCTCATTGTTGATATGGCTCATATCGCCGGTCCTATCGCGGCGGAAGTTGTCCCCTCTCCCTTTGAGCATGCGGACGTGGTTACTACCACCACCCATAAATCCCTTCGTGGCCCTCGCGGGGCTATGATCTTCTTTCGAAAAGGCATCCGCAGTATAAATCCTAAGACTGGCAACCAAGTCACATATGACCTCGAAGGCCCTATCAATTTCTCCGTCTTCCCCGGCCACCAGGGAGGTCCCCATAACCACACAATTACCGCGCTAGCGGTGACATTAAAGCAGGCCCCTACTCCTGAGTTTCGTGTCTACCAGGAACAGACACACACATGGTTCTACTAGACCTGCGCCCGCAACCTCTTGACGGTGCTCGTGTTGAAGCTGTTCTCGAACAAATCAACGTCACGTGCAACAAGAACAGCATTCCAGGCGACAAATCCGCGTTAGCCCGTGCGGGATTCGAATCGGTACTCCCGCTATGACTTCTCGCGGCTTTGGCGAGAAGGATTTCAAGCGTGTCGCGCTCTACGTTGACCAGAGCATTAAGTTGAGCAAGAAAATCCAGACAGAATTACCCAAGGAAGCGAACAAGCTCAAAGACTTCAAGGCTGTCGTGGCGAACGAATTAGTGCCCGAGATTTTGAAGTTGAAGACTGAGATAACTCAATGGGCATCAACTTTCCCTCTCCCTGTATAGTCATCTGGGGTTCCGAGGCAATATCTATATGAATTGATGGCATTTGACACATCGGACCTCGTGAGGAAGGCGTTCATGACGGTTTAGGGTTCGTCATACGCTGAATGTAACGTCCCACGATAGCTGAAAGGCTGAAAAAATGTGCCGAAAAATACAATCAATATCACCTTGGAACGCGTTGAATGGAAGTGCCGCACTCTTAGTTAATTCGTTCATATGGAAATATGATCAACGATGTAAGAGGCTGCGGTGGTTGGCGGTACGGTTAGCCAGGCTTCTTGCCTCTTACATGCGTTGCCAACAGACTGGAAGGAAAAATTGGCTATTTCATCCACGCATCTACGTGCGAAACTTTCTACAGGCAGTTGTGGGGACGGCATGTAAAGAAACTGTCTCGGAGCCACGTTGACATTCTGTGTCAGTTTGCCCTTTCCTCTGGAACTTTCTGAAGAGCATCTATTGCAGAATGTTTCGTATTGAGGGCTCTGCCGTCTTGCAAGAGGCCCTGCTATCTAGCAACTCTGTATACTTGTCCAATGAATCATCGATATAGGCACACGCGGGTACGAGAATGTACAACCGTGCTGAAGACCCACTCTACCCTATGATAGTGTCACGTGGCCTGAAGCCTGACAGTATCTTTCATCCATTTTCCCGGAGGTAATTTGCCCTTGTCCTCAAAGGTAGGCTCAGATAGACTAGTTCAAGTCTGCCATGGTGGATTTGGTGCAGTTTTTGTAGGAAGATTCAGAACAGCTATATATTTCCAGCCTGTAAGAAAAATTGACGCGGTAACCCGCCGCTCTTCAATGGAATATTCGGTACTGAAACGTTCTCACTAAACAACTATTTCTTGAGATACTTATCGTGCACTCGATAGCCAGAACTAGTTAGATTAGGCGGTGGAGGAAGAATTCGCGAGCTTCCGTCCTGGTGAAGCCTGAAGGATCGTGGGTTCTTGCCGTTGCAGATCACCAGCTTGGGAGGACCTGTCCCGAGTTCGATGATCTATGAAAATTCTGCAAGAAGTATGAAGGGTGACCCATGCTCCAGATCTCTTTATTACAATAACCTATTGAGCCACCTCCACGAAATGTGGATGGGCAGGACTGATAGACCAAGGGAACCGAAGTGGGCGGTAGCATTTTTTTGAAGAGACACCCAGAACGACTGGCTGAGATTTCAAAAAAGGGGCCGGAAAATATGAGTTAGAGAGGATTAGGGGATCACGAACAAAATCGACTTTACTGCCCATGAGCGATTGAATAATGACTTACAGACAACGGAGCTGGGCCTATGGTGGCTCGTGTTCTTTGATGCCAATAATTCTACGCCATCGGATTGCGCTACTATCCGGTGTCTCTACTAGGCCCGACCCCCCGATCATATGACCGGTATAATGCCCTGACCACTTCCGACATCCTTATCTGTCAAATGTATCCGATGGAAGGAGAGTAACATGGCCCTGGATCTCTGGCAAGCTCCTTAAATCTAAGCTTCCTTATCAAACAAGGTCCGCCTAGTTCTTGAGTTTCACTGATACTTGTCTTCTTTATCTTTCTTTCTTTCCCGATAATGGCTCAATCGTTCTTGAAAAACTACTTGGGCCTTGGACGGCCGTCGCCCACGGACGAAGAAAGTCCCATCCGTGCTTTACCGGCTTCCTGGTACACCTCCCAGGAAATGTACGAGCTTGAAAGACGAGCGATTTTCTCCAGAAAATGGCTTTTAACTACCCACAAGCTGAGACTGCTCAATCCTGGAGACTGGCTACGATGTGATGTGGCGGGTTTCCAGTTCATTCTTTGTCGAGACCGTGATGAGAACATCAATGGATTCCACAATGTCTGCAGACACCGTGCCTTTCCAATTGTGACCGAGGAGAAAGGGCACAATAACATTTTTGCTTGCAAATATCATGGTTGGTCGTATGGTCTCAACGGCAAGCTCGCGAAAGCACCGGGGTACCATGATCTAGAAGGATTTGACAAATCCAAGAACGGCCTCCTACCCATCCATATCCACATTGATCGTAATGGATTTATCTGGGTCAACTTAGACGGCGGCGAGAAGCCAGGAATTGCCTGGAACGATGACTTCGAAGGTGTGGACGAGCAGCCCAGATTCGAAAATTACAATTTCGATGATTACCAATTTGACCACACCTGGGAGATGGAGGGGGAATACAACTGGAAAATTTTGGCCGATAATTACAACGAGTGTTATCATTGTCAGACTTCGCATCCTGATATTCCTACAATTGCAGACCTCAGTTCCTACTTCGTCGAGACAAAAGACGCGCATATTCAACATTTCGGCAATCCTACGCCAGAACAGATTGCACGTGGCCTTAGGGTTGCCAGCACTTACTTTTTTCCTAATGCCTCGTTGAACGTCTCGTAAGTGCATTATTCTGACTAGACTTGCGATCTCGCTCACGCCTTTCAAGGCCGCACTTTTTCTTCATCCAAAGATTTGTGCCCAGAGGTCCCGTTAAGTCAACCATGAAATATGAAGTCTATAGGAACAAGAACTCAAGCGACGCAGACTTCGATTTGATTAACCAAATTTACAAGAGAATCATGTCGGAGGACAAGGACCTCTGCGCTAACACGCAGAAGAATCTCAACGCCGGGGTTTTTGTCAATGGCGAGATGCACCCAAGGATGGAGAAGGGCCCTTTGTACTTTCAAAAAACGGTGCGTAACCTCGTGCAGGCCCACCACAAGCGAGAGACGGACGTCAATCGCGAGATTTGGCCTGCTCGACAAACTCTCCCCAGAACTGCTGCGGCCAGCGAAAAAGACATCGCTTTTTGCTCTGCTGTGGATTGTTGCAGAATCGGCAAAGAGTCCATTGTTGTGTAGTCACGGCAGGAATTGACATTCTTCATATTGAAATTTACCATCTTCGAACCTGGCTGATGTGTTATGAAGTTTTCAACACTCGGGTTAAAATGCAGGTGCTGTATTTCTATCAGGAATAGTTGACGACCCTTTGCTTTTCATTGATCGTCCGCTAAACAAGAGGGAATCTTTCCCGTACCCGTTCAAGACAGTGCGTCAACAAGAACATGAGAAGTGGACAAGGCAAATAACATGTACCCAGTAAACTTGTGCTACCGTTATAGTAATTTTGCATATTGCGATAACTTCTGTCCTTAATTATAGACTCTCGTGGGAAAATGGAGGGTTCTGCACGTTCTTCTAAACGTCGCGAATGATTGGTCGGGGGCAATTCTGGAAAGATGTGGAGATGATCAAGGCCGGTTCCCCGCGCCGCTTAGTCAGTTGTCGGGGTCAAATAGTTTCAGGGAAGATTGTCACGCTCTAGGCGGGGAGGTGGCGAAGTGGCGACTATTTATTGGAGGTGAGCCACTAAACGGGCTCCTTTTTTCCAACGAAACCCTAAAGGGGGGCTCTCTGGTCTTGGTCATTTTTACTGCTGTGTAATGGCAATCATACATACTGCCGTGTAGCCATCTTCTTCGTCCAATCTTCTAGACTTTTAAGGTCATTCCGTACTCTTCGGTTTAAGATCCAGCATGACGCCGCCAGAAGATATAACTAGTTCTCGTGGAAGAAGACGATCACATCATGCTTGCATCAATTGCAGGTCTGTCACTTCTTACTTTTTTTTTTTATTTTTCGGTTTTTAATTGCATGCCAACCATAGTATATAGGAGGAAGAAGACTCGCTGTCCTGGCGAGAAGCCGGCCTGCTCAAGTTGTGTCCGCCTCAAACAGCCATGCTCTTATGCACCTGTCATAAGAGCGTCACAAAGTGGCCGATCGGTACATTATGACACGCCTTCCAATGATTCATGTCTCTTAACGACTTTTAGGAGGAGAGGCTGGCACACTTGGAAGAGAAACTGGATCTCCTCTTAAGTGGCAGCTTGTACAATCGGCTCCAAGAAAAGCTACGTCCAAACGTTCTGACCGCGTGCTTAGGCCGAGCCATGCAACACGTCAAGAACAGGCACTCGAAGAGATTGCTGGCATTTCGGAGAAATCATACTCAGTAACTCCTCCAGCTCCCGAGCCGAGCTACCCCGTCAGCCATTCTTCTACTCTCGATCTTGATTCCGACATCGTCAGTGGAATCGACCTCTACTTCAAGTATTGCCACAAGCAACCAATCTGGTGCTTTGAGCGTGAAGAAGTCCGGCAACACGGCTCTCTCCCTGAAGAACTTGTCTACAGTATCCTGGCACTGACTTCGCGCTTCCCTCCAAAACGTGACCGGTCGGAGCGCTGCGGCAAGAACGCAAGAAGTCTGATTATGTTTCGCATTGCAAATGGTACGGTGGACCTCGCGACTATCGAAAGCTTGTGTTTGCTTTCGCACTCTTCTTTCATAGGCATGAATGTCTGGCTAAGTCGTGAAGCAACCCCTTCAGCTAACACAGAGATAGACGGAAATGTTTCACTTGGTCAATTTCATGTCGGTCTTGCTTTTCAGCTCTGTCGATCCGCTATGCTAGATCTCGAATCGATATATACTATCGAGGATTCAACCACAGAACGGAAGAAGCGACTTTTCTGGAGCCTCCAGTTACTCGAGCAGTCTTACGGCCGACAGGCTGGTCTTTTGAGCGTCCCAACCGAGATATGGCGACCATCTTATTCCTCAACTGGCGGAGATCAAAAACCGAAAAGAGAACTTGACCAGAAGGCCCCGCCTTTACCCAGGGATGATCTGGGGTGTTCAACATCATCTGAACCAGGAATTTGGAACACAAGTGTCCAGCTCGGATGGGTCTGGAGTCGGGTAAGACAATACGTGTCTGATTGTGCTCGCAATATATGGAAAGAACCCTGGCGGCACGATTCGATGTACGCTATGGTACTCTCTGATTTCATGGAGACCGAGAACAGGATACCCGTCTGCCACCGATATGACTCGGTTAAATTCTACGAGCGCAAAGTGGAAGAGTTGAAAACCAACCGAGACTATTGGGCCCCATGGCTGAGGGAGCAGTTCACGTACCATGCAATCCCTACTGTCTTGAATCACCCATTCCTCTACATTGTTGGGGCACAACACAATCCAGATCTGGCAATTCCGAATACGTTTTGGAGGAGATCTTCCGAGACAGCCCTACTACATTCCACTTGGATTGTCCGCATGGTAGATATGGTTTTGGACAAGCAAATGCCACTCAGCGATCCATTTTTTGGACACGTCGCTGCCATTGCAGCTACGGTGCATCTTTACTATTGCTGCGCTGCCGATACCAGACTGAAATACAAATCGAATACAGACTTCGCCAAATGCAGAAGGTTTTTAAAAAGCTTTGTACCCTTTTCGGCAGCCTGCAAAGCTTTGGTATGTTTTTCTAGAAGACGAGAAAGTCCGAGCTGATAGCTTTTCAGGACTGTAATCTGGACAAGATGACGCGAATTGCTGCCGGCTCCGAGAGCATGGAGGTTGAAGACTGGATGCCATCCAAAATCTATCTCAGTGTACCTTTAATGTGGGATATCTTGCAGTTCAACTGTATAGCAGACCCGCGAGAAATTCCCACTGCTGGGTTACTAGATGCCTCGCTATCCCCCACAATTACTCATGGAGACGAGAACGAAAACTCAACCCTCGAGATCATCGTCGCAACATCACCCGAAATTACAATAAACACAGCTGATGGAGGACAAGACGCACCTATACTATCGTATAGGGCCCCCGTTTCTTCAGGTCCGGAGTCTTCCCAGAAAACTGTCAGCGATGAAGTATCTGTTGAACAGGCTGACAGTCTTACGCTAAACACTACTCCCTGGTTGTGGGCGGATCCTTCGCAATTTCTCAATATGGGTTATCACGACTCGCAGCCCGCAATTGGCGATACTAAGGGCGCAGCATGGTGGGAAGTCGAAAATTTTGGCAATGTCATGTACAATCACTTTTAGCTTAGTCCTTATCTGTCAAGACCGCAAATTCTGAGATATAAAGGTGTATTATTGGGACCATCTACATGATTCACCGATGTGAATTCCTAGCGTGGCAGCGAGGACATGACGATGATACTGCTATCACAGCCCTGACGCTACGTCACACTACCCAGGACTGACCCTACAATACCTCTCTAACTGACCAGAGGTTTCATGGATCTAGTAATTTAGGAGCTACGTCGTAGCTAGTACAACCATGTATGTTGACCATTCTCACTGAAGTGAGTCAGCCCACTCCTCCTGGGTAGAATGACGCATGATCCTGAACGGACGATTTCCCCCCCACCTGGCGATAGAACCCTGTCCGCCCTTTTGCATGCTGAACGAAAGCGACTAGCACAGATATTTACCCTCCTAGTCCGGGTCTTACAATATATTTGGTGTGTCCTGTCTGGGGTATCCTATCCGGGGTATCTGGATAAGAACACCGAAATTAGTCTAGAAGCGGTTTCCCGGCTCCGTGTGCCGACCAAAACGTTCGATCGAAGAGTTAACATGTGGCACCACCTTCTCATCCGTCAGGCGTGTTTTCAGTAAAAATGGTGCAGTATCCCGCGTAATTATTTGTTATTGACTGAAAAAGTTCGTGACAGGCCCTAGCAGACCTGTTTAGCTCCCTGCCGTTCGCTCAAATTCGGTTTGTTTGCCACCGTGTGACGGGCAAATCGGCATCGAAAAGCAGCGATGTGCTTGTGCAGTCTGCAACACCGCATAGAAGGAAGTTATTGCCCCATTTGGTTCATTTAACTCATTTGTTATCTTTTGACGCAGCGGAAATTCACCCGCGGGATCTCGTATTAGCTCACTATATAAACATCTGACATAACCCTATAACACAAAACCCGCAGTTATTCTCCCAAAGCTAGCCATCCATGAAATTCTGTCCGGATGTCCTAGTTTTAGGCATCCATACCCCTGTCGTAAGCTTCTCTTCACACGATTTCATGCTAGGTAAGCGCGAAGATGGTCCGCCTCTTCACAACTATCGAAGCGTCATTTTACTGGCATCCCAAGTCCCGCCGCGCACGGTTTGTACTCTCCGGTATCCGATACTGCATTTTACTGTTCGGTGTCCTCGGTATGCGATTCGGCGACGTTTCACGAGCTGTCTTCTACTTAAAAAAGACATCCATCATGCATAACAGCAAGGAGCTCAAGGGCGACAGCATCAATGAGACCGGCCTTCAACAGGGCAAAATATTCGTTGAAAATGCGGACAACCTTCGTCGACGTCTAAACAGCCGCCAGATCCAACTTATCGCCATCGGAGGTTCCATTGGCACGGCGCTGTTCGTGAGCATTGGAATGGTCTTGCCGCAGGAGGCCCTGGCAGCTTATTTATTGCCTATGTTCTCTACTCCTGTGTGGTGGCCTGTGTCAACAACTGTATAGCCGAAATGACCATCTTGTTCCCCGTCTCTGGCGGCTTCGTTCGACTAGCTGGGAAATGGGTAGACGACGCACTGGGTTTTATGGTCGGCTGGAACTTCTTTTTCTACGAGGCTCTCTTGATTCCGTTCGAGATCACCGCTGTGAATCACATCCTTACCTTCTGGAGAGACGACATTCCAGTGGCAGCCGTCTGTGCCGCAGTTATTGTGGCTTATGCGTACGAAGTCCCCTTAGCAACTTTCTTTGTCGAAGCAACGCCAAATGCATCAAAATGCCTCATGAGTTATTCCTGAATACCCCATTCCACATGCCTAACGGTTATTATTCCCAAATGTAATAATAAGAGCTAAGGTTTTGCCATATCTAGAGTTATCAACGTCTTTGCGGTTCGTGCCTATGGCGAAGCCGAATTCTGGCTCTCCGGAGGAAAGATTATATTGATATTTATACTCATATTCTTCACTCTTATCACCATGGTCGGTGGAAACCCTAAGAAAGAGGCATACGGATTTCGGTATTGGTCAAACCCCGGCGTCTTTGCCAAACACCCACTTCGAGACAATGTACTGGCGGTTTGGAACATTCTTTATCCTAGGCGCCTTGTGTGTCGGTATTGTGGTTCCCTGGAATGACCCTAAGCTTCGGGGGCTGGAACCGCTGCCGCATCGCCATATGTGATCGCTATGAGCAACCTCGGGATCGACATTCTACCAGATATCGTCAATGCGCTGATGGTTACCTCCATCTTTTCCGCCGGCAATACTTACACATACTGCGCCACTCGTTCCTTGTACGGTCTGGCTCTCGAAGGACGTGCCCCTAAGAAGGCAAGGTGTCCCGATCTATGCCTTGACCGTGGTTCTACTCTTCCCATTCCTCTCTTTCCTACAGGTCTCCAATAACGCATCGATCGTCCTCACCTGGCTAGTCGACCTCATTACAGCCGGTGCCCTTATAGACTACTTGATCATATGTATCACCTACCTTTTTTCCTACCGTGCATGTCAGCTGCAGAGTTTTGACCGGAAACAATTCCCGTATGTTGGCTGGCTTCAGCCATACTGTGCGAGGATTGGTGCAGTAAGCACTATTCTCATCTACCTCTTCTACGGCTACACCTCGTTCGCTCCCTAGAGCGTCGAATCCTTTTTCCGGAACTACACGATGCAGCTGGTCGCTCCGATCCTCTACTTTGGCTGGAAGTACATCGAGCGAACTCACCGAGTCAGACCCGCTGCACTTGACTTAGTACGGGAGCGACCTATTGTCGATGCATACGAGAGCAGTTGTGTTGACCCGCCCGTTAGATTCTGGATAGAGGTAAGACAACTGTTCTTAAGATGCTTTAGGAGAAGGAAGAACGACAATGCCAGGAACGTTGCTGGTTGAAACATCTGACATGGTTCGTGAATTGTGTGAGATGTTACGGGCATCGCATCAACTGAATTCCACCCTATATTGAATAACCTATTGGATGATGCTAGGAAGCATATCACCAAGACTATGAGCAGATGGGCTGAGAAAAGTGACTGAGTCTCACAGCCAAAAGAAAACAATTTTTAAAAATTTGGTTGTGCAACATTGGTTTCTGTCGGAATGTGGGCCAGCTCGTACAAAGGGGGAAAAAAAAAAGTTCTTGAGATGGCCCCCTGTTGGAGTCGGCTCGCTAGAGGTGTATGAGTCAATCTGGGTTTTTGAGATTTCATCATTTGTCGAATATACAATGAAAATTGTATCGTGCCTGTATAAACTTCCTTCGCCCTACTGATTTTCCCAAATACATCCATGGCAGTCTGGAGTCAGGAGATCTTGGCCCGGTGTTCTTGATAGGTGATATCTTAGGTACTACCTTACTGGTGCACCTTATACGTGCTTTAGGTGGAATGCTAAGAGAAAAGTCCGCATCTCTACATAATCACCTGGCCTACAGTTCGGGGTAGACATTTCCGATACCGATCAGGTGACCGCAGTAATAGCCGAGTGTTTCAGTTCTTATGACTTTTCGAAACAAAGCACCTCTACTCTAAAATACGGTGGGCTTGCAAGACGCCCGGTCTCATAATTATTAGCCATACAACCTAGCTGGGACATATTCAGAACCACCATTACTTCGCAAGTATCCTCTTTCATCCACGCTAACTATCGCCCTTCTTAAGTGGTCTATCAACATGGCCCCCGTGCCACTTGTCGTTATCATCGGGGCTGGTATTGTCGGAACAAGCCTCGCTGATGAGCTTGTCTCGCGCGGTTGGACCAATATCACCGTCATCGAGCAGGGGCCATTGGATATGCCGGGCGGGTCTACGTCACACGCCCCAGGCTTGGTGTTCCAGACTAATCCCTCAAAGACCATGACCCTGTTCGCGCGCTATACCGTGAAGAAGCTATTATCCTTAGAAGAGGATGGCCAGAACTGCTTTAACCAGGTAGGCGGCCTGGAGGTGGCGACCACCTCTGCGCGGCTCGAAGAGCTTAAGCGTAAGCATGGCTGGGCCTCCTCCTGGGGAGTCGAGACGCACCTACTCAGCAGCGAGGAATGTCTTGAGAGGTACCCGTTGTTGAACAAGGACCTAGTGCTCGGCGGCTTACTCATTCCGAGTGATGGACTAGCGTCAGCCGCCCGCGCCGTCCAGCTGCTTATTGCACGTACCCGCAAGGCCGGCGTCCGTTACTTGGGTTCGGCTCGAGTCACCGGCATCGAGCAGGCTAACGACCACGTTACCGGTGTGGTGACACCGGGTGGAATTATTCCTGCCGATATCGTCATCTCTTGCGCCGGCTTCTGGGGCGTCGAAGTGGGAGCTATGGTCGGCCTACCGATACCCCTACTACCACTGGCGCACCAGTACGTTAAGACCACCACCGTGCCGGCTCAGGTGGGTCACAACTCTCTCCCAAACGGAGCGGGCCTCCCGATTCTGCGTTACCAGGATCAAGACCTCTACTATCGTGAGCATGGCAACCAGCACGGCATCGGATACTATGGTCACCGGCCGATACCGGTCGTCGCCTCAACGTTGCCGATAGCTTCCAAGCATGTTGACGAGAGGAACATGCCATCCCGGCTAGGGTTTACCCCAGAAGACTTCAAGCCGGCATGGGACCTCTCCCAAGAGCTCTTGCCCGCCCTGAAGGAGAGCAAAATCGCCGACGGCATTAACGGGATCTTCTCATTCACGCCCGACGGCGGCCCTATCGTCGGGCAATCACCCACTCTGGACGGTTTCTACGTAGCGGAGGCGGTCTGGGTAACACATTCTGCTGGCGTGGCGCGCGCCATGGCCGAAATCTTAACTACAGGTCGATCTGAGATCGACCTAGCCGAATGCGACCTAGGCCGCTTCGAAGAGGTCCAACTCACACCCGCCTACGTTAGCGAGACTGCGCAGCAAAACTTTGTGGAGATCTACGACATCCTGCACCCACTACAGCCGAGGGAGTCCCCGCGCAACCTGCGAGTAAGTCCATTTTACGCTCGGCAGCGTGAGCTCGGCGCTTTTTTCCTCGAAGACGGTGCATGGGAGCGCCCGTACTGGTACGAAGCGAATGCGAAGCTAATTGAGTATCTACCGGCGGAGTGGCAGCCCGTCGAGCGTGACGCCTGGTCCTCCCGTTATTACTCGCCGATCGCTACGGTGGAGGCCTGGAAGACGCGCACAGCGGTCGCCATGTACGATATGACTCCGCTACGTCGGCTAGAGGTGTCTGGCCCCGGGGCTGTTGATCTACTACAGCGGCTAAGCACGGGCGACGTTTCGAAGAAGCCGGGCGCTGTTACATATACACTTCTTCTCGACGACCACGGAGGTATTCGCAGCGATATAACCGTGGCTAGACTCGCTGACGACCTATTTCAAGTGGGTGTAAATGGTCGCGTGGACCTGATCTACTTTACTCGAGAAGCCCGTCGACAATCGCAGCATAACCCCAGCAGATGGGTGCAGATACGCGAAAGTACCGGCGGCACATGCTGTATCGGGCTCTGGGGCCCCCGCGCTCGGGATGTGATCAGCATAGTCAGCCCTGATGACTTTACTAATAAGGGGCTACGCTACTTCCGCGTGAAGAGGGCGAGTATCGCTAGTATCCCGGTAATCGCGATGCGGCTATCCTACGTCGGAGAGCTAGGTTGGGAGATCTACACCAGCGCCGATAATGGTCAGAGGCTGTGGGACGCTCTCTGGCAGGCGGGCCAACGCTACGGAGTGATTGCCGCTGGTCGGACCGCCTTCAACGCCTTGCGGCTGGAAAAGGGATATCGCTCCTGGGGCTCTGATATGACTACCGAGCATGACCCGTACGAGGCCGGCCTTGACTTCACTATTAAGGCAGGTAAGCAGGGGTATGTTGGCCAGATTGCGCTCGAGGGGCGCTCCAAGGAGACTGTAACCCGACGACTGCGCTGCCTCACCGTCGATGACGGTCGCTCGGTGGTGCTGGGTAAGGAGCCGGTGTTCTACAACGGACGAGCAATCGGGTACGTTACAAGCGCCGCGTTCGGTTATACGATCGGTAAGCCTATCGCTTATGCCTGGCTACCCAGTTCAGTGCTCGAAGGTGAAACCGTCGAGATTGAGTACTTCGGGCGGTTGATTCAGGCCTCCGTCACTCCCGAACCGTTGTACGACCCGCCAATGAGCTGCCTACGCGGATGAACATGTATTTGACATTGATTGCCATGTCATGGGGAAAAAAGACATGATCGGGTCTAAGCTGGGCTTGGCTGAACTGAAATCATTAGGTAGTAATGTCGGAACGCTACTTTTGCAGCATGTCTTGCATTCAGATTAACCGCATGGCCGTTTGGTAGAATATGTCGGTCGGAATTCGACGAAGTCCTTCATGATGCTCAGCCAGAAATCTCGACTCGAGAGTCAGGCGAGATAAGCACTGAATGTAAACGTTTTCTGAATTGGGGAGAGGGGCAGTAGTGATGCATTATGCATAAGAATACAGGCTCCTGTGGATAGTCACATAGGTATCAGGAGCAAGATCCGCTTCGGGATCTGTTTCAGACCTCGATTCGATTTCTGTTTCTGCTGTGCCGTGCGTTATCGTATCGGAAGATTGCATAACTTGGTCCAAATTCGTTCCAGCCAAAAATCCGATACTTTTTGTTTTCCCTCGGCGTCTCATTCTTAGCCAGATGTTCAAGGCGATTCAATCTTGGGTTGGGCTCTGGTATCTGTGGTGTTTACAGATCTCTGGCCTAATTTCGGTCAAGATGTCCTCCATCAGCAACCAGATGCTCCTGATTTACCTGCAAGTCGGCGCAAGGAGAGGAGGGAGGTGCGAAAAGTATTGAGAGAGACGCTCCAGTGTTCTCAGTTATTCAAGTCAGCCAAGTGACTAGATGTTGGATAGAGACAAGAGGTTTCCATAGGCGACGAGCCGAGGGTAATGTTATTCTGTACACCACATTTTGTTATTCTGTACACCGCTTTTGATTGGTCCGGATTTTTATTTTTCCGGTTATCTGCGCAGTTCGAAGATACGTGATGTCACAACACCTAAGTCTGCCTATATAGAATGCAGAAATGATGGTTAACGATGGTATCCTCTGCACGGTCGATACCTCGTGCTGACTAAGGTAACAAACCAGCGCCCATAGGCTTGGGAGGACCGCTCATAAGCCGGAGGGGGAAACCGCCCATGAACCGGGGGGAAACCGCCCATAAGCCGGGGGGCAACTGCCCCGCTTATGGGCGGTTCCCACCCAAGCCTATGGGCGCTGGTTTGTTACCTTAGTCAGCACGAGGTATCGACCGTGCAGGGGATCTCTACACAAATCCGGCTGTGTAGGCCACAATAATTTACAAAGTATACAGAGAAGCTCAAAATGCACGGTACTTATCTACCAAGGAAAAGGGAATCAAATGTGTTTATTGCTTCGCAACCACCTATAACGGGGAGAGTTTAACGCGTCACCCCTCCACAGCTACGCCACTTACTAGTGTTTTCTCGCCATCGCCGGGCCAACGGCAACAAGCTCTGTTAGCGCGGTGTACAGAATAACAGGATGAGAGCGTTAAGTGTACAGAATAAGGCGAGAGAGAGGTGGTGGTGTACAGAATAAGGAGAGTTGAGGCATGGTGTACAGAATAAGCAGGTTTTCCGGTGTACAGAATAACAAAAGTTGGTGTACAGAATAATACCCCCCACGAGCCGAAGGGTTTGCCGTCACGTGATATAACGTGATATTACCACGTACCCTGGCTACTACAATAATTTATAATCTGCTACGGTTGTTTCCTCCGCACTGCAGATTACACAGGTCACCGTAGGTTTCAGTACGTTGCGGAGTAATGTCATTGCTCGGTTTGGTATGGATGTGGAGCCGGTGTAAGGGATGCCTAGAGCATTGTGGGTAGAGTATGATAGGATAAGATGAGATATGGAAAAGGTTGAATCACTCAAAGTCCTCTTGGTCAAGAAGGTTGACCTGGCCGGAGCTCAAATAAGGACGAATTGTTCCACGGGCCGGTTGTCGAAAACCGTAGCTGGTATGCTTCCGATGATTCCAAGGCGCTCGAAGGAATTCAGTGACCGCGATGAAAGACCAAGTATCAACACCTCGCACCTCGACTGGCCCACTCCAATCAGCAAGCAATAGCAAGTACTAGTCCAGCCATGGGACGGTGCCGCCTCAGCAGCTGGTAGATGTTGCGTAGCCGGAGTCGTCTCGCCATGTAGAAACCTCCCCAGGTATGGTCTAAGATGCGTATCCGCAGTGATCTTGACCCAATTCACTGAATCTTTATTGTTGCCAATTTCGTAGATGGTCCGCTGTTCAGAGTCGCCGAGCTCTTGACGCATTCTGACTGCAGCTGGTACGAGCTTGCCTTCCACAATGAGCTCTCCGGTTTTGGGGTCTGCCCTGAGAAGTTTCAGATGGTAGACGAAAGGATCAGCATCGTACAAAGCGCCCTTCTGCGCGTGGACCGTTTGGTAGGATATGGGCCCATCAATGCTCGTCCAGCTCCAGGTTGGCGCAAAATCTCCCGGCATCGCCTGTGCGAATTCGTCCTGCTTCTGTGCCGGTTGCCATGCTAGAGTCTCAATGAGACTCTCCTTCCACATCCCATATACAGGCCCCCAATTCGTCCTCTTTGCAATCCGTCGCATCACAGCTTCAATAGCTGGGAGTCGGTCCGAGGCGTAAGTGATATCCCTGGCTGAGAAATCCTCTACGAGCTTAGTCCATGATAAGTGTGCTTTGTCGTCTAATCGCATAGACCATGAATGCCCAACATGAGCTGGATCAGCGCCCTCCCAGAGAGAGCTACAGCGGCATTCAAATTTCAATGCTGCGGGCGTGTAAAAGACGGTCCGCGCCAAGAGTAGACGCTCCTGCCATATCCAGGCTCGCTTTGAGACTTTTCCATAATCTCCACCTTGGTTCTCCCGCCCTACCGGGATTGCACGCCGTCGAAAGTGTGCCTGGAAAGAATGTACTCCACCTAGTTTCAAGTCCACTATATAATGGTCCCACGATTTCTCCATTGGCCTCAGGATACGATCCGTTCTCTGAGCTCGCAGACGCGGCTGCTATGGTTAAAGTAGAGCTCCCATAGATTTCTCCCATTTTTGGAGCTTGTATCTCAAAGTCTCCGCCTGGTCCTTGGATAATACAAAGACGGTCAATCCTGCAAGATCTTAGAGTCAACAACAGAGGATGTTAGGTGTACTCCTTACCAAAGAAAATCAATGCCGTGTCTCCGAGCAATATTCACCACATCTTGGAAGAGAGGTGGTAGATCATTGAATCTCATCTCGTGCTTCCTTGATGCCAGTGTCGAAACGTTCGTCAGATAGATATTCGGGCTCATAGGACCCCAACAATAACTTAGCGTCACGTAGTCGGCCCTCGCATCTTTCTGCTCCACCAGCTGAAGGCCATCTTGAGTTGGAGCTTTGAGCCAAATGACACGATCGGGCAACAACGGCTTGGTTACTCCACTGCTACAAGCCGGATGGTGAGCGATGCAGTGATCCACCTGTCTTTTGATGAAGCTGCGGCAAACATCATCATTCGCATCAGGCCGTCTACCGAACGCAGGTCCAAAGCGATCATTGAGCTGATCCAAAACCAGCGCCACACTTTCTAGTCTTTGTTAGCAAAGGCCAATCATATATCATGACGCAGGGTATCAACATACCACTCACACTCCCGCGGTCAGCCGAAAAGCCGGGTCGATAAATCTCAATCTCAACCGGCGGTTTCTCAGGGTCCGTCAAATCCATCGAGAGATCCATAATCTGTCCAGCCGGCAACACATATCCCGGAGTTTCGTACCTCTCCACAGTAACCGTCTTCCCAAACAACAACCGCACCACTACTGGCAATCCGCTGGCCACAAAGATCCGTAGAAACGACTCGACTTCCCATCCGGGGTACATCTGGTTGAGCACGATGCACAGGATTGTGCAATAGATACAACCAGTCTGGGCGGTCTGAACTATATCTTTCGCTTCTTTGACTTCGATCTCTCCTGCAGCCGTTTGTGGGGGAATGTTGTATTCTTTCTGCGCCCAGGAGTCTTCTGTCAAGCCGTCGGTTGCCTGAGATCCAAGGTGTGGATTGAGGTCCATGCAGTTTGGACACCCAGATATGTCTACTCCAAATCCTGAGTGCGGGGTGTTGTCCGGAAGCGGCTTCATTTCTCTGAACCTTGTTTGATGGACCTTGGTTGGTTTGCACTACTTTTTCCGGGGTGTTGGAGTGCTGCTGAGGGGACCTTGAGCTCGTATGAGTTGATTTACTTTTGTTGTCGAGTTTCCGAAATAGCTTTTTCATCTTGAGATAGAGTCTTTCTGGAAAACAGGCAATGAATGCTGAACCGTTAAAATCGTTGTACCGCAGGTGTCTCCTAGACCTATGTTATTCGCCACGGTCGACCAGAACTCCCGCGGGAGGGGGATAGGGCGGACTCGCATTCCCGTAACTCGTATTCCTACCTTGCTATGATTCGCGAGCTTACGTACGGCTCTGCGGGACGTATCGATTGGACGAACACCTGCTTGTGTATCTATATCTTTCTAGATCGATTTCTTTTCACATAGTTATGTTCTATGCAATGGCCCCCAATCGTCGTGTAGACTTTCTCCGTCTCTTCCCGTCGATCGTCGTGGTGGATTCTTCCACGTTCCGTTTGGGCGAGGGTGAGGGCAGTAAAAAATATGAGGGTTCGTATCGCTTGTGACGTCGACAAGGAAATGTAGCACTGTTAGAGTGCCTCAGGATGGAATCATAATGATACAAAGGCATAGGAGCTAGGCAATGATCTAAATAGCAGCGAGGCAGTCCATAACATCGACTAATCACACTTTGAGAAGCATCAAGGCAACATGCTCTTCGTTGGCGATATAAAGGGTTTCAAGCTTGCTGGCTTGGCATGTTTGTCCTAATGTCAGGGGTTGTCCTATGACAAACACCTGGACTGAATTGTGATTTTATAAAACTTGTCCTATTTCGAAGGGAATCCAAGGAACCATCAGACTATATTTTTGAAGCGCGTACGAAGCGTACAACGCCTCCGAAGTCTTTACGAGCCTTTGGCGTCGCCACATATCGGGACCTTGGCACTTTAGCACGTTTGGGCCCACAGCATCAATTTCCAACGAGTGTCCAAGGGGTCCGCGGAATGTGTCAAACTGGGATGCAAATTGAGATGTATTGAATGCTCTGTCCTTCTGCAACTGGTCCCGCCAGGTTGCTGGTATTTATACAAGCTTGGTTACCACCCAGTGTTGGCAGGACTAGTAGTTCTGTTAGTCCTGAATCCGGAAAATCTATAATCCGACAATTCCCAAATCCTTTGCTCTTATTGGCCGAAATCCCGTAGGGCTCATCGGATCCAGTCTATGGACCATCCGGGGATGGGTAGACTGTGCGTTGTTGTAGGAAGGGTGCAAGTTGCAATATTGCCAAGCCGCACGTGATAATGCCAAGCAATATGTCACGTGACTGTAGCCCAAGGCTGACCAATTAGAGAGCTTCATTTTCGCCTTTAGGACCTAGTAGTTGGGACTAGGACGAATGGGACGTTCGTCCTGCCAACACTGTTGACCCCTTTCTACTCCTATTCTTCCCCTATATCCGGCATAGGGGTGATAACCATTTTCAAGTAGAGGGTACTGCCTATTATTCAACAGAATGTCACCGTCTTGCCCGCCGCAGAGATTATGCTAGTATTCGTAAGAACGAACCGCGGTGGTGAGCATGCTTTGCCTGCAACTGGTGAAGCATTCGCTCGCTGATTGTCGAAGTCCGCGTCTACCGCTTCCACGAGCACACTTTCTCATGAAGGACTTAAAGATCTCTCAACGTCATGGGATGCTGACTTGGCAAGCAGCCGAGACTTTGAGAAGTCCTTTTTCATTCTATATTGTGGCATGAAGCATCGGGGTTGATCATCCACATCCGGATTCAGCGTTTCTCCCTTAACCGAGGAACACCATTTTGGTCAAAACCCCGAAGTCGGGCTTGGCTTGTTGCAAACCCACCTATCATCTGTGTCGATTTTTCAAGGTGGCGTCTTGTCGAGACTAGGATTTCTTGACCCAACACCTTTAAAAAAAAATAAAAATAAAAATAAAACTTCCATGATTGGTGCGCTCATTGTAAATTCTTCACCTCCAAGTGTTACGGGCTAATAACTTTCTATTCTTTTCGGAAGTCGTAGTCGGTCATTGCACAGGAAGTATATCACGTAAGGGGATCCAGGGGTGTCATCATGGCCGTTGTTGTAGCCTTTGCTGTGACGGCTGTTGCGTTGCTTCTCCTTCAAGCACTTCTAAATCTTCGGCCACGTAGGCCAAAGGGACCAAGGAGCTTCCAGGACTCAAAAGGTAAGTCTTACACACGTGGAGAAAGACTACTTACCTCTAACGCACGGATGCTGACCGCCATAGCAAGGTAAACAAATTATCGGTAGTGTCAAAACCTGAAGGGCGACTATTCCTGGAAGACTTTTGAGAGCTGGGCGAAACAGTATGGTCCAATCTATCACTATAAAGCCTTTGGCTAGGTCAACGTGGCGATGTTCATAGAGAAAATTGCAAACGGTCTCCTTTGAGAGCACGGGACTATCTACAGCTCCCGGGAACAATTGACTATAAGTTCAGAATTGTGCAACAATAACATGAAGGCACTGTTTCTTCCGTATGAGTGGTATGTTCCGTCTCCAGCAGGAAGGTGCGAGGCTTTGGCGTCCCCCACCCCCATATTTGATGAGCTAACTCGTAGACTTGGCCCGAACTCAGAGATACGTGGCGTCACTATCGCAAGTTCCCACACCATGTACCTATGCCCAAAGACGCCACATCTTACCAACCACTTCAGCTTCAAGGGTCGGCCCGCCTCGTCTACGATCTGATACTAGGTCCGATGTGATATCAAACCCTCTCCCAACGCTATGCTTCAGGCTTCATCCCTTGATTTACGTATGACGTTAGGATCGAGACTGATGATGAAGAAACTGTTCGAAAGGTGAATGAGAACCAGCTCAACATCGAGAGAATCGCCGCGCCTGGTCAGTATATCGTGGATATCATCCCCGCTCTGAAACATCTACCGTCCTGGCTTGCATCTTTCAAGCGTGAATCCACAGTTCATAACAAGAAGGAGGTCGAGCTCTTCAGCGATCTGGTAGAGGATGTGCGACGAGATCTTCAGGCTGGGAAAGCGGGACCAAGCTTCACGAGGATGTGGTTAGAGAACAGACAGGACTGCAGTATGTCTGACTTGTAGGTATGCTATGTCTTAGGTGGCTTGTGGTCTGCAGGAGCTTCCACCACTGCGTCCGGCGCTATGAGCTGGGTATTATGTATGATCTTATTTCCTGAATGGTTGAAGCGCATCCAGGATGAACTGGATCGGGTGGTGGGCTCAGATTGGCTCCCTACCTTTGAAGATCTTCCACAACCACCCACAGTGTCAGGAAGAGGTCCACAGTCCCTTGGGATCGCCCTAAAAAGACTAAGAATCCTATCATTTCATGACAGAAACTTGGACCTCTTAGCTTATATACTTGTCAGAAACCGGTTCGTGACACACAGTACTGGCGATGACCAAAGAAACGTTGACATTCAGGCCAGTCACGGCAAGAGGTCAGCTTTTCTCGCCTAGCGCCTAAGTGCATCATTGCTACTGACAGCTGTTACAGGCATTGCCCATAAACTCGCCATGGACGACGTCTACGACAAGACTCTTCATTCCCAAGGGGCCCTCATTCACGCTAACGTTTGGTAATTGTCTACAATGTCTACGAAACTTCAGACCACGATAAGTAACACATATCTCTCCATAGGGCTATCCGTCGGAACCTAAAACTCTACCCAGGACCCGAGATATTTAATCCGAATCGATGACTGAAGTCGGGTTATCCAACATATCGTGAGCCTCCAGAGGTATTCCGTCTTCGGTTTTAGAAGACGCCCATGCCCTGGTGCGAACATCGATGAGCGGAGTCTGCACATCATCGTCGCACGTACAAGGTGGGCTTGCAATATCACGAAAGCCATGGACCCCGAGGCCGGAAAGGAGATTACTCTACCTCCTATGACCGTAAGTCATCGAGCGGAGTTCCTCTCCATCAAACAGAGAAGCTTCAGCTAACAACATATGCTCTTTTCACAGACGTAAACGTTTCAACATCGAACCGCACAGAGCGAACACACGGTAAATCGAGCGAGTTGGATTCATCGAGCCTATCAATCACCAACTGACTCCTTGGGTTTAGATTCCCAAAGCTCTACTTTTGGAACAGGTTTCATTTCCGACACGCCTCCCTCTTCAGCTTGAACTTCCGTCTTGTCAGCTTCATCGCGACTGGACTGGACAGCGAGGTAAGATGATAGCGTATTTTTTGAACCCGCCGTGCTTTTCTGCCCATTCTTTGCCATCTTCGACTAGCTCCAAGGGAAATGTGGCGACTTGTGCACCTACTGACTTCCCAATTTTCAATGTACCTTGATGTAACATACTCAAAACACGTTCAATTATTTCTCGGCTTGCAGTCCATCTTACGATGAACGAGCGATTAAGATGAATAGACTCGGCATATGGTACTCGAACCTCGCCATACGCAGCTCCGCTCAAGATAACTCTCCCATGATTTTTCAAAACTTTCAGAGAAGTCGAAAGGTAAGGAGATGTCTCGAGCCACCCTGGGGTCCAGTCGTTGTAGATATCGCACCCGAGTTGACCTGGTGTAAGTTTACAGATAGCAGCTGCATCCGCCTCCTTATCTCCCGTCATAACGAGCGTCTGAAGGTTATCTGGATTGTCAAGAAGTTCTTTTAATTCATTCTGTGTATCTTGCCGACGACCCAGAGCAATAACACTCGCACCTGCTAGAAGAGCTAATTGGACCGCAACACTACCGAATGAACCAGTTGCTGGGCCCATTACGAGAACATCACCTGTTTTGACTTGTGCCACTTCGATGATAGCGCCTGCAGCAATAATATAAAGTGGAAGACATGTGAGTTCGGGCAACGTGTAGCCAAGTTGTTTCAGGTGATCCGTATCAAGGAGATTGCAACTCTCAAGCGGCACCTTCTGGTACCTTTGGAAAGAACCGTCCCGCCATTCTCCCTGCATCAATTTTCGACCTCGATCGCCTTCCCCTCCAAGGTGACCTTGCACAATTTGTACTGAAGGGTCATCACGCCCATGAATCGTGCTCTCACACCAAACAATGTCTCCAAGCTTGATCAAAACAGCGTCAGGGCCATCCATAATTACCCTTCCCACACAATTGGCATTTGGAATAAGAGGTAGCATAAGATTTGTTGGTTTGACCTCTCCCCTGTGGATTCGACCTAGGTATGGCACGACCCGCGTAGCCAGGATTTGAACGACAGCGCTGCCGCTTGTTGCCTTTGGTATGGGCAAATCGACTATCTCCAGGGGAGTATTGAAAGCGGAGAGCCATGCACCGCGATTGGTCGGTTCTTGGTCCACCATGATATCGGCCTAACAATTCGCTCTTAATCGTGCCCCCTTTTTTTTTTTTTTTTTTTTTGTTTGAGGGGGAGAGGGGAATGATTTTTTGTCTAATTGATCTAAACATTCATCTGGGAAATCTTGTTGTACATGTGCACTTTTGCGGAGTAAGTAATCCGGCCCCACAAACTGTTGGTAGACCTGATTCGGAATCGGAACGGAAGACTTCCGACATTCCTTTATGAAGTCTGTGCGTGGCCCCGTGTTACAGTATTGAGGAGCCGAAAACAGCTACTCTAAGAGTGGGGTTCCCCGAATTCTCCCCGCGATAATCTTTGCGGTTGTGGCTAGGCTGACACTTCATCGTCAGACTCTGCCTCAACAACTCGCTCACACTCTGTCCCGCATAACGCCTGTTGGCCAATCATTTGAGGCAGTTGGCTCGGCAATGTCGCAACTTGCACATGTCAAAACTTCTTGGGCAACTTGAATTGAAGGAGTGCTCTGGCTCTCCTAGCGAGAGTAGGATGGAGCCCATATATATATCTATCTACACAGTGTACGTTAACGATGTTGCCTATTCATGGTGATATAGCCTAGTGAGCGAGTGTCGCAAAACGAGTTAGTCTGCTGCGAACGATGGGTTACTAATTATTCAACAGCACACTTCCTACTTATTTAGACTTGCTCTCTTATTAGATAGAACAACAATGTATTCCTTCATATCTCTTTTCTATACTCCACAGTCTATCATATACAGAATCGATGCACGCTCCCGCACCTACATTTTCGCATCTTGCGTTGTGTCAATATCCATGGCTTCCAATCCGAAACGCAGTACTCGAATTTTTGGAGGGTGGTTCCTTTTACACCAATGGCAGGCACTATTCGCTTCATTCATGGAAATACACCCAACCTCAGGCAAGACCCGGGACTACGGGCCAGCCTGAAGGTATCCAGAGCGGGCATGATCTTCTACCAATGCAGGGCGGATCTCCTTGGGAAGTCTACGAGCCAAGGTATGATCTAGAGTTTGGTTCAGTGGTTAAAGTGGCCGGAATGAAGCTGAAAACTAAGGATGTCTTCGTGATGAGAAGTATTTCGGGTCGCTCATGCTAGATAATATCTGGAAACTATGTCAGAAATCTACTCAACAAACATATCCAGAACCTCTCTCAGCCCCGTTCGTGGCCACATGATCCAACGGAATCCGCTATAAGCGATCCTCTATCTTGGGATCCATCAGCAGCATAAACTTCCCAGCGTCAAACGCTTCTTCAGAATGCTTCTCTGAAAAATGACACATCTATACAATTTAGGATTGCGAGGTACAACTTTTGATCCCTCGGCGATGGTATGCAAAAATATTCGGCGACGTTCGCGTGAACCTTGAGGTAGAGTTATAAGGTCTTGTTGAACGGGGGAACAGTAGCCAGGGCTTCTCTACTGGGGAAAAGGGGAGCGCTGAAATGGGAGCAAGATATTGGCAGCTTTGAGACGGTTACAGTTTTTCAGTGTGTGTAATGGTAAATCTGATGTATTCCAATCAGCATTGGCTAGATCCATCAGTGCTGTGTTTCCTTGATGGTCAATTGTGGAAGCATCCAGATCAGAAGCCAAGAAATATTTGATAATGGAGACTTTGTCTTTGTAACTGAAATTGCTTGACATTGCGATACTCCCCCGGGGGCCGACCCAGCCGATGTATGGAGAAGAGATCTCCATTCGGAGATGGTGAATTCGTAGATCGGCTCCGACATCAAAGAGCACAGAAATCTTCTTCGAGTCCCCTCGAAAAGCGTACTGAGATACAGCGCTGCCTCCCAGTGTTATCCTGGGCGTTGATGTCGATTCGGCCTTCTTTCAGCAGTCTCATCGTTGTCGGACTTTTCCATGAAAGAATTGCGTTCATGTAGCACACAGCTCATGCAATATTCCTTTGCCTTGAGAATTCTTTGTATTTGGATTATCTCTATTCTCGAGGCTATCGATTCTATCAGTGCTTTGAGTATGATCCGAATAAAGCTGACTGACTGATATATGGAGTAGAATTTTACCATCCTTCCGCTGAGCATTTGGGTCCACCCCGCCCCCCACTTTCATCAAGGGTTCGGATATTACAAGGCACCGTCATATGGAGCGGCTAGTTCCGCACATTATCACATGAATAAAAGTCTGCTTCATATTGAAGCAATAGATGAGTCGTTTTAGAATACCCAAAACCCCACGGAGGCATTATGGAGAAGCGTCTTGCCCGTCGAATCACGAACGCTAACATCAATTCCTGTCTTAAGCAATTCCACCGTGATTTACGCCATGTCTGTCCGCATGGGGTTATCCAGATGTGTAGAAGATATCTCTCCGATTATGGGACTTTGTTCCAGCAGCACTTGGGCCTGAAACGGAGATTGTAATTAGCGCCATAACCCAAGAGAACCTCACGACTCTTAGCCTTGTAAAGAGGCGTATGCCCATGCTTGTCCTGACTATCAACATGTATTCATCCCTTATCCAGAAATCGTAGCGATCTCCGCACGGCCATATGCCGCCGCCCAATGTAGTGGAGTCATCAAATTCTTGAGTTTTACCATTCTGGTTAGCTAAACGGAGAGGGCGCTTTCTTTTCTTTTCCTTTTTTTATTTTTCCCATGAGCAACAACATGAGTAGGATGGTTATAGTCCGTAGTCACGCTACTGGGTCATCCCCTTGCGTCGAGAAGTAATTATACTGTCGAATCACGTCCACAATTGGGTGGCTACATAATCCAAAGAAACAAGCCGCAGCCTGCAATGAGCATTAGAGTTAGAATATTTTCACCAAAAATTCAATTGTGGCTGTACATGCGACCCAGAGATTCATGATGCAATTGTAGGCGAGTGATCTTCCATGGTGCGAAGTTCTTTACCCTTTTTGATATAAACTATGACATCATAGTTTCAGGTTGCTGGCCAGAGGTCCTCGAGGGACTTGTTCAGTAGAATTTCCTATTGTGGAGTCAGCCCCGAAGTCGTTTATCGCAATTTTAATAGCAGATACTTAGCCACGGATTACTAGTTTTGTGGAGCGCGCGGGCGTGCCGAATACCATTCCAAACCACCCCTGCAGTGAAATGGAAGGCCTAAAATTAGCCAAGAAACTAAAGTTTATTTCCCTATCGCCATTGGTGGAGCGCGGCATATGACCTAAACAGGTTAGCCCGTCGGCCACTGACGACGTGCACTGCCATATCACATTGTCGAAAAGTCCAACGGATTTGGTCCCAAAGAGCGTGCAGGTAGTTTCCGACAAAGTATATGAGGGGCAGGCAACCCGGGGCAGTATCTTGAACTGTCGATCAATCCACCTCACAATCTTCAAGTATATACCTTAGGCCGAATCACGCACATTATCACCGTTCAACCTGACATGGAATACTCTCACGACATCCCTCAGGAGAAGTTAGGCACATCATCCTCAACAGCGACCTTGAAAGTCGACTTCCGCTGGACAAAGTTAAAAGCACACATCACAACCGTCGAGGCTGACATTCACGATCCATCCACCGTACCTGTCTACACCCTAAGCTTCCAAACGCTGAAATCTCCTCACCTCATTTTCCATCCTGGCAACGACACCACCTCCGTCATCGGCACAGGTACTATCCACGCAATCTCCATCAACCCGGACTACGAGCTTCATGGGAAACCGGGCACTATCAAGGCGTTGCGGCGCTTCCATACAGTTTATGAGCACATCTCGTCCGTCCTGCGTAACCCCGGCGGCGCACCCATGCCCATGACGTGGACTAGCGACACCAACTTTAAAACCTGGGACTTCGTCTGCGTGGATGACCAACAGAACCCCGTGGCGAAGTTCAGTACCAACATATGGATGGTGAAGAAAGTCGGGAACATCGAGTTCATGGACAAGAATATCAGTGATGAGTTGCGCGATGAAATTGTTGTCACGGGGCTGACGCTATACTACTGCATGGCCACCCGGGTGAACAACATCTTCAACTTGTTCGGTGCAGTTTTCTCGAGACCGGGACGGCATTCAGAAGAAGAAGTGGAAAAGAGAGATGATAAGAGGGGTAGTGAGGTTGTGGGTAGCTGAGACATGAGTAGTTAGATAATTCCCGTTTTGGTTGGGAGGGCGCTGATTAGCAGTGGTGTTATATATTGTTTCGCTCCCTGCTTTAGCTGGGAGGGCAAATCGCTTCGAATTTCAGGGTTGCGGTGCTGAAGGTGAGATATGAACTGATGGTCTAAGTTTCTGGACAATTATACTCCCATTTGGCATCCCATAGATTCACCTTTTGAAACCGAATCATCCGGGGGGCCCATATTGACACGAGGCTGTTTGCAATGGCCTCCCCACAAGTCGCTGGAGATGTCGCTTCCCGAACCTTTGCTCGGTAAGCGTCACAGAGAGTTTTCCTGATCAGCCTACCTTTATGATTGTACGCCTGCTGCTAAGTCTTCCCAATCATCCTGGCTTCTCGTTCGTTGGTATCGTCTTCAACTGCCGCGTTTTCTTCAGTGCCTCCTTGCACTCTCAGGTCAACCCCGGGCGAGATCTGTCCTCCCCATAGTATCAGCAAGCGGACATCAACAATCACCGGCTGGAGCATTACGTTTACCCATCTAGGGCACCTAGAAAGCTAGGCCGGACAACCCTCTTACACACCTATGATCAAACATTAGGGAGGCCCCTCAATTCTATCGGTTTGACTGAAACCTAGTACGTCCATTCGGTTTCGTCCTTGATAGGTCAACCACGATTTGGTGTCAATTTGGAGGGGAAATTCTGCGGAACAAAATAAATATGCCCGAATTTCCATGTGGTTGTAGCGGCGGGAAGAGAATGTATGAACTAACTAAAACTATCTGCTGGGGGTGGCCGCTTTACTTATATATACTCCGTAAACGAATGTAGCTTAGCGTGAGCCAGAATCCTTGGCAGAAATCCACATCCATTGGAATCACGTGATTTTAACTTAATACGTGGGACGCCAAGACAATCGTGTTGGCCAATAACGTGGGGTTATGGCTTGGCGTGAGTTCTCGTTACATGGATCGGATCCCATTAAATACCGCCATTGGATCCAATCCGTGGACCATGTGGCCGAGTGGGACCGGGAACGGTGGTCTCGTTTTTTCAGCCTGATCGGATCCAGTCCATGGCCCATCCGGAGACGAGTCGCAAAAATGTCCCGTTCATCTGCTCTTCAGCTCGGAGCTCCTTCTCCGGTAGAGATACCAATCTGTCATTGTCAAACAATCAGTGGATGTACATTGATTGTTGTTAAGTACTCTGGAATTGAAAGGATGCTCTGACCGGACCCGATCAGAGAATAGAGCCCATCTACATAGCTATCCGAACAGTGTCCATCAGCATTTGTTGCCTGTGCTTGGCCGGTGTTGTAGACTAGTCGACAACAGCCTCATGGAATTTACGAGACCAAGGATCCAAGTACAGATGTATCCAACATTACACATGACGAATCGACGACGCTTACGTGCCAGCCTCGATATCTAGATGGTCTATGGATCGGATCCTATGAAATACCACTGCCATCGGATCCAATACGTGGACCATGTGGCCGAGCGGGGAACGTGGAGAGCGGTATGGCGCATCCTGCTACCTCAGCATAGCCTCTATACGATATTGGTGCTATGCTAGTGCTCCTAGGCGACACATTAGAGGATTTTAGTTTTTCCCGGAAGAGCAGGTTCATATACAATCGACGTACATCAACATATTCTCGAAACTCTAACAATACCTTCGTAGTCTCGACAGCAAAACGAATAAATGAGAAAAATTCTTGATATTCCACTTTCAAGGCTACATCCCAGGGTCTCCCCTCCCAAAGAGGTAGCTGAAATCGATATAATGCGCCATGCAGACATTGTATGGATCGACTACGACGGCGGGGGAGTGGGTTCTGAAGCTGTAGGGGGAGAATTTGGTTGACTTTTTCTGCGATGCTGCCTATTTTTAGCTTGGCGTGTCACGTTTGCCGTGTGACTCCTACGGTGTTTACTTAAGGCAACTCACATCGTCAACCGTACTCTCTGAACAGAACTAATCACGGACTGAACAGTCCATCAGAATTAATTAACCATCTTCTCATCGCCTAATCCATCACCTCTACTACCGCCGTTACTTGCCGCTTCTACTCTCCACCTTTCGCCATCTTCTCGCCACGCTCGGCCATTCTAAGTAACATCACTATGAGTACCCCTTCAGAACCGGACACGGAGCACACCGGTTCAGGCTCTCAAGCCGCTCAGGAAAAGTCTACTACTATGGAAAAGGAGCTAAAAGATATGAGTACGGGGGAGCAGCTCGAGTGGCTGGACAAAAGATATCTAGAAGACTGCGAAAAGCTGCTCTCGAGTCCGGCCAAGGACGGGACAGTTAGTGCAGACACCAACAATCCCGCCTTCTATACAGGCTGCCTCTCTCAGATAACTGCAATCCTTCGTGCCCTGCAAAAAGATTGGAACAGTGCGTATTTCCCGCACTCTCTGATTGCGTTACGAGACCTCATTCGGCGATACCAGCTACTCGATGTGAGCCAGTATTACGCAAAAACCTTGGTGTTCGTCCAGAGCAGCGGCATGGGTAAGTCAAGGTTAGCGGATGTTTTCGGCCAGTACTGTCCGATGATCAACTTCATTCTTCGTGAGTCTGGAACTTCCGGCTTTCCACCTCCTGATGGAGAGATACTATCATTTCTACGCGACAGGCCGCCGGCCAACCTCGGGCGCATCAGCTGGCAGGGAACATCTAGTGATTTTCCGGAGAGGAGAGTAACCGTTGCGTGGAACTACACTCTCGCTACAGCATTGCTTCAGGCCAGTTTCGAGACATGTAAGTTGCCGATGCTCTTTTTGCCGAAACTCTCACTAATTCAATCTTGTCAGTTCATGCCTGGGTAGAGAGCCAGGCCTTTACCACAATGACTCTTGAAGAGCTTGCAGGTAGCAGGCATGCAGAGATGGCCACACTTGAACCAAGTATCTTTGCTGAAAACGCCGAGAGCCAACGGTCCGAAATGCGTGTCAAGTTCTGCAATTCGGTAGCGAAGAGAGCTCGGGTGATCGCTCAAGAGTTAATTTCCAGCCGGGATTGGATGGAGAAGTTCGATGATGACAGACCGTCCAAGATTCACCGTCGACTCGAAATGACACACAGTGAAGATCATCCCAATCCCCTAAACGGTCTTCTTAATGTTGCCGAAAACCTGATGAAAATTCTCCAACAGTGTCGAGGTACCAGCAGCACGGACCCACTCTTGGTGATCGTCTTCGACGAGGCGTCAAGTATGATGAGAAAGTATCGTGCCGACGAGCCAAATATCGAACTCTATGTGGCGCTCAATCGAGTCATCAGTTATCTGAAGAAGTTTCGTGTGTGGTCTATCTTCCTCTCAACAGAATCTCTCATCAGACACATTGTACCGCCGAGCAATACCAGCGACTACGTTCAGGACCCCTCCACTTATACTGATCTGATGCGCTTTCCCCCGTTTGTGAGTCTCCAGCTCGACGTCGAGGACAGACGAAGGATGCAGAATCCAATGCTAAAGAAAGAGGAACTCCTTAAGCCGTTAAAGACATTTGCGAACCTAGAGCATATGGCCCTATTCGGTAGGCCTCTCTGGTACATATATACACATGCGGAACGGGGTAGTATGATCGAAGTGGCTAAATTGAAGCTCATTGCTGGCCGGCAGCGGGGATATTACGATCCTAACGACCCGGACCACGTATTTGCTGCACTGTCCTTTCGCCTCTCTTTGGATGTCTGCCTACAGAATCCCGCCACCGTCTCCCTCAACGAGACAGCTGTGAGTTGTTTCATGAGAGTGGTCATATCTATGGATCACGAGACCGGAGTGATGGACACAACGACGCCATCAGAGCCAGTATTGGCCAGGGCAGCCATGGAGCATCTCTGCCGCCGGGGCAACTGGCCGTATAGCATTCTCACGCTCTGTAAGAAGCTCCTTGAGAAAGGATTGATAGAAAAGGGGCGCAAAGGAGAACTCTATGCTCGGTTAGTGTTGATTCTGGCGCACGACTGCGTTCGGTGCGTTCCACCAGATCCCGCTTCACAATTGGCACCAACCTTCACGGTGTCCGACTTTCTCATGGCATTGTATGCTAGAGATCATCACGATTCAATTCGAAAGATACCGAAGCGGACACGCGAAGCCAGAATGAACTTCATTCATTTTGTACCAGCTTATACACGACTTTCCCCCGAAGTCATTCCTGCAGTATGTCACGACCTGTTACGTCGAAGCGCGGCGATGCAGCTGTCTTGGGACCAGCAAATATACGATCTGCTGATTCCTGTGTACTATGGCACCGAGGACGAGAAGTTCGACCCGTCGAACTGCGGAGTTATCGTAGTACAGGTGAAGAACCAGAATAATGCCACAACACCTCGAGAGATATTCAGAGAGGACTTCATTAATGTCAGTCCGGAAACGTCGAACCCGGTTAAATTAGAGGCAAGAATTTCTGAGCGCAAGCCGACGAAATTTCTGTTCAATCAGATGGCAAACCCTATTCTGTTCCTCCTCTTCGATCTAGGCGTGGTTGGAGGCAGCCAGGCTGACGGTCCACCTGTTCAAGTAATGCACAGCGAAAGTGGACAACAACCAGATTTGTGGGCGATCCATTCGCGAGGACATGATCACACTATCTTTGGCTGCTTACAGCATATGGATTCTGGAATCTGGAGCGAGCGACTCTTTAATTCAGTACGAACAGCCAACACTCTGGCTGACCGACTCTCTCTGAGAAATAGAACCTTCTATCAGCCTTGGCGAAGCTTTAGATATGAGGGATTTGAGCAAGAAATGGAAGCGAGTGCGGAAGGGACCGAGAGGGGTGTGCAAGAACAGGGTGTGGATAACGCTGGAAAAGAAGGCGAAGTGGTTAATATCGAAGCGCAGGAAGAGGAAGCAAGCAATACCCGATCGAAGAGAAAGGAGGTGGAAAGTCCCAAGGATAACTGGTTCGGCAAAAGAGCCCGCAACTTTGCCAAAAATCATCTCTGTTTCGGAGACGCTTAGAGGAAGAAGGCTGAGTCGCACTCAAGGTTTGAATTGCTATTTGCCTCTAGCTAGCTAGAAAGGGTCGGTGATTGGAGCAGGTGCGAGAATTTTCTCGTACAATATAGGTCTTCAGCAAGATCTTGATGCTTTCCTAATATCGCCGGTGGATAATTTTACTCATGTTCGTGATTCTCTCATATTTCTAGCGAGCAAATCTGTTCAATGGACACCTTTCAGTTCAACGAGCAAATCTGCTCCGTGAACACTTTCCGCGTTAGCCCAGTGCGCAAAGCTACTTCATGAATACTTCGCACATAGTTCAGCGCGCATCGGTGAAGAGCGAACTATAGCAAATCCGTCAGCATCGGCCAACTCTGCCGGGATGAGGTGGGGCATGGAAAGCCACGGGATAAGATCAGAGCAACTTCGTGCTGACATTCATGCTGATATTTATACTGATATTCACACTGGCATTCATGCTGCTGTCCACGCTGCTGTTCATAATCCTTCTCACGCTGCCACCCATACGATACCCCACCGCCGCCCAGACCCAACCGAGGATATGGCCCGGCGTGATGTGGCCAACCGCTTCGCCCGAAAATCCGCCACGTGAGACCCTACTGAGCCGAAAGATGACGACGAAGAAGCTGCTCACTCAAGATCCGTTCGGGACACCTGAAATCCGTCATAGTGTAAGGTGCAGTTGGGACACTTCCGTAATGGAAAGCTGCGACAGGGCCACCACGAGGCGATGAGTTAAACGGGTGCAACTTGAGATGTATTGAATTCTCTGGCTTTTCCAATGAATGCAGGATAGAACCCATCTATATATCTATCTATGCGGTGTACGTCAACGCTATTGCCTGTCAATGGTAATACAGCCTAGTGGGCAGGTGTTGCAGAATGAGCTGGCTTGTCACGAACGATAGGTCACCAACTGTTCAACTATCAAACTGTGTGCAACTCGAGATGTATTGAATTCAGGCTTCGAGACGAGCCGAGACGAGCCGAGACGAGCCGAGACGAGCCGAGACTGAGCGAGACTAGTCGAGCTTGGGCTAAACCCTAGCACGTCTCGTCTCGTCCCTCTTGGGTTCATGGACCGGATTAACAATTTTCCGGGGCCTTCGCCATCGGATCCAGTCTGTGGACCATGTGTCCCTCGCCCCCTGTCACGGGACCACGCGCCAAGGATTACGTATTCAGGGTTCTTCAGCAATTTCTGCGTAGCATTCAATCTTGATTCTCTTCGTGCTACGTCTTGTACCTAGAACTCGATGCTAGCTAGAATATATTGGTTGTATCCTTGACCCTGAACCCTCACACCCCCCCGGAGCCCATTGGATCCAGTCTACGGACCACCTAAAATAACTCTACTAATCACACTTGACATGATGCACGCATTGGATCCGATGAAATCCCCCGTCGCCCATCGGATCCAGTCTATGGACCACCCAAACAAGCTCGATTGATCACCCTTTGTAGGACCGAGAGAGGATTGATTGATTGAATCTATCTGAACGAGGCGCAAGCTGCGGTGCACGTAACTAGACTAGTCCCAATATGGTCTGCTAATAAAATCAACTAGATTAACTACTGCTAACAAATAATATTTACATCCACCTAGGAGTGATTTTAGGCAACAAGCAACGATAGACAGTAGCAGAGTGTAACCACTGTTGTGACGCCCGCTGTGATATGAAACCTTGACTTACAAATCAATCATGGAAGCATTCCGGTGCTTGATAATCAGATATCTCGAGGAAGTCTACAAGAAAGAAGAGAATAAAAAGGCTCCAAGGAGCGATCTAGCTACGCAGCTTGCATTGAGTTATAGAGAATAAATCAGAGAGTACAAAACTCAATGGGGACAATGAGTTGCAGCAATATAGGCGGCGTATGTAAACAAGCGAGACCGTGGCTCGCCAAGGTCTTGCTCGCTCGTCTCGGTCTCGTCTCAACCAAGACGAGGCGAGACGAGCGCCACCAAGACCAAGCGAGCGCTCAGTCTTGCCAAAATCGTCTCGGCTCGTTGAGAACCCTGTATTGAATGCTCTGGGCTCTTCAAATGAGTGTGGGATAGAGCCCATCTATCTATCTACGAGGTGTATGCTGGCGCTGTTGCCTGTCAATGGTGTTGCACGCCAGGAGGGGAATGTTACAAAACGAGTAGGTTTGCCATGAACGATAGGTTATCGTTTGTTCAACATCGACACCTTGTTCGACAGGTGGTTTGTTCTAGTCGCCAGCGCATTGCTCTAAGTAAGCTTCGTGCCTCTTATCTTTGTTGCTCGTAGTCACTTTCTTTCCAAGGTTCAAACCATCCTCGCCACAGGTTCCTCGGACTTCTTCTTGTATTTGACCTTGAATTATAATTACCTGTTGGACAGGGGGGTAATAATGTATAGGCTCACCATTGAAACACTGGTGGGAGGTTTCCATAGATGACGACGTTACTGGCGGTTACTCCGCGCGACGATGAAGTATTCGCATGTCTATAAAGAGACCCTTAGTAGCACAAGAAGTTTGACATTACTCAAAGATCTATCTGGAGATGGGACCGTAATGGTAACTTATCAGCTACTGGGTGTGAGCAAGTAGAGGCGAAGAGGCAGGGAGGCGTCTCTTGACATCGCTGGTTAATGGGTCCTTGATGCCTTTCTCTGCATAACTGCATAGCGGCCAGCTAATATTCCAGGAAGAGATCGAAGCACCAGAGCACCAAACTCGGCACCACCAAATTCAGCTCGAAAGTATATAGTCTGACGGTCACCCGGATCCCTTCGAAATAGAGGAAGTCCTCCGTAAAATCACACTCCTGTAATTCTACAGATAACTGTCGAACTGGGGAACAAACTTAAGATGTATTGAATGCTATGTCTACCTCACAACCGGTCGTGCCAGGTTGCCGGTATATATATACACGTTGGGTTGACCCCTTTTCTTCTCCTATTCCTACCCCTAAATCCTGCATAGGGTGATAACCCCTTTTCCTAATAAAGGGGCATTTGTTACTCTCCAACAGTTCAGTGAGATCTTGTTCCACAGGTGGTGTACAGGATAACATCTGCCATCCGAACGCGGCATCGCTAGACGCACAAGATTCCTGGCTGTGACAATTCACGGTAGATCCGTGGCCAAGAAGTCTTCCCTATCGGCCGCCGCCGCTCACAATCGAGTTCCCGATCCAGGGCACTCGGGGTGTGCAAATCACCGAAAAGTCAGGACAACATTCAGGAAAAGTTAATGGGAGACATCATTCTAAAGAGCGGTCTTAGATTTTCGGTCGGCAATACTCGTAGGTAAGCGCCTGCCGCTGGCGTCTGAAGACGTCATAACAATATGATTTAGCATTGTGAGATCACGGAGAAATACTGATCGGACATCAGAAGCCAACGAAGCAAGTGGAGTCATTTTTCGCATACGAAATTTAGCAGTATAAGAGAGTTGGGTAGTACGAGGCTACGGGCGATGAAACGGTTGTAGAAAACATTGCTTTGAATGCTGGCTGACAGCTGAGTATAAATATTGTTCATTCAACGTTACGCTAGAGTTTACTAGTCAGAGAAGGGGCTTTTGTTGGAATCCCAAAGCTCGAGATATCTTCCTTGGTCCTTCCATCTATCGCTAACTCCGCAAGGACGCGGCCAAAAGCTGGAGCAAACTTGAAAGCGTGGGCAGCGCCTAGACCTACAATGATGTCGTGGTGCTTTTCCAGTGGACTGATAATGAATTGACGATCTGGAGTAATGGTATATTGACAAGTCACTGTGCGGAGCGGCAGACGATCTTTATCAGGTATCAACTTGTCGAGGAAGCATGACAATTGTTGGAACAGCTTCGGCGAATGAACGTAGGTACGCTGCTCCGGTGTCATAAAGTTCTCCGCGTTATCACGGCCAGCCTTTATGGTCGGCTCGCCGAAGCATGGGAATCCGTAGAACCATAGATCTTTCCCCCAAATCCATACAGGAAACCGGTCGGATTTGAAAGCAGCTGTATCCGTTGGTTTGAAGTACGTCACCTGCTCTTGCGTGACGGCCAAGGGAATCTCTGCGCCCAGGGGCGCAAGGAGTTTGTTTGTCCATGCGTCGGCCGCGAGAATCACCTTGGCTGCATGGAACTGGCCTTGCGAAGTCTCAAGTATCACACCCTTGCCTGATGTCTGGGGCTTCACACTTTCCACCCGAGTGCGCTCTTTCAAAACGGCGCCATAGGAACGTGCCACATATTGCATAGCTGTGACTGATTTGGCGGCGTGGACAATGCCCGAGTCAGCCGTGTACACGGTAACTATGTCGTCTCCTACTTGGAACTGGGGCCAGCGCCTGTGCACTTCTGCGGCATCAAGAAGCTCGTAAGGAATGTTGTTAGCGTCCAAACTCCTCGCGTAGTCGCTCGCCGGGGTCGGTCCATCTTTGTTGAGGAATGTCACGCCGCCAGTCACGGTCAGAAGCTTTAGCCCTGCGGCTTTTTCGAGGTCGGCCCAGTCCTTGTAGGCGGCTTTGGCGAGAGCCACATACTCAGGTGACCCATATGAGGTTCTGACTATGCGCGAAGTGTCGTGGGAGGATCCGTGTACGTGTCCCAGCTCGAATTGCTCGAAAGCGACCACTTTGGCGCCTTTTCGAGCTGCTTGGTAGGCCGCGGCGCTCCCAAGGGCACCAAGCCCGACGATAGCCACATCAAAGTGTTCCATTTGGTCTTTAGGTAGATTTTTGTGAAGAAATTATGTCAGGTGCAGACGGCATGACCTGAATATATGCTCGTCCTCTACGGTGCCCCGCTCCCGTATCAATGCGGAGTATAGATTAGCCTCAACTTGCTGCGGCAAGGGTGGAAATCGGTTATCAGCAAAAAAATCCCTTCGATAATTTCAGCCGTACGTAATGACTGGACAAAATGTTCGCATCGAGGATGCCGTGGATCCGCAAGAAGCTAGTGCTAGAACCGAATTGTTGGCCCAGCCGGTCAGGTGATCGGCCAGTAGCCGGCAACGCCGCCTCGTGCAAGAAAAGTTACCATGTAAATACTTGGCGATGCTTTGAGACAACGTACCACCATCATCACCCAATTATTGCTTCCTTGATTGCTGGATTTCTGGAGAAGCTCGTGCTCTACTCAGCCACGCGTGGTAGAACTCTTCAGTTCTCAAGAGTCTGGCGTTACAGTACACCTGAATCGTGTGGACAGGGAACCACCTTGTCTCCGCCTTCAGCCTCAAGCATGTTATAAGCGCCAACTTGGCTACCTGCAAACCATTCCAAGGAGACCCAGTCCTATTGACTTCTAAAGCACTATAGCGACTTAAGGAGATAGTGAATAACCGCTTCTATCCGATATATCACCTTGTTATCGATACGTTAGAGACAAGTGAAATCGTTAGAAATCACTAGTTAGACATACAAGTATCGCACTATAAGTCCACGAGTATAATCTTACACTGACGCTTTGTAGAAGAACACCTGTGACGAATTTCGAATCCTGCAATAAGCGCCCCTAATCACGAATGCATTCATACAGTGCTTAATGAGCGCTGCAGGTAGAAAGCAATTGAACATTCTGTGACTCTCCTTGAGAATAGACTGGTCAGCTAGCAGACATTACGCAGAGATATGTTGATGGCGCACACACAGGACTTGGCGAAAATACCAAAAATGAAAATGTTGAACAGGGGGTATCATGTATAGGCTCCACCACTAAAACACTGGGAGGAGGTTTCCATAGACGACGGCGTTACTGACGGTTGCTCTGCACAACGACGAGACACTCACACGTCTATAAAGAGACCCTCAATAGCTCAATAAGTAGATAGAGAACAGAGCTCTCCTTCAATTCAAGTTGCACAAGAAGTTTGACATTGTCCAAGAGTCTGAAATTTAAGTTTTGTAATCGTTCTTCCACTCCGTGAAAGGCCAGAATTGGGACCGCGGAGCGACGGCTGGTGGCTACACATGAGACTCTGCTACCCACCAATTAACATGATCAACCCATAGAAATTATCAAAAAGATGGTCCCTAAGACCCCTCTTTAGGGTTTCCGATTGTTGCAGCAGTGTAGCGAAAACGTGCCGACGCTCTCGAGCTACTCTTGAATGAAGAAAAGACCAGAAGTCAAATTCCACCCAGTGAGGAATAAGTCTGCTCAGATTGCAATGCCTAATGAGGCAGATGAAGCTGGTGCTAGACAGGGCAAAAGCTCGGACATGAAACTAAAAGAGAGGAGGAGGTGGTCTCAATTCCGTACATGCGCTGATGTCAAACTTCTCTTTATCGAGAGAAAGATGCTCTGGCTCTTCTAATGAGTGCAGGATAGAGCCCATCTATATATTTATCTAACGAGCGTACGTCATCATTGCTGCCTGTCAATGGTGATACAGTTTGGTGAGCGAATGTTGCATAATAACCTGGTTGATCGTGAACGATAGGTTATCAATTGTTCGACAGCTGAGGCGAAAGATAAAGCCGATGCTGAAGATTCCGGCAGCTTAGCGACTCGAACTAACGCTCCAATGTAGTAGTGCCACTGTCGAAGATTAGAAATCAGCCCAAGTCTACTCACATCATCACAAAAAGGAACCCCGCGATCCGGCTTCTGACCAGGATACGCTGAAAAATTGTTAACAATGCTGGACGCCGTTGGACAGAGTGGTCTGGGGTCTTTATGGCCTAAAGGTAAAGCAGGAGGATCAAACTAGCTCTACCCAGCTGCCACGTTAGCCAATTAGTCTGTTACCAGATCTCTCAAAAAGGGCCGCTGCTTCGCACTCCGCAGTCTAAACGGATGAGTCTAGCGCATGAAGCATATCGTGGCTTGCCGCTTAGCTTTTCAAAGACGTTCATTCTCATGGGGTGCCTCGTCTTCGGCAAGACACCAAAAATTTGCAACGAATGTCCCCATTTCACTCCAACGCGGTTGTAACAACGATATCAACGAAGGGTATCGATCTGTTACGAGGGGTGTAGAGAGAAGGATCATAAATCGTTGCGAGTGCACAAGGTAGGGTATGGAATAGTAATGTACTGAAACCTGTCTCTCTATCTAAGGGTTCGAAGGTCCTTCTTATACCTTCGATCCTTCCGTCTTCCTGCCTCCCTTTCGACGCCCAGCCCCCTTCCTGCCACCCTTACGATGGCTGGGAATTCGTGGCGTGATATTCGGGTGTTACAAATGGTGATAGAGCCTAGTAGGCAAGTGTTGCAGAATGAGTCGGCCTGTCGTGAACGATAGGTCATCACCTGTTCAACGGCACCTAAGACGGTTACTGTGTCGTCAGGGACAACACCAATGATCCACCACGTGTTGGGTAGACACGCGAAGACTAATGCTGAACTAAAGATAGACATCGGTAAAGCTTCACAAAAGAATAATTCTGGGGAGTCTGTTGTTATACGCCGGCATGGATATTATAGCAGCTGGCCATGAAACTCAATCCTCATATGCTTTGAAAGTTTCTTGAGCCTCCTCTATTTTACGGTCAATAGGACGTTGGTGTTCTATGGTCCGCACATTTAAGCTGCAAGGGAATGGCTTTGGCGCCGTAAGGAAGTCGTTCATTTACGGGGTCTCTACTGAGTCCAAGGCCTCTTCACTGAATAGCTATCTTCAGATCTTCAGGCCTTCTCCAAGTGTGATGCTGAATGTCAACACTAGCTTTCTGATGTTGACCATCTGAACAAATTTAGTTAGCAGATCTCAGTCGTAGACATGACAGGAATCTTCCCAGATAATTCTCCACAATATGTAGACCTGGGCAAATATACCTTCCAACTCTGAAGGCCTACGGTATCGTTATTCTCGCTCTATTCGATCTCTACGAATGGCTATTGAACAAGGGTGGTATGCTGCACCACAGTCTATTCCAGAGCAGAAACTCTCCGTCAAACTTCTTGTGCAACTTGAGATGAAGGAGCGCTCTGTTTTCTATCTACTTATCGAGGTGCTAAGGCTCCTTTTATAGACACACGAATGCTACATCGTTGCACAGGGCAACCATCTGTAACGTCGTCGCCTATGGTAACCTCTCGTCTCTATCCAACACCATTTATATATCTGTCTAACGAGCGTTCGTCACCATTGCTGCCTGTCAATGGTGATACAGCCTATTGAGCGAGTGTTGCAAAATGTCATAGTCTGTTGTAAATGATTGGCTAGCATTTGTTCAATGCTTTTGTCCAACACATCGGGATTCCGGTGCCCCACGTAATTGGATTGCAGCGGTAACGCGGAGCATTAGGACCACCCGACAACATCAGTCTTTAACCTCTCTCACTATAGCTAAAAGCTATCGTAGTATTCGCATTGAGATTGAGCAAATCTTCTATAAGGTAGACGGTTTATGTATACGTAAACAAAAATAATATTAAGAAAATAAAAGGCCCCCTCCCATAGTCCATCTCTAACGAACTTATAGATGGGGCGCCGCAACCAGTGAAAGCTTCAGTCACACAAGTTCAACTGCAGAAGAGTTTGAATCAGTGACTTCTCAACGTATGAACAAGACGACATCATCAACAATCACTGGCTGGAGCATTACGTTACCCATACAGGGCACCTAGAAACTCAATAGAGCTAGGCCGGACAACCCTCTTACCTTACCTATGATCGAACACTAGTAAGGCCCCTCAATTCTATCGGTTCGACTGCAAGCCGAGTGTTTTACCACTCGGTTACGTCCTTGATAGGTCAACCACGATTTGGTGTCAATTTTGAAGCAATTTTTGGCATTATAAAATATAAATTTGATTTTTTTTTTTTTTTTTTTTTTTTAAAAAAATTTTGGAATTGCCTGGTTAGGGCCTGACGTTGTGTGGCGACGCCAAGAGCGACAAGCCGGCCAATCACGTAAGCATATAGCTTGGCGTTATCACGTAACTATTTTCCGGGATCACGTGCTAACCCCCGATGGGGGCGCCCTCCCAACTCGACATGATCCACGGATTGGATCCGATGAAATCCCCATCGGATCCAGTCTATGGACCACCCGACCTTCAACGGATCAACCATTTTCCGGGGTCACGTGCTCCCCCGGGCCCATGTGGCGGGGGGCACCCTACTCGATAAATATCGATATCCTCGATATCGAGATAATCCATGGATTCGATGAAAGACCACCGCCATCGGATCCAGTCTGTGGACGTGTTGGACAATAGCATTGAACAAATGCTAGCCAATCATTTAGGATATTGTCATACTTGTGGTACAACTTGAGTTGAAGGAGTGCTCTGTTTTCTATCAAGTTGAGGTCCTGACTCGCATGTTTATATAGACAAAGGTTGTTGCCCCCGTTCGGTGTCTTCGTGTTCAGCTCGTAGACGAAATCCTTGTCTAGCTGAACATTCATTGCCACGCTGAAATCGTTGCCACATGTTGTCTCACAGTTCAACATGATGGCTTAGTGCACCTTTAGGCTCTCATTCAGGCTTCTCAACGAGCCGAGACGAGCCGAGACTGAGCGAGACTAGCCGAGCTCGGGCAAAACCCTAGCTCGTCTCGTCTCGGTCTCATGCGTCTTGCCGAGCGCTCGTCTCGTCTCATTATGGACCGGATTAACTATTTTCCGAGGCCTTCGCCATCGGATCCAGTCTATAGACCACCTAAAATAACTCTACTAATCACACTCGACATCCCTCGTAACCGAGCGTGAACGACGAGCCTCGACGTCGATATGGTTCACGGATTAACATTTTTCCTAAATTACGTGCTCCCCTCGGGACCCCTCGTCGCCCATCGGATCCAGTCTATGAACCACCCAACCCTTAACGATTCAGCCATCTTCCGGAACTATGTGCTCCCCTCGCCCCCCAAGAGGGAGGGGGCCTTCCATTCGATATCAACATGGTCCATGGATTGGATCCGATGAAATCCTCCCTTCGACTATCGGATCTAGTTTGTGGACCACCCCGACAAGTGTTGGCCAGTCACGTGACGCGTTGCCTTGGCAACACCACGTGAGGCTGGTTGGCCTGGCAACTTACGCCCTTCTTTTCGTCTTGCTCTCTTAGATAGAACAACAACACATTCCTTCTCTAGATCTACAGTCTATCAACAAGCTCGATTGATCATACTTGACATGATGCACGCATTGGATCCGACGAAATCCCCCGTCGCTCGTCGAATCCAGTTTATGGACCACCCAAACAAGCTCGATTGATCACCCTTTGTAGGACCGAGAGAGGATTGATTGATTGAGTCTATCTGAACGAGGAGTAATTCTAGACAACAAGCAACGATAGGCAGTAGCAGCAATATAGGCGGAGTATATAAACAAGCGAGACTGTGGCTCGCCAAGGTCTCGCCCGCTCGTCTCGGTCTCGTCTCAACCGAGACGAGATGAGACGAGCGCCACCAAGACCGAGCGAGCGCTCAGTCTCACTAAATTCGTCTCAGCTCGTTGAGAACCCTGCTCTCATTAGGCGCCTTCTACCTAGAGCCTTTAGAAAGTCGTTTGTCTTTTAAAGTCATCGCTCGAATGTTACCACTATACTATTTCAGGCATTAGCGTACTGTAACAACATTTGGAGCACGCCTCCGTACAGAAGCTACGCTTTTTCACCCCTCGTGGAATATCCTGTCCGCAACCCCTAGTTATACGCTTACAGAATGGCGGTAAAATAAGTGCTATTCCGGAGGGTATTTGGATTGGACTGGCGTGGATCGTATTTGGATGGAGCGGATTCAGTGCTTCAAATACTTGGAGTGGATTGGATCGATTCGCTGTACGCTCCTAGAGCTCCAATGGCTTAACCCGACTGAGCAAAAAGCTAAACTGGATTGGACAGGTGGACTACTCGACGGTGATCCCGGAAAATTGTTAATCCGTAGATGGTGGGCCGGGAAATATTAAGAGCGGTCCGCTTACTAATCGCCGAAAAGGGAAATAATGCTGTTAGATCCATACTAGAGAACCAGGAGCCTGTAGACCAGACCTTCTGGACTGGATTGGATCGAGCTCCGGATCCAGCTCCAATCCAATCCAATCCAATAACATCACTGCGTATAAAACACAACATCCTCAACTGCGGCCATAGGTAAGGCTCGAACTTTTGAATTGCAAAAGTTGAATGCTGAATATGGCGTCCAGACAGAACTACGACCAACTTCGCATCGAGATCTCGATACCTCGTTCAAAACGCCACCGAACACGTGCAATACCTTCCCTTAAGGCCTCTCTAGAGAGCCTCCATCGAAGAGGAGGGTTACCACCCGACGGGAATATGGCCTCGCCAGAGAAGGAATCACGCGTCGTGCCTATCTCCCAGATGCCTAAGAAGACAACAACCAAAAGCAGTGTCCCCAATGAGACGCCCCAAGGAGGCAGTAAATTCTGTCCCCCACAACGATACTCAAACTCATCGCTTACCCGTTTTCATCTCTAACCTTGGCTGCATGACACACGTGGAGGACACAAAGGTCTCCATTTTTGAGAAACTTCATAATAAGATGTCCAAGAACGCAAAGTTCACCGAAACCCAAATTAAGAGGGCAGAGGAGACACTCAAGACATCTAACGAATGGAAGAAATGGCGGTCGGATATGGTCTCAAAGAGCTCGGGAATAACTTCTCAGAATATATTTTTCCGCATGCTTCAGAAAGCTCAAGAGGTCCTTCAAACACAATCCACGGCAAAGACACGACAGGCTCAGAACGTCTTCATTAATATCGGAACCAGAGTACCCAAGTCCGGGATTAGTAATGAGGAGTACGCAGAAGGCCTGAAGCTTTTCAAACCCGACCTAGCTAGTATTGCCACCGATGCCAACGAGGGAAATGTGAGGTTTTGCGATATGAAGACAACCTGGGAACTCAAGAAATCGGCCGACCAGACATATGCACAATCGCAAATACAACTCTCTCTTTTGAGATGCAACCAAGTGTTTCGAGACGACCCATTTCGTCACTTCATATACTCCATCTATGTCACCGGCAGGACATTGCGTCTCTATCAACTAAATAGAGGGCAGGTGTTGTGTTACGAAAGTGGGCTTAATATCGAGCAGAATACATTGGGTTTTCTGCGCTTCGTCAACTGGCTCATGCTGGCCAGTGACGACGCCCAGGGCTTAGCAAAGAAACCTTCTGCAATCGGTAGAAGAGCCATCAACTTCACTCCTGCCGGATGTAAGATACCATCGCCACTCGTGCGTGTGGGTGTCGACATGGTCACGACACGCGGCACTACGGTATGGCCTGTTAAAATGCAGAAACCGAAGCCAAAAAAGAAAAAATCAAGAAAGTCACAGGCTAGAAAGGATACAGAGAACTCACCTCCAGAAGGTGACGGCGTTGCAGCGCTGAAAATGGCCTGGGTCTACGAGGCGCGCACGAGTGAAGCCGATATCCTTAGTGAACTTAGCAATATCGAGGAACTACCAAAGCTTTTTGAGTGGAAAGACGGACCTTTAACCACCGCGTTTGACGTTCTACCGGAGGCAAAACATTCCAGACAATATCTCAAAATGGGACCGAACTATCAATATATGGAGGTGACACACAGTACATCCTCCGTCATGGCAAACCAGACCCGGAAGAAAGAGGCTGAGAAAGGCTTGTTCATGCCGGAAGTGAACGAGACCGCTGCCAAGTCAGCCGATAAGCCTTCATATACGAGAAGGCAGCGATGGTATCTAGAAGAGTACTGTGGCGTTTCTGTGGATACCACACCGCGTGGACTTTCACAACATCAATACCGCAATCCTCGAGATGTTACTGAACTTGAGCGTATAAAGGCTCTACGTTCTGCTATACGTGCCATTCGGAAAATGTTTTGCAGAGATCGGCCCATTATTCACCGAGATATTTCTCCAGCGAATATTATGGTGACGTCGCCAGATATACTGAACCGGGAAGGCGCCCCTCCACCCGGACGGCTGATTGACCTCGACATGGCTTGCGCATATGGAGACCCCCGTTCCGGAGCTCCCTGGCGCACTGGCACTTACCTTTACATGGCAATCAACATTCTGATGGGGGAACACTCTCGGCACAACCCATGGCATGACATTGAGAGTGTCTTTTGGGTTTTGCTCTTTGGAGAACTGAATCGGACTCCTGAAGGTGCGAAGGAACTAAAACGCATTGCTTCCGCTGGAGCATCCCATCCCACAGAAGCTGAAAAAGGCGTAGTATTGGGGTCCAGAAAAACCATTATCGTGAGTCATAACTGGGATATATGGATGGGCGGTAAACGATCACGTCTCTTCGGAAAGGCTTCATTCCCAGTCATCCGGCTCATGCATCGACTGAGGGTCGAGCTATTTGGATTCCTTGAACAAAAAGAGCCAGATCGTCTAGCAACCTTAGAAGACGTCGTTGCCGCGGCAAATGAACCCATAGTCACCTCTACGAGATACAACGCGCTCAGATTTGCTGTCCCTGACGAGAAAATTTGGGAGGAGGTTGAGGAGGAAGTTGAGAAAGTAGAAACAGGTATCGAAGGGCTTAGCTTGGAGGAAAAAGCCGACAAGACTGGTCAGAACAAAAGCTATAATTCTGCTGACAAAGAAGGCGTCGGGGAGTCGGAGAAAGACCTAGCCTTCGAGAGGCTGAAGCAGGCAGTTGCCACGACCACAGAGCGCATTGATGGGTGGTTTGCTGAGTGTATTGAGGACCTGGAAGAAGTTAAGTAGTCCATGAGCGAAGAAAGGCTAGGCCCTGATGGGCAGGGATAAATTCTTACCCGAAAAACTTTCCCGTCTGACTGATTGTTAAGCCACAACTGCAGCTACATCTAAGCATTTGTTGCGTGCTCTTGGTCTCTTGCGCTTGAATATTCCACTAGAAAGGACAAACTATCTTCACATATCGTCTTCAGTATCTTTCACGGCTACATTTGCTCTTCAACATAACTATTGTCATGATATATAGTATAGAAGACCGAAGATGTCGTCCGAACTTGATCGATTACGCCGAGAGCTTGAAGAAGAGTATCGACCACGAGAGGAAGAACAATATCGCCGTATAGCCGCCGAAGAGCACGATATTTCGAAGCAACGCCGACGAGAAGAGGAGCAACACCAACGAGAAGAAGAGCGACGCCGCTATAATCAAAGAACAGGAAATACAAGCTTGGCCGAATTCCTCGATGCATGTCATGTTCACCTCTACCAAGGATTGGCCGTCCAACACAAGACCCAGTCAACCCAAGGAACTCCTGCGAATGCTGACCGAAAGCTTCGTCCCGGTTATATGGTTTCTTGGATGGATTTTCCGGCGAACCAGACTCGCATGTGGGATATAGTGATGGAGTCGGATTTCATATCAGAAGACATGTCACGAACCGGGTTCTGACAAGTATATAAGCTAAGAGGTCCAAGTTTCTGTCATGAAATGGCAGGATTCTTAGTCTTTTTGGGCTGTGGTGTAACAACAGTACTGATAGAGGGTGTGGGGAGAGGGATCATAATCGTTGCGAGCGTACAAGGTAGGGTGTGGAATGGCAATGTACTGAAACCTGTCTATCTATCTAAGGGTTCAAAGGCTCTCTTTATACCTTCGATCCTTTCATCTTCTTGCCTCCTTCGACGTCCCCCCCTTCCTGCCACCTTTGCGATGGCTGGGAATTCGTGGCGTGATATTTGGGTGTTACAATCTTACATCGAGATGGGGCTCGACGAAATATGCTCTGGAATTCGAAAGAGCAGCGAGTGATATGGCACGACTTTGGGCGAGCATGTTTCTATCAACGTGATCTTCTAACCGAGAAGTCGATCAACACCCAGACGATTTCAAGGATCCTCAGCGGGAGTTCTCCAAGAAGATTCGGAAGGCGTTGTCGGAACTTGAATTAAACCGATCTTCACAGCCGGGGACGTTACACTCGTCGATATCGCGAGGAATTAGAATAGAGATATTGGTGCAAGGTATTTATAGGATCTCATCCAAGAACCGTCTCGAGTCTGATTAGTAGTATTTGTCTAGGTGTTCCACAGACTGGATTCGATATTGTTGAACAAACGATAACCTATCGTTCATGGCAAACCTACTCTTTTTGTAACATTACCCTCCTGGCGTGCAACACCATTGACAGGCAACAGCGCCAGCATACACCTCATAGATAGATGGGCTCTATCCCACACTCATTTAGAGAGCCCAGAGCATTCAGTACATCTCGAGTTGCACCCAGTTTGACACGAACCATGTCGAATATGATCAGTAGAGCTTGTCCAGGTGGTCCACAAATTGGACCCGATGAAATGCCACGACCCATCGAATCCAATCCATGAATCATCTCGGCGTCGAGGCTTGTCGTTCACGCTCGGTTACGAAGCATGTCGAGTGCGATTAGTAAAGTCTATCTAGGTGGTTCATAGACTGGATCCGATGAAAGACACCCCCGCCATCGGATCCAATTCATGGATCATCTCGATGTCGAGGTTCGTCCGTTCACGCTCGATTATGAAGAACTTGTGTGGTTGGTCCACAGACTGGATCCGATGGGAGCTAGTCCGGAAAATATTTAATCCGATGACGGTTGGCCGGAAAATGGTTAATCCGTTGGGGGTCGGCCGGGAAATGTTTGATCCGTTAATAACGGTGGCCCGTTGATCAAATCCGATCCACGGACCCACCAAAAAGGAAGGCCCCCGGAACAATGTACGTCATTTGTATCAGTGTACGGAGGTGCCCTTCAAAAGTCTTTTCCTGGACCGTGCGCAGTGGCGTTTTTAGCTCGTTCTAGCGCATACTAGCGCGCACGCACAAAAAATATCAAAATTCCTCGTTGTAGTTTCCATTCCTTTGTATGATAATGCCACAAGGGCTCAGGCCGTCAGTTCAAAGCTCGTTGGGTTCGAAAGTGCAGAGATTGAGTCTATTACTAGAATTCAACCTAGGATCCTCAATTCAATACACCGCAAAGCCATTGCCAAAGCACTATTGGGAGAAGAATGGGAGGAGATAGAATGAGATCTACAGAAATCCGTTGAACGATGAGGAAGATTGAATGGCCCTTGATTGTTACATTGAGTGCTTTGTCTCTGATTGTGAGAGTCTGTAACTAGTATCTATATATGCTTGCTCACGAAGCTATAGATATTAGGCAGTAAACTCTGAATTTGCCTCTTCGAGCGTTATGATACCTAAGCTTAACTATCCCAACCTCTAAGGCTTTACCTAGAGAGTGCCTAGGTTTAGACACCCTCTAGGCAACCTTTAGGCGGGTGGTGCCTATAAGCACTGCCAAGAGTCACGTGTAAGCTAAATTATACTATGCGCTAGCATGCGCTAATGCGCGCTAAAAAGGCCACTGCGCACGGTCCAGGAAAAGACTTTTGAAGGGCACCTCCGTACGTGGCCGGGTGGGATCGGGGTTAGTAGTGTCTGTTTCCAACACGTGACACCTGGCTTGGCATTGCCACGTGAGGAGTTTGGCTCGGCAATGTTGCATCTTGCACCCTTTCTACTTATTTAGTCTTGTTCTCTTGTTTAGATATGTCTCTTCTCTAGACTCCACAGTTTATCACAGTGTTTAGCAATATCGCTGTGGTACGCGAGTCGCTGTGGGTTGTCACTCTCCCGATATATTCCCTGAGTAGCCGTTGTTAGCCAGAATAGGCAACGCTGGCTTGGCGTGTCACCGCAAGCAGTAACACCTGGGGCAACTTTGCGCTTTCAACCTTTCTACCTAAATAACCACTCTCTTCTCTACCGCGTATGCTACACTTGTTGCTCCCTCTACCCTCATAATCAGATCGAAGACCCTACCTCCGACCCCTTATCCGACTGCAGTTCACGTGCGCTTATCTTGGGCGAGTTTGAACTCTCCACAACCTGCGTGCGAGTCGTCACATCATCCCGTCTCTCTCGTTTAACCCTCCTTCACGTCGATCATAATGAACGCTTCTAATCAGGAAGCTGGGCAAGGCTAGAAGAGAATCCCTACAATTCAAGAGATGGAAAGTTGGGACGATGAGCAATTGCTCGAATGGATCCAGAAAATACAACCAAACATTTTCCGCAATAAGAAGAACGTTTCGACATTCAAAGCGGCAGAAATCGATGGCTCTACCTTCTTGGATTATGCTGGGGATATAGATTTCTTCAGCAAAACTCAACTGCCCCCTGGAGTCTATGGTGCTCTTGCATCTCTTGCAAAAAAAGTTAAGAAACAGAGTAAGATTAAACTGTGGATACAACTCAAACATAAGCTAACAGTGTCACAAGGGGACAGTGAGCAGATCGGTCCTCCCCGCAAAAAAAGGCGTCTAGAGGTTAATCAACCTCCGAATCCGAAACGTTTCCAGCTGTCCCTCCTTTCAGGATCAAGCGCTATCTACGAGGCCGAAGCTGAAGCCGGAACTGAAGCCGGAGACGAAGCCGAAGCCGAATCTACTGTAGTGCGTTGTGTGTTCCCTTCCACTCCTAGCTTGCGTCTAATGATGTTCCAGAGCCGCAGTCACGTCCTTTTCCCAGCAAGCGCAGAGTTTACCAACTTCAGCAACAATCCTGGCGCCATTGTTGTTGATAAAACACACTTCATCCCTCTTCTAGAGGAGAGCGCCTTCCAATACATGTTTCTCCGTCCTCGGCGCTGGGGAAAGTCCACGTTTCTCAACATGCTCGCCGCGTACTATGATGTCAACACAAAAGATTCGTTTGAGGAGATTTTCGGCGGACTTTATATAGGCAAGGCACCGACAAAGGCTCGCAACTCCCATCTTGTTCTTCTCTTCGACTTCTCCACAATTACAGCAAATGGATCTTTTGAAGCGGTCAGCCAGAGCGTCTTTGATTGTATCTATGGGTCAATACGTGATTTCCTGCTTAAATATCGGAACATATTCGGTGATGTGTCACCAGATGAATATATTGTTCCCGGCCGCGCCGGACCCTCGCTTCAACGGATACTGGTAAGTAAGCTTGGAGCTGGCGATTACTGCAGCACTAAAACGTGATCATAGAATCTCATTTACGAAAGGGGTTATACCGCTTTCGTTGGCGTCGACGAGTACGATGCCCCGGTCAATACTTGTTTAATGTCTGCCTTAAGAAACCGAACGCGCTTGCCGGAGAGAGCGCAAGTAATCGATTACTTGGAAGACATCCTCAAGTCCCAATTCTTTGCCGTGATGAAGAAAGCTTCTGACAGAATCGTGGCAAAGTACTGGCTTACCGGAGTGCTTCCAGCTTTCCGTGATGGGATCAGTCCCCTGACGGCTACGCAGGTACTCTCATTTGACTCGCGGTACCGGTCTATGTGCGGGCTTACACACGAGGATGTTGAGACCATTGTCACACGAGCCTTACGCGATCTTCCGGAGATTGAGCCTGCCCGCATATTGGACTCTCTCAGGCAATGGTGCAACGGATACAGGTTCAGCGCGGCCTTTTCTCACTCCAAGGACTCAACCTTATACAACCCCCAACTAGTTTTCGTTTACTTGCGGAATATCATGTCTGGCCAGCCGCCGCTGTTTTACAACGAGGAACCAAATACTGTCCGCATTTCGACAGTATTGTCAACCGTGGGTGAGACCGGACCCGTCACGATTCGCAACCTCCTCGAGATGCTCTTTCGCTCAAACGTACAAGGAAAAATCTCGACCGAACTTTCTTTCGCTGAACTTACGCAAGACCCAATAATTCGGCCAAGCGATGTGACCTGGTCTCTCTTATATTGTTTGGGAGTTGTGACTTTCCATGAGCATTTAGGTTATCTACGTGCACCCAACCGCTCTATGGTTGAGCTGGTCAGTCCTCGAATGTCAAGCTTAGGGGAAGTGTTGATGATTGACTTGGTTTCTACAGATTACCGAACGCATCAGAGCTTATCTTAATGGTGATCCTGACTTTTCCACGAGGATGCGCAGATCCTACGATGACTTCATGAATGGCAACACCACGACGTTTGTGAACTTACTCGAGGAGTTTTTCGGTCAAGGACATATTAGGTCATTCGCTAACACCTATGAGTCAAACCTGGAAATGGCAACAAGGTTCCTCTGGGTTCACCGTAAGCAATGTGTGGATCAAATGCACCTTGTGGTGGACCCGACCAAGACGTGGGGAACCGGACGAAACGGATTTGTCGACCTCTTCGTCGGCAATGCACACCGACAATATCCTGCCTTGAATTCAGTCATCGTCATGGAGCTAAAGAATGTGTCGCTTTATTCTCTATGGAAAGGAAAACAAAAGAGTCCCTCCGTCGAGCCGAACTCTCAGTCTAATTACGAGCCCCTAGCGAAAGAACTACGCCAAGCCACTGAAGACCAAATGTTGAATCTGAAGTACAGCTACCAGGACAAAACTGGGAAATGGGTCACTCAACAAGTCAATGACATTATGAAGGCCGCCATTGCTCAAGTCAATAATTATGTAAGCATCATCTCGTGTGGTCCGGGAGGGCGAGGACGTGCTGGCGTTGATGATTCTCGAGTTTCCTGCGGCGATGGAGGTCGGGATGTACTTTGTGGGTATGTCATTATATGTGTTGGTGGTACACGGGCTATATGCAGACATACGGTGAAGAAAAACACTCAATGGTCATATGAAGTCACTAGCGTTTAGGCAAAGCTTAAGGGTCTCTGCATGGTTCCCCAGGCCCGAAACGAGGAAGGAGTTGAAGTTGTAAGGGTTCTGCCAAACTTCTGGTGCCACTTGAACCGAATGAGTGTCTGATTATGTGGTATTGACTGACTATATACTTGTGCTGAACCAGGCTGCCGTGCATCGTGATGACTCAAAGCAGTTGTTGCCTAGTAAAGAACCATCTAGAATGAATAGGTCAGACAGCATTCTTCTTCAACATTCTTCCTCAGAACTCTTCCTCAGCATTCTTCCTGCATTCTTCCTACATCCTTTCTCAGCATTCCTCCTCTGCATTCTTCCTTAGCATCCTACGAGGGGATCGGCTTCGCGTCGTCGACCATGGTAAGTTAGACAAACCGACATCTAGGCACAGAGAATTGGTGATCTTTGAGGTCTGATTGTTGCGGCTGAATACAGCGAGCGCTCTGAATTGGTCATAATGGCAGGCCGGGCCTGCGAATGTGGCCAGACTCCTTCCAACACTTTTATTGTAAATTGCTATAGCAAATAAGCATCCTGGCACCTTCAGAATTGAGCCAAACATCCGTAACACGCTCGCACATATCACTGACAGGTGACTGTCTTCCGGCGAATAGTGTGCGTCTCTGCCCCCTGAGCTGCGAAAGTTTCCAGCCTTTCTGATTACTGTCTCTTTATATTAAGTAGAGACCATACCCTGGTTAGGAGGAGTATCTTTCCTCACATCTGTATTTTCCCTCTCCTTTGACTTCTCCAAAGTTACCAATGTGGTTTCGCCTAGAGGGGCATCGACGTGCATGTTAAATTTATCCTTTCGGTCAACGACAAAGTGCCGAACAAGAAAAGGAAGATCGAATAGATCTTGATTGTTACATTGATTGTTACATTGAATGCTCTGTTCCTCGTAAGAGTCTGCTAGCTAGTATCTATTGTAGCGGGGCGCTACGTGCATGGATTATGTAAGGGGTAAGCAAGCATGGGTGGGTAGAAAGATGGCGAGAGCATTGAACTTTTCTTGTAACTAGAGGTTTGTGTGTGGTTGCTCAACGACTTTGACGACGACATCCTCCCTGAATGACAGGCACTCAAGTGCTAAACCGTTCATCACCTTTACACTATATATGTTGTGATATGGGGCTTGACTGACAAATAGATCATGGAAACATTCCGGTGCTTTGAAATCAGATGAATGCTCGGACAGGAGGATTCGAAGTATATATATCTCTTCTTTGTTCTCATAGACAGAACTTTAATAAGATATGCTTCCACTGCCTGAAAACAATAAAACGTACGATATCGTGGGAAAGGGCACAGCTAGGGGCTGAAACCATCGGGAAGGCCTAGTGTTTAAAGCACGGGAAACGAAGTGGTATTACAGATGAGCACCTCGAGATAGTTAACTAAATCTCTTACTGGTCTGCAAGGGCTGGGGGTTGTTGTTAAACGGATCTACAGTAATTGAGTGCTCTGGTTAATCGCACTCACTGAGGGTGTCCATCTACTGGATCCGATGGAGGCTGTTGTTGAATGGGTCTAGTAAAATGCTCTACTTAATCACCCCCACTAAGGTGGTCTGTCAGGGTGGAGGCATACGAGGGAACGAGAGTGGAGATTCGACAATGATATTACTATCCAGTGCACTATAAAGTACAAGACGAGAGACAAGGAGCATGAAAGCAGTGCAAACCTATCCCAGATACTTATAGCCAGCGGTACAGTCATACCGCAAGGCTACCACGCAGGCACACGAGGCTATTCGACAGCCACAGTGGGCCTGTCAAGACCGTTCGAGGGGCTTCCAGGTTGTGCCATGACATGGTCCATGGATTGGATCCGACGGAGGTGTGGATTTCTGCCAAAGAATCTGGCTTACGCTAAACTACATTCGTTTACTGAACATATATAAAGCGGCCACCCCCAGCAAGTTCTTAAAGCAAGCTATGTATCGGTCTGGTCACGCGGCAAAGCAACGGCTATTCAGGGTTGAGTATGTGGTCGATTGAGACGTGAGAAAACAGCATTCAAGTGGCTGACCTGAAAACATAATACAAAGCAGTGTACGATACCCTAAAGTCGTCGTCGCTTCTCCTTTCGGAAGCTGTAACAATCATGCCATCGGCGAACACAACCGCCATGTGAAGTATTGTCATGTACTGTTGACTGACTGAAGTTATGAGCTGTTGATCTTCTTGTTCTTCCACAGTTTGTTCTGCCAGCTTGCTGAAATATATACACGTTTAGTTGCCCCTATTCTACTCCTTTTCTTGCCCCTATCTCCTGCATAGGGGTGAACCCCTTTTTCCTGCGGAAAAGGGGTGCTGGCAACTATTCAGCACCGTTGGATGTTTGTATCTTCAACAGAGCGTCTTGACCGGCTCGAAACGCCGCCGGAGAATTGCCAGATGAATCACTTCCCGTCGAATGACGAACTATACCTGCTTTAGCGCGCCGCAATGCGGTTATCAGCTCTAGAGAAAAGAGAAGGAATATCATACAAATTTGCTGCAACAATTAAACAGAGGAGGAAATATCGATGCCCAGATGAATACTGTACTCCGAATCTGCACGACAAGCCGAAGCTGCGGAAACATTTCATGCAGAAACATCACCCACTGTCGACGTTGATGGAAAAAGAAGTGTGTAGGCCTTGTGGAGAAGTCTTCCGCTCGCCTCGAGGTCTTCAAGACCACGAAAAGAAAGAGCATAACTCTGATCCGGAAGTGAGGATTGAACCTTATTTGAGATAGTTTCTTCAATCTGACGGTATGCCCAAAGATCTCGATTGCCCCATAAAACATTCGGTGTAAGTTGACAGTTTCCAGCTGAAAATGCCTATATGGCGCTGCTTTCTGCCGACACGAGGATAGATGACACTCTGAACCCAAATACATCACTCAAATATGATTCGTGACGGAAAAGAGAAGCGAAAAGAGGAAGACAACGCAGCTGGACATACCAGACCTGACGGGACAACAGAGTCTAGGATGCGGAGACCTCCGGGAGAATGTCTTGACTCGAGCCAACATGGATGAGGTGATCGATAGGCCACATCAAAAGGCGATAGCAGAGCACAACCTTCTGGATGCTGAAGGTGGTGCAACTCAAATTACACCTCTCAACTCTCAAGATGACCTTGGCAACGGGATGTTTCGTGCCCCTGAATCACGGCAAGCTGTGGTTCATAATGACGCGCTCCGGACGGAAGAAACACCTAACAGATCAGCAACACATGAGTTGTACAGCAATATGGTGCATCAAATGGACTTTGAAGATTTCATCCCCTTTTGCCGAGGTGCTGCTAACTCAAACGATGAGGCACTGACCACATTCGGGTCTTCGTACGCTCCTTGCACCTTGACATTCAATGACCAAGCGGGCCCGGGGGTATCTTACGACAACGGTTCGGGACATTATCCACCCACATTCTCCGAAATATACAATGCCCTCCTAAATGAACTGTATAGCGAGGCTCCATCTGGCAACCCTGTACATACTGAATTTATCTCAGGCGCAACTTTGGCATCAGTATACAATGACCTGGATTCCAGCAAGGCGGCTTTACCGGTCAAATTGATCTTCGCGGTCTATAAGCCCGAGACGGGAGATGACTATCTCTCGCAGCGGCTTTCAGTTGCGAATCCAGTTCCGTCTTGGGCAGGTATCATGATGTCCCGGAGCTAACCTCAGCCGACCTATGGTTTTTCCAAGCGTAGAGCATAATTGCCATGTACAGTTCCTTTTCGGGAGTTGGTGCAGGTACTGTAAATTTCAAGTACGCGGCGACTAGCACTCTGTTAATGGTTCAGGAAGATAATGGAACGTAGGACAAAGGTGGAGCCCTACATGTCGGTCTCTCTCAACTCAACCACCCTTTCGCCAGACTCTGGAGAACGGCCAGCTTTGTCATACTTCATGATCCATTTGTCCTCCTGTGTACCTCCGAGGTGGTGACACCAGATAGCGGACGTGCCCTGACCTTCAGCAAACAATTCCCATTTGGGTGCTCGGATCCATTCGTTTTTGGCCGAAGTTCTTTTCACAATATTGACAGCGCTGTGCTGATATTCGCCGTCATAGGGCAAGGCCTCCAATAGAGCCTCAACTGCCTGTTCTTCCTGTGAGAGAAGGTCGTGTAGTGGAGAGCCGCAAGTACCGTATTCGAAACCGCATCCTGCTCTTTCGACGCCGAGGAAACTGTGGTGGAATTCTTCAACACAGCCCCGCCTTTGTTCCCTAGGGTTTGTATAATTTCGAGCGCGCTTTCGCTTCGAGCGATACCACAAGCTGTGTCTGGAGACGTATTGTCGGGAGTCAAAATGTGGATGAGGTATGGAGCCATGAAAAAACTCGTTTGTGTGAGGGTTCTAGGGCGAGGATCTAATCAGTGTATTCTAGCTAACATCTGGTTCTAGGTACGATACGATACGATATTCCTACACCCTGCGCGGGCTAAGCCCCCATAGGGGACTAGCTACTATACCATATTATTTCTACCGATATCCGTCGGTTCATTCAGTGCCCAGCTCGTCGTTACCTTGTTGATCCCCTGCTACCGTGTTCAGCCCCATCGAGTTCTCGGCCAGGTCATCAAGGGTGTTTTCCTGAGTATTGCTGGTCCTTCAGCGGCGCAGCAACTTCCTCGCTCCTTCTTGCTCGAGGAAATCATTCTTCCCCCGCGTTCGTCCGCAATCGACCAGTTGCCTTCACGAAGTCAATCGTGGCCTTAATAGTTTTCATGTTCACCTTCCACTTCTCCCTCGGCCCATCTAGTCTTTCACCTCCAAAGAGGTCCTGGCTACTGCCACAGTTACTTGTATTCCTCCTCGCATGCGCAAAACACAATGCGGAATTTTTAGTGGTTCGGCTTAGTTGCCTAAACATACGCAATTCAAGGGGTAGCAGCGTGCTAGTGACAACGCTAAAGATTTAGCGGGAACGCGCCGCGTCCGATTCTTTCAAAACAATGACTCTGCGATTCGCTCTCACCTCATTCTGCAGCAGGTCGCGCACTGGCTATTGAGCTCCCGCGAAGGATACTTTATCGCTATGACAACTCCTTCGTAAGTACACAACATCCTTCCTTGACTCCGGACTGACAGAATACTAGTGCATTCTTCGACAAACTGATGGCGGTCAAGCCAGAAGACGACTTGAAGCCTGGCCAAATCCTCGTCGCAGTGCTCCAATGTGACATCACCCCGACGCAGCCTTTTGAGCAACAAGATGCCTTATGGATCAGATGCCGTCAAGATACTGAAATCGCCAGGGTGTTGGACGCATACAAGAAGCAGTGCCCCGATGCCGGAGAGGTTGTGCTGAGACACGACTTTCGAGTCCTCGATGAAAAGACCGCCGTCAGGGCACTGGCAGACCGACCTCCCTACAATTTCGTTGCTTTAGAAACCATTCGAGTACAAGACCTCCACAAGCGTATGGGAGCAACGCCGGTACGCACCCCGTTAAGCGACGTCACCAACGTCGTCAAAAAAACAATCAGCCAGGGTACAGCAACCTCCAAAGCTATCGAAACACCTTCAGGCCAGCGGTCAATACCGCCTAAGCCTCAGGTTACACTTGCAAGCACACCACCGGTATCTGCCCACGTCGCAAGTCATTTGCCGCAGCCAGCTGGAGCAGACCATTCGCTCGCTAGCTCAGAACAACTTGGATGGGAAGATTTCTTCTTCGAGCGCCATGAATGTTACAATCCAGCGACTGGCCACCATTCTCGGCGTCCAGATTCCGAGTACTATGCTCTTGACAAATCAATCCACGAGGAATGGCTGGCCCTGACAAGCGGGCAGAAGTCATATTTCAATGAAAGGGGCGTCAGGATAGCAAGCATCTCGAACAGTGCCGATCCCATTGAACGGCGGATCGGACACTGGGCATTCTGGTGCTTCTACTATGACAACTACATCAAGACTCATCACGGCCCATTTGACCCTCACCATGATTTCGATACGCGTTGGCAACATATTGAGAGATGGCGGGTTGAATGGACAAAATTGAGCAGCCATGGCAGACGCGTCTGGATGGATAAAGTGCGCTCACACACTGTCGCTGCGGTGGAGAGAGGCATCCTTGACAGGCCTGAATCACTCGTCAGCTCTGCTCGATCAAGCCCGCTCTCGGATACGGATACGGACAGCCTCAAACTTGGAGCATCACCAGATCCAAAACCTGGCAACAATGCAATTCACCAATTTGACGGACCGACGGAGGAGACGGATTTTCACATTCCACTTGAAGATGCTCCTAATTCGCAAGGCCCTGCTCCGACCCGCCTAAGTATGGCGGAACTGTTCGACAACCGTACACCTGAGCAGCTAGAAAAAAGCGTCGAGAAAGGTGTAGAGCTGCTGAGCGGCATTCAACGAACTCTGAAAGCACAACCTAGTCAAGATGCAGACCAATGGCTTCAAGCACTTGAAAATGTGCAGAAGCAAGCAGTCAGGTCCAAAACCGTGGTCGGCGTCGTTGGCGCCACAGGCGCAGGGAAGAGCTCGGTGATCAACGCCATGCTTGACGAGGAACGCCTTGTCCCTACCAATTGTATGAGGGCTTGTACGGCCGTTGTGACCGAAATCAGCTACAACTACGAAGAAGGCGCGGCGTACCGGGCGGAGGTGGAGTTCATCTCTCGCGAAAACTGGCACCAGCAACTGAAGATCCTCTTCCAAGACCTGCTTGATGGGAGTGGCCAGGTATCCCGCGAGTGCAACAACGAAGATCACGAAAGTGGCGTGGCTTATGCCCAGGTGAAGGCCGTCTACCCCACATTGACCAAGGAAGAAATGGAGCATGTCCCCATCGAAAGACTCTTGCAACACGAGAACGTGGCCTGTCTAGGCACCACGCGCAATTTAGAATCGGATGATTCTCTAACCTTCTACAAGAAACTCCAGCACTACGTCGACAGCAAGGAGAAGAGTAGTGCCACGAAGGAGAAACCGGACTTCCGGGAAAAGAAGAAGAAGCCCCGTGAGATGGAATTCTGGCCTTTGATCCGAGTCGTTCGACTTTATGTCAAAGCTCCTGCTCTAGCCACGGGTGCCGTCATTGTCGATCTTCCGGGTGTCCACGATAGCAACCAGGCTCGAGCCGCTGTTGCTCAAGGTTACATGAAACAATGCACCGGGCTGTGGATTGTTGCGCCAATTACCCGAGCTGTGGATGACAAATCAGCAAAGAACTTACTGGGAGAATCTTTCAAGCGTCAATTGAAGATGGATGGTGGCTACAGCTCCGTTACATTCATCTGCAGCAAGACAGATGACATTTCCATCACTGAAGCTCAGGACTCCTTGGGCCTTGAAGAGGAGTTTGATCCCGTGTGGGCCAAATCGGAAGCGCTACGGAAGAAGGAGGTTGCTCTGAAGAAGCAGATCAATGAGCTCAAGGACACAAGATCTGACATCAGTGCTGCCATAGACTTCGCTGAAGAAGGGCTTGAAGTATGGGAGAAGCTTCAAGAAGAGTGCAATGAGGGTAAACCCGTCTTCAAACCACAGCCAAAATCGCAGAAGCGAAAGCGGACGGAAAAGAACAGCCCGGCGAGGAAGAAGTCCAAGTACGTGGAGCCCGACACCGACGACGACTTCATCGACGATGACGGTGATTCCGACAGCGACGCTGGATCCAATCATGCTTCCTCGGATGCCACCGAAGATCGAGGAGAGCCACTTAGAGAAGATGATATCCAGCGGAAGATTGCGGAGCTGCGAGGAGCCAAGAAGGAAAGACGGCGGGAGAGACTCAAACTGGATGATCAACTCAAGGGGCTACGCCAACAAATGGACAAGATCAACCAGGAACGCGACGGCATTGACGCCGAGCTCTCAGCCCGGTGTATCTCCGGACGCAATGAGTACTCACGAGCTGCGATTCGACAAGACTATGCAGCGGGTATCCGTGAGCTCGATCAAGAGCTAGCTGAAGAGGAGGACGCCGCAAACTTCAACCCGGATGTGGACGCTCGCGACTACGGTGAGGTTGCTCGCAATCTGCCCGTCTTCTGTGTGTCTTCTCGAGCATATCAGAAGCTAAAAGGCAGGCTTCCGAAGGACAAGACGCCACCCGGTTTCAAGCATGTTGATGAGACCGAAATTCCTGCTCTTCAAGATCACTGCATTCAATTGACCACAGCTGGGCGCCAAGCATTTTGTCGCAAATTTCTTAACAGCATGTATCAACTGCTCAATTCTCTCCGTCTCTGGGCATCCAATGACGGCACTAGCAAGAACCTTTCGGAAGGCCAACTTAAGCGGGAAGCGCAAATTCTGAAAGAAAAGCTGAGCAAACTCGATTGTGTGAGTTCCCCCGAGTTGTCAGTGTTCCATATTTCCTATCACGTCTACATCGCCGTACCCCGTTGCTAACACAGCTAGGCATTCGAAAAAGCAGTCACGGCCATCAGCAGTGGACTGGGGGAAGAGCTACAAGACAAAGTCTACGGTATTTACCCAACTGCTACACAGGCCGCAAAGGCACAGGCAAACGACACTGTTCGCAAATGGGGGATGCCTGTCAATAGGGACAATCGTGCGGCGGGAGGTCTCTATTGGGCAACGTACAAGGCTGTGGTCCGGCGCGACGGATGCTTTACGAACGCTCACGGCAATAATAATTTCAATGAGCAGCTAGTCGAACCAGTCCTACGCCATCTTGCTGGACCCTGGGAGTCACTATTTGCTCGCCGAATGCCTGGCATCCTGAATGGACTCCCTATGACCGTGGGTCAGCTTATCACAAAGTTCCACAACGAGGTCGAGGGTCGCGCGGTGCGCAATGGCGTCTCCATTGCTTCCTTCCACATGTTGAAGCAACAGATACCTGTGTACAAAGAGATGTTGAAAGATGCCATGACGGAGATGCGTGGTCGTCTCAGTGAGAAGCAGCGCGAAATCAACCGGGAATTTGAACCACAAATCAAGGCCCATATGATGGACACGTACGAATGGTGCACCAGAGAGTCCGGACCAGGTCAGTACAAGAGAATGAGGGACCATATGGAGCGACATGTGGAAGAAGAGAAGTTCTCCATGTTCAACGACGCGGTGGAGCATGTTCGTGGACTCCTCGAGGAACTGTTGGATGATACCAAAGAAGAAATGCTCAAGAGAATCGATGCGGTCTTCATGGCTATTGAGAGAGACTACACCGCAGTCGTCGTCGGTCAAGAGAAGAGTGCGAATTCTGATGATGTACTGCCAAGAGGACAGCGAGCCATGCGAAAAGCGGTACTTGAGATCATTGACGGTGCTGAATTGATCTTCAAGCGTGCTGTTGGTCTGGAACTTGAAGCTTCCGATCCCGAGGCTGCCGGTGGGCACGACATCAAGACAGAAGAAGATTCCCTTGACACACTGCATAAGTCTAACAAGGGAGGTGGAAGTCCCGCCTCGATGCCCGAGGTTTCGATTGTGGTCAAGACCGAAGCGAGTGCTTCAATCGAAGATATTCCCGAAGAGGCTGCAAAAGTGGATAGTGCTGAATCTTCGCAACATCCCGAGAACCAGTCCGAGGTGGTTCAGCAGCAATTCCGGCACAATCTAAGGAGCACGGTGCCGCTCAAGCCGACTTTATGAGTCAACTCGCTGCTGCAGCCGATGCTCGAGAGAACATCACTGCCCACCGAATGGAAGCTCCCAAGCCTGCCGAAGTTAGCAGCGAGGGCCAGAAGGGAGAGACGTAAGACAAGGCTGAGGTGTCTGAAGGAACCGATGTGTTGATGGGAGATGCCGACCTTTTTAGCGCGTCTACAGATGACACAGCCGACTGGACTTGCCAAAGCTGGTGTCAGGGTGGTGACGTACTATAGAATGAGAGTGAAGTCCGACAATGATATTACTATCCAGTGCACTATAAAGTACAAGACGAGAGACAAAGAACACGAAAGCAGTATGATGCTATCCTAGATACTTATAGCCTTGCGGTGTAGTCGTGCCACAAGGCTATCGACAGCCACATTGGGTCCATGGCAGTCGCCAATAGTCATCGAGCAGGCACCTGGCAGGCCTCGATGGGCCTGTCTGATTGTGCCGTAACAATAGAGAACAGAGCACTTTTTCACCTCAAGTTGCACACGAAGTTTGACACGAGATGATCCATGGATTGGATCCGATGGCGGGGGCCTTTCAGTCTGTGAACCAGTGTTGCAAAATATCCTGGTCTGCGTGAACGATAGGTCACCATTTCTTCAATACTATTATCCACTGGTTCAACATAATCGCACTCGAAATGCTTCGTAGCCGAGCACGAACGGACAAGCCGCGACGTTGAGATGATCCATGAATCCGACCCCATGATACACCACCGCCATCGGATCCAATCTCTGGACCACCGAGCGCAATGTATATCATCTTGTGGGGCCATCCACATATCCAAATGAGATCCAAATCGATTCAAATCAAATCAAATCAAATCGATCCTTTTCGAATCCAAATCAAATCACATTCCAATGTCACACGTCTTTTTTGACCTCCACTCCGACCACCCCACAGAGCGAGCCTAGTCTGGGCAAATGACTGCCTTTCATTCTACCTGCTCCACTACAACGGCAAACATAAATATATTGTTTGATCCCTCCTCCTATCGCCATCTTTGTACCGGCGCATAGACATGCTTATATTTCCTTCGCATTCAAAGCTTGCTTTGGTGTGCCTGTAGAGCTGCATTCACTTGTCGCCCCGCCCGTACTCTAGGTCGTGTCATTCATCAGATCAGCCATATAAAGTATCGTCTCTACAAGACAGGGAGTGATTCGACTCCAGGATGTCAGGAGAACATCCGTGTATCGGGGGCTTGATGTCGTGATGTATTAGGCGCCTGGTGGGAGATTCGCACTTGCGACTGGCGGGAGCAACAAGGCCTTTTATGATGGAGGAATGGAACAAGCCGCAAACACCCACACCTCAGATGGGTTTGAATTCTTGGTAGATTAGTTTTCATATTTCGCATAAGATTGGCACCGCACCATACTGCTACGGGCCAAAATTGTGGCTGAAGCTCGATCCTCTGACCAAGGCCCGGATCAACCAGTTAATGCCGTAAACTTAGCCTCATAAAACCGAGGACGCTATTTGATATGCGCACTCCCACTTTCCATGTGACTGCTGTCATTGTCTATGTGATTTTACGGAGGACTTGTAGCTAAAACACGTATTTTTTTCATTCGGCCGCATCACAATAACCCCTGTGGAAAATGAGGTGGTGTTAAACGATTGAGCAGCACGGAGTAGTAAGTGCCCCTTTACTGGGAAAAGGGTTATTACTCCTATGTACGATATAGGGGTAGGAATAGGAGACGAAAAGGGGGTCAACCAAACGTGTATAAATATCAGCAACCTGGCAGGGCCAGTTGCTAGAGAACAGAGCATTCTCGATGCGGATAAAAGAGGTGAAAGCCCCCTCTATAGGCTAGAATAAGCTGTCATATTCTCTTGGCATTCATTATTTGACAGGTGGGAATCGGGAACGCCGACAGACCGGAGGAAGCAAAATTGCGGACCACATCGCGGAAAAGTGAACCGGGGTAACCGAAAGATCAGACGTGAGTCCCGATAAAGAAACAGCCTAGAGAGTCTAGGAATAATCCTCATTTGGCTAATTGCGGACGTAGCGTTCGTGGCGAAGCTGACCGATGCACGAACGACTGATTGTGGAGGGGTTGTATGACGCTTCGGAAAAGGGGTCTTGCAGGGGTTGACTAAGCAAATCACCATGTTCGGACCATGAACTCACGTGGTGGCGTAGGGCTCTTGCCATGGTATAATATCGTGATACCCGTACGTCGTAATGTATGAATCCGAATGTTGTCGCGTTTGCACGTCCTCCTCGGCCCTCCCATCCTCTTGGCCTGCCGCCAGATCCTTCTGCTGTTTTTGTAGCAGCAAGCAGTTGGCCCGGATAAACATGCGCTCCCAAATACCGATGCACTCCTCGAGCAGCTTATTTTCGCCTTTTTCCCAGAACCACTGGTTGCTCGGCTCGTCGAGCGACCATACATGATTCTTGCGGGGCCCCTCGACGCGGACCAGCGGTGTCGTCGCCACGCTCGTCGGGAAGTTGTAGAATGGAGTCACCGGTCCCCCCACGCTGTGATAGATGTCAAAAGCATCTGCCACGTGGCCCGGCCGGGACATATTCGGCAACGGCCCTTTTTTGAGTTTATAGCCGTTCCCAATCAGGGCACGGCAGTCCCAGACATTGACATCGTCCAGATGCCGGCCGTAGTATTGGTAGCGGATCCGCACCGACGGGTGCACGTACTCTTCGGGTGCATTCAGCGACTTGTCGTTCTTGCCGTCAGCGTTGTACATGCCCGGCGTGCGCGTAGTGAAGCCGGTGTCCGCTCCGGTAATTTTGCGATACGGCAGCGTGGCCCATCTGTGGAACTTGTCGGGTATCGTGGTTACGCCGGTTGGGTGGTAGATGCGACCCATGCCCCACTTCCGGACCTCGACGCCGGGGTTGACCGAATAGAAGATACGGAACATCTCCGTCCTGCTGAACTCAACTCCAATCGACGTCAGTTGATCGGCCATCCCTACTCTTCGTTAGCCTTTTCAACTCCTTACGCCGTGTCAGAGATAAGTGAGGCTGTACACGCAAGAGCGATGGTTGCAATTTGTTGGTCTTGCCAGCCGCCCCCGACATTGCCATGGCTGCCTGGGAACCAGACTTGACGAAGTTTCGTGTTCTCATTGTCCTCCCTTTTATCCCACATAGTAGGGCTAAAAGCGGTGCGCCATTCGTCTAGAGCAATAGCGTGGAAGGCGTAGTCGATATTGGGGTGCACATTAAGACTTTCGAACCGAATCTATCGAGCCGGTCAGTCCAAACATGAGGTGTAAATTGAAGAATCCACCGACTACGGGTATACCTCTCCGGTTCGAGGGTCGCCATTGTGGAACAGGGGAAGCTTCGGTATGCCAAGGCTGCCCACGGTATCCCAGACACCTAGTGACAATAATGCTGGGTTAGGAGCTACCTAGAATGGATAGGTTGGAGACGGCCTCACCGATTGCTCTGACCATTCCCTCCACTGCCACAAACACCGCATTTCCGTCCTGGTCGTTAGTTCGGGTAGCTAAGGACATTTCGTGCTATTCCTGTTTTAGCGTATAACAAGAGGTAACAAGCGGGGACGGTGGCGACCTACTCTGACGAGCATATCTCGGTATTTCTCCGCCATCGTCCTAGTCCTTCTACCAGGGTCAGAGTCTTGTATCTTCGACATCTCTTCGAACAGTTTCTTCTTCTCAGCGTCAAGCGCCTCTTGCGTTATCTCCACGTCCTCCTTCGAACCCTTCTCGATCCTGAACTCTTGCATCTTCTTTACCCTCCGCAAGTTGTCGAGCGTGAAGCCCAAGAGCTGGTCCTTTTTGTTGTACCGAGACTCTCTCGTCCACGTCAGCCAATTCTTGTAGTCGCGGAAGATATGTGGCAGCTGGTCGATGCCGGCGCGATTGAGGAAGCCAAGCGCGCACACCATGCCGGCGACGGAACGGGCCGTGAAGGCACCGCGCGAGAAGCCGATGATGACGATCTCGTCGCCGGGTCTGTAATTGTCGCAGATGAAGCGATAGCTTTCGACGATATCCTGCAATGCATAGCTGAGCGAACTTATTCCCCGGTGGGCTATCGATTACTAGATCGAATACTAGTCATATCAGCCGACGCAACTCACCTGAGGAATACCAGCTCCAAACATCCCTCCGAGGACCTTCGCAGTATTAAAAACCTCGGTTCCGGCCCCAGGGTGGTAGTAAACGATCTGGGGCATACCGGAGCAGCACTTGCGAGCGAAAGCGCCGGAAAGGCGACTGACGTTGCTGGCCGGATCCGCTTTGTCATTTCTGCGATTCGCGTCAGAAGGGCGATGGCAGAACCAACAGGACTACGTACGAGTTGTTCCAAGTTCCATCGCAGCATAAGATGAGTCGCTTGCGGTTAGGGTGCTGGCCGGCCTCTGCTTGGTGGGCGCAGCGCACTACATTGGTAGCCATGGGCAAGGCCACGAGCAGCGGGACGGCCTTCGAGAATAGACGTACGATCGCTTACGGATGAAGAAGCGCGGAGGAGAATTTCATGGCTATACTAGGGACCGCCTGATAGACTGTGGAGTCTGGAGAAGGAAGGGTGCGAGTTGCAACGATACCAAGCAAAACTGCCTTACGTGACAATGCCAAGCACCAGGCCTGTGGTTGTAGCGGCCGGAAGAGAACTATCTGGGGGTGGCCGCTTACTTATATATCCTCCGTAAACGAATGTAGTTTAGCGTAAGCCAGAGGCCTTGGCAGAAATACCCAGGCCCACTGCTTCACGTGATTTGCCAACCCAGTGGATATCTGTCAAGAACCCGAGTACGCCGGGCAACATTCATTTACGCCAGACATATAGGTAAAGCGACCACCCCGCCAGATACGTTTAGTTACCTCGTGCATTCTCTTCACGCCGCTACAACAAAGAGTTTTATGTCACGTGATATCACGTGTCCTCGCAGTGCCAAGCCCACTTCCTCACGTAGTAATGCCAAGAAGACACGTCACGTGATTAAAAACACCACTCACACGCAGCAGCGAAAATTTCTTTAAAAAGAAAAAGGGTCAGTTTCGATGCGTGTACGAAAGCGTACAACGCCTCCGAAGGTCTTTATAAGCCTTGGCGCCGCCACACATCACAGGGCTACAAATGCAATATCACGTGCCAAAAAGTCCTGCCACGACTCGAATTCATCGAGCCAAGCCACTGTAGCCACTTGTATCGTTTGATTTTTATCACCACCCCACCACTGGATCGATCCGTGGACCATGTGGACCGGGAGGGAACATCCCGATTCGGCAATCTTACTGTCAAACTTCGGGAATGTCTCGGGAGAGCGACAACCCACAGTGACTCGCGTACCACAGCGACGTTGCTAAACACAAATCAGGCCTAGCTTGTGCGAGCGTTGTCCGCATGATGGAAAGGTACCTGGAAACCCCACCCAAACCCTAGTAAAATCGCACAAATCGAGGTACCAAAACATCAAAATTGAGGCATTCACATACCTTTGGTATTTGCGAGCTCTTTGCCTCATTGTTGCTCGATTCGCGATTTGTATAGCTGTTTGACCCTTTTGACCTCCTCTTGTTGCTGCAGCCTCAATGGCCACTTTCTTTGTCGGCGACCCCTGGCAAGCCCTGAAAGACCCCGACCGCGTCGATCGCCAATCGAAATTCCGGCGTTTACAGCACCTCCAGCATTAACAGGAGGTAGAGGCAAGAGAATGCACACTCACACTGCGAGATACAACGAGGCAAAAGAGCATGGATTCATTCAAGACTCACAGGGAAGCTCGCAGGGCGTCAGGACAGCCCTGAAGGGGTCGGCAGCGAGGTCACGAGGCGGCAGGAGGACTACAGAGGCGACAGACAGGCCACACAGGTGGCAGAGAGGGTCTGACACGCCACAACCCCAAAAAAGAGTGCAAAAAGGCGTGGAAAGGCGAATGCAAAGGACTCCATTAAAAGGGGTCAACGAAAGAACATCAAAAAGCGCCAACTATGTGAGGGAGGCCAGGTGGATGGAAAGGTACTTCAAATCCCTAGGAAAATGGGGGGTTCTCAGGTACCTTTCCATCATGCGGACAACACTCGCACAACTAGGCCCGATTGGTGTTTAGTGATGTCGCTGTGGTACGCGAGTCGCTGTGGGTTGTCGCTCTCCCGAGACATTCCCCAAACTTCTTTCCATTGAAAGAAATTGCTCTGTTCTTCCTCAATTAGAGGGTGGCATTGAGCCTGTCTATAATCTATCTGACGAGTGTACGTCATCATTGCTGCCTGTCAATGGTGATACAGTCTGGTGAGCGAGCGTTGCAAAATAACCCGATTAGTCGTGAACGATAAGCCATCAATTGTTCAACACTTACTCATCAGCTGTTGAACAATTGGTGACCTATTATCCACAGTAGACCAACTCGTTCTGCGACACTCGCTCATTAGGCTATATCACCATGAATAGGCCACAGCGTTAACGTACACTGTGTAGATAGATATATAGATGGGCTCTATCCTACACTCGTCAGGAGAGCCAGAGCATTCATTCAAATTCAGATCTCATGAAAAACCATCCCCATCGGATCCAATCGGTGGACCATATGGCCGTGGTAGGACTATCTCGATTCTGCAACACCGGATCCTCACTCACATCACCTTGTTGTGAATTTCAGGCGGTGGATGTCATGGGGCGCCAAGACCCCATGCCAAGAACATGTATATAGCATGCGTTGCGCTATTCGACTTCCAAGCGTGGAAGTCGATGTCGCCCCTGCACCTATATAGATAGATAGGTATCCTTTTGACGTCTTTACAGCCCGCTGGCGAGCCTGCCCCTGACAGTGGAGGCATGTATTATTAAACCTCTATCTATGAGAACAAAGAAGAGATATGTCAAACTTCTTGTGCAACTTGAGATGAAGGAGTGCTCTGTTCTCTGTCTACTTGTCGAGGCCCTGAGGCTCCTTTTATAGGCATGCGAATGCCACATCGTTGCACAGAGCAACCATCTGTAACGTCGTCGTCTATGGAAACCTCTCGTCTTGTCAAACTTATGGTACAACTTGAGTTGAAAGAGTGCTCTGTTCTCTATCAAGTTGAGGTCCTGCCTCGCATGTTTATATAGACAAAGATTGTCACCATCTTTCTGTGTCTCCGTGTTCAGCTCGTAGACGAAACCCTTGTCCAGCTGAACATTCATTGCCACGCTGAAATCGTTGCCCCATATCGTCTCACAGTTCAACAGCTATTGTCCAACAACTCGTTATTTCGGAGGGCTTGTCTCAACATAGTCGAGCTCGAATTCCCACACCGCCTTCGCAAGAAAACATAGGCAACCTATCAAATCCACGGCCAGTGAGCTCTATGTATCCAATTGGGGATATTGGATCGGCTCATGGATACTAATACATGCTGGCGATCTTCCGATATTGCCATTTCACGGGATATGGAATAATGCTGTGCCATACAAGCACATTCGAAAAAACTTCTAAGCAAATATCAAATGAATGACCAGGAAGGTGGAAAGTACGACCTAGTGGCCAGAAGATCTGACCCTAGAGTCGTCTGGTGAAAGTGGTCATTCCTTTAGCCTGGATTTCTTGGAGGTTTCCCATAATCCCAAGGCTTCTTGCATCCTTTGGGGCGATCTTTGCACCTTTTGCCGCCATATCTCTTATCTGGTCGAAAGGGTTGCTTCACAGGTTCGGCCAGACTGGTAGTTCGGTCCCAGGGCAATGGATTATCAGAATCAAGGTGACCCTGGTTGGGGATTAGGCTGACAATTGCAGTCGGCATTTTCCATGATGCCCTTGCACTATTTCCGCTCCGCTTCAATACCCGCACCTCCTGCTCAGACTTCTTGTTCTGTCGATGGTAACTTATTTGACTCTACATCACCCTAGACGGTGGGAATGGACTCAGGATTTTGTGGCTCCTTTTGGCTTCGGAATGCTGTTATAGCACCACCATGATTTTTCCCAGCAAGGTTGTTGAATCCTGGTCTCCGACACTACTTAACGCATTTCCAGAAACCATTCGCCCACAACGACAGGTCCATTGCACTAAGGACGATGTCGCCTTCTGGAGGCACTGGGGGCCGGAGAAAGATTTTCTGAAATTCCAGGATCATGGGTGCCCCTGTCACCGCATATGATGGAGTAGTACCTGGCAGAACAACGACGGTTGGTGGAGCAGTGTTGGCTTGTTGAATGGGCTGTCCAGGAGTCTGATTTTGCGTAATGGCGATATGCTGCACTTTTGTCGGGAGTACTGAATTCGGACTCGAAGATGCTCTGGTGACCGGCCGATTTGGAGGAAGCGGACAAAGGCACCACTTCTCCACACGTAGCTCCTTCTTGGCTGGCCTGACTGAGATGATGATCACAAGTTTGACGTCTCCTCTTGATTTCTCAAGCCACCATGCTGCATCACATCTCAACCGAGGGAGCGATTCGGAGAGGCCAGACTCAAAAACAATTGTGGGCCAATCGCTTTTGCTCTCTCTGGAGTCAGGCTTAAATGCTCCGTCCGCCTCCTTAGAGGAGCGAGTGCTGGAGAATCTCCCGGCGCCGAGAGGAACGAGGGCTTCCTCCGGTATGCCCATTCTGCCAAGTGCGCGATCCAATTTCTTAGCTAGGCTAAGGTGGGGCATTTCGTGCACCACTGAGGGCATCAACTTGATAACTAGTAGATCAGAGTCGACGTAGTAGCTCATTCGAGTATCTTTCCCTATGGCGTCACGCTGACGGTCCATCTTTGTAAGGTCCCGTTTTGTGACTCCACGGAATACGAGGTACTGCTGATTCGTACCAGCAGTCTGCAACTCAGCACACTGTGACCTGATTTGCTCTTGCAGAGCTTCGATCCCCATATACTGATGGACATAGATGTTTCCTAGTCCTTCCATAGGCGACATCTCCATGGGCAAAGTCATCTCTGACGTTGTCTCTGACTCGCTCGTACTTGAAGAAGACCGGGACATAGGTGCGGATGTAGATGGGTCATCGTTGGATGCGAGAAGTGCAGCCATGTTAAGGTTCGAGGGGGCAAGTGTGGGCCAGAGGGTGTAGTGTTGGAGAGAAGCTGCTTGAAGAAGCGGGCGTGCTCTAAGCCGAGGAGAGATGATCAAAGCTTGACGTAGCCGCTTAGGAGAGAGGTAGAGAATGGAAGTAGATGTACGGCTGACTTCTTGAAAGAAAGAACGTGCCTCGTAGAGGTGAGTGTGAGGGTTACTTTATGAGTTGGGAGGTGTGGCAAGGGAGAGGCTATAGAACATGTCACGATCTTGGCATCGCCAAGACCGATGCTGTGTTTGCCCTGCTTTGGCTGCGACCGGGAAGAACGACAGAGTAGATAGAGCAGAAGGCGACTAACGCGACCAATAGGTCGCAATCCTTTGTCAGTTTCCGAGCGCAACATGAGCATGTATACAACGTTCCATTATCGTAGCAGAGCGTAAGCGTAGCGTTGTGCAGTACGTGATTACGCCAAGACTGTCGCGTCGACTAATCACGTAAGCGCGTAGCTTGGCATTGTCACGTGAGGTTGAAAGCCACCGCCATCGGATCCAATCCGTGGACCACATGGCCCCTCGGGGAGGGCGCCCTACTCGATGGAAGTCGATATTCTCGATATCGAGATGGTCCATGGATCGGATCCAGTCTATGGACCACCGCCATCGGCCGGCAGCCGAATAACTTATCGATAAGCTAGACTAGAATAATCTAATCGCTTGGCTGACTTGAATAACTGAGAACACTGTGTACCACCGCCATCGGATCCAATCCGTGGACCATGTTGCCAGATAGGGCTGGGAACAGTGTATGGCGCTGGCCTCGATATCTAGGTGGTCATTGGATCAGGGTCCCCTGATATACCACCGCTGTCACGGGACCACATGCCAGGGATTACGTGCTCAGGGGTTCTTGTTGAACAATTGATAGCCTATCGTTCACGACTAACCGGGTTATTTTGCAACATGCGCTCATCAGACTGTATCACCATTGACAGGCAAAAATGGTGACATACACTCGTTAGATATTTAGAGACGCTCGATGCCACCCTCTGACCGAACTCAATCAGAGCATTCTTTCAATGAAGAGAAATTTGACAGTTCTTCAACACTTCCTGCGTAGCATCCTATCTTAACTCTCTTCGTGCTACGTCTTGGACCTAGAACTAGATGTTAACGGGAATACATTGATTGAATCTGTTGGATGACGAGAGGTCTCCATGGGCAACAACGTTACAGATGGTTGCTCTGTGCAACAGTGTAGCATTCGTGTGTCTATAAAAGGAGCCTCAACACCTCGATAGGTAGATAGGGAACAGAGCGCTCCTTCATCTCAAGTTGCACGAGAAGTTCGACAGAATCCTCGCACTAGAACCCTCACAACCGCCATCGGATCCAATTCGTGGACCACGTTGGCGGGGTAGGAGCGGGGCTGTACACCACCTTTTGTTATTCTATACACCGGCTACAACAACCCCGCAGAACACCACAAACACTACTCAAAAGACTCGTATTTTTGCTATATTGTATGCAGAAATATCAGCTAATACGCAAATGTCTTTTCAGCTTTCAAATCGCCCATATACGCTTGCAGAATGGTGGTAAAATAAGTGCTATTCTGGCGTATTTGGTCCACCCTTTCGAAAGTGGCACGTCGTACCATTTAGCGTGCGAAACGCAACTTTTCCCCACCACTCTCTTTACCTTACAATAACGTAGAAAAATCGAAGTTTTTGGTCGATCCAATTCAAAAAGTTACACAGTAGCTATAGTCACAGAATTTCTAGAGCACTCGTCGTTGAGATTTCGGCAACAAGCTGGCGCAGGAGTCCCTTGGCACGTAATTCTTGGCATTTGGTCCCGTGACAAAAATCCATTACGGTATTTGTTGCCTAGGCAACGGCAGCTTTGGACATCAGTCAAACGCGCCACTGCCGATAACATGTCTCACTAGTTTGGCACCATACAAAAGGCACACCACACCCCCAACTGCGGCCATAGGTAAGACTCGAACTTTTGAATTGCAAAGACAAATGCTAAATATGGCATCCAGACAGAACTCCGACCAACTTCGCATCGAGATCTCGATATCTCATTCAAAACGCCACCGAACGCGTGTAATACCTTCCCTTGAAGCCTCTCTAGAGAGCCTCCATCGAAGAGGAGGGTTACCACCTGACGGGAATATGGCCTCGCCAGAGAAGGAATCACGCGTCGTGCCTATCTCCCAGACGCCTAAGAAGACAACAACCAAAAGCAGTGTCCCCAATGAGACGCCCCAGAAGGCAGTAAATTCTGTCCCCCACAACGATACTCAAACTCATCGCTTACCCGTTTTCATCTCTAACCTTGGCTGCATGACACACGTGGAGGACACAAAGGTCTCCATTTTTGAGAAACTTCATAATAAGATGTCCAAGAACGCAAAGTTCACCGAAACCCAAATTAAGAGGGCAGAAGAGACACTCAAGACATCCAACGAATGGAAGAAATGGCGGTCGGATATGGTCTCAAAGAGCTCGGGAATAATTTCTCAGAATATATTTTTCCGCATGCTTCAGAAAGCTCAAGAGGTCCTTCAAACACAATCGACGGCAAAGACGCGACAGGCTCAGAATGTCTTCATTAATATCGGAACAAGGGTGCCCAAGTCCGGGATTAGTAATGAGGAGTACGCAGAAGGCCTGAAGCTTTTCAAACCCGACTTAGCTAGTATTGCCATCGATGTCAACGAGGAAAATGTGAGGTTTTGCGATATGAAGACAACCTGGGAACTCAAGAAATCGGCCGACCAGACATATGCACAATCCCAAATACAACTCTCTCTTTTGAGATGCAACCAAGTGTTCCGAGACGACCCATTTCGTCACTTCATATACTCCATCTACGTCGCCGGCAGGACATTGCGTCTCTATCAACTGAACAGAGGGCAGGTGCTGTGTTATGAAAGTGGGCTTAATATCGAGCAGAATACATTGGGTTTTCTGCGCTTCGTCAACTGGCTCATGCTGGCCAGTGACGACGCCCAGGGCTTAGCAAAGGAACCTTCTGCAATCGGTCGAAGAGCCATCAGCTTCACTCCTGCCGGATGTAAGATACCATCGCCACTCGTGCGTGTGGGTGTCGACATGGTCACGACACGCGGCACTACGGTATGGCCTGTTAAAATGCAGAAACCGAAGCCAAAAAAGAAAAAATCAAGAAAGTCGCAGACTAAAAAGGAGACAGAGAACTCACCTCCAGAAGATGACGGTCTTGCAGCGCTGAAAATGGCCTGGGTCTACGAGGCGCGCACGAGTGAAGCTGATATCCTTAGTGAACTTAGCGATATCGAGGAACTACCAAAGCTTTTTGAGTGGAAAGACGGACCTTTAACCACCGCGTTTGACGTTCTACCGGAGGCAAAACATTCCAGACAATATCTCAAAATGGGACCGAACTATCAATATATGGAGGTGACACACACCACGTCCTCCGTCATGGCAAACCAGACCCAGAATAAAGAGGCTGAGAAAGGCTTGTTCATGCCGGAAGTGAACGAGACCGCTGCCAAGTCAGCCGATAAGCCTTCATATACGAGAAGGCAGCGATGGTACCTGGAAGAGTACTGCGGCGTTTCTGTGGATACCACACCGCATGGACTTTCACAACATCAATACCGCAATCCTCGAGATGTTACTGAACTTGAGCGTATAAAGGCTCTACGTTCTGCTGTACGTGCCATTCGGAAAATGTTTTGCAGGGATCGACCCATTATACACCGAGATATTTCTCCAGCGAATATTATGGTGACGTCGCCAGATATGCTGAACGGGGAGGGCGCCCCTCCGCCCGGACGGCTGATTGACCTCGACATGGCTTGCGTATATGGAGACCCCCATTCCGGAGCTCCCTGGCGCACTGGCACTTACCTCTATATGGCAATCAATATTCTGATGGGGAAACACTCTCGGCACAACCCATGGCATGACATTGAGAGTGTCTTTTGGGTTCTGCTCTTTGGAGAGCTGAATCGGACTCCTGAAGGTGCGAAGGAACTAAAGCGCATTGCTTCCGCTGGGGCATCCCATCCCGCAGAAGTCGAAAAAGGCGTAGGATTAGGGTTCAGAAAAATGGGTATCGTTGTGGAGATCTGGGATACATGGATGGGCGACGAACGATTGCGTCTCTTCGGAAAGACTTCATTCCCAGTTATCCGGCTCATGCATCGACTGAGGGTCGAACTGTTTGGATTCCACGAACAAAAGGAGCCAGATCGTCTAGCAACCTTGATAGACGTCGTTGCCGCGGCAAATGAACCCATAGTCACCTCTACGAGATACCACGCGCTCAGATTTGCTGTTCCTGACGAGAAAATTTGGGAGGAGGCTGAGGACGAAGTTGAGAAAGTAGAAACAGGCATCGAAGGGCTTAGCTTGGAGGAAAAGGCCGACAAGACTGGTCAGGACAAAAGCAATAATTCTGCCGATAAAGAAGGCGTCGGGGAGTCGGAGAAAGACCTAGCTATCGAGAGGCTTAAGCAGGCAGTTTCCACGATCACAAAGCGCATTGATGGGTGGTTTGTTGAGTGTATTGAGGACCTGGAAAAAGCTGAGCAGCAAGAGTAGTCCATGAGCGAAGCTCCATGAAATTTTTCAATCAGAAAGGCTAGGCCCAAATAGGCAGAGACAATTTGCATCTCATAACTCGTTGAGAGCGTTTTCGTCCCTTGAAGAGGTGTATCGATTTGAATGCTGAAAAGATATATGTCTACTAAATGAGTATGTCTGCACACGATCTAGCAAAAATTTGAGCCTCTTAGATAGTGTTTGTGGCGTTTTGTGGGGGTATTGTAGCTGGTGTACAGAATAACAAAAAGTGGTGTACAGGACGCCAAGGCTTGTGAAGACCTTGGGGGGCCTTGTAGGCTTCGTGCACGCTTCGACCAGTCCTCCGTAAAATCACAGCGTTCTTTGCCGACCTAGCACCTACAAAAATCACAACAAACAGCCTGCAGCGCTTCAACTCGACTAACAGCC